CTCTTATATATAAAATTTGTATTTATATAGTACTACTTATAAGCCTACTTTTCGTAACTATTATAATACTATCTTTATATATACTTAGTACTATCTTAAGTCGCTCTCGGTATAGATTAGAATATTATCTATAAATATAGTATAGAAATCGTTAAGATAATCTCCTAAAGCCTAGTTAATATAATATTAGAACGTAGCTAGTCTATTAGTTAATCTAAATAGTAAGACCTTATATTTATATAATCTATATCTTAACTTAAAAGTCGTAAGGTCCTCTAAGTCTAGATATATATAAATCCTATAAAATCCTTATTAGATATTAAGTTTAGTAAACTACTTAGCCTTACTAATCCGTTAAAGTAGTTTATCGATTAAAGATAAGAGGTATCGGTCCTTCTTTATTAAAGTATTTAACTTATAGTAATTAATATAGAATCTTAGTCTACTACCGGGCTTAACCGCTATTAAAATTAGTAATATATATAGTACTAAAGAGGATACGATAAAACCTTTTACTAGATTCTATAGTATATACTACTTTACGAAGTATAGCTCCTCTTCCGTTATTTTATAAAGTAGATAGTTAAGCTACTTAAAGGAATTATTTTTAAGCTCGATCCGGTAGTCTAGTATTCCTCTTAATAGTAGTAGTATATCCGAGGTAATCTTAGAGAATATATCTACAAACTCGTAGTATTCCTTCGGTATAATTTTCTTTATATCTAGTATCTTAGATATAGTTACTTCTATTACTTTAGAGTTAATAATCTTATTAATTTAAGCTAGCGATATAACGAAGGATTATATTCCTACTAATTATATATAGCGGTAGAATCCTAGTCCGCTAATAGTAGCGATATTAAGACTAAAGTCCGAAGTTTTCTACTCTATTTTCTTCTTATATTTATTAATTTAAGGTTTATAACTTAAACCCTTCTTAGTCTTTTCTTCCTATTTCTCGAAGCGTTAATCTCTCTATTCTATATCCTTCTAATATTATAAGATATCTATAATCTTCGGCCTCTATAGGATAATATAAGGGATCTTCTTCTATATAGCTTATTAAACCTCCTCTCTTAGGATAGGCTAATCTAGCTATACTAACCTCTAATTCTTATAGTCTAGTAGAATATTATACTCTATAAACTATACTCTTCCTAAGATTATATTATTTCTACTAAGCTTAGTAATTAATATTAGTTACTTAAGCTATATATAGCCGTCGATTATAAGGGTTAACTTAGTTATATAGGTAATAGATTCCCTTAATCCGCTATTATAACCTATAATTAGATAAGCGGTTAGAAGCTTAAGGATCTTTACCCTAAGGGATACTAGTAGCCTAACTATATTCGAATAAATATAGAGATATCTATCTACTCTAGTATCTACTAAATATTTAATTTAAACCGTTCTTCTATTAATAGCTATCTAAGCGTTAATAGTTATACTACTTATAGGCGATAGTAATTTATATAAGTTTAGCTTAGATATATTCCCCGGGATAGAGACTTTTCCTAGGATTAGACTTAGAGTTAGATCCCTTAAGTTCGACGAGATTTACTTTATTAGCTTCCTTAACTAATAATCTAGTAGTAGTTACTATAATAGTAGCTAATTTCTTCTTAGGATAGTTATAGGAGAGATAACCTTTTTCCTTATAGATAAAGTACTTTTCTTTCTTTATAAGTTATACTTTCTTAGCTAGGTCTCTAATAAAGATCGAAGGGGCTCTAGTTATATTCGAGTTTAAGATAGTATTTTAGGCTATAGTATTATCTTAGGTATAGCTACCGCGCGAATCTATACTTAGATATAACTTATATAGGCTACGAGCTACGATCTACTATAAGATTCTCCTAGCGGTCTTCTAGTATTAGTATACGAATTAATCGAGAGATACTTTATTATTATTAATATCTATTATTACTTAGTTTTATATTAGTAGTAGGATCTTCTAATATAGATCCTATTTTTATAGATCTATAGATTAACTAGCCTTTTCTATTAGCCGGTTAAAGTCCGCTAAGAAGTTAGTAAAGTCGGTCTTAATATCTATTTTTAGGTTTATATACTTATTATATATAAGTCTCTTACGATCCGGGTTATTAAAGATACTTCCTAGATACTTTAGTACCTCTTTAAGCTTCTTATACTAGTTAATAGTATCTATATATATATAAGGATTAATATATATTAGTACTTTTCCTTTATATTAACTCTTAGCGTATATAATATAGTACTTTTTAGTCGGATAGTAATCGTAATTTAGTTTAAGTTTTTTAAGGATATTCGATTCCTAATCTTTAAACTTAACTTCCTTACTATTACTAAGTATCGGAGGATTAGGAATCTTAGTAGATTTATAGTAGAGTCCTTTAGTCTTAGGTATAGTATAACTTAAACTAATTCCTCTACTAGTATTATAATCTACCTATATAAATTATATCGCGGTCGCTAGTATATCGCGTTCTTTAGTAGTCTTATTATAGTCAGCGCGAAGACTAGCGTAAGCTTCTTCTATATACTAGATTTCCGGAGTCTATTCTATAGTATTTAGAGACTTTAATATCTCGTTTTCCTCGGTTAACTATTTAATCTACTTAGTAAGATATTCGTTCTTTTCCGTCTCCTACTTTAAGGCTTAAAAGGCTACTTAAGTATTACTAGAAATCTACTTAAGTAGCTATTCCGGGGTTTCGAGTTTATATTTAGTATCTTTGTAGCTAAAATTTAAAGAGGTTCTACGAGGAGTTTATTCTATAGAGGAGGTTCGCTTATATAATCGTACTATTATAACTTCGGTACTAGTTATATCAGTTCGGTATTAGTAAAGTTATTAGGGTAGCTAGAGGATATAGTACCTCGCTACCCGACTAATACTTTAAAAAGAAAAAAGGTTATAAAAGAAGAGGAGAGTCTTTAAGATAATATTATATACGAGAATAGAAAAGCTTTAGAAGGACTTAGAAACTTTTATTTAACTTAGCTATATAGTATTAAGAATCTTAAAGGCTGAAGAGGAGAAAAAGAAAAGGGAAGAGGCTATAGTCTATCCTAAGTTTTAAGATAGTACGTATAGTATACGTAGTAGACGTGGCTTACGCCCTCTATCCTCCTATATCCTATCCTTATCCTAAGTTAGTCCTACTATACTTATAATACTATCTATAATAAATTAAAGCCCCTATTTCTACTTCTCAAAGTTAGCTCTTTCCTTAAGCGTAGGGACTAATTCGGCGAAGGTTTTAGCTATCTTATAAGCCTCGAGATCGGAAACTATTTTAAATATACATAAATATACTAATCCTACTACGACGAAGTACCGATATATAGGTAATATAGAGCTAAAAAGCTCTAAATAGCGTAAGAGCTAGAAGGTATAAGGTCTACTATAACGAAGGTATATTATATAGTAAGCCTACTATAGCGAAGTACCGCTATATAGGTATCCTACTACGACGATTTACCGCTATATAGGTTAAGAGCGTAAAAGCTCTAAGAATCGTAAAAAGGCTAGGAAGATTCGATTTGGTATAAGAGGCGTTAGAGCCGAAGAAGGGACTTTAGCGACGATTCGATACGATAGCTTCAGTAGCCGTATTTAATACGTAGGGATCGTTAAGTCGTAAAGAGGTATATAAGGCTATAAGAAGCGTAGGATATACCGAAGAAAAGATGGAAAAAGAGGTTATTTTATAAGTTATGCCTAGGTAGTAAGGAAATATAAATAACCTTACTCTTTATACGCTAAGTAGGGCTCATAACCTATTAGATGCTACTAGGAGAACGTAGCAGACCCAAAAGAGGGGAGAAAGGAATGGTGAGATTAAATCTGGTAAGAGGTGCCTATCTAAGCTACGAAGGTGGTGTGCGTGGGCGCGCACCACGCTAGTGAGACGCGCTAAACCACTAAGCTATCTCAACAAAAGGAAGCCTGAATCCCGACTACTACTGTATCTTGGTTCTTCACGAGTGGAGAAACCTGGGGAACCGCTCTCTTTAGTCTCAACTCCGGCGCCGATCCGGGAGAAGGCTGATCGGGATTGAAAATCAACTTGGAACCCCCGGCCTCCCCCGTTCGCGAATTGGTTGGTCTTTTCGACAGTATGTATAAGAAGACCACGGCCCTTTGCGAGGGGAAATGTTTCAAGATGGATTGCCTTGGTTGACTTTGAGACCTTCGGACTTGGAAGATCACCCAAGGTATGCTCTCAAAGATGATTAACACCGATTCAAAAGTGTCGATCTCACCACCGAAAAATGATGCATTGACACAACCCAAATCAACAGGCTTAGCCCATCGATCTTCCTATGCTTCACGATCAGCTAGCTCGGTCTGAAGTATCGTTCGAGCAAGGCACTTGTGTACTCGACTATATACCGCCCAATCTTAGGAATCACAATGAGTGGGCACGTGACAGACCGGGAATAGCTCGTGAGTCTTATCTTATCTTGAGAGACCGCGGTATCTTGTCGAACATCAGACGTCGCTAGCGTGCTTATCCTCAGGGGAGATAAGGAATGATTCATGTCGACTCTTTGACATTGACCCCCTCGAGTCATAACACATCTGCGCGTGTTCGACCGATAACCTGGGAAAAAGGTCAAGATGCGCGCGGGTCAGTTCGGATGCCGGCGGGTCTGGAATGACCGAAGCCTGGGAAGTCCCAGATCCACACTGAAGCTTGCTAGACTATGGGATGAAGTCATACCTGGATCAGCGAGTCGACCTTAAAGGGTACCGCAGGAACTTTTCAAAGGCCGGGCCACAATGTAGTGACACAGCAGTCGAGACATCTCATTCGGAAGAAGGCTTGGGACGGGTCAAACGCCTACGATCATCCTCCCTCTTTACTTCACATCGGCTTCGTCTTGCTGCAATGTCGTTGCAGACTTTGGCGCGAGCCTCTCGTCTTCACTCATACCCGCAGCTTCCATTGATTTGTTCTCGGAATCATTTCTTCGTTCGGAGCTCGACTGGGCCCAGCTTAAGATGTATGGTCACACAGAGTGCAAAGCTGGCGGCTGCCAGCTCACTCGATGTAACTTTGGAAGATGAGAAGACCAAAGGCGACAAGCGCGAGCGCGTCGTCATTCTTGGTTCTGGCTGGGGTGGCTACACACTTTCGCGTCGTTTGTCTCCTAAGCAATACCATACAACTGTTATTTCTCCACGCTCCTACTTTGTGTTCACTCCCCTCCTGACGGACGCCGCGAGTGGATCATTGGAATTTTCCAATATCGTCGAGCCAGTTCGAGACAAGTCTGCGCAAGTGGACTTTATCCAAGCCGCGGCCCAAAGTCTCGACTTGAAAAAGAAGACCGTCTCGTGCGAGGCTACCGTGGTCAAGAGCGGCGTGACGGAATCGGCGCGGACCTCTGATCAAGAAGACAAAGATTCAAAAGAGCCCTCAGAAAAGCCAGGCAAGGGATTACGGTCCTGGGAGCAGGGAGAGTTGATCGAAGTTCCTTACGATAAGCTCATCATCGCTGTCGGTGCGGTCAGTCAAACTTTCGGTACTCCGGGAGTCCAAGAAAATGCGCTGTTCTTCAAGGATGTCGGCGATGCGAAGCGCGTGAAGCGGCGCCTGCGCGAGTGTTTCGAGCTGGCTGTACTTCCAAGCACGACGCCCGAGGTGCGCAAGTGGCTCTTGCATTTTGCGATCGTGGGTGGTGGGCCTACCGGCTCTGAACTTGCGGCAAATCTGCGTGATTTCATCAACGAAGACCTGTCAAAGGTGTACCCCAGTCTCCAGGGAATCCCCCAGATCAGCTTGTACGATGTGGCTCCCAAGGTGCTGTCTATGTTTGACGAATCGCTTGCGCGCTATGCGATGGATACAATGAAGAAAGAGGGTATCAACGTCCAAACGTCTCACCACATCAAGGGTTTGCGATGGGGCGCACCGAGGGCCCCGCCGCCTCATCACATGGACCCCAAGCGCTGCTTAACCCTCATCACGGAAGAAGAGGGCGAGATTGGTGTTGGAATGTGTGTGTGGGCCACAGGAAATGCCATGCCCAAGTTCATTCGGAAGTCGCTCGGCCAGGTGGACGATTTGCCCCAAGATATCGCTGTGTTGAAGACCAATGAAGAATCCCCGTCAAACTCTGGTGAACAAACGACTACCTGGGAATTTAAGAAAGTGCCCAAGAAAGACGCACTCATGGTCGACGGACATCTACGAGTTCAACTCGTCAACGAGCACGGAGAGACCGCCGTGCTCAAGAACGTCTTTGCACTGGGCGACAATGCCATGCCCGAAACTGGAGCGCCTCCCGCCACCGCGCAAGCTACATTTCAAGAGTCCAAGTGGCTCGCGGATCGTTTGAACAAGGGCGATATCGAACACATTCCGCCATTTTCTTTCCGCAACATGGGCACCCTTGCCTATATTGGCAGCGAAAAGGCCTTGATGCAGTTTCCCCATGATATGCATGATCCCAGCAAACGCAGTAAATATCTCCCCGGTGGAATCAAGGGCTATGTGGCGCGAATTGTGTGGAATGCCGCGTACATCACCATGTCGATTAGTTGGAGGAACAGACTTCGGATTTTGTTCCGGTGGACACTGAACAAGCTGTTCGGAAGGGACGTGGCACGCTTCTAAACAGATTTCGAGAAGACGTATAGAATAATGCATACATAATGAATGAGACAATACGCGAAAGTTCACTACATCAAACCAACATTCGAGTCGAAAGAGCCATTGGCGCAATTTTTCCCTTGGTTATGGCAATCGCGGACTGCAATTGCAAATGCAAATGCAAATGCAAATGCAATTTGAGCACAAGAAAAGCGGACCGAGGCTTCTCCGCACTTTCCCCGCATCAGTGCGCGGATTGGCATTTAATTTACAAACCCGAACGTAGCCCTACTTTGTTCCCATCCCAGATAGTAACAATCACAAAGATGGCACCACCTACTGAACCTGCCTATATTGAGATTGCCGAGCGCAAGCAAAGGGCGCTCGCCGCCGCCATCCCGTCAGAATGGAGATTGCCGGCACACTTGATTCCCGAGGGAATGCTCTCCCCGGCAGACTCAATCACCAAGGGGCCGAAAGAATATGGCAAAGTCAGTGTCATGGATATCCCACGTACTTGTGGCCTGTTGACGACTGAGGAGCTCGCCATCACTGAGGAAAATGACGTGCGGGGGTTATTGAAGGCCATGGGGAATGGAAAGCTTCGGGTTGAAGATGTAGTTCGGAGCTTTTGCAAGGTATGTACATGCCTTTTCCTGCCGATTCGTGGGCGATACAGGCTTCGGAAATCAGCTGTGAGAGTTCAACACTGACCTGGGGGCCAAAAAATTACCCGTCGCCAGAGAGCAGCAATTGCTCATCAATTGACGCGCTGCATTACCGAGCCTTTGTTTGACAGGGCACTTGCCCGGGCCAAGGAGCTGGACGAGCATCTCCAGCGATCCGGTCGACCAATTGGTCCTCTTCACGGTCTTCCGGTCTCAGTCAAAGACACCTTTTGCATCAAGGGAGTCGACGCGAGTATCGGTCTAGCAGCTCTTGCATTCAAGCCCTCTGAAAAAAACGCCGATCTGGTTGATTTGCTCGAGTCACTGGGGGCTGTGATCGTTGCAAAGACGAATGTTCCGCAAACCCTGGGTACTTTAGACAGTTGCAACCATCTCTTCGGTCGCACGTTGAACCCACTGAATCGGCAATGGACGGCTGGTGGGAGCACTGGCGGCGAGGGTGCCTTATTAGCGATGCATGGGTCCATGGTGGGCTTTGGCACTGACATCGGCGGCAGTATCCGTGTGCCTGCCATGTGTCAGGGTCTGTATGGATTCAAGCCCAGTGATGGACGCGTTCCGTACGGGGGCCAAGAGGGGGGCCAGATCGAGGGTAAAGGGCGAATCTCCATTCAGCCCGTCGCCGGGCCGTTGGCACGATCAGTGGCCGATATTGCGGCTGTTATGGCCGAGATTGTGCCACGCGCCGAGCTCTTTGGAGAAGACTGCATCCCGGGGTATTGGCCAACACCGTCTGTACCTGCTTCTCTCGCGGCCCCGCGGAGCTTCACCGTTGGAATACTCAAAACGGATGGAGTCGTCACGCCGTTGCCGCCCATCACTCGTATTCTCGACGAGGTAGCCGCTCGCTTGCGCCGGACTCCCGGCGTCGAAGTCGTCGAGATCCCGCTGCCCAAAGCATTGCCCAAATGCCAGGCCCTCGCCGGTCGCCTCATGGGCATTGATGGCGGATCCAACATGCTCAATCTGGTCGAAAGCACAGGCGAACCACTGACGCCGTGGCTGCAGGGCCGCTTGAAGCGCGGCAAAACCTTGACGATCAATCAACTGGCGCAGCTACAAGCCCAGCGCGCGCAAGTCGAGAAGGAGATGCTGAAGATGTGGACGTTGTCTTCAACATCTCGAGATCGTCAGATCGACGCGATTATCTGTCCCGTGGCACCGCATCCAGTTCCGCAGATGGATCGATATAATGCAGTGGGCTATACGTCTACGTTCGTCCTGTTGGATTATCCTGCCGGGGTGGTGCCTGTGCGTGCTTTTGCCGAGTCGGATCTCGAGCTTGGTCGGGCGATGAAAGATCCTGTTCTGGGAAGCTGGGATAAGGCCAACCGGCTACTCTGTAAGTTTTGACCGGGAACCGCAAGGGCATGCTGATAATGTTTTGATTGACTAACGTGCATTGAAATGGTAGGGGACGAGAAGACTGTGGACCGGCGGGTCTACTTAGACTCCCCATTGAGTGTGCAGGTCGTCACCCCGAAACAGCGAGACTATGAGCTGTATCAGGCGATGGAGATTATTGATCGTGCGGTGCAAAATCATGGTGCACCGGCCACGGCGAAGCTTTAGATTTGGCATGTCCTTTAGGCTACGCGATCTCGATGCCTCTGACAGTACATTCTATATAGTAAATATTTGCTGGGTGCGACTTTGCCTTAGTAGACTGACATGCAGTTGTCAATCAAACCTACTGACTGATTTTCTTGAAATGAGCCTTTGACATGTTCGATGTGGAAATCAGCTATTTACATATCCTCTCTGACGAAAAACGAATCTACAATCGTCCCTTGAGCACAGCACCTCCATCAGTCGCAATGACCGCCCCGTTGAGATGGCTTGCAGCCCGCGATCCCAAGAACACGACCAGCCCTGCAATATCCTCGGGACGGCCCAGACGGCCATTGGGAGAATACTCTTCCATCTGCTTCATGCCTCCCTTGGCATTGATCAGTCCGCTGGCCATCTTGGAAGGATAGAAGCCCGGTGCGATGGCATTCGTCAAGATGTGACGAGGTCCCAACTCGACAGCCAAGTTCTTGGCGAGATGAATCGCGGCAGCCTTGGAGGCGGAGTAACTGGGGGTGGCATTTTCGCCGACGGAGCCGATCCCGATCCCGGCGACCGAGGCAGTGATGATGACGCGCGAGGGATCCTCGAGTGTAGCTTTGGCCTGAAGCAAGGGAGCAAGCCTGTATTTGAACGGGTCAGAACAAGCCGATGCTTGGTCCCTCGAGAACATGATCCGAGCCCCATTCGAATCACATAAAGACCTGCTTCTCGGGAAAGATGCACTCACTTTTGAATGGTATAAAACACACTCTTGACGTTCAGGTCCATCACCTTGGAGAACATCTTGTCCGGGTGGGTATCGAATTTCTCACCCCATGTGGCGCCCGCATTGGCAAAGAGGATGTCGACGTGGTCGGTTGTCTTGGAGATCTCTGCGGCCAGACGTTCGATTTCTTCCACGCGAGAGCTATCGGCTGGGACGGAAATAGCCTGGGCACCCGGTCGCTTGTTGGGGAGGGCATTGAGCGCGGCGACGGCCTCGTCGCAGGCGTTCTTCTTGCGAGAGGTGATGTAGACTTTGGAGCAGCCGGCTTGTAGTAAACTGTGATGGGAGAGACTCGATCAGTCTCGGACGGCGGGCAGATATGAAAGACACACACACACACACACACACACACACACAGGGACTAATCACTCACCCTGAAGCCGCGTGCAGACCTAGACCGCGCGAGCCACCAGTGACCACGGCAACCTTGCCCTCGAGGGAGAAGATGGTCGAGAAGTTGGACAAACGAACTTGATCGGCGGCCGACATGGTGAATGGTATACGATCGGGGGAAACAATGGGTGTAAAACAAGAGACAGCAAGACTGGAAACAAATGGATCGTGTAAGTCCCCAGCTTTGTTGGAGGCGTGGCGCCATTTAGGCGAAGTCCAGCACGGCCAGCACTCATCCAGAGACTACTCCGAGTCTCCGAGCGGCCGAGGCTTAACTTGAGAGCCGAAATCCCCGCAATCTCCACGTCCGGTGGAGCTCGAGCGCTGCATCTGTGCCGGTGGTCATTGTTGGGGAATTCCTTGTCTCGTGGATGAAGTTTTGAGATCGAAGCTGGAAAAAGGTACAGCTGCAGTCTTTTTACCTTATGTATCTTCTGTCATTGATATACGGACTGTGATTCTGTGAGATCGATTCACGTCCTCAGCAGGGGAAAAAAGGATGTTTTGGACGAGACTTCAAGGTTGGGTATAGTCAATCAACTCAATCTGAGATCAAAGGTCAGGCAGCAGTTACCATCGAGGTTCGAAATGCCTCGCGTTGGGGGGTCCATCTTTCTCTCTGACTTGGTGTCATTGTTGGCCTTTATCTCAAGGCATCAATCGAGCTTAGTAGTAGTAGTAGGAGGAGGAGGAGGAGGAGGAGGAGTAATAGTAGTAGTGGTAGTGGTACTACGACTACGACTACTAATCTATTGAGTAGTACTAACTTAGTACTTTCATACTATAGTTATCTAGCATGGTCAGTAGGAATGGTCATGATTCTAGCATTGATCATGATACCCCAGAGATCTTGGTCAATATATTCACAGCCATGTGTATCAGACTGGCTGCACTCGGTACTCGACTTTCTTGATCCTTGCCCACTGGGGTGCCTCCCCAACGGGAGATGCCTCGCTTGGACTCGATGGAGTCGTCGGGTGGACGAGCGCATCAGATGCAATGCCCTCCAGACGTGATCATCATCTCTCTTACTCATGCAGGGCGGATGACCGTACTGACGGTCTATCGTATTCTCCCCGACTGGATATCAGCCTTTCCCGATTCGTGGAGAGAGTCCTGGTTATTTGCTCAAATGTTCGCCAATATAGCCGTTGGCCCTCCAAGAACGGTGATGGAGTCCCCACGAAGCTGGTCCTCTACCTGCGCCCTGTGGATGTCAACTCCGAATCCTTTCTTGAGAACGGGCTGGGTTGGTCATTGTGGTACCGGAGTCATGACAGTCTCGAGTCAGGAGAGTCTGGATGAGCGTAATGCCGTGGGGGAAAAATCAAACGAAAGGTGACGCAAACATGGCACAACGGGACCGACACCACTGCCATCTGATCAGGTGAAACCCTAAAGGAGTGGAAGAGGACCCCGGTGACCGTCTTTCTTGCTCTCCAGGTTCTTTCCCTCCATCCCCCATTTCAGCTCGGCGGCATTGACCTTTGCGTTCTGGCGGATTTCAGGGTCGATTTGAATCATTCACGGTCCTCCACTACAGCCGGTTGTGGAGTGCAAGTGTGCAAGCATCCATCCACCATGGCTATCCAGACCCATTCCCTGCCTCCTCTTCCATATGCGTATGAGGTGAGTTGGATGATCCTCCCTCTCCAGTCCGGAAGCTGAATGTGAAATGATCATCGAGTCAGAAGACTCATCCTCGCTGCTCTTGCTCACCCCCCTCTAGGCCCTCGAGCCCGTCATCTCCAAGCAGATCATGGAACTACACCATCAGAAACACCACCAGACCTACGTCAACAACCTCAACGCCGCCCTTGCTGCCCAAGTCACCGCCACCCAGGCCAACGACGTCCGCACGCTGATCAGTCTCCAGCAAAAGATCAAGTTCAACGGCGGTGGACACATCAATCACTCCCTCTTCTGGAAGAACCTCACCCCCGCCGGCACTCCCGAGAATGATCGGACCAAGGTGGCCCCGTCTCTGCGAGACGCTATCGCGGCTCGCTGGGGATCTCACGAAGGGTTTGTCAAGGCCTTTAGTGCCGAATTGCTGGGTCTGCAGGGCAGTGGATGGGGATGGTTGGTGAGCAAAGAGGGGCCACGGGGCCAGTTGGAGATTGTGACGACCAAAGATCAGGATCCGGTGGCCAAGACGGATGTCCCCATCTTCGGGGTGGATATGTGGGAGCACGCTTATTATCTTCAGGTGAGAGTTGGCAGTCCAAGATGATTCCGATTCTCTGTGTTTTCTGTGAGGTGGGATCTGCCATTCCGGAATACTAACCTTTGGTGACAGTACCTTAACAACAAGGCCGGCTATGTCGAGGGCATCTGGAAGATCCTCAACTGGGCGGAAGCTGAGAAGCGATACACGTCCGGAGTGGAGAACCTGCTCAAGCTGTGATCCCAGAGCTACGGACTGTTCAACCCACTGAGCCCGGTACTCGAGCTCACGCCGCGATGTCATTCGGAGTGATCACACTACTACTACTACTACTACTACTACTACTACTACTACTACTACTACTACTACTACTACTACTACTACTACTACTACTACTACTACTACTACTACTACTACTACTACTACTACTACTACTACTACTACTACTACTACTACTACTACTACTACTACTACTACTACTACTACTACTACTACTACTACTACTACTACTACTACTACTACTACTACTACTACTACTACTACTACTACTACTACTACTACTACTACTACTACTACTACTACTACTACTACTACTACTACTACTACTACTACTACTACTACTACTACTACTACTACTACTACTACTACGACTACTACGACTACTCTCCAGGCTGCTCGTGTAGGTTTTTACCATGTATCTTAGCTGTAACCCAGCAAGTCCTTGAATGAACCGGGTTCAAGCTCTTTTCTGTCTAACGAATGGATGGGCTTCCAATTGCCCCGCAAGATAAGACGTGTAGTCTCATGGAGCCTAGAGGAGTGCAAATAAAAAAGGGGAGAACTCAATTATATCCAATGATGCCAGTTCCCAACAGCACACCGTCTGCATCACAGAGACTGACCTGTCGCCCAACCACACCCCGAGTCGAGACATTCAAGTCCAATTTCTCAGCCAGATGTACCTCTACTTCTGCCCTGCCTTTGCTCGCTCTCTTCCTCAAAGAATGTGATAACTTCAGACGGAAAACATGCAAGGGAGTCAATCCCTGCGTGCTCGAGGACAGATCCCCATGTGTTCTAGACCAAGATCAGTCCCTGAGTACTGTCCTACCATCAAAAGAGCTCGACTCCAGTCAAGGGTGCTGACACTCACTCTATTCGCATCTGCACCTCACGCTCTCCACAAAGGGCTTGATATGTGTCACAGTCGGAAAAGTGAAAGATGACCCTTGTCGTCTGGCTTTGACCGTCTGGATGGCAGTGGTCCGAGTCTCGAAAGAATAGGGAGTAAGACGACATCTTCGTTGGAAGGGAGGAGCACGACGTCGTCGAGGCTATGGATTCGGGGGACGAGGAGAGACATCTCTCGGGACTATCTGGACTATCTTTGACTGAGGATGTGATGTCTTGCGGAGGGAAGAGAACGGCGATGGTGCCGCCGCTGGCTGGTCGAGGGGACGATTCCCCACACATTTTATGAAATCAAGAGAGCGATGGAGGTATTTGGATAGTGTGGTCGAGTTCTATAAGGTAGAGATGAAGGAGTGGTGCCTAGGACTATGACAGAGTCATTCACCGTTGACGGGCATGGCCTCTCAACGCACCAAAAGGAAAAAAATAAGAGAAGAAGAGGAATCAAAGGATTCGGTAGTACGAGTTGGAAACGTTCATATATCTTTCAATAACAGAAAGGAACCCGGTTATACATGGGGCATCAAACTGCGGACGTACGTCGGAGAACCACCACATCCAATCTCTACCTACCTACTCATCTCCTCCGTCCTCACCACGGCACTTCTGACTCCGAACCCTTTTCTCCCAAGGTCCCAGACCAGTGCCAAGTGTCCAGCGGCCAAGTTCCTCCGACGAGCAAATACGAGCAAATATGCGGCCACATCCCCAATTGCCAATCGTGGCCCCGGCATGGACGTGGTATATCCATCGATGATCTGCTCAAATGTGCGCACTGTGGGTCCTGGTTTCCAGTGGAGATACACCTCCTCCACGGGACCAGTTGACACCGAGAGTCGAGGGAATCGAGGTAAAGGATCGCTCTGTCGTAGTCATCGTACTACTGGAACACAGCCCATGAAATGATCGTTCGAAGCAAGCCATTTCGATCCCAATGCTAGCATCTACCAAGATCAAAAAGACTATTCACGTGCTTGTTCGAGAATCTCCAATCTCCAAGCCCTCTCGCCTCATCTCATACAAAGTACACTGACACGTCCCAATGCGGCTAGCCTCATCTCGGAGCTCACTCGTACTTGTTGGGCCCTCACTTGATCCTCACCAGCGCGCTCGACGCCATATAAACCTTCACCCTCACAACCACCACGCGACGCCGTCTGTTCTCCGTCGCAGGACCAGGGTTCACGTCAGATTCTCAGCGACCGTCTTCATATTCTGGCCGAAATATTTCCTCGAGCCTGCGATCGCACCGTTCTCTCCCGCCCCCCTCCCCTCATTGAAATTGAATTCTCCCATTCCGTCGCGCGACATCCTTTAAATAGCCAACCGGGCAGAACCCGGCTACGTGGTCGCCCACGGCCCCCAAGTCTCATCCACCTCTGACAACAAGCCATTGTCAATGGCATCGCCTCACCCGACACAAGGCTCCGCGCCCGCCACACAACCTCTCACACCTCCCGCCGAGGCGCCCACGACGAACGGCATCTCAGGCTCCGCCGCAGCAACCACTACCACTACAAACTCACAACCAGCAGCGCCTACCTCGGCTACCGCACCGACCACCTCCACTGCGCCATCTTCTCATGTCCCTGGCACATCGCTCCAAGACAGCGGCAAGTCACGACGCCCACGCGATGTCCGTCTCGTGCACATGCTCCTCGCATCTCTCGGCGTGACCGCGTATCAAGACCGTGTTCCCCTGCAACTGCTCGACTTTGCCTATCGGTACACGTCCAATGTGCTGCAGGACGCGGTACACCTCGCTACAGAAGGTTACGCCGCCGCAGTGCCCGACACGACGGGGACTAGCAAGGGTGCCCCGTCCGCTGAGACGAATGGCGTCTCACTGCCCGCGCTCAGACTCGCCATTGCGTCGCGATTACACTATCAGTTCCAGACTGGCCTCCCGAAGGAGTTTCTCATGGATGTGGCCTCGGAACGGAATCGCATTGCGCTCCCCGGTGTATCGAGAGGATTTGACCCGGCGGCGAGTGTGAATGGGAATGCACCGGCGGCGAACGCCAATCAAAGCATCATGATGGCCGGTATGCGATTGCCGCCTGAACGATTCTGTCTGACCGGGACGGGGTGGACGATGAAGGATGAATGGGACAGTGAAGGGGAGGAGCAAGAGGAAGAGGGGTTACCTGATGCGCCGCAGCAACAGGCCAAGGGATCGGAAGCGGCGAAGACTGGCGAGGGTGCCGAGGAAGAAGGTGGCGATGAGGACGAGGGCGATGGGAAGATGGAAGACATCTTTGGCGAAGATACCGCCATGGGTGAGGCGGGCGAAGCAGACGAAGATCAAAAGATGGGTGATGCCTAAAGACCAGGGTATCGTAGAGGATCACTCCCATCGTTGCAAAAACACAGGGCTTTGGCATATTTTCGGTGTCCTTTGTGGGCGTTTCTTCTTCCATCCATATGGGCGCCAGGATTTGGATGGTGTTAAGTGGCGTTTGGGCATTTGGGGTTTCAACCGCTGCGAGTGCGTCTTGGATGCTACACTGACCTGGTTCCCACGACCGGCAGGATATGCATTGGTTTCAGAAAAGCATGGCTTCACACTGACATGAAAGAGTGCGATCTTGGAGAGTTACGTTCTTGGTCAAGAGACATGCTACATTGTGTTATATAGTACAGACTCAAATGAGTATCAACAGAACCCGCATAAAGAAGCCAAGTACTATGCCCCCTTGAAACGCCAGACAATCCTTTTGTGCGCCTTGAGAAGAGAGCATTGCAATACCAATCTCGGCTTGATCGCGCATGCAGAGATCGCATCGAGGATGATCGAGCATAATGTAAGCAAGTAAAACCACTGCAATCCTGCAGGGTTTTCGGACCGTCAGGAACCCACATACTGCAAACCCATCTCAGACCCTCAACCCCCGGTATACCATGATAATCGCAAGTCTCTGGCGAATCAAGCCGGAACACACCGAATCCCCCAGCAGGTAACGTGCAGGACATGTCTTTCAAGAGGAGAAAAGCGAATGTTTGGAAAAACAACAGTCTACTCCGTAGAGCATCATTTTCCCCCTCCCTGTTGCTGCTGCTGCTTCTCTTGTCTCCTGCGCTCCTCGTCCTGTCGCATCATTGTGATTACCTCTGCCCGTCGTTTCTCCACCCGTTTCAATTCTTCCTCTTTCGCTCGGCGTCGTTCCTCGTAGGTCGCGAACCACTCTTCTCGCGCCCGATCCTCTTCCTCTGGGTTATTTGCATGTGTGAGCATGCACGCATTCATCGCGAGTCGCTGCTGTCGACACACCCATGTTGCAGTGACGGTTCGATTCACAGCACACTCGGCAAAGGCTAGATTAGAGACAGGTTAGCCAGGTCAGGGACAACTTGGATGCTTGGTTCGAGAACCCCAGGCGGCGCAGATGCCTCTCGGACGAAGAGATTGAATCGCTCTGCAACCCAGATTCAAAGCTCACAGATAGCCTCAGCGCGGTAGGTGGTCACTCAACGTACCTTTGATTTCTGGCGCACAGCGAGCACGTACACGCTTGTGGTATAACTGCTTTACTTCCTGCTCTTGAGAGGCGGAGAGAGGCAATGGGTTTCGGAAGTTGTATTTCTTTGTTATAGGGATTGTCGTGGTAGTATCTGCGGAGTCTGAACTTGAAGCCATTGGAGGCGAACGTTGGCTCGATCGTGAGGATCGAAGGTCGCGGAGAGGAAAACGGGATCGTCGGAGCGTGTGCAGCAGTGTAGTGCGATGGAGCTTGATCCCAGATGGGAGGGAGTCGCTGCGGATCAGAATAGGGTGAATAGATGGAGCAGAAAATCCTTTTATCTCAAGGGCCGGCAGAATTAAAGCTGGAGATTTCAAGGTAATTGCTGCTTCTGCGAGTATTTAGAAGCTGAGAGGGGAGGTCCTGGTGGTGAGGACCTGACCATGCGGAGCGCGAGGATCCAAAGTTCGGGCGGAGAGCAGCAGAGGCGGGAAGCAGAAAAAAAAAAACCTTCCGCATCGTACAACCTTCCCCATCTGCTCTGCACCACTTGATTAAGGTGACAGGATTGTGTTTCGCCAAGTTTCCGCTGCTGAGGCGAATTTCCTTCTTCATTCCAGTCTCCGCGCATTCGACTGATTACCACAACTTTGTCCGCGTCTTCTTGAATCGTCCGCACCTCAAACCACTCAGCATGTCGTCCATGCGCAATGCCGTCCAGCGGCGGCAACACCGTGAGCGTGGCCAGCTCGAGGGTCGTGAGAAGTGGGGTATTCTCGAGAAACACAAGGTTAGAGATTCCCAGAATCCGTATACCGGTATTCGGCCGAACGCAGCAAATGGAGAAATGTCACTAAATAATCATACCACTGAATCAGGATTACTCGCTTCGCGCAAAAGACTACAATGAGAAAAAAGCCAAGTTGAAGCGCCTGCAAGAAAAGGCCAAGGATCGCAACCCCGAAGAATTCTACTTTGGTATGGTCGGCAAGAAGAACGCTCAACAGGGAAAGCATGGACGGGGCGTTGGTGTCTCTCGAGATTCCGCGGCTGCTCACGGTCTCAGCCACGACGCGATCAAGTTGCTGAAGACTCAGGATCAGAATTATCTGCGGACTGTGGGAGAGCGGATACGTCGACAGATCGAGCGTCTCGAGCACGATGTCCAGTTGCAAGAAGGAATGAACAAGGCTCTCGGTGTCAAATCTAAAAAGAACGACCAGGATGGTAACGCTGGCGATGTTGATGATCTGGCCGACTTTGACGGATTTGACGAGATGGACGAGCTCGACTTCGGCGCTCCTGTGGCTCCCAAGCCCCGCAAAGTTCTTTTCGCAGACGACAAGGGAGTTCAACAAAGTCTGGTGCATCAACACGAAGGGGAAGACTCGGATTCGATGGACGAGGACTCAGAACCAGACCAGCCCGAGTCTACCGCATCACGAAAATCGGCCAAGCAACTAGCCGCTGAGAAAGAAGCGCTGCGCGAGGCCCGCCGTGCTCGCAAGATCCGCAAGCGAGTCCCGGAAGCTCGTGAGAATAAGCTGGCGGCTTTACGCAGACAATACGCCGAGATTCAAAAGGCCGAACAGGAAGTCGAATTGCAACGGGGCAAGATGGATCGGTCTGTTGGAGGCACCAACAAGCATGGTCTGAAGTGGAAAGTTCGTGAGCGCAAGCGCTGACCTCATCGGATCACGGTTGTTCGTTTTGTGTTTTCAGGCGAGACGCTCGTCAAAGAGGCGGCTCGTCTCTCTCGTCTTCCCCATGTCTTTTTCCTTCACTTTACCATCCACATCTTCTACCGATACCAGCATAGACGGGGAGTTCAGGCGCACAGCATACCACAGAAATATTTGATTTCCTAGAAACGCTACCTCGAGTTATGTTCTGTTTTCCGTCCATCACTTAGAGGCATCTATCTTCGACGTTCCGAACCAACAGCTGTACTCTACTCCCAATGGCATAGGAGTTACTATGGGTAGAATTTGCTACCCAAGCGTTAGGTGGATTGCGGAAGTCTAGAAGACGGGCATGAAAAGGAGTTCATCGAGACTCTTAAAAAACTCCTACCATTTGCTCTATTCGCTCGCAAGCAAGACTGTCTAATGATCTATTCATCTCGCTTTGCCGATTCATGCAGATTTTCCTACCCTCATTTGAACGTAGAGGATCATGGGTCCCTGTCAACGCCCCTACCCATCACCACTCCTAAGGTAAGCTTGTGTCTCAATAAATCGGTTGTCTCTACAAAGTATAATACGCCGGCTTTTCCGACATTTCGACATACTAACAGGTTCATGATGGAGAGCTGAGACTGGCTCATGAAGATGTCTGGGCAAGAATAAGTCTTACGCGTTCCGCGTTTAGAGCGGTATACCAAGAGACATTAGGAGGAGCTTATCAGAGACTTCATATCTCGTTGTCATTGCGTGGTGCTTTCGATGATATCTGACTGTCATTCAGGTGGTCGAAAGCAAAGATATGGCTAGCACAGGGTTAGCATGTTGAGCCTTGGAGATGCTTGGCTCTTCTACTGATGACAACCCTAGTGCATCAACTCATGGACAATTTCGACAATCTAAGCCACACCCTCGAAGCTCAAACAGCGCATTTCATGGATATAAAATAAAGCTCTCCTGGTATTCACTTTTCTTACCACATCGAGCATATCCAGTGAAGATGCTTGAATAAGTAATGCGTTTCGTAAACTCCGCGGAACATCATGTGACGGGAGTGTTCAACTTGACTCACGGGCGTTGATTGATAATGATTGCTGACTAACCCGCAGTCTTTTGAGTCGGAGTGGATCCCGCCCGGCTGCACGGACCCGGCTAATCAGCCCCGTTCACCTGATTTTCGATTATCAGTCTATCAGTCAAATATCGCCACCCCTCACTGCAACTCTTGACGTTTCTTCTCTCGCTTCCGCTCAAGCAAGACAATCTCTGCCCAAATCATAGACTTTAACATCAGCGGCTCCTAAACAATCGCTCAATCAAATAAAGATTCGAACCTACACTTCACGATGGCGCCCTCAATGGTGACCATCGATACCAACGACGATTTCGCCATGGACGCTCCATCGCAACCCCTCGATGCCCCGCGCACTCTGCTGCTCGCTCCCCCCTCCATCGCGGCCCACGAGGAAAAGCTGCACGCCCTGTTCACTACCTTTGATCGCCAATCCACCGATCTGCAGATGCTAGACCGCCTCTCTGCCGGCATCGTCAAACTTTCTCCCAACATATACTCACATGTTCACATTCTCACGGACACCGACGGCTCCCGACGCTCCGAGGCTCTGCAATTGCTGACTCGAGATGTGTACACCGCTCTTGTACCGGCCATGAAGCCTGGCGCAAAGTTGCAGACGCAAGACAAGCCCTTGACGGCGGCGGACTCGATGGAGGCCATCATGGCCGGGTTGGTGCAGAATGAGACTGGGTTCGAAAAGCCAAACTTTGAGCAAGCCTCGGCGGTGCCCTTGAAGTTGGGCGGTCGCAAGAAGAAGTCGCCTGGTTCAATGGGCATTCTGGGTGGATTTGCGGCTGCTGAACCCGTAGCTCCCAAGACTGACCGCGCGGAGCAAGATGACGAATTGATCAACGAGGATGATCTCCTTGACGAAGAGGATTTCACCCGACCAATCGTGCCCCGTAAGTGATCCCTTCTTTTCGAGCTACCCGCATGAAGGGATCTGCTGTAACCTTTCCCCCCTTGCAGTTCCAAGCAAGCCTCCAACTGACTGCTTGCTTTTCCACAATTTCTAGCCCCCGAGTGTCAACCCAAGACTGGCCGGAGGCGACGCGCCTGCAAGGACTGCACCTGCGGTCTTGCCGACCGTCTCGAAGCCGAAGATCGCGAGCGTCGAGCCAACGCCGACAAACAGTTGAACGTTCTCAAGTTGCAATCGGACGATCTGGCCGAATTAGACTTTACTGTCCAAGGCAAACAGACCGGTTCTTGCGGTAGCTGTGCTTTGGGCGATGCGTTCCGCTGTGCAGGCTGCCCTTATCTCGGTCTACCGGCTTTCAAGCCCGGGCAGGAAGTGCAAATTTTGAACGATGTCGCCCAATTGTAATGCCGCGTTCAAACATTTCATTCCTCTCTTAGTGCATGGGATTGGTACTTGAAAAAAACAAGTTTGTAAGACCTTGCTGGGCCGGTTTCTCATTGCTTGCGCGCGGGTAGTAGTCCGATATTCGGCTATGGTTGTTTTTTTCCCCCTTCTATGATTGCATGTCCCTGACAAGCTCGTTTACTCTCTCTCTCTGTGTTTGGCTTTTTTCTTGTTGTTTTCTGCCCTTTTGCATCTTTCTGATACCTTTAGATACCTCGCTGGGAAGTATAGCTTGGGGCCCAGCTGCATCTCGAATCCAATACAAATTACACTATCATGATGTAGTAAAACAACTGTTCCTTTATACATTCCCCCAGGCATCTCCTGTGACGCTCTTGTGTGATGGGGCGGGTTAGGTTCTGAAGACTTTTTCAACACAAGCCTCCTAAGCAGCCGCAGGACTTTTGTCGAAAGCTAATAGAGCAAATGATTTCTCTCGCGAACGCAAAATACTAGAAAAACATGAAGATTATCCTTTTAATTCGCTAGAGATTCGAATTGGCAGCTTTTTATATCGCTTCTTCCCGCTATCTAAGCCCAGTCGCATGTTCAATCGTGAATGACGCAAAATGAAAAGTTTCAGAACTACAAAAGGGACATGTGGTTGGCAGCCATTTCCCTCTACGAGCGATCCTTGTTCATCTGTGCGACACGAATGCTAATCGCCCGCTTGTGGGCATCCAGACCCTCCACAGCAGCCAGGGTCTCAACAGTCTTGGCAAGCTTCAACAATCCATCGGCGGTCAGGTTAGAGCTGGTGATGTGCTTGAGGTACGAGCCAAGGTTGACACCAGAGTATTGCTTGGCATAACCGTACGTAGCTAGAGATATACCGTCAGCAAAAATGTTTATCGGGGAAAATAGCAGAAGTTCATTCAACTTACGCAGAGAGTGGTTGACCCCGGCAGAGTAGTCGCCGACGCTCTCAGGTGTCCAAGGGCCGATGAACACACTACCGGCATTGAAGACCTGGTCGACAACAGCCTCTGCATTGTCGACCTGGAGGATCAAGTGCTCGGGGGCGTACTCGTTGCTAAGGAGCATTGCCTCGTTGATATCACGGACCACAAAAGTAACAGAGTGCTCCAGGGATCCGCGGACAATGTCCATACGCGGGAGAGCCTTGGCCTGCTTATCAACCTCGTCCTCAATGGCCCGGAGCTGCTCCTCATTGAGATCAACAGCGATCAAGATGACTTGAGAGTCCACTCCGTGTTCAGCCTGACTCAACAGGTCGGATGCGACAAAGGCCGGGTTAGCAGTCTTGTCGGCAATGACAAGAACTTCACTGGGCCCAGCAGGCATATCAATGCTCACACCAGCAGAGGTGTCGTTTGAGACAAACATCTTTGCTGCAGTCACGAACTGATTACCGGGGCCGAGAATCTTGTCAACCTTGGTAATAGACTCGGTGCCGTAGGCCATCGCGGCAACGGCCTGCGCACCACCGGCGAGCACAATGCTCTCAGCACCAACCTTGTGGGCGACGTAGACGATCTCGGGTGAAATGCTACCATCGGCACGCGGAGGTGAGGCAAGCACAATCTTCTGGCAACCGGCAACCATGGCCGGAACACCCAGCATCATAGCAGTAGATGGCAAGACAGCGGTACCACCGGGAACGTACAGTCCAACGCGCTCAATGGGTCGTGAGAAACGGGAGCAGACTACTCCAGGCATGGTCTCCATCTTCAGCGTATCATTGCTACTCTTTTGAGCGGAGTGGAATCGCTGAATGTTACCAATGCTAACATCAAGGGCCTCTTGGACATCAGGGGTCACCTTCATCAGCTCGGCAGGGAAAGGCGCCTTGAGAACGGGCGAGGTGAGGGACGTCGCCTTCTCAAACTTGTGAGTATACTTGAGGACAGCGGCGTCACCACCCTCACGCACATCCTGAATGATCGGCTTCACCAGCGCGACAATAGCGTCGTTAGATTTCTGGGAAGGACGCTTCAGGCACTCCTTGACCTCAGTGATAGGAGTCTGAGAAGTGATGACACGCTTCATTTCAATACGCGAAACGCGATCTTCGACGGGAGCTGGCGCAGGGGTAGGCGCGGGTGCGGGTGCGGGTGCAGACTGTGCCGCTGATGAAGAGGCCAGACCGGCTTTTTCTGCCCATGGACCCTTTGCATCACCCTTTCTGCGCTTCACCTTGAGGCTCTTGAGGTCTAGGTTGCGCTCGATGTCTTCCAGCGTGACACCAGCGGCAATGCACTTGGTCAGGGCGAAGTAGAGGAGATCAGCAGCCTCGAAAGCCATCTCCTCCTTAGTGGTAGCCTGGCACAACTCCTCGGCTTCCTCCATGATCTTGGCTTCCGCGAGTTTGGGTTCATTGAACAAGCGGGCAGTATAGGACCCAGCGGGGGCATCAGCCTTGCGGGCGAGCAGGGTCTTTTGCAGACGTGAGAGACCGGCGGAGGCGCCGAAACAGGAATCCGTGCCGAGGTGGCAGAAGCCTGCAATGACATTCTCACTGTCAGTCTGCCGATTTTACTTGACGGCATTGGAAAGAAAACAGGTGACTTACCTCGTCCAGTCTGCTTGACCACAAAGACCAGACAATCCGCATCGCAATCGTAGCCAATGCGGATCAATTCCTGGGTGTCGCCACTCGATTGACCCTTGTACCACAGACCGCGCTTCCGGCTCTGGTATACCCCTGTGCCGGTACGAAGAGCCTCTGCAATACTTTCATCGTTGCTCCAGACGACTCCGAGACAATAGCCTCGCTCGTCCGTCACGGATGTGGCGTAGAGACCGTTTGCCTGGTCAGTCACTGCACGTGAAGCAATCAACTTGGCCGCAGAGATCTGGCCAGAGACATTTCGTTCCACAGTCAATTGCTCAGAAGACAGGATGACAATGGCGCCCTTTTGTGTGACGTCAATGATCGCGCTTTCCGATGCAGTCTCCCCACCAAATGTCGTGAACAGACGAGGCGAGTCGGCACTGATGTTCAACTTGTTTGCAGTAGCAGAGACCGCAGACGCCGCCACACATACACTAACATCATTCCGCTCAGCTGTGTCGGTTGCGATCCATTGTTGCAGAGAGTCGATCTGAGAATCCGAGGCGGCGGAGATGAGTAACCTCGAGGAGGGCACCGACTGTTCTTCTGAGAGAGCGGTCAATTGATCGAGGGTAATGAGGATTTTTGCAGCACCGGCATTGAGGACGTCGACGAGGTCTCCGGCGGAGGAGATGGCGGTGGCGTCTACGTAGACATCGAGCTTGCGGAAATTCTGTCGCAGGAATTGCTCGGCCTCGGCGAGCGTTGATGCCTTAACCAGGACTCGTCCAAAGTAGGCAATCTGCTGTAGAGAGAGGCCGGAGGTGGGGTTGGAGGGGTAGGAGACGAGGAACGGTGTGGCCATGACTGACGTGAATGAAGCAATAGATGGAATTGAACACAGAGCCGACAACGGGGCGAGGAAAAGAACGATCACTAAGGTTGAAAATGAGGACCCAGCGTTTCCATGAAAGGGACGAAAACGTGCCTGAAGACGAGGAAAAAGAGTTTCCCCGCGAGCGATGACTCTTACCGTCCCAATCGCCCACACTTTTGCCGCCGGTGGGCGGTTGCGCCATTCCCACCGTCGAGTTGATCCAGAAGACCCACTCCCAGCATGGAATCCGAGTGTTTGACTGGACAATTGGCAGTCTATGAAGAATGTCCTGAATGAGGTTTGGCGGTAGTCACTGGTCAGTAGTGACGGAGGAGTTCTTGGACACTTGTGTCAGCAACGATCTGGGTACCGATCAGGATCCACTGCATGACTCGGCCTCTCGAATGACAGATGGGAATTCTGGCGATCGGAAATTGCATCGATCAAGCCAGCCCTGCGAGGTGTGGTGTGATTTTTGTCATGTAGTACTACTGTGTACCTTGAGCCGCTGGCAGACGCCATCAAGCCAGTGCGTGCCGTCAGAGCAGAAGTCGGCAATCTGGAATGTCATCAACTATATAGAGCGCCGAAACCGAGCGGTTGCCTGATAAAGAAGGCCGATGCTCTCTTCTCGAAATCACTACCTCCATTACGGTCGCAGCACGCTTTTCACGCACCCATTCTTGTTCCATTTGATACAATGTCGATTGGTCACTCCTGATCGAGAGGAGCAGCACACTCTCCGCCTCTAGCAAAGACACGGCAAGGACTCGTTTGGAGAGTAAAGATGGTGCTTCGTGATCAAAGTCCTTCACCACCCCGTCTCCTTTGAGGGATGGTCAAGTCCACGCAGAATGACGTCCGACTAGCTTGTGCAGGAGACTTGTCAGACAGCAATCCCCCGGAGTCGGTGTACTTGAAATGCAACCTCCGACTAGAGTCCCAACCCTAAATTCCAGAGCATGTCCGCATGATGTGCTCAAAATTCTGTGATCGAGAAGCAGCTGCACTCACTGAGTTCTTACGCAGAGGACTATACCTTTATACAATCAATCTGCAACATTCAAGTAGAACTCATGCCTCATCGGTCGCACGGGCAGCCTTCGAAGTTGTCTGAGTATACAAGGGAGCCGATAGCTACTGCCCCGCGCCTCGCCGAGACGAGGGTAAGCACTGGAACTGGAGTATCCGCCCCCTCGACGACTCCAGATGTGTATCCGTGATAGCTTGGGGGTTGTCAGCTTTCAATTCGCAGAATCCCACGTAGTAAACCCGATCTTGCCTGCTCACTTTCATGATCGTTTTTGCGTGATTTTGGTCATGCTCATCGCTACCCCCCAGCATGAGTGAAACGCGCATTCGCGCATGCATATGCTCATTTGACTTGTCCGGCACTACGGCAAACCGGCAAAACTCGGTCGCAGTGATATCGATGGCAGTCACTGTGGCCCCGTCTGGTGTTACAATCTTTTCAGATGCCTTCGTGACGACAGACCTGATGACCCAGCTCGGTTGGCCCGATGATGATAAGATCAGGCGATTGCGATCAGAGGACGAGACGGTATTGTGCACCGAAGGGACCGGAGACCCCACCCAACTCTACTTCCTGCAAGATCTTCTCCACAGAGGCCCATTAAACGCCTCGCCCGAACAATAACTGGGGCTTTGCGGGTTCTGACCTTTGAAGACCAGAAGATCTGTGCGATGTGCCCTGGGTGGTAGGAGACACACTTGCATGTCCGCCAACAGCGTGGGCATTACTCTTGCCGAGTCACCGCAACAGAGACATCAGGTCCGGTCTGTGTTAGCCAAGTTTGTTCCGCAGAACCATCACCCACCGCCGTCACTCACAAAGCATGTCACCCGCAGCCGATTAGACAGAGCGACCTGGAGAAATGGGACTATGCGACATCAATCCATGATGAAAGCGCTCGTGATTCAAGCAGATGCCTCTTCCCGGACCAAATGTGAGCTCATTCGGCGAGTCTCACAGCACCGACACGACGATCGCAAGTCCAAAGCATGCACTGTTATGCACAGCTTGTGCTCCCAAGCGCATCGGACTCAAGAAGGACCAATGGTATCCGCATAGAATGCAGATCTTGCCCCTCTCCTCCCCCGTGTTTCCGGCTACAGCGGAAAGGGACCTTGCAGAGCAGGGACAACAATGATCAAGGGTCAGGGGAGGAAGCGAAACAGGACCCTCCCCGAGGGAGCATCATCGATGGATCCATCTCAGCTGATGGAGAGTAGCTCCAAGATCGACAGTAATGATGAACAGCTCAGTGAATTAGCGTAGTAGACAGGAAACCGATAGGGAAGCAGCCAAAGGTTGACGAGACTGGAAGTAAACAAGATTGCGCGTGTGACCGCCCTGTTTCCCCTTTGGGAAGACCTTCCCCATGATACTTCCTTTCCTCCCCCTCTCCCATTCTCTCCTGCTTCTTCATTCTTCGTGATCATTTAGTGCGTATTCATACGGCTCTGGCACAGATCCCTGCTTCTTCTTGGCTTTAAAAAGTCGCTCCAGATCCGCCGCTGCGGATGGTCGATCCTTTGCGACATTGGTTTTGCACATTCCTTTCCAGCCACTTGCTGTCCTCGCGGGCACCAACGGTGTATTGTGTTTTTATTTTCCATTCTTGGTGTACATCACCTCATCTGCGCATTCACCTCGCTCCTTTCCTTTTGGACGAGAAAGGAGTTAACATCGAAAGGACGTTGCAGTCATGCGTGTCCCAGCTCCTCTTTCACTTGTAGCTCTCGGCCTGGTCGGTTCGACTGTCGCGCACCCCTTGGTCGACCATGAAGAAGTCCTGGGTCGCAAATCTGACTCCCAGAAGAAAGCTGAGGCCGTCAAGGAGGCTTTCCAGCATGCTTGGGATGGATATATGAAATATGCATATCCTCATGATGAACTTCACCCCGTAAGCAATGGCTATGGGGATTCGAGGTAAGAGATCGGCTATGAACTTCTTCGACAGCAGCAAAGGCCTTGAATAGGAGAGCTACTAACTCTCCATCTGATGACAGAAACGGGTGGGGTGCTTCGGCGGTGGATGCATTGTCCACTGCCATCATCATGGGCAAAACCGATGTAGTCAACACAATCCTGGACCACGTTTCAAAGATTGATTACAGTCAGACCGACTCAGAGGTCAGTCTGTTTGAGACCACCATTCGCTACCTCGGAGGCATGCTCTCAGGATACGACTTGCTCAAGGGCCCCGCTGCACGCATGGCTCACAATCCAGACCTTGTGGACACTCTCCTGGTCCAGGCCAAAAATCTGGGAGACGTTCTCAAATTTGCATTCAATACGGGATCAGGAGTTCCCTACAACAACATCAACATCACTTCCAAGGGCAATGATGGCTCAACCGCCAATGGACTAGCGGTCACGGGAACATTAGTCCTGGAATGGACCCGTCTCTCTGATTTGACCGGAGATGACGAGTATGCTTCTCTGAGCCAAAAGGCCGAGTCTTACCTACTAAACCCCAAGCCATCAAGCGCGGAGCCGTTCCCGGGTCTCGTGGGGAGCAATATCGATATTGCCACCGGTAAATTTACCGATGGTTATGTCTCCTGGGATGGCGGTGATGACTCATTCTACGAGTACCTTATCAAGATGTTTGTCTATGACCCGACACGATTTGCCTTGTACAAAGATCGCTGGGTCTTGGCCGCTGAATCAACAATTGAGCATTTACAGGCCCACCCAGAGCCTCGCCCGGATTTGACTTGGCTGGCGTCATATGACAGTGGACGTTATTCATTGAACTCGCAGCACTTGACTTGCTTCGATGGTGGAAGCTTTTTGCTGGGGGGCACTGTCTTGAACCGCCAAGATTTTATCGACTTCGGTTTGGAGCTTGTGCACGGATGTGAAGCCACCTATAACTCAACTCTGACCAAAATTGGGCCCGATTCTTGGGGCTGGGACCCCAAGCAGGTTCCCAATGATCAGAAAGAATTTTATGAAAAGGCTGGCTTCTATATCACTAGTGGTGCCTATATTCTGCGTCCAGAAGTGATTGAAAGCTTCTACTACGCATACCGCGTCACCGGCAAGGAAATTGTACGTCTTTTGCTACATCCTTTTCCCTGACACGATAGCCTTCGGATGCTAATTCAACAAAAGTACCGCGACTGGGCATGGAACGCTTTCGTTGCCATCAATGCCACTGCCCGTACAGATTCCGGCTTCGCCGCCTTGTCCGATGTGAATGCTCCCAATGGTGGCTCCAAGTACGACAACCAGGAGAGCTTCCTCTTTGCCGAGGTCATGAAGTATTCATACATCATTCATGCTGAAGGTGAGTGGCACTCTGAGTGGCCCTAGTCAGGCTTATCCCTGAACATGAACAACATGCTGATGTGATCTCATAGACGCCGAGTGGCAGGTTCAGACTGGAGGCAAGAACAGTTTCGTTTTCAACACCGAGGCACATCCCGTGCGTGTGCAGCACACCTAGTAGGCCTCCGCAGGTCAACTGTTACCTTCCAAATTGTAGACACACTTCTGCATGGTGGACATTCCTACGCCTCAATTGATGGGTATATATTTATAAAATTCAAGGCAGACGCCCGGGAGCTGAAGAATGTCCAAACCGGTGCTCTCGTCCGAACAGGTTCCAATACCCAAAGTAATTCGTCTCAATTATCCCGGACTTCGCAGCTTATAATTGCACAAAACATAAACCCCATTCAAGCATCGGGGGTAGCCAATCTCAGACTGGCTTTCTCATTCAAGATGACTAGGCATCTCTGTCTTCAGACGACAAAAGCATGAAGACTTTACGAGTACATCAGCAACCGCCATAGCCAGCTGTAGCTGCGGTTTAATGATGCGTGCTTCGGCAAGTCTTTGCATCCTCATTAGGCATTCATGATACCCGTGAAGAGACCAAATATTATTCGGATGTGTCAATGCTCGCGGCAACGATTCATCAAGCCCCAGATCCGCCGCATATACATCCAGGGCCTCTTCGACTCGATTCTGCTCGAGCAGCAATGCTCCCAAAGCGTGCCGCGTAGGCTGCATCCAGCCCCAGGGCTCATCGTATGGCAAATTGTCGTCCAATTCTACAGCATTTCGCAAATGGTTGAAAGCGTCATCATAGTCTTTCCGACGATAGGCTATTTCCCCGCGGAGCATCAGCGCAGCCACTTTCAGAATGTCGACACAAGTGTTGTTGAAGATCGTTCTAGATGAAGGCACACGTTGGTGTGCTTTGTCAAAGAGCGATTCTTCTTGTTCCGCTTCGTCGACGCGGCCAGTGGCGGCATAAGCAACGCCCTTTCCGTAGTGAATCATGGCAGTAGTGACGCAGTAAAGGCTCGCGTCCGTCGGCAGGGCCAGTGCAAGAATAGAGTCCCATTTTCCGAACCGAATCAAAGCATGGACTCGAGCTCCAACGAATCCTTCCAGCCAATCCTCCATGGGAGGCGATTCGATTCTCAAAATGTCTTCCGTGACTGATTCAGCGAGCGAATTCGCTGTATCAATGGCTATTTTCGATTGACCTGCCAGCATAGCGGCGTACATGCGAAAATGGTAGTCATGACATTTGTAGAGATTGTAAAAGTGTCCATTCTTTCGCGTGGACAGGAATTTTACGTCTGCTCGTATTGCCGAGGTATTTGAAGCAATTGCGCGCCGATAATCACCACATAAAACGTCAATGTGGCTTGGCATATGTTCGAGGTGACCTGCGTCAGGCACGAGACCTCGCAAATGATCCGCAATTGGGAGCCCAAGTTCCGGCGTGGGAGACATCTCGGTGAGATGTATGTATAGATGTAGGAGACCCGGATGTTGAAGCGCCCTTTGTTGAGCAAGTATCCGGTCCAGTGCTCTTTTTGCCTCCATTGTACATGCCCCGGGGGGAGGCTGTCCAGTAGACAGATCCCAAAGCTGCCAAGGCGTCAGATTCATCAACGAATCTACATACAAGGCCACAACATCCAGATCTTCCGGAAACCTCTCGTATACAGAAGTCATGGCCGAGGCATACTGAGAATTCCAGGTGGTGCAGTCATCATAAGGTTTTTCCTGAGGATAGCGCTGCATCAAAGCATCGATCAATGCTCTCTCGACGGGACTCGCGCTGTCTTCGTGTCTTTTCGCCTCCATTGTCGCTCTATGAGCAAGCCGGGTAATCATCAAAAGCTCTTGCCCATCGAAGAGATCCCAAGGTTTGTTGTAGTTTGGCCCCAGTGCAAAGGCCAGCCCCCAGTATGCCATGGCGCAATTGGGGTCTGACAAGATTGCTTGCTCAAAGCAAGACGCCGACTCTTGGTGATTGAAGGCGTACGCCCAAGTCAGACCCCGATTGAACCAAGTCTGCGCATCAGGACTGTGAGTGCTCACAGACCGCTGATAGTTACCTAGATTGAAATAACCTGCGGTAGAAGATTGCCGGGATGGCATCTTGTATGCCTCCCAGATCTCATTCATGTCTGCGAGCAGCGGACAGGCGGCTCAGTTCTACCACTAAGCGTAAGTCAGTATGTTGACGTAGTGCGTGAGTGGCCAAATGCAGTCTATTCTCGCTTGATGAAAGCCAGCAATGTGAGTATATTGAAATTGGTACGCAGGCCAAAGAGTTACCTTCTACAGAGCCCGGACCATGATCGCCATCAATGAAAAGTAGACCACGTCCTATCATGACGGCGAAGTTGCGATTACAAGTAATCGGATATCTTTGCGGCCTGATTTCTCAGGCTGTCGAGGTTCCCCGCGATCACTGAAAAACGTGGGACCACCGTTTTGAAGACTCCTAAGGGGCTCATTTCCATAGTATTCGGTTCGCTCCGTGACCTCAAAAGTTGGACATGCACAATCACATCTATTTAAAGGTCCATATATGTAAGAAGTGATCTTTATTGGAGTCACTTTGCACTTTCGCAAGCCCGAGAGGCGAGAATGGACCTAGCAAGTGATGTTGAGAGCTATGACAATCTTTCTGAGTTAGCCATATTGTAAGAATACACAAAACGACATTCTCAACAAAGTGACCTAAACAGTAGACAGCCCTCTGGTGGGATCTCAGCTATCCTCCAGGCGGTCGTGCAACCGTGAGCTCTCAGAGCACGTGATTCCAGAGGTGGTTGTCGTTCTTCACCATCTCTGCCATATTCCTCAGTATGGTACATGCCTTCGCGCTGATCTGTAAGATAGCTGCTTTGCTGAAAGTGTGAGTTGATGTTTGTCCGGCTGTAAGAGTATTTGGGGCTCCGGGGTCCAAGAGCGGAATGTGTTTGTAGTAGCAAAATGTATCGATCCGCTTGCTAGGAGTGGAAATAAAGTGCATGCCATATATTCAGAATGCAGACAGACTATGTCTAATACCGAAACGCTTCGAACGCCATCAATGCTTGGGAAACCAGCGAACATGAGAAGGACAAAATGGAAAATAAACGCAGGTCACGAAGGCTGAGTTCGACTTCATGCCTGTATGAATCTTGTGTTGAACAGGAGCGCTCCAACAGAGCGAGCAAAACATTGATCCGCAAATGGGAAGTGTGACCGGTGCAAATGCTAGTGACAAATGAAGACAGCAAGGTACAAGGGGTATAGGCAGGATAAAGCAATTTCGCTCTCGATAGTTCACGGTAGAGAAGCCGATCAATGTACAGCGAGGTATGTTCAGAGATCCCGAGACTTGGGCCGAAGAGGCAGAGTAATAGCCCCTGTTTGTGTGGACGGCACGATACCTTCCAGCACCGCATCCACTTCAGCCTCTAGCTCTTCATCATCTTCGAGAACCAGTCGTTCGTCTTCGATGGACTTTTCAATTGATTCAGCCGGCTGAGACAAGGCCTCGGAGACTTGTGAAAGATAGCTAGCACCCAAGTCGGTACCTTCTTCGTCTGCAGCCCCATCGTCGAGGTATTCACTTCCTTCCTCGTCGCTCAGATCATCTTCGTAATCTTCCTCGTCGGCGTCATCCTCTTCCTCAAGGAGATCATCCTCTGCAGGCTCTTCTTCATCTTCACTATCGGTGGAGGAGAAGTCTTCAAGATCCTGCGGTGTGTCACGCCAGTACAAGAAATCGGTGTAACCTTCGCCTCCCGACTGGACCAGAAGGCCGACTGGAGGGAAGAAGTGATCCAGCAGCTCTTGCATGGTGACATAGCTACTCTTGTACTTGTTCAAGCTGAGCAAGTCAAGGGAGACTTCAGCATTCGAATTGATTGTGAAGATACGGGTTGAAGGAATGTTGACCGATCGATAGCTCAGCGCATCAGTCAATCTGTTGCCGAACCCAGCGTAAAATGGATTCTCTTTCCCTGCGAAGAGGCCCAGGATGTCACGCAGACAGGCCATTTTGAAGACTTCGGGTTTTCTCAAATAGATCTCCCGTCTCAGGGCCGCCATGGTGCGATCCGGACTGCAGATGACGGGCCCCTTGGGCAGACGATATCCATCCTGGCACACCCCATTCAGATACGCACGCGTTGTGTCCGATTGCCCAACAGACCGACTGGTCAAATACATAATGTTGTAACCGTTGTTGACAATGTCGGTATAGAGTTTGGCAACGCCGGCGTGAGTCCAATCGCGCCCGATCATGTTGAGCACATGGCCAAGTGCATCAGACTTTGTGATTGTGCCGTCAATATCGGAAATGACGATAGGCACGTTGCCATTCCAGAGAAACATGTTTGCTGTGCAAGTTGCTTTGTTAACACTGAAAGACATGAAGTTTGGCCCCGGTTTGAGCTTTAGCGCCTTGAGCTGATCACTCGTTAAACGCAGCGTCTTGGCATAATTGCGGGTTTCGGCTGGGAAAGAATCTTCCATTGGAGACTGCGGCGGGGTTGGGAAGCCCGGCTGGACATCAGACTTGGTCCGATGGTGACGCGTCCCCATTGTAGGCTCCAGAGTAGGACGCTCACCCTCGCTGTGATAGCCAGGATCCGAGACCGCATCGTCATCGCCTGACTGTGTGGATCGAATCGATCTGAGAGCTGTTGTACGATAAGCGGCTTGCTTCGCCTCCTCGCTGCTGTAGATCCAAAGATTTCCATGCTCATCAGCTCCGATGAGCGCACCAATGTCATAACTGCCCTCCAGTTCTTCGGCAAGAATCTTGCGTGCGAGAACCTCGGCCCGGATGGCGTCTTCCTCGTTGCTTTTGTATCCTGTCATATCCAACATGAGATCACCAGTTTCAGTGATGTGTGAAGGTATGTTCGAGCTTGAGAGCTTCTTCGAGAGCGACATTGCACGAGACATGGCCTCCTGGGGCGACAGTGGAGGTGGGCTTCGGGACCGCGTTCGCTGGCCTGAATCATCTTCAAGTGTCAACTCAGCACTAGCGATGGATGCCACTCTCCCGTCATCGGATCGGCTGCCGCTAGCGGGGATCACGTTGTCCGAGAGTGAGTGGTCGAGTGTGGGTTTGGTCGGACCAGGGCTGAAGGGAGAGTCTGAATCCGCAGGAGAGCGTGACAATGGTGTGATTGTACCTATTCTCCGAATTAGCGACGGTCTAAGGATCCTAATTTTGCTCCCACGAGCACGAGCGTCGTAATCGCACCCAGATCCGTGGCTGTCCGCGACTGCCTCGATAGCTGAAGTCCCGGTGGGGTCTTTGCGCCTTCTGATAGACCATCACTGGGGTTCTTTGCAAGGTCCAGAAACTCAGGCTCCTGAAGATTGGACTCAAGATCCTGCACAGGGACCTGTGGGCTAGCCGCAGGGGACACCAAGGGTGACGTTTGCAAGGACGCGGGGATGTCGTCTGTTGTTTCAAACACGAAGAAGGCTTCGCCCCCTTCGCCCAATTTCATCGCATAGTCCTGCTTCACTCCATTGACCTTGAATTCAACCTTTTTCTCGTATGGGCGTAGAAGAGAGAACTTTCCAAAGCGAACGTGAAACGGCGAGCAGGCAAGAGTACCTAAAGATGTGGGCAAAAGCGAGGCGCTTAGCAAAGGTAATTCACAGAATTGAATGACTTCGCATACACCTTTGATTGTCTGTCAAAAGCGTGCGTCGCAAACTCACCATCCTCTTGTTCAATGACAATCACATCGATCGCGCCGCTCAGAGTCGCCGGGTTGATTGAGTTCCATGTCTTGGAGACCGAGCCGCTGATGCTACGAACATACTGCATTTCGTCTAGGAGGGTGGTAGAACACCCTGAGAGGGAGACTGGTGTTGCTAATGGATACAACACAAGAAGAATAAATGTTGAAGAAAATCTACTGACGTCGACCGGAAACTCTGGACGGGCGGAACAGAGGGGTGGAAACAGGTTCGTTGGGAGAACTCGGGATCGCCGCCGCCAGGACAAGAAGGGCCCATGTGACAGTCCGGCTGACGAACAGTAGTAGTACCACCCCAGCACTAGTACTGTTTCATCTGTACTACTGTCACCCCAGTCTACATCACAAGCAGTCCACCGGACCACATTATTACAGAGCCCGGGACGGTGGACATTTGATGTAGGATCGTTCAGGTATGCACTGATGTCATGCACGTATGGTGACCCCAGATTTGTTGGACTGGGTTGCCAACATCTGCACGACGCCCCCCAGGCACCTGAGTACATATGGTCAAGTAAACTTCGAGACCAGTCGGGTGGATTCAACCTTCACCCAACGTTTGTTATGTAAGCCCCGGTCGGCGTGCCGAGGTCAATTAAATAAGCCCCTAGAAAACGGAGGCACACTAGTCCAGTCTTGGACTAGTCACCTTAGCGGCAGATCCTTGAAGTCTGAGGCACGCTAGTCTCATCTTGGAATCATCTGACTAAAGTCTGGTCAGGTGACATTTCCATGTCCCACCCAGATTAACAGACTCGATTGCCTCTACGAACATGGTCGCCAGCTGCGGGCTCTTTCCTTCGCTCCTTCCTGATTGCTCCCGCTACCCGCGTCTATGGGTCATTGACGCTGGTATGTACGAGCCATTCTATCTCGCCTTCGATGCCTACCCAACTGTTGTGCCGCGAGTGAAGGTGCGAGGCCTCATGGCTCTGTTCCTAGCGGTCTCAATCTTGTGGGCGCTGATCTGGTAAGCTCTCTGTCAATGAAACGAGAACCGCCCTCGGCGCGTCATTTGGCTCTGAGCACATTTAACAAACTGACTCTCTCCAGGCTTTTGTATCGAGCATGGCAGGTCTGTCAAACTCCAAATGATGTTCTGGTAGAGAAGTTGGGTCTCGACATTCCACCGCCCCCAGAGGTTACTTTGGAGGAAATTACGGCGCGAGAGATACGACTGGCTTGGAAACAGCCAGAGTTTCACAACTCAATACACAAGCATATCATCCAAGTGAACAATGTGAAAGGTCTGTCCTCCACACATGTGTACTACCGATGTCGAATGCGTCTAATTACCCGCAAAACTTACCTAACATCCGTGTGTAGTTGGCGAGTCGAAGCGTGCCGAAACCGCAGTCGAAATTTCGAACTTGGCCCCCGGCAGCATATACCACATCTGTGTCCTTTCTGTCAGTGCAGCAAATTTTCAGACTCCGAGCGCCATTCTGCATGTGCGTACCAAGTCGCTTCCACTTTCTCAAGGTCAACAAGATGCAGCCAGCGGTGGCCCAGTTGTTCGGGCATCTATTCCCCGGTCAACAGTCGGCTTGCCAACTCCGTCCGCCCCCCTCATGGCACGCGAGCTCAGCTCAGGCCAGGTACCTGGAAAACGTCCCTCCACGGGACGCAAATCGTCACCTGCGACTGGCGCTGCTGATCATTCTTACGGTCAAGTAGATGATTCTCGACGCCAAGGCCATCGCTCGAATCGAGATGAAAGCCTAGAACAACTTGCGGAGCGCCTCAAATCGCTCCAGCAGGAGAACGACAACGTAGAAAAACAGGCAGCAGAAGAGGACGAGGAGCATGCGCAGCAATTGAAGGAACTCGAAAAACAGCGGGATGACTTGAAGAAACGTGTGAAGGAAAAGGACGAGGCCAGTGGCGATTTGAAGAAACACGTCTCGAAATTGGAAAGTGTCAATCGCACCGTGCAAAGCGAAAAGACAAAGCGGATGAGACTCCTTCAACAGAAAGAGGCCGAGCGCGACAAGCGGAAGAGCGACATCATGCGGTGGCAGGAGAAGGTCGCTCGCATGAATTCAGATGCTGCTCAGGTCAAGGAAGACAAGTCCCGGGTGGAGAAGGAAGGCAAAGCTCGACGAGAAGAGATTCGCAAAAAGATTGCGAAGGAACAAGCAGATATGAAGATCATCGACGACGAGATTCAAGACAAGGGTGGTCGGATCAAGAAACTCGAGGATGAGAGGAAAGGGCTCCAAGACGGGGAGAGCGAGGACGGCAAAGAGCTGGATCGAATCGACAACGAACGAGCCAGACAGTGGGAGATGAAGCTTAACAGTCTGCACGCACGATATGCCACCTTGGTCAATCTACATACGCAAGCCCAGCAGCAGTACCAAGAGGCCCAAGAGCGATTGAAGTGGCTTACGAATCAGCGTCCAAACAGCTCTGGTGTTTTCACAATGCCTTCCCTGGACCTGGATATAAACAATTCCGCGACAATTCGTCCACGACGGCACCGGAGCTCCTTGAACAGCAACGTCTCCTCTCCTGTCAATTTCCCGGGTATTGATACGGCCTTCCCTGGTGGTTTGGCATACAATCCTGCGTCAACAAACTCCCCCACGTTCCCACCAAGTTCTGCGTTCTTCAACATCAACAATGGCATGACTCTTCCCGATCTTTCCGAGCCGCCCGAAATCATGCGCTCAGACGGGGAATTGACATTCAACAACCCTCAAATGAGCCCACGAGCCGATGCTCTACTGCCATCTGATTTGCTGGGTGACGAGGAGTCTCCCGAATTTCCGCGACCACTGACTCGACCGCTCTTCTCCGCCGTCGAAGACCCTCCTGCCTCGCGAGATAATTTCCACGTCAGGCCTGCCTCTCCTGCGTCTTCAGGAAGTAGGCCCGGTAGTGCTTTTGCCAGTCCGCTTGAGAGTTTGAACAGACAGGCTTCGGACCCGCAGGCTGTCGGTTTATCTGCTGCAGCAGAGAGACCAAAGAGCGCTACTCGACGACTGTCAGGACTCTTCGGTTTTCATAGGCCTAGGGGCAAGACGCTGGCCGATGAGCCGCCTATGCTGGGCACGTTGAAACCAGGCCAGAGCCATTCATTCCCCCGGAATTTGGAAGAAATGGACCCCATCGGTTCGCGGCGACGGCGATCGAGCTACACAGGAAATTGGGCCAATCCTATGTCCCTGTTCCCTCGGAGCAACACCACCGGCGCTACTGCCGACAGTTCATCTGACCATCCACCATCTCGACGTGCTGCATTCACTAGTATCTTCTCGTCTAGCAGGTTTGGATTTGGCAGTGCTGCCAACAGAGGAAGTTCGGATATGAATACGGGGTATAACCAGTTCAGTCCTCGGCACGATCCCATTGATCCCTCTTCAATCCTTGGAAATGTTCGTCGCGGCTCCCTTTCCCCTCGTCCTTCATCGACATTCTCTCATGACAATCAAAACCAGCTTCCCCACCCATCTACTGACAATCGTCATTTTGGATGGCCCTCAACTGAACAGCCTGGCCATCGAAACAGCCCTTTGGGGCTAGACTGGGCTTCTCCTTCGACTTGGTCTCGGGGACCAACTCGTCGGCCGTCCCTCTCGTATGGCTCCTCCGGGCATCTGCCGCTTGGGCTCACTGGCGAACCTGATTACCTGGAAGAAGCGTATGAGCGACAGCTGCGACCACTTCAAGCACCGATCGGAACTCGTCCATCCTCGTCTCATCGTCCAATGACTCCCAAGCTCAATCCCGCTGCGCCAACTTTCACGGCAGTGTTTAGTGGACAAAAAGACGGTCAGCATGAAGAAGATGAAATCGACGCTCGTTTCGATCTCCACGTCGGTGGCGATGGGTCTCCGTCCGAATCGCGCATTTCGCGTGAGTCTCGCTCACTGTCTCATTTCACAGCCGAATCCTACGACTCCCTAGAACGCATACCATCCGGTGCATCTGCTGAGAATACCTCGAAAGAGTCTTTTATCCGCAAGATCACACGGAAAGGTAGCTCTAGCAAATTCAGTTCGTGGAAAGATCGCTCGGGGCTTTTCTCTATGTCCAAAAAAGCCGAGTCCTCACAAGGTGATATTGACGAGGACCCTGCGAGTGAGGTACAGCTGGGTAGGAGCGTGGACAGCACAATTTCGAGTGCTCCATCCGCGGATCGCTCAACAAGGAGCAGCCTGGGCTTTTTCTCACGCAAGTCACGCAAATCTGACAAGGCGAGCGAGACAAGTGAACGCGCTAGTGAAGCTGGCGATGAGGATCCCTCACACGCAGAGATTCCTCACGTTTGAGTCAAAATAAATTCCTTCGGCTCTTTTTGAGATATTAGTATATCTCTCTTTTCATTCCAACAACGACTAATACATTCATTCTGCACCTATGGTGCTGCACATAGCTTCTTCTATATTACAAACACGGCCAACTCGAGCGCAAAGCTTTCTTAACTATGATGTCAGCCAACCCACACACTCGCAGTGTTTGCCGCTTTCAAAATTATCATTCAAAATTATCATTCAAAGTTGTCATTCACGTATTCAATTCTCATATGGAAGGTTCCACGTTCGGGTGCATGATGTTCCTCATTCTCGTAGCAGTCAAGTATGACTTATCGTGGTAGTTGGACCGGACTTTGTCGTTGTACATGAAATTACTACTTGACGTGCTATTAGGGGACCTTTGGAACGCCACCATCGCCTAGAATATTCATTGTAGTTGTGCTACCTGATACTTCGCTTGTCTCATTATTTCCGCGCGTTCAAGGCCCATACCCATTCGATGCATTGTGCAACAATTATAAGCGTAGCTTCAAGGCTATGGCGAATGTAGACGGACGGTCTTGAGCAGCAAAGTCCGGCTCTTGATTTTAAAGCCACTCCTATGTTACTTTCTTCAAGCAGTTTAGGGCGAGGTGACAGGATGGAAAAGTGCTACTGCTACTGCTCTAGCGGAGACGTGGAAATGGTTGGCTTGGACGGCGAAGTTTCACTCCCAGTAAGTGATGCCCAATCTTATCGCCGGACAAAATCGTCACTTTGGTTCGCGGTCACTCCACCATTTCACCCTCGCACCGCCGGCCAGCTGTTCTTTTAAGTGACTGCGATCAGGAACTGAGAATATGGCGAACTCAAAGTATTTGTGGTCTGGCCCTATCGCTCTCGAGTCTAGTGCGCTGACTGGTCGGAAGATTCGAGTACGTCAAGGATTTTGAACAGCCCGATGCCTTGTTACCCAACACATGGATTGTGGTGCGTATTGACGGGAGAGGGTTTCATAAGTAAGTCACAAAAATGGAAATGATACGATTCTGTTGAATCAACTGCAAGTCTACTGCAGATTGGTCTGACTTGACTTTCAGGCTGTCCGATCACTATGCATTCGTCAAACCCAATGACCGACGGGCGCTGGATTTGATGAACGCCGCTGCTGTCGCGGTCATGAAGGACTTGCCAGATCTTTGCATCGCATATGGTGTGAGTGACGAGTATAGGTAGGAGTCTCAATCGTTCAAAGCGTATATGCTCTGCTGAATACCAATGAATACTAAATTAAATATTCAAGCTTCGTTTTCCATCCGACTTGTCAGCTCTTTGAGAGACGGAATGCGTGAGTTGTACCCCCGTCGATGGTAATTCTCTGTGAATTCATTTCGGGTTCAATGGCTGATGATGGATAATGATAGAAAATTGGTCACGACGATTGTCTCGACCTTCACTGCATACTATATCCATCTGTGGTCGACTTATTTCCCGTCCAAGCCACTTCAGCCTCCCTATCTGCCTTCCTTTGATGGTCGGGCTGTCATCTATCCTTCAGCACGAATTCTGAGGGACTATATGAGCTGGCGTCAAGTTGACTGTAGGTTTTTTCTCTCAGCTTGGGCGGAGCATTCACATATTGGACATGACTTCGACTGACTTGCATTCCAATCTACAACAGGCCACATCAATAACCTCTATAATACCACTTTCTGGACTATGGTCCAGCAAGGGGACATGAGTAACACAGATGCAGAGCAAGAACTGAAGGTGTGTCTTCCCATGGTCTGAAACGCGCAAATTGAAGCGCCTGTGATCTTGGAATTTTTGCCACTAACTGTCGAGAAGGGGACCGTCTCTGCCGACAAGAACGAGATACTTTTCAAACGTTTTGGCATCAACTACAACAACGAGGAAGAAATTTATAAGAAGGGTAGTGTCCTTTACCGACAAGTAAGACCAAATCCTCTCATGACGCGCTGACTGGATTATGAGACTGATACCAAGGTGCAGTATGAACTACAGCAGCCCAGTCAGGAGCATGAGGTAGGCGATGAAGATGAGTCATCTATATCAGAACCGAAACAGAGTCGTTCGCAGCAAGACAAGCTCAAGAAGTTGCGCCGAAAGGCTCAGGTCGTAGTGGACCATGTCGATATCATTAGGGATGAGTTTTGGCAGAGACGGCCATGGATCCTGTCGGGAAAGCCAGGAAAGTTGCCTGCAGCAGACTCGAATGATACTCAAGCGACGCAATAACGAAGGACGAAAAGGCGATTGATGCTCTCACGACAACATGTACATTTCGGAAAATGTTATCTAGCTATGCCAAACGAAATGGGTATCATGATCGAGGCATTCAAAAGCCTTCGGCAATCTATACGTCCGATCCTGGAGGGAGAATATGCAAGTATATGATATGGTTTCAAGGCGCTTCCACGGCGTCGCATAAATCAAGCAGAGTCTCGTTTTCGCTCCTTCTTCGCGTTTTCAGACCTTTTCAGGCCTTTTGGAGTTGGATGTCTTGTCCTGGTCGTTTCTCTTGCTCTTTTTCGTGCTCATCCTCTCAACGCTCTTTTTCCCTTTCTTTTCCTTCCTCTTGGCGGACATGTCCGCCTCGTCAGAGGCATCAGGAGACACGGACTGTTCTCCGCTCTCTTCATCCGTGGACATGGGAGTAGGGTAGTCTTGCTCGCTCGCGGTGCGCTTTGAGTTCCTCAACTTCCTCCTCTCAGCTCTCTGCTCTTTCCGCTCCTGCTTCTCACGCTTTCTCAGCAGTCTTTCTTCCTTGCTCTCCTTCTGCTCCGCCAATGCAGAGGATTCACTCGCAGATGCATCGGCTGATCCCCCCTCCTTGAGTTTGCGCCGCTCGAGTTTGGCCTCTTTGCGCGCAGCCTTTTCCGCCCTGCGTGCAGCCTTTTCCTCCCTCCGAGCAGTCTTCTCCTCCTTCCGCGCGGCCTTTGCCTCTTTTCTCACCCGTCGCTCGTCCTCATCCTGAGTGTCGCGCTTCCGCTTCGAAGAAGCCTTGACCTTGACCTTGACCTCGACCTCCGCAGCAGCCACAGCAGTCTTTTGCTCCAAGGTACCAGCAAGACATTCACCACGCACAAAGTGCCGGTAAAGTTCGCTGGTGAGGGCATTGTTCGATGTTTGAGTCTCGTTCTTCTCCTGGCCGATGCCCTTGAGCGCATCTTCGAATCCACGCAGCCACCATTGATTGGTCGGGTCCTTTGTGGTCTTCTTGCCCACGCCGTGGTTGTTTTGTTTGCGTGAGACGAGAATCGGTCTCGTCAGACCGAGACCGCCGTGGGGACCGGGTCTTTGATTCGGATTGAGTGGGTTTCCAGGTCCGGACCATCCATGTCGGATGAGATATGCTTGAGCGTCCATTGCTTGAGGGGGTCGGGTCTGGCTTGCGGCGTTGGATAGAGAGGGTGGAGCCGTCGGTGTTTGTGTTGTGTGAACAACAGAGCGGCGACTTGATGCTGTGACGGGTCCTAGTGAAGAAGAGAAGGCCTCGGATGAATATAACGTTCAACTATGGAGTCTATTGCACCAAAAGAAGTATAGAAGGCTAAAGAGAAGGCAGTGCCCTGTTCGACGAGGCAAGATGGGAGGAACGGGGAGGCGCCGGGCCGGATAAAATCACAAAAAAAAATCTGGTCCATGCCGTGAGCGATAAGAAGAGTCCATGCCTATCGATTCCCCGATCCCTTGACTCCCTCCAACTTGAGTACGGCAGTGTCCGCTCACCGCCCCGCAACATGGGTTATGTAATCACCAATCTACAGGGTCAGGGCTAGTCCCATGAATGGCGGGGAGGTCGCCCAGGTTTTAATGGACTTGAAACATACTCCAATCCATGGATAAAAAGAAACTTCACTTATTCATGCTCTGACTATCATGCGCGTGTTAAAACCTGTCTGGTGGAAATGGGCGAGAATGTGCCGCCCAATAGTGCTCTTACAAATTACAGCATAGGTGACCTCGTTACATATTCTTGGAATGGCAGCGCGTGTCGTGTAGTCAGTGACATACGCACCTAGAGCCAGAGTATGATGAGGGTCTCTCCCTAAAGAGGCTCCTACCACTCAGATACCACCTCACAACATGAGTCTGGGGGTAATAGTTGCCCCTTCTGATGAAAAGGGTGTTATTTAGCTCGGCTCTAGAACTGACGAGGAGCTCATGGAAGCTTCCTCAAAGCCAGTGGTCGGCATCGTAAAGAAGGAAGTGATATAAAGGATATACAAGATAATGACAAGGGGAAAGAAGGAACTATCAAGTAAAAGGGCACAATCGGGGCATTAGTGCGACAAAGTCAGGCGGCCGAAGCAATAAAGCTGATGCAAAGGATGCACATGCGGGCGCGGTCGAACAATACCATAACACGATGCTCAACCACAACGTGAAGGTTGAATGACATGTAAAATAGGGATAAAAGAGACCAAAGAGAAGCAGGACCCGCATAAACTCGTGAAAGGACAATTACAGAAATCACAACAATCATTCGATACGTGGAGGACTTTGTGATTTCTTACCCAGTGGGCTGGTGCTTGTTCTAAAGCGCATAAATCAGCTGGAAGGTGTCTAAAAAGACAATTGAGACACAGATGGGATGGTAGTAGAGACTTACGATCTTCGCCTCTCCCCTTCTTTGCGGAAGCCTTCGATAATCTTGGCCATTTCTTTGCGCGCAGCGTGGGCATCGACCTTTTTCCCGCCGAGGCTCATACTCACTTTCTCGTTCGAGCTGGCCATGAGAAGTCGTTTGAGTAGGATGTGACGCATGTTCATACAGACAAATACGCCGCAGTCACTGCCGCCGTCTTGCTGGGGAGAATCTCTTAGGTGCTGAAAGGCCAGCGGGCGTCCCAGCAGTTTACTAAACTGCCCGGTGACATATCGGGCCTCGTCATGATTGCCAAAGACCAGCGAATCATAGTGGAACGCGACCCCATCAACAATGGAGATCAAGAGCAACGACCAGTGCGTGCCACCCTCGGCTTGCATCTTGTTATTGCAATCATTTATGGGCAGGAAGACATGGGTTGTCTGCGAGAAATCGGGCAGAGCTGAACGAAGGGTGCGAGGATCCGGTGTCTGGAACAGCATGAACGACATGCTTGGTCGGAGAAGGACGATATGGGAGGTCTTGTACTGAACCAGAAATTCATGTTCAAGGTATCTGATGCAGATCCTCATAAGTACTGATCTCTTGTGTATCAAGAACCCTGAAGTGGCCCAAAGTCGCTTACTCTTCCCAGAATGAGATAATCTATAAACAAATTAGCGGCATCTCTCGACTTTGAATGCGACACTGCTTGAGACATACGTTATCGGTGAGCCAATCGTTCTTTAAGCATTGCATATCCTCGCGTGTCACTGTAAGTGAGATTAGTTGCAAGCCCCCATGTTCATTTGCGCGAGTACATACAGCGAATGTCATGATCTGCGAGTTTCAATGTCGCGTTAGCAATCTATGCAGCCCGTCATCGGCGGGTGATGACTCGTTCAAGCTCACAGCTTAGATATGCATCATCGGGACTCAGCTGTACTGGTCAGCACCTATCTTTGGACTGATAATGTGATCGTGCCGTGAGACTGAAGGCTTACTCTGTCGCCGAAATGGCCCCGCATCCGCTTCTGCAACTTTCCCAAGCCGCCATCCAGCATTTTGCGTCGTTATTGCAGGGGAAAATCTGTATTGATTTTTGACAAGACACCACGGTGGTTTCTGCTTTGAAGAGTCAAAGTCAGCGGGTGCAAGCGCTGCACTGCAGCTGCAATGTAAAATGTCGATTTCTGCGATGACGGAGTGGAGAAGGATCGGACCAAGTGCCGTGAATGGCTTGTCGCAAGCCGAGGGGTAAACAAGCTTGCAAAGGAGATGCCGCTGGAGATGGTAAAAGAAAGAGGAGACCCGAGGCTTGGTTCCAAGGGCTGAAAGGTGTGTAAGGTGTGTAGTGACTCAAGGCAGAAGCATTAAGAGGAGTATGTTTTCATGATCAACTAAGTATAGAATCTGACGTTCCTGGCGTCTTCTTCAACCGCCCGATGACGCGGGGCGCTTGTCTCTTTGAGGGCGGTGGATCATTTTCTGCCTTCGTAAGTAGACTGAGCCACAACTCCCCAGCCCAACGCTACTTGTCTTACGTTGACGTCTTTACTTCCGCCTCATTTCACAGCAACCTTCCGGAGCATTTCCTCCTCAACCCCTAGCTCTCCTCTCCGAGTCCAAACTACATTTGGCACGGTTTCCAACCTTGACTTGACCGCTTCGAGAGAGTGTTTGTTGGCGAGTCCCTAGGATGCCTCCCCCTCCACCACCTCCTCCCCCTCCGCCGCCGCCGCCTGGAGGTCTTGGTGGCCCTCCTCCCCCGCCTCCTGGGGGTGGCAGCAGTCTACCTGCTAGGCCATCAAAAAATGAAGTCAAAGGAAGGGTATGCTGATTATTCCAAGAGGTGTAGTTCTGCGCGGACGGTCAGTTGGTTCGCCTTTCGAATCCAAGCTAACCAATTGGCAGAGCGCTTTATTATCTGATATTCACAAGGGAGCACGATTGAAGAAGACCGTTACCAATGATCGATCTGCGCCTCAGATAGGAAACACTGGAGGAGCTTCGGCAGCGCCGGTGGCTGGAGGAGCGCCTCCGGTGCCAGGCATGAGAGCACCCTCGGGCCTGGCGCCACCTGTTCCTCCTACTGCCAATCGAGAACGAAGTAACAGTGAAGGGATTCCCAGACCTGATGCAGGAGCAAGCGGTCCAGCAGCACAACTAGGAGGTCTCTTCGCTGGGGGTATACCCAAGCTACGCAGTCGCGGTGGGGTCGATACAGGAGCCAACAGAGATTCACCCTATATGTCCGATGGTGAGACCACAAGACGCACAAGCTCATCGATCCCTAAGCCCCCTTCAGCTCCTCCCCCGCCTCCCGGCGCACGACCTCCAATGCCTCCACCTCCTCCTTCGGACACACACAGTACGCCCGCTATCAATCCGCTCGTCGCCAGCCTTAAGAAGCCCCCGCCACGACCGTCTGCCCGATCATCCGCGTCGCCAGCTTCACTGAAGGGAGCGCCAGAAACCCCTCCCCCTCGTGCTCCTCCGCCACCTCCAGGCTCACGGAAGCCTTCTGGAGCTCCCCCACCACCTCCGACTTCATCCAGCCCAGCAGTCTCCCCACCACCTCCGCCCTCTGCGCCCACTTCCTCACGACCTCCTCCCCCTCCCCCTGCAGCTGCTCCCGGCCGACCAACACCGCCTCCACCTCCCCCTCCGCCATCCGGAGCTTCTCCATCAATGGCTACACAAGCAGCGCGTAGTGCGCTTGGCTCTACAGCTTCTCCCGCAGCACCGCCGCCTCCCCCTCCACCGTCTGCTGCGCCGGCAGCTCCACCACCTCCTCCGCCTCCAGCCCCAGGCCTAGCACCTCATCCACCAAGCGAGCCGCCTTCTCGTCCATCGCCCGTTAACTCACGCCCAGCTTCCCATGAGCCCCACGTGGCATTGGACCCTAGTGCATATACTTTGTCATCTCTGGGTTCTACTCCCACATCAGGTGCTCGTACGCGTGGATCCTCGATCATGGGCCCTGTCCGAATAGAGGATCCACGATTCAAATTCCAAGGGGAAGGTCTTTTCCCCAAACCGCGGCCTTTCATTGGTGGTGAAAGGAGGTATAGGGCTGGCCGCGGAAGCAGTGTGCCTCTAGATTTGAGTGCGCTGAGTGGCTGAGTGCAGAGGACATTGCAGGCAATATCTTGCACCGGGATAGTGGGTGGTCTCTTTATAACTTTGACCCGGTCGATGCCTTTCGGGTGTCTTCCAACAAGGTTCTACATTTCGAATTTTAAACTCAAGAAATTGTCGCACTTTCCAAATTGATGGGCATGTAGACACGCTAACTGTCTGTACATCTTGACTGTAGCTCCCGGTGCCGCATGGTGAAGCTAAGCTCTGACACGTGACCGGAGCCGCGTGCCATAGACTGGAAGCTATCTGTAAAGAAAGACCCGAGAGATTGAAGTAAACAGCCATCCCCATTTCCACGCAATTAAAAACAAGCAGACGCGACAGTCGAGAAGAACCGTCGACTTCTTCTTTCAGCTCTCCATCAATCTACACTACTCGGACAAATTATCCTGTGCCGGACCACCGATCAGCTCGCGGGAACTTCCTCCATCTTTGTTCCCACCATTCGCCCGTCGCAGCTTCTTTTCAAAACCGACCATTGTCTTTGTGTCGCCTTGAGCTACAATCCATAGCAATTTCAGGGCCAAATCTGATTCCACCTCTCAGCAAAGTTCCTCTCAGTGGACCTCTAGCCCAAGCCACTCGTGATCTGAAGCTCCCATCGTTCCCCATTTGCAAAGTTGCAATAGCTCGCGATCAGACAAAAAGCCCAAGACTCGATATCGATCGCCAATCCTCCATACTTGGACGAGTGTACGCACGTGAATTAATAGCTCACGTTCCGTCTTTTGTCTCAAATCATTCGCTCGGCGCCACCACTCGCCCACCATGTCTCTGCCTCTCATGTCGCTGATCAACAGTATGTATTGGCCAGGCACCCGTACTCTCGAGCTCTTGCTTTCTTTCTTCGTCTCATTTGGCCGATCAAGACCGCCCACTGACGCTTTTTTTCTTTCTCAATATAGAAAAAGTCCTCATCCTCACAGTAGACGGCCGCACACTCCTCGGCACCCTTCTTTCCACAGATCAGCTCACGAACATCGTCCTCACCAATACCGTGGAGCGCATCATTCGAACTCCAGATGACGATGAGCCCTCAGCGCAAGTCGAGCATGGTCTATACCTCATCCGAGGTGACAATGTGGTGATCTGTGGGGAGGTCGATGAGAAGATCGACTCGGATATCGATTGGACCAAGGTCAAGGGACAGGTCATTCGGGACACGAAAAATGTATAAGCGATCCTCGGCAGTTATCTAGTGCATAGGGCAAGTGGACTTGAAAAAAAGTGCACACCCGGGCGTTGGTGGTTTACGGCAATTCTTTCATCTCTTCTAATTCTTTTTTTGGGAGGTTTTTCATCTCTGGAAAGGCTGCAAGAGGTCCTGCATGGACGTTTATTCTGTTTCGACTCTTATCTGCACATACCGTAAGCAATCCAGAGATGCGTTCGTTCTTTTGTGCGCTTGTCCCTGCTCGCTAGCTGGTTTTTGAGGTGATAGACCGGAAGGCAACAGGGTGTATGGGGATTCGAGAACATCGCGTCAAACCCTACGAGTACCGTTCAATTCCATGCTAGTACCAAGCCTTGTACCGACTTAGATCCTTGAGACACCATGTTTCTAGCGAAAAGGGGAAGAGACTAGGCCTTTCCGAATGCCTCTGCTTCGTCGTACCTTTCCTCTTCACGGCGACAGAAAATACACTCACAGGGCGTCGACGGAAGTAGGATCTAGTTGCTTAAGAGGTTTAATAAGACGGGCCAACCACTGGAGGTAGGTAAGTATAATGCAGAGTACGAAAGCGCAGTAGACGCTACGATTATTACTTAAAGCCAGCTTAGGAATGTTGTATCACGTAGATGATATCCGAGCCTTACCAAGATCTTTCGCACGCTCCGGTGCCATTCTATAGATCTTCATGAACGCTTGGTACTCGTACGGCCCTTCGTCAAACCATTGGTAGGTCATCCTGGCGTCCGAGAGGAGATCATCACCACAGACTTTCTGGTTGGGCAACTCGACACCAGCACAACACCTTCTTAGGTCCCCTTCGTGGTTCGAAGGAAATCTGGTCTCGCGACTCCGCGAGACCTCTCGCTAATACATTGATATCATGGATATATATCGGAATGATACGCTTAAGAGTCTCTGTAGTTCTCTGCCCGATGTCTCTTCAATTATAAAGTATCTATATCATATCGAAACCGGCTTCTATTGCTGTAACGTCAGTATTTGCGTGCTTGTAAAGTATCATAGCGTCTCGCCTCGTTTTGCCGAGCTGCCTGGACAAAATCACCTTTCGGCTTTGACCATACTATCGTAAAAGACGAGAACGTGAGGGTCTAGTAGATTTCTTCCATAAGCCGACTCATCAGTAAAATTAAAAACAAACACGAGATCAGACACGCGGCGATGAAATTGAAAAGGCTTCGACGTTGTCGTAACTCACCCCTATCATCCCATGGCTGCTGGGCACAACCGAACCCTCGGGGCCGACACCACGTTGGGCGTCAGCCTCTTTGGCGGGCGCTCAGGGCTCTCCAGGCACGCTCGGGTAAAGCCAACCACGGACTACGGACCTAATCAGTGACTGCGCCTCTTAGTACGAAGTAGCAGTACTACCAGCTCCAGTGCTATGATTCTGAGCTGTGCTACCCTACCAGCCTCTCAGCTGCAAATTATCCCTCCCTTGATCAGTTGAAAACTGGTCGGCTTATTTGAACAATCTCACTCGGCTTATTGATAAGAATCAAAGTCATGGCCTTGAGAGTCCAGGAGGGCATGCTGGTGTCTGTTTGGGACTTTGCTATGGGCCAATCTGCGTCAAGCGCGGGGTGGCTCGACTTTCCAATTACCAATCACCTCCTTGAGTCCTTGACCAAGTCACTGACATGCTTGGCAATAACCTCATGTTATATGGTGTGTAACCGTTACTGTGTCAGTGTGTCAAGCTCGAGTGGTATAATATCCCACCATGGAATATACCAGTAGTATGCCATATCAGCCACCGACTCAATCGACTGAGAACGGATAAGGTACCAGGTAATACTACATCATGAATGTATGACTCGATCATTGTAGGAGTAGTATACTTCATTGTAACGCTACTGCATGTATCAAGGCTCAATCGTGGAGTGCTACTGTACAAGTGTACATTCCTCGTTCCGCATGCGTTGTCGCTCGGAACCCACTTGACGCGACTTGATAATTACTAGAGAGTCGAGACTGGACAGGTTGGCGTGAGCCCGTCTTACTATATTGTATCGGTGCTGTCTTCTTGAACTGGTACTTGTGAATACATACGTTAGGATTGCTCATTACTTGCAAGGTATGTTCATGCCATGATATGATGATGCCATATATACTTCCAGTCTGAAGCCCGGTCGGTCGGCTTAGCCCTTAGGATTCAACATTTACAGTATCAAGTGGCCCATACGTACTACAAGTTACCGTGAGTAGTGAAAACATCTTATGCCATGGATGTCTTGCTCACCACCAGCCCAGTTCGGATTGTGTTTCGCTGTCCGAATCCATGGGGCGAGTCTCCTACATACGGCATCGGTTGTCGCCAAGACTGCCAAATCAGGAAGAAACCGGTTACGACCACGATGTATGTTATCCTTGGTAATGATGCCGTGACTCTCGAAATGAAGTTCTTCAAAGTGTAGGTGCTGTGAAATGTAGGTGTCCTAAGTTGGTCTTAAATTTGATAGTACTACTAGAGGACTGTATGAGCTTAGAAGCTATGCGCTTCAAGATCAGCACACGAAACGGGTCTTTCATTTTGTGGTTGATTATGCAAGTCCTTATGTATAATTATACATACTTACTACGACCCGCCTCTATGGATCTATGAGCCGTCGGAGTCTTTCTCCGCAATCCAGCTCCAAAGATACTGTAAGTCTGTGATAAACCATAATCATATGGCATATTATGATATTACAATAATATACTATATGTACATCCAGCGTGGCAGCCTGTGCGCTTCACCTTTCACCTTTATAGCGCCTGGCCTGATATGGTATAAGAATTACCGTACCGGCGTACCCAGCCTTCCTCGAGTCTTTCAGTCATGCCAGAAAGCGGGTTCTGACCCCGCCCCATGACAAATTAACAGGTTCGTGCAAAGTGGGAGTTGTGCAAGAGTGAGGCTTAGGCTTTGTGACTGACCGGTTGATGACCTATTGTTGAATCCTCTGCCCGCATTGACCGGGGTTCTTTGCAATAGTCCATCACTTTCCTTCCAGGGAAAAGTATGGGGTAACTGGGAAAGAGCAGTCAAATTTTCATATGGTTGGTTGTGTAAGGTACCAGGCTTCAGTCAGTGGACTTGTAGACGGCAGAAAAATGACATGAATCATTGGAATGTCCGTAGACCCGACGGGACGCCCAATCAAGCCGACCGCCAAGTCCCCACAACCAACAAGCCCCATCGTTATCGGTGCTGTAAAAGGGTGACAGTGTATCACTGTAACAGGTAACTATCGTATTGAGACCGTAACATACCCAATGCACCGTTTTTGACCCTTTTTTTTTCCTTTTTCACGAATTTGAACCCCGTCAACCCAGGTCAACCCCGTATCATCGCGGCCGCAGTTGGGAAACGTCGTACCTGCCTGGCCCCTGCCCCCCGTTTCATCGTGTGGCTCAGTTCCACCCTCCTCTTTCTCTTAGACTTCATATTACCACCCTCATTTCTTCTTTCCTTACTCTTTCTCCAACCCCTCCCTGCAACTTCTTCTTTCTGCAAATCTGCCTCTCTCTGCAGCCTGACCTTGACTGGTTTCCAACCCCTCCGCTGGTCGCTGGGTCTTCCAATTCTTCATTATCTGCAGATCGACAACTCGAGGACATCCCGCTCTTCGCCCGCTGCCCCTATCCGCAAACCACGTTTCAGCCCTTCATGTGGACTCTTGTATCACTGCGACACACAGACTTTCGATCCCCCGGCTCGACACAATAATTGTCGCCGGCTGGTCTGAGGTCGTGAAACTTGCACGGAGACGTCGTCTCCCTCTCTCGCGACCTATCTATACCCTCCTCCCCAGGCCTGTCGCCCGCCAGCAATCACTAAGCAGCAGATATCCGACAATCGGCTCCCACACAGACCTTCCTCCCCTCCCCCTCTACCCCTCCTGCTCATCCCCCCCCTGTTCGACCATGTGGCTCTTTCGAGGCGTACAATCGGCGGTCTTCTACTATGCGACCTGTACACCATGTGCTATGAGCATTGATCGGCGGAAACGAAAGAAGGATGCCGTTCGAAGTCAGCGCCTGAACGAGAAAGCCGCCGCCACCGATGTCGTGACCGACCAACCCCGACCCTTTCCACAACCAACTGCCTTCAGCACAAATCAGGGATGGGCCGAAGAGATCGCGCTGGGTCCAGGACCCCCCGGTCGTCGGGGCGGATATCGAAACCACACGCGGACTGACAGCTGGAACACAGACAACAGCTCTCCGTCTAAGAAGGACAAAGCTGCCGGTCTCATGCAACCCTTGAACGATCGCTGGAAATCGATGCGTTACCAACGTGAGGATGAGCCACTTTGGGGACAAGAGGTCCGAGGTTCGTCGATCGGCTTCTCTGGTCGAGGTCGCACCGATCAACCGGAGCCGCCCAAATACTATGCCGCCCGGGTTCCCCCAGTCAATGATCTCCACCCGCCCATCGTGAGTGGGCCCCGCAGTCGCGCCGAGACAAGATGGATGCTTCAGCCTCCCCCGAGTGCGAAGGTGATGGCGGGCAAGGCCCGCGTCGATGCGTCCTCTCCGCAGGGTTCCCGGGGTGGTTTCGATGACTGGCCATCCCAGATGATCAAGGGTGGCGTGATCGAGGAAGACGAGGATGAGCACGTCAACAACGAAGTTCAAGACGGTCGCGTGGAGTCCGACGCCCTACAGCAACGGTTGCCTCGCAGGCCGTCTGCATCACACACTCGTCCCAGCTTTGACAGTGATCTTCTCGTCAAGGGGCACCACCTACAAGACTCGCCAACAGACTCCATGTTCTCCATGCCCGACGATGGTTCCTTTAGTGCGTCTTGGAAATATCCAGATACCCCAACGACTCGTCCTACCTCTGAGTTTATCGAGCATAGCCCCAGGGTCGTTCGTCCAACCATCTCAAAGACCCTTTCCACTTTGCCCCGCATCGATGGCAACAAACAGAAAGTGCACCTTTTCCAAGTGCAAATCAGCGATGATCGAGACGAATTTGGCATTGGTCAGCTAGAACATGTTCGTCCTTGGCGGTGGAGCATGGACATATGACCACGTGCTTGAGTCGTTCATCCCACTTGGTCATGTCGATCTCCTCAACATCCTTTCGCATCCGGATTGGCATTGCTATATGCCCTTCAATCCACCTTCTCGCCATGGGCTTCACGCTTTTGACTTGCACTTGCCCGTGGCATTTCCGTCTTCCTTTTTCTTGCATCGTCATTTAGCATTCAGGCGTTCACATCTGGTGAAAAGTACAGCGCCTGCGCGGGACGAACATTTGATTCGACCACCCCCCTGTCCCCGCCCACTATATCCTTCTTCACTTTGGCTGGCTAGAATTCTTCACCGTTGGGCGTAGAGTGCGCCTGGCTGGACCGGTCACTTCCGATATGCCATACACCCAAGTAAGCTCTTTTAGGCTTACACGATAGCAGGACGTACACTTCCCGTCAGCCGTCCTGCTAGCATTTTCAAGATGGCTTTTAGCGTCCGCGCAATCAACCGCCCTCGTCCTGCCCTCCTTGGCGGTCGTCTTTTGCTCACCGAGTATTGTTGCTCCGTATTGTTTGGTCCACATTCTGTTCTGAATCATCATTTTTCAGCGGCTCACATCCTTACCATTGCCTAGTGCCTACTATCCTTTCTCTCCTTTGAATATTTCCTTGATATCTCCCTAGCCCATGCGTTTTGCTTTTACCTTGTACTATAGCCGCCTCCACCACGTCGAGTACTTGTACATACTACATAGCTCGCTAAACACAAAACATCAAAGTCAATGAAAGATACTGTGCCTCTTTCCAGGGTACTTCCATTCCAGCCTGGTTACATGATTCCCCGTAGAACCCGTCCTGGAATCAGCGTCGCTCTATTGGCCCAGCCATGCACCAGACGACTCGAAGACATGTGCTTGATTCGAACAGAACAGCATTCAAGAACTGCTGCATGGAAGCATGACAACCCTATAAGATATCAGCAGGAGACACAACAAAGCCAGAAACACCAGAACACGACCTTTGACCCTTCACAAGCCCAACAGGGTCTTCACTTAGCGCAGAGAAACCCCCCCCCCCCCCCCCCCTCCCCACACGCTCCAGTATCAAGTGTAGTCCATATTCTGGAATCTGCACCACATCAAATTCATGAGTACCAGAGCACGAACAAGCTTCAATCGGCGATCGTACGCCCGGCTAACTCAATTGGTCAGAGTGCCAGACTTTTACATTTCAAAGAGCGATCTGGAGGCTCAGGGTTCGAGTCCCTGGTCGGGCGAGTTTGGTATTTTTTTGTGGTTCCTGTGTTGAGACGCGCTCTTTCGAAGTCTTCGTCTTTGGAGAGCGTGTGGATTTGTGTCTTTGGCGAGCGGTGGTCTAAAGGTTCGTTTGAGGGTGGTACTACCTGGGGTGCTAGGTAGGTGCCGTCTGTAGGTTACACGGCGTGGTCGTCGCGGGGCGGGTGCAGTTAAGAGTTCGTGGGTCAACTTGGTACGAGAGTCGAGCGTGTTTATTCGATCTATGATTACGTCTGCGTCGATGGCCAGCAGAATTCTTGCTTCTTGTGTGCGCTACACGCGTGTCATTAGAATGGGGCTGGATATTCGTAGGGGAGTTGGGATTTGGTCATGATTGTTTGTTGTCTTTCTTTTTGAGCATTACCCGTACTGCGAAACTCATCAGTCCAAGTCATGTGCACGGTGTGTTAACCATGACTTCATGGAGGAATTACCCTCAAATCAGCATTTCGGTAAACGGTTCCGACACAGATTTCGGCCTGCTCGCTAGGCACAAGCCAATGTCTTGTAATGGGGAGAAACAACTCATGCCAATCGTGTAGGAATGTTTAAAAGGACGGGGAAAACATAGACAGAAATGCAGAGGCGGGTTTCGAAAAAGCACCAAAGGGGGATGTGACGAGGACCCTCCAGTGAGAATGGGTTATTGGAAAGCGGTATCATGAGCCTGAAGATAAGTCGTAAGGACTTTTTCTAAAGTTATGACGGCCTGCCACCAAAGGAAATAGATATAGCGAGCGGCTCCCGAATCAAAGCGCCCGAAGGAATGGTCCTTCTGCTGATCTTTCGTTGGCCTGCACTCAAGACGCATCTGATGCCCACGGGCCGTTGAATAAGGATGGCCTCCAGCGAGAATGCGAGGTACCTATAATGTTTCCACTGCACCATGTCTAGTAGACCTTCTTCTTCTCGTCCATGCTCAATTGACCGGGACCCATGTTGACCAGGAGGAGGAGACCACCGCTAAACGAATATAATTAGTATTGGGTGCCTGGTCAGAGGAAGGCGCACCGAAAGGTGTAGACTTACACAATGGAAAGGATCTGGAAGAAGTCGTATTTGGCAAAGTCCTTGTGAGGGTGGTGGGGGTGCAGCTGTTCCAAGAGTCAGCAAGGAAACTCTCTGATAAACAAACTCAACCCTAGGCCAAAGACTTACCGTCCAGAAGTTGTTGACCAGAATGTTGAACACACTCAACAGCACGACAAGGATGATAGCGCTCCACTTGGCCTTGAAGCCAACAATGACCATCACACACGCAACCAGACCGAACAGGCTGACCAGGATGCGCCAGAAGCTCCACGAACCAGAGAAAACAAAGCCGATGAAAAGGAAGATCAGCAAAACACGTCCAGCGAACTGAACATACATCTTGCGGTCCTTTTCATCAAGCTGAGGCAGACCAGCAGGCACAAACTTCTTGCGTACCCAAGAGTCGGACAGAACCATCAACAGACCGCCAACAACACTCAGATTGCGCAGGAAGAAGTTGAGATCGAAGATCAGACCATATCCAAGACCCTGAGTAATGACCACAGCCAGAAGACCAGCAACGGCGTATTCGGTGCGTTTACGGGCAATGACGAGGAACGAACAGACGGACATCGCGATAACGTTGGTAATCAAGAACATGTGCGTGATTCCCCAGGGAACTAGAACGTAGATGGGACTGGTCAGCCGAGTTTGGAACGATGAAAGAACAACACCAATCCCTGCGACAGGAACTCAACCCGCCAACCGATCAATCCGGGACGAGAGAGAAAAGAATGAAAAGAGAGGTTCCAAGTATCAATCACTGGGCATCGAGGGACTCTTACTCTTGCGGAAGTCGCGAAGGTATACAAGCTGATCGCTCCATTGTGTGAGGATTCGAAGCGAGTCTTCAATGAAAGTAACAACGATCAGGAACCGGCCGATCGCAGGGAGATATCTGAGGTCGAAGGAGTTCCAAATTAGTCCACGTCTGAATGTCCCTTGTTATGAGACAGGACACATTTCCAAGCTTATCTCGCATTTGCGCGAGTACTTGAAAGAAGTCAACGACCGATCGTGGTGTAGAGAGCACTCACGGCTTCACAGGGTCTGCCAACGTGTCAAGCCAGTCCTCGATCTTGCTGGTTTGCTCACGAATCGCATCGAGCGGGCTAGGGTCACTGGTGGCATCTGCGCTGCTGGGCCCGCCAAACGGGTTTTGGTGGCCGAGGTTGTAGCCCGCGGTGCCACGAATTTGGGCCATGGCGAATGACTATAGAGTGATTGAGGAGTGATGTAGAGGGTGAATTGGGAAGGGGGAAAAAGCCCGGGGAGAAATCTGAAATAGTCGAAGAGAGCGCAGGGAGGGATGAATCGAGGGCGCAAATACATAGTGGAGACCAGAGCTATACAAAGCACTCCTCTTCAGGCCACGATACCCGAAACTTGGCGCTAACCCCGATTGGGATCGTGTGACGACAACAGGGTCCCAAGCATGGGCGCATTCTATTCTTACGAGACATTCTAATCGTCCCTGCACTCTTCCCGTCCATCAATCCTGCATTCCGGAATTACATAAGACAGTGTGGTTGAAGCATGATATGTAGTAATTTTCACTCTGTCAAAATGCCGACAAGCTTGATTCATTTTAATACATTGAACACGAGAAAGAAAAAAAAATTTGGTCAGAGCAACAGGTCCCAATTTCGGCTTTGCCCCCACGCGCGATCCCGAAGGGGAGAGGGATCGCCCCAGCACGCGATGAGGTACTGAAATGTCAGGGGGCCACTCGCGACTGATGTCAATCACTCTGTGACATAGCGAGAAGATCATCGCTTGGGATGAGGCAGAGGCCAAATCGCTTTCAAAACGCCAGAGCCAAGTGAGTTGGTAATAGATACACAGTCGATTGCTTCCAAAGAAGTAGGAGGCCAGATGTTCAGGTGAACAGGTAATGAGACGCAAGGATTGGATAGTTTAAGCGGCCCAGTCGGAGTCAAGAGGGTGACCTTTTCCGCGGGACTGCAGAATGGCCGGAAGATAAGTGGGCGTCACAGTGACACGGGGCTCAACAGGAACGGGCGCCTCGACGATGGGCTGAGATTCCGAGGCGCTGGCCTCGCTGACACTCTCATCAGCCTTGCCTCCCTTCTTCTTGTTAACTTTCTTGCTAGAGACGGTGGTCCAGTCATCGTCCATGTTCGAGGCACCAAGGATGCGAAGCTGTTCCTCTTCGGAGGGCAGGTTCTGATCCCACTTCTTTGATGACGGAGCGACAACAGGCGGCTCGAAGGTGTCGAGCAGCTGGACTGGATCCACCGCGGGAGTAGTAATGGCAGGAACGGGGGTGCTAGTTCCATTGGCCGCCGGCTTCGCGCCTGAAGTCTGCCATGCGTTGGTGGCAGGGGCCTTTGCGCGGGCAGCCTCCTGGCGCTCATGTTCGCGGGCAGTGTGCAACTGCTTCTCGAGAAGCTTACGGCGCTCAGCCTCGGCCTCCTGGACCTGCTCCTTACGCGCCTCGTTCTTCAAGCGATTCTGGCGCTGCTTCTTTGTCTCGACCTGCTTGAAGGTCTGGGCCTTTTGCTTCTTGGGCTGGGACTCGACGTTACCGGTAACGCGGAGAACAGCAGCACCGGGAGCAGGAGCTTCCAGCATATCGGAGACGTAGCCAGCGACAGGCACGGCGGCATTCACTTCGGGAGAAGCCGCAGGAGAGAGGTCATCATCAGCGTCTGCGCCGGTGGTCGAGGAGGCGTGAGAGCCATTTCCGAGTTGAGTGGCCTTCTTGGCCTTCTTCTTCTGGCTCTTGGAGGCGGGTGCAGCGACAGGGGAGATGCCCTGCTTGATCGCGGCAAGGCGCCGGGCCATCTCCTTGCGGTCCACATCCTCATCCGGCTGGTCATCTTCGGTAGTAGCGGGGGAAACCACAGTCTTGACCTCGGGCTTCTTTTCCGAAGCCGATTCCGCGTTCTTGGGCTTGCGCTTCTGCTTCTTGGGGGCTACCACGACCTCTGCCTTCTCCACAACAGTCTTAACCGCTGTCTTAGGCTTGGGGGCCGAGCCATTGGTGTAGTACCACCCGAGGCCACCCGCCACCACGAGGAGGATGGCCCAGCTAAGGTAAGGGTTCATCGTCATTGAGCTGAATGAGCGCAGTTAGTCTCAATATTCTATTCAGTAGAGCTTGATGTGTGCAGAGAATGAGGCCGCGGGAAAGTAAGTGGAGGAACAAACAATAGTAGGACTGAAGCTCTGTGGCGAATGAAACTTGTGGTGCGCTCGCCTTACGATGCACAAGCGGATTCAGAGCTAGTTGCGAATCGATTGTCTTTACTAGAATAAGCTTGTCGGTTTCAATCCCAACCGAAGCTGATTGCTTGCTTGCTCAGGTAGAAGAGGAGAGTGGGAAGAATGTTCCGGAGGAGCTTCGGTGGAAACTTGTGGAGGAACCGGTCGAACAGTGAAGTTGTCGGAGCCTGAATAAAGTCGATGATAAAGACGCGAGCTGAAAGCTTCTATCTCCAGACGAAGGCTTCGATAAACAACACCTGGCGAATTCCTCGTGGATAAGATGGGGAGTTCGAAAGCTGGTTGTTGATCGGATGATGCCACGCCTCACTTCGGGAAGTTTGGGGGATGGAATGCGCTCGGTCAGAGGAGAGGGAGCCAAAAGACGACGCAGAAGCTGTTCTCAGCGAGTTGATCGCATGAACTGCGAAGCTGCGCAAAGGGCGTCGATTGGGGGGAAGCAGAGTGCAAGAAGGAGGACGTTAGAGGAGCATTGATCGAGGGATAGGAGAAAGATAGGAGGAGCAGAGCAGAGCAACTGAAAAGGACACGCTCGGCCACACCACGGTAATGTATTGCCGGTTTCAATCTGGTCACACGGCGGTATCGAGTCCAGGCCGCTGCGGCCAAGCCAGCCGTGGAAAGCTGGAGGATTGAAGAGTATCGTGACTTTTTCGCTGTGCCACTGCCGAATGTCTCGCGCAATGCTATTACTGTGAGATTGGCAGAAATTACATGATCATTCTACAGCCATTCTGCAAGTTACTTTTTTTCACTGAAAGCTTGTGAGATCAAGTACTGAACGTGATCTAACTAGTAACTGTACTCGGCAATCGGCATGCAGGGCGCGGGCTCAGCGTTGTACAATACGTTGTGTATTTCATATGTCAAGTAAATTACCCGCCCAGACTCTCTGGTGCCCCCTTCGTTGTTTGGAGACGATTGGCGACTCCTTCATCCCTCCACCAACTCTTGACTCGCCGTCGGTCGCACCAATTGGTGGCCACCCTGTATTGTTTGCAAGACTCGACATGCGAGGGCTCAGTCAGTCATGATACATTCATACGTCCAATGTGCATGAGGCTTGCAAGTGACCAAGATGGTGCTCCTGGCGACTCGCGCGAGGCTTCAGGTTCAGACGCGGCTGTGGACTCATGTGGGCTTTGTGGAGAGCTACGCTGAGGAGCTGTGAACAGGCCACGTCTCCTCCACTACTGCTCCCCCACCATCCGCCATTGCTGTTGGGTCATGGCGTGTGAGAAAGGGAGTTTGGTCAGTGCACCACCCAAACATGAAACCTACACGGTCTCCTTTTGACCAGTTGCCAGGGGTGAAAGGACTGCAAACCCAAAGCCATATGGAAGCGGCATTGAATCCATCTACATTCTACAGTACTTACCGGGTCCAGTCACTGAAAGATTGGCCCTGCCTGCTTCTGTCCCCGCATGCTCGAGGCCCACGCCTGCATTAGAGCCGGTCGGGTTCTGGTGTCCTGTCTGAATCGAGGATGGGCCGCTGCGCTCCTGGCAGATATGCAGGCTGCATTGAATGGTGTTGTGCTTCAACCATCTCGTAGCAACTAGCAGCACCGGTGCGAAATCTGGACTGCATAACACCTTTTTCTGCGTCGATCCGGCATTCGGCTGCATGGTCCGGCCCCTTGCAGTCAGCCCGAATTCCTGGCGCCTGCGCCACGAGGCGCGCGGAGAAGCGGCGCCGAAGCTCGGGTGTCCTTCCATTTCCTGAGTACAAGTCTTGAGAATGAGCACAGTCGTATTGCCCATCCGGGAGACATTGAGCCCTACCGTTTGGAACTGGAAAAACTGGAAAGGCGGCCAGGTCACAAGTTCCTAGGAAAGGGGTCTATGCCATGCACTCGCTGGTCCGGTGTGCATGCTTGAAGACCTCTAGTGTAGTCTAGCTTTTTGCGCGAACTCTCGCCGTAAAGTCAGTTATCGGAAACTTTCATAGTACTGTCTAGTGTCTACGGACGCAGCACAGCTTCCAAACCAATATGTAAGTATACCAGGGCGGAGAGCAGCACGCGAGTAGCATATTCATCACTATGTTGAACTTACTACCAGCCTCAATCGGCTAGATGAGGTGACAATGGACTTCGTCGAGGCCACTACACAATAGAAACCCCCTGATAGCCAGCGTATTATTGTCCGTCGCAATATTGAAGACTTCATTTACTTAATCTGACTGGAACGTCATCCAATTCTACTTTACCTACGAGATCGATTCTTCCACGCAACGTCCTGCATCTGCCACTATGACACGGATGGCTGACCCTGCAGAGTGCGCACGACCGATCGCATAACCTGGGTCGATCTCGACAATAAGTATCATTGATCTGTTCAGGTACAGATCAGATGGAGCACAGCGACTGTTCACACTAACGGTTAAAGCGACAAGCTGCGTCACGAGGTGGGCTCACAGGGAGCGGAGATGTTGATGACAGTGATCCGCACCGGTCGTATGTGTGGCTCCGAACTACGTGGGGCCGGTGCCTAAGGAAGCAGCGCCGTTGATAACCATCCGAGCGAGGTTTCTCAGCAACAACAATCTTGTATCTTCTCTTCAACTGCCTCTCGCTTTCCGCATATACAGACGTACTAGAACACAATGGCCCGCACAAAGATCATTCTCGACACTGATCCGGTGAGTCAACAGAAAAGATGAAGACGAGGTCAATAGTACATGCTAACCGTCCCAGGGCATCGATGACATCCTTGCTCTACTACTGGCTCTGTCCGCCAAACCAGAGGAGCTGGAGTTGCTGTTGATCTCGTTGACATTTGGAAACATCGAGGTCAAGAGGTACGTATCACTATGTATGAACTTTGTACAGAATCAGAGATCTAAGTGTGGAATCAGCTGTCTTCGAAATGTGGTCTCTATGTTCCATATTCTCGAGCGAGAAATGCAATGGCGTCGCCAGAATGGCCGTCCTGAGGGATTTGGTGTCCTCCATGCATCGCGTCCGATCGTCGCTGTTGGCGCAGAGGAGCCCCTTGAGGATCAAAAGCTGCTAGCCGACTACTTCCGTATGTCTTGGGTCTCTCTCGTAGCACCGCCGAACAAGTGCAAATCGCGGTTGATTAACGTTTACCCTGCAGATGGAATGGACGGACTCGGTGGCATTCACACGACAGTATGTCGTCCTCAAACTGGTTTTGTAGTCTCGAGATTCTTCATGTCGTGACTGACTCGCGTATAGCACCCGCATCTCACTCCAAGCCAAGCGTGGGAACATCTTTTCGACCCCTCGCAGGATCCCGAGGGCATTGAAGCTGTTAAGACTGGGGCAGACCATGAGGATCGTCGGTTCATACCATCAAAGCTTCCCGCGCATAAAGAGATTCTTCGCGCATTGCGCGAGAATGAGCCGGACACCATCACTCTTGTCGCCGTGGGTCCGTTAACCAACTTGGCGTTGGCAGCCGCCGAGGACCCGGAGACTTTCCTTCGTGTGAAGGAGGTTGTGGTCATGGGTGGTGCTGTTAACGTGCCTGGAAATGTGAGTTGAATCTCGACGGCTTGAACCCCCCTGAATGCCGGACTAATGTAGATGCAGGTGACCCCCATGGGCGAATTCAACGCCTACGCTGATGCGTTTGCCGCGGCGCGAGTCTTTGCTCTCACATCACCCAACCCCAACTCGACACTGCCGCCTTCAAAGACATCGCTGCTTCCGCCATATCCCGCCAGTCTCAGCCGCCAACTGACTCTGCGCTTATTCCCCTTGGATATTACCCTGCGACACAATCTTTCCCGCGGCGAGTTCGGTGCCGCTGTACTTCCGCTTGTCGAGGCTGGTTCCCCGCTTGCGGAATGGGTCTCTGCCTTTATGGGACACACGTTCCGGACTCTGGAGAAACTGCACCCGGGCCATGTCGGGGACGATGCCTCGCTGAGCATGCATGATCCAGTCTGTGTTTACTATGCTCTCACTTCTGATGACCCACGATGGGGGCCGTCGATCACCTCCCCCGAGGACATTCGCATCGAGACTACTGGACAGTGGACTCGTGGAATGTGTGTGGTTGACCGTCGCAATCGCCATCCCATTGACAGCGATGAGCAAAGCTCTAGTGATCATGGCCATTGGTTGAGCAAGCGCGTTGGTAATCGAATCCTGCGAATGGACGCTTCTCCCACCGAGGCGTCATTTGGCACTGTCATCATCGAGAATTTGTTCAAGTAGGGACACTCAGCTCTCTTGTTACCGATGAGCATAGCATACATTTTGGTGGGATGTTGGTGGCGGATGGACAAAGTAAATAGAATTGAATCGATAGAGGTTTTCCCGTTCACAATATCAGATGGAAAGAGAACCCGTACCGCATCAGAGCAAGTTTTGCCATGGCGCTGATACAGAATGAACCGCTTTTCATCGCGGCACTGGGCTGGACCGGATTCCAGCCTCCCATGCAGTCCTTCATAATTACCCTAATTCCAGTTTATAGTTAGCAACGAGGAAATATAGTGGACGTCATCGCTCTACTTAGGACCCTTATAGGTGCCCTGACGAGAATCAATTACAAATGATATCACCCATTTCAACCAAAGCACGACTTTGGGGCTAGAAGAGAAGAGAAATGAAGACGTTTTTGCTCTTCACCTTCAAGCGAAGTAGCCCAGCGCGCCACATTCTTCGGCATCTGCGCCGAGTATTCAGCGAATGTCCTCAGTCGGTGGAGGACCGAACCACGAGTTGGAATGCGGTCAAGAATGTCGGTGCTCACGGCGTGGCAACTCTACCTGGCCATCTGGACCGAAAACTTTATCAACTGTCCGACAGTGGCAGTAGAGCTTTTGAAATTGAGTTTCACAAAGACGATGTCCAAGAGACGTTGAGATGCCGGTAGAGGTCGAATTCAAGAACGAAAGTTCTAGGTTCCGGGTAAAGACAATGAGAGATTGGAAGTACTGTAGGTGGAGGTTTGCATGTGGTCAAGTTTTGACAGCCTGACAAGAGAACGCGAGCACTGAGATGTGATATGATGCAATAGGGTCATTTAATTTGGGCTCTCGGAAACTTGAACCCTGTTGCAGGGCAGGCTTGGCCATCATGCTGTAGAATGCGAAAGCTCCAAATTGTGCCTGGTCATCTTGGTGGTGAAATTCCTCCCAGCCATGCGGAATGGTGTCGGTTGGATGTCGCCCACCTTTTATAAAGGCGAAGAATACTGCTCGCGATCTTATCAGCTATTCAACCTCCGCTTCTCTCCAAACTCCAGCCGAGTCTAATCAAAACCGTGACACAGATTTTCCAACAACTCAGATCACTCAAACAAAGACTTCTCAATCTCCCACCACAACCTCTCCACCATGCATATCACATTCATCCTCCAACTATCTATTCTAGGCCTCGCAAGCCTCACACTCGCCATGCCACGCGCATCAAAGCCCTCACAAGTCAAACCTCTCTCTTCCCGCATGATAATCGACACACCCGCCAGCATGAACACCCCTACACCCTCCGCCAGCTACAGCAGTATACCGCTGGCCAGCCAGATAGCGACAATGAGCCCCGCGACTCAGGGAAACCTGGTCACGGCGGAATCGGAGCTTCCGAACCATGTCAAGCATGTTAATCACTGCTTGGAGCTGTGCTCGCTCGAGGCGCAGACTTGTAATATTGCGGTACCGAATGACGATCAGTTTTGGTGAGTCAGACATGCCTGTCGACATTGTTTGGGGGTGGAAGTTGAATTCTTTTTGGCTATTTGATGCTAATCAGTGTGTGCACTCTTGTAGTCGGGATACGTATGCAGGGTGCATGGAGCGCTGTCATCCGGATGATTTCCAGTAGACGGGATTCGATGATGGATGGATTGCTGGTTTTTGATATGAGTGCGAGCAACACTTTTGTTTTATAACGTGGATGAAATGATGAGGAATATAACGACATGCCTATCTACTTCAATGATGGATGACAGAGATTCAATTTGGACCAATTTGCCTGAAGAAGGGATCGACAATCAGAGTTGAAAACTGATGAATACCTATCTAAGGCGAGAGAACGCATACTCTGTAGTCTGTAGGTAGTCTGTACTCACTGTACATGTTGTGCAGCTGGACAGATGAAGAGGTACTTCGAGTTACTAATCGTGACCAATGTTATAGTAGTACAGACTACGTAGTCTAAGTAGTACTCATAGTACTCATGGTATATGAAGTCGAGATGTACCTGCACGCGTCTCGAACGCCACAAAAGCACAGACGGACGAATCCAGGCAAAAAAAGGAAAGAGAGAGTGAAAAAAAAAACATCGGAAGAAGCAAATATGAGCTTGATTCTCCCGTTTGAGTTCCACTGAAGCTTTGATACACTGCTCAGGGCTTGAGCGAGAACATCCGCACAGGTAATCGAGATGCACCACTACTGTACGTACTTCCCATGTATGTTGAACAATCATCAGTTCAGTAAAGGTAAGGGATCAATTCAGTTGCTGAGATCACTGATGACACCGTCATCAATGGCGATTGCGGTTGTTGACCCTGTGGGGCTTCAACCCAAATCTCCAACTTTCAGTGCCTGTCCGATGGAGACTGCCGCGTCACTCCTGCTAGATTCGTAGATAGTAGAAACTTAGAAAGGCGTCGGAGGGGAGTCGGCTCGACTTGGAGTGAACTCACGTGGGCCAAAAGAGGACCGAAGAGGACTTTGAGAGCACGACGGAGTTTGCGCCGAGAGTTCACGTGCTGTCCAGGATTGATCCACAGACGCACCTTCTCGTCTTGGCTCAAGGCTGTCACCCTTTCTGCCATCCCACAGACTCAGAGTATCAGATTACACACATCAGACTGGATCAACTGAATGAGTACAGTACTTTCTACCGCATGACGATCATCAAATACCGAGGATTATGAAAGCTGGAAAGGGTGACCATGGCTGGGAAGATCCTCGGTAGAGCATCTCCGCGTGCGTCCAAGGAGAGACTTCCACGGGGCACGGTGGTTAGTGATGTGTCTCGTGTGCCTCCTCCGTCTCCAGACGTAAGGCCTCTTCTCTCTCACCCCCCCAATTCCAGAGTCTCCAAGTATATCCGGTCTCCATGTCGAGTGCTCGTCACATACGACGTTCGCAGGGTCTCGGTTTGGGAGTGCACGTCCCAGATGAGCAAGTGGCTACGAGTCCAACACGCACGTGCTGCGCTACCTCTCTGGATCGGTCAAAGACGCAAAGCTTGAGCCTTCAGGAGGGTACGGCCGATCCTTCGTTGGATACTCGGGGGATACTTCCACCGCACCCACCTCACACCCCTCTCGAAGAGGTACCGTTAAAGTCCCTGGGACTCCGGATAAGCTCAGGGTCCCCACCCGCCTGTCCAGCAAATCCTCTGGCTCCGTTGGCCCACGGGGAATCGTCGCCAATCAACGGGCCCATCTGTGGCTCGTGGGCACACCAGCACGCGACCATCCGCTTTCTATAGGAACGGCCGTCTTCATGCTCAGGCGTTGCGATCCTCGTTGTCCCCCCCCTCCCAGCCCTTATAACCATGTCGACACCTCTTATCGAGGGGAAGTGCCTTGTCCCCTTTGACACGGAATTGCGTCTCTGCCACCAGGTGTCTGAGCTCCAGCAAAGCTTTCGGATTGAGGATTTGACGCTGTGACCGACTTGCACTCTTCTACATTGACTTTGTCTGCACCAAAGGCTCTCTCCGCAATGTCTCGAACTCGTTTTCCCCCGACGCCAGCCATGTCTGGCGAGTTCATCATCAAGGACCAGCCTGCAGACGGGACTGATGCATTTGCCTTACCTCCGGCGGCGATGAGTCCGAGCAAGGGTGATTCGACGAGCCGACGGTCGTCACGATCGGATCCCACCTTTGTCCCTGCATCTCCCATGTCCCCTGAACTCACTGCGCGAGGCCGGTCCACGCAACACGGTCGGACAGGGGCCGGGACCAAGCGACCTCTGGAGGATCTGGATCTCCCTCCTCCTCCCACTCGCACTCGCAAGATCATCCAGATGAAACCCAAGAGCCCGGCGGCATCGAAATCGCCTGCCAAACCCAAGGACAGCACCAAAGTCACCACCCAGTCAGTACCGGAGCCGACCATTGCTACCGCCAATGCTACGGCCACCGTTGCTGGCTCAAAGAAGAAGCAACCGAGTGCCACCAGTGCGGCAGGGCGAAAGATTGCTCGCAAGACGGCGCACAGCTTGATTGAACGCCGTCGACGATCCAAGATGAATGAAGAATTTGGCACCCTCAAGGACATGATCCCGGCGTGCCGTGGTCAAGAGATGCACAAACTGGCGATCCTACAGGTAAGATAACAACACTTCGATCATGACGGTCATGCCCCCCCTTTTTGATCCCTTTTCAATTTCTAATCGTTTCCCTCCAGGCGAGCATCGACTATGTCAACTACCTCGAAAAGTGCATCCAAGATCTCAAGACCACTGGAAATGTGCCTCATGCATCCGCGCCTCCCTCACCCACCTCACCTGAATTCATCGCCGAGACCGGGACGGGCAATGTCTTACACAAAGCACCCCAGCGGCCTCCCTCGTCCACGTATTACTCATCCGCCTCCTCTGTCGCTTCCCCTGAAATCTTGGCCCCCCACTCACATATCTACGACGCCTCGCCATCTTTTTCCCCGCGCACCCGTATGCCATCCATTCAAACCATTCCAGATGTCCCATCTGTCTTGCCCAGCCCAGCCCTGGGGCCAAGTTATGCGCCCATGGACAAAGTCCACGATCTCCAAGGGATCGATCACGAGGCCTCGGCTGCTTTGCTCATGCTCACTCGTGATCGTCGCGGGACCGCAGACTCCATCAATGAAAAGTTCACTGGTAGCACCACGCTGGCGGCAGAAGATCACCGGGGGAGTGTTGACCGGATGAGCATTGATTCGCAAAGACGAAAAGGTATGAGCGTCCGTGACCTTTTGATCTCGTGAATCACACTTTGAAAATGGCGGTTCTCTCTCTCTCTCTCTCTCTCTCTCTCTCTCTTTGTCTTCCTACTCATGACATGCTGGTTTTGCGGGCGTTTGGACGGTTCTAATTAGACGATTGTGATGATTATTGTCGTGGGTGCTCAACGACTGCTTCTGGTTCACTTTGCGAGATATCCTCGAGGTTTATTGAAAATATGGTGAGGTTGAAAGGGAATCTTATAAATACGAGCTTACTCAAAACAAATTGAACATGAGTTGCCGTATCATATCAGGTTTTGTCTGAAGGGATCGAGTTGACTTGGACTGATAAGTACGTAGCTTCAACCTCTCAAGATGGAAGACTCGTGGCTACCATGTAGACAGCTCGCAGGAGGGCGCACCCGACGAAGTAACCCGCAAGATTTTTTTTCCCGGCGAAGGATCAAATCTTCAAGACATTGGCAGAGTCACCTAGACGCAAGATACGTCCCACAGTACCATACCGCACTCAACATGCTTGCTCCGTGTTGATCCATCCAGTTCAACCTTGCACCGAAGATGCCGGTTCCCAGCAACCTCAGATCCATCTCCATCCATCATGGACCTCCCGTCATCGCACTAAATTGTACACCGCCAGCATGACGAACCACGTCGCCGGAGTGGTGCTGTATTTTGTACGTGAGTATGTGTTTTACTTCTTTGGGGAGCGGGTTTGTGAGAGATCAGGTTAGGTTGGAGGTGAGTTGTGGGATTGGGGTTCAGACACGGTTTAATAGGGTTGCGCTTTGGGAAAGAAATGTGAGGTGAAGAAGGAATGCTGACGGGATATCTTCGTGGTCTGGAACGATGGAGGTGGATGCGTCAAATTAGAAGGTTCATATAGCGGACGAGAGGGATCGAATCATCTCCGAGATGTCAGAGAGGTCGGGTCGACCTTCTGTATGTACTCTGGCTGAGATATGGATGTCGGATGATGCGTGGGAGTACAAAGGGTAGTTTGTGCTTGTTTTTCGTGACATTGTTCATGGGCGTCGAGCAGAGTATATCGATCAGCCATACTTGTGAATGTTGAATCATTGAATATCAAGCGGTGATCAGGAGACGGGGACAGAGCAATGGGATGGAAAAATGTGCAGGCAGAATTGCAATTCTCCTTGGCATCTGAACCCCAGCCTGACAGAGAGCTCTTCAAGTTCGACCTCAACAGGCCCGGGCTGGGCAAGCAAGTTGGCTCACCGGCCCTTCTTACTTGGTATGGATTTACTTCCAGCGCGGATGAGGTTGAGCCTGGGCTGCCGGGCGTCCGCGAGGTGTGTTTGATCTGCTAGTTGCTCGACTGGGACGATTCGAACACATCATATCTAGCCCGGATTTCTTTTCTACTTTGTTAGCTATTACATGGGTACTTCTACGGGCCGACGGTTCGATACTGATTCCTATCAGCCACGGATCTAGAAACAATCACCTGTTCCAGACCACCTTCAAGGCTTCCAGTACATTTATATATATAAATGAACAGGATCACTATCCACGATCCATTCCCCCTCCTATCCCTGGCCCCGAGCCATCCTCTTTCTCCCTCCAGCACCTTCAACGACGCATCACCATAAAAATATAACCAATCATCACGAAAAAGCTGATGATCATAAGAGTGCCCGTGACAGCATTCGTCACTTTGGCACAGAGCCGGCGCCGCTCACGCGAGTCCATTTGCCGATCACATTCTGCGCAGTGGAAGTGCGGGCCTTCGCTGGGCTGTTGGGGATCAGGCGTGGGGGTCTCGTCGAGTTCAAAGTTCGGGGACGGGGACAGGGTGCTGCGTTGCGGGTGCGGGTGGTGTTTGTGGGCGGTGCGTTCAATGTCGATGGTGAGGTCGCGCGTGTCTGCGGCCGTGGTTGGGATATGGGAGTACTGCGCGTAGAGGAGCTCGTTAGTATAGTCGTGGATTATGGGGCTGGGTGGATATTGGGGTGGGGTGAGTCGGTGGTGGTGATTGTGGTTGTTAGGAAGAGACGAGTGAATGGATATAGATGAGGGTGTTTGTTCAGACGGAACCTCTATAGATGCACCTACGCCAGTTGATGGGTTAGATGGCGGCTGGGAGTACAACTCCTCGTACGCGGGGACCTCATCGTTGCAGTGGGGAGTGGGAGCGCCCATGATGATTGCAAGGAAAAGCTAGTTCGGCATGTAGAGGATCGCGGCAGCAGGTGTGTAGAGACTGTAGACTGTTTCTGCGAGTACCCAGACAACCAGTAGCAGGATGATTCAACCGAAGGAGAGTGATTAGAAACCCGAACTTCATCTCAAAGAAGAGACAGATGGGCCCCAATGAAGACATCTTAAGTAAGTTGGTCTTTGGCTGATACGAATGGGGGCTGAGGCGGCTGACAGATGCTTTGACGCATCCAAAACATCTGGGACTCGCAGCGACTTGGATTGTCAGGGCTGAATGGAGCCCTCGGGCCTCCGTGGCTTGGAAAGTCATGGCACGCCTCAAGTGGAATTGCTAGATTGGTCGGCAGAAAGCACCGCACTGAGGAGGCGTCTGAGGCGTAGTTTCTACCGAAACTGGAACTAAGCCTTCTCGCCAGCGTGATAAAATGGGTCCGGTTCCGTGAGGCTCTAAGCGACTATGAATATTTACCTCGGTGGCTTGAACGTCATTAGCCGCTCGTGGTTAATCTTCGTGATCTTTAATTTCATCTGCTCCACTGACAGACCGAATAGGAAAAGTCCGCTGTGAAAACGGAATCATCACCCGAGAGTCCCACACGAGTTGGTAAGAAAGAAATCCCTCCTCCTCATGGCCGATAGTGAGCCATCTCTACCCATCCTTCCGGACTACCAGCCCTGCCGAGCACAGTGTGAGGCGTCTCGAAATCTTCCGGCCCCATGTTCGAGATAGAGTTGGCAGATGAAGGTATGTCGCGAGGCGAGTTCGGGAATCCCGGCGCTTTGCCAGACGAGACCGAGATGGTGGTGGTAATGACTGGGCCAGGCGTATTCGTGAATGGATGCCCCGCCGAGGAAGCCCTCGAGCCATGAGGATCGGGAGGACTGCGAGATTGGCCTCGAGACTGAATGAAGCGAGAGGTGAAAGGCCGGATTAGTGGCCAGATAGGGGGGATGGACATGGTGATGAGGACCACCCACTCTTCGATTTCACCCCATTTGAACAAGATACCCACGCCATCTGGACAGGGTCGAGGAGAGAATATGTCAGCACTTGAGCTTGAATCCTGCGGTCAAGTTCACAGGGTTTTACACAAAGTCAAAATGAACTTACATGTAGGATCGTCGCCCAATATCAAGCTCGCAGCCCATGTGCGCACAATCGCTGCGACACCAGCAAAGACCCCACAGCCCATGAGGAAGCTGAGACCCCATTTCAACTTGCGATCGATCTGGAGCGGCGCCAACATGGCGGCGGGAATGATGGCCAGATAAAAGTCCGACAGCGCCGCCACGCTGCCTGCAAAATAAGTGTAGTGGACACTGACTTGAGGGTCACATTGATCTTGGCGTGCAGGATCCCAGAGTGCGCCTGGTGGAGAGCACTGGAACCAAGGTAGCACGATTTGCGGGATGTTGAGGATGATGTTCAAAATGGCGACCGCGATAAGACTGCGGCGAATTCTGGGGTCTGGAACAGAGCAAAGAATAGCGTCAGCAATTGCATGATCGACATGATTCAATGGAAACGTCCAATCAACCTAGTCAAACCCAGGAAGGTTTGCAATCCCCGCGTCTTCTTGGCACGATAGACTTACTGCCTTGCGCATTCATCTCGATCAAGAATGCCACCACAGCGACCTTGCCAGTTGGAATAGCCAGATTGAAGAAAAATATGGTGATCCATGTGAAGAGAAGGTATTTTCGCAGATCCCCATGACTGAGGATGGCTTCGACATGGTTCCCTAGTCCGTGAAGAATAGCGATCACGCTAAATGTCTGCGTGATCGCAGTAAGCAGCTATTGGAGACCGATCAGCATAAGGGACTATTAACTTAGAGTACTGCAGCTGAAGCCATGGCAAAGTGCATCGAAATCTTTTATAAATCAAGAATCACATACCCAGGCGATCAAGGACAGAATCAAGGCTCTTGTACCAAACGTGTTGATCCGCAATCGTACATAGACTCGTAGGATCATAAAGATGGTGGCCACCGATCCCAGTCCGAGGCCCAGTCGAAGATCTTCAGGACCACGACCTCCATAGGCCGGGTAAGTATCACGCAGGCCCATGGAGAGTTGGAGATATGTGGAAGAGGAAGAATGAATACACGACTCGTCCGCGGACAGGGGAGAGAGTCTGGAAGATCTGGGTGACTTTCTCTTCCATCATTGCGTCGAGTGAAGAGACGCCGGACTTTTTTCCTCACTGTCTCCAACAGTGGTGGTTGCTCGTCCAGTCACAATCACAACCACATCATCAACACAGTCGCCACATTGGAGACCGCCGGCGTTGAAGCTGGAAATCTGAGATCAGATCCACTCGATCCAACGGCTTGACGTTTCACATGACGAGGTCATTGGCGGGTGCTTTCGAGATCGATTTGAAAGATCCGTTCTTCGTTCCCTGTCTTCCTGTTCCACTGGCGAAGCAAGTGGGCCCGTGGATCTCATTCCGGCAGGTCCCGTGCCGTGGCTGTTGTAACAATGTAGGGTTACCCCCATGTCCGATTGAAGATCGGGCCGTGATGAAAGTGATGATTGCAGATTGATTTTCAGGGCATCTTGATGGCCAGTCGAGCCATCTTCGGTAGGCGGATCAATCATGATTTGTTTGCGCCATTGGTGTATATGATAGACCCAGAGACGGGCGTGGCTCGGTTGAGCTTTTTCCTCTGACTCTTGGTCAAATCAGTTCTTGAATCACTTGACCACAACGGGATATAATAATGGACTGGGATGAACTGCATCAGGATGCAATGCGTCATGGGAATATGATGGTCAGGTGATCTCCCTCCAGGACTGGCTTGATGCCGGATCACCTGACAGCCATAGTAGCGAACCTGCCAGTTGAACCTGGTGAGGTTCTGGTGTTTTGGCGTTCGCGTCATCAGCAAAGGTGCTATACGATCGGTCAATACAGAATCGGTCAATACAGAATCGGACTTCTTGTTCTATAGCTGCTCAAGAATACATAGATCTTGTTTGATTATTTCTCGAGTCCAGGATTAGATTATAAAGTATATAGCTTGTAAGCAACTTTTGATCAGAGGCTTGAACGCGACAATGAGTGTGTGCCGCTGAATCAACACATAACACGGGAAACGACCGATGCAATTAAAATCCCTTCCGATTTTTACACCGCCACTCTTTCGACCTCGAGCTCTTCCGGCGATTGTGTACCACTGAGCCGCTTCTTCTCATCCTCTTCCAGCAACCGCTGACAGAACGGGCTCTTCCTGCGGATCGAGGGACCGTAATAGAGCAGTGCAAATGGAATCGGTATGCAGGCAATACTCACAAACCCCAATAACGAGGTCGCCCAGGCAACCCCCAGTTTGGCATACAGCGGATCGGCAGCAAGGGGGAAGAGAGCACCCGCAATACTGCGCAGAATGACGGATGAGGCTAGCGCACTGGCGGAGTAGATCTTATAAGCATCAGTGACATAGGTCAGCAGCGAGATGAAGATTGTCTGGTAGCTGAGTCCGAAGATGAGCCCGGACAGGACCGGGGCGATCCAGGGAATGTTTTGTTTGGCTGACCAGGCGAGCCAGAACATGCTGATGGCGAGGAGGGGCCCTGCGGCGCAGGAGAGCGGGAGTCGTTGGATTTCAGGTCCTGACGCCCAGCGCTTGCGCATCTTCTGCGCCTTTTGGAAGATTGTGTCGTAGTAGAGGGTGAAGAGGCAGGAGGATGCGGCTCCGATGCCCACTGGAGTTTGATGGTTAGTTTAAGAACGGATCACTTTCAAGAGAGTGAGAGAAAGAGAGTGAGAGACAGAGAGTGAGAGAGAGAGAGAGAGAGAGAGAGAGAGAGAGAGAGAGAGAGAGAGAGAGAGAGAGAGAGAGAGAGAGAGAGAGAGAGAGAGAGAGAGAGAGAGAGAGAGAGAGAGAGGTTATTGCTCATTACTTACTGGGCAGATATGTGAGAGAAGTCATTGCAACGTCAAAGCCATAGGTTCCTGGAATATTGTCAGTTGAGTGAGTTGCAGTGGGGAGCAGAAAGACGGAGGAGAATGTGATATACCCTTAAAGATGATCGGATACGCTTGAAAGTAGAAAAACACCATACTCCACGCCAAAGAGACATAGATTGCCGAGAAGAGAATGATGGGCTCAAAGAATAGCATCGACAGAGGTCGGGTCAGTGTTTGAGTGAAAGTGAAGCCCACCGTGGAGTCCAGTTCTTGCGGGCTGAAGTACCGCTTCGAGTTGGACTCTTTGCATAGTCTTCTTGCCTGCTTCTTCAGGAGAACAGGTGAGAATGTTTCTGATAGATATAAGTTTCAGTACGTGTGTCCCTTCGAAAATGATCAGTCGTCAACGTGTCGAGCTTGCCCTACCTGAGAGAAACAAAAGGGCAGTCCACGTCACACCGCAAATGATCAGATCGATGCGGAATGTCCATCTCCAACCATAGCGAACCGTACACCCCGAAATAATCGGTCCGATGATGGGTCCAAAGCTAGATGCCTATCTCTGTCGTCAGCATTCTCGAAGCGTAAAAGACTCGCTCTCAAGCGGCGCCAAAGGAATCATGTTAGGGTATTACTCACCGACATATACAGCGCCATTGCCCGTCCACGGCTTTTGATATTCGAAAACATGTCTGCATAGACACCCCCGGACACTGTCTGGGGAGCCGCAGCCATAGTTCCACAGATGAGACGAAAGATCAACAGGGCAATCCAGTTTGGAGCCAGGGCACAGCCCAGGGTGCCGAGGACAAAGATGCTGAATGTCCAGACTAGGATCAATCTGCGTCCAACAGTTTCACTTAAAGGACTCCAGACGAGAGGGCCCACACAATATCCGATCAGAAAGATCGCAGTTGGCAGGACTTTCTGGCCATTTCCTGACTGTCCAAATTCCTGCATGATCGTGGGGATCGCATTGCTGGGTAAGGAGGCTGAGATTCCGCTGTTGAGTACAACCACCAGTCCTACGACTGCATTGTATATCTTTTTTCTCTGCAAGACACAAGTAATTGCGATTTAGATTGATATTTTTTTTTTTTCATTTTCATATCCCGGAGAACAGTTCTGGAAAGGTTTCGATAAAGCTTACTAGTGTCCAATTAGTAGGATCGGCGGCAGAGTCTTTGGAGAATTCCACCAGCGTTTGGTTTGTGTTCAGTTCAATAAGTGTATAGTCTGGGTCATCTTGAAGGATTGAGACAGATTTGCTTTCTCGCGAGGCAATGTGTCTTTCAGTGACAAGTACTTTTCGATCTAGAACAACAAGGTATGTCAATAGCCATATCCAAGCTTGCTTTCTCGTTCGGAAAAGGCGCAGACATACCAGTGAATTGGAGGCCAAACATTGTGCCAAAAGGAGAAAAGAAAATGAAACGATTGGCGAAGTCAGAGATGTAAACACGAATCTTTGGTGACCATCTACAGATGAATAATGCAAACACAATGCTGGAACATGAGCCACCTTTCCACGTCCTGACTCTTCTGCTCTTGTTTTATTCTCGCAATTCTAGTCCGGAAAAAAAAAGCCTCTTCACAGCAGGATAATACCTCACTCTATATACGTCTTCGTCTTCAATCCCACCAAAAAACTCTACCATACAAAGTGGGCCCCATCTTGCAAGAATCAATTGACTCACAATGTCAACATGCGCGCATTCGCACAGTCTCTTTCGCAGGTATGATGTTCGCGCCCTCCCCCACACCAATAAGAGTCCGCCGCAGAGAGCGCCGGCACCCGGGGCCGGGTCGGCACCGGCGCTTAACCAGCGGGGGGTTGCCGGGTGCGGGTCTGGACCCGCTGCCCTGACGGAAGCGGCCGACGTCTAGACTTTTGGGGTCGCCGGAGTACTTTCATCATCCGTTCAACTACTGACTGTGTGCATATTTCCTGAACGAGAATCTGCCAAAACCCTGCTGAGTTTGGCGAGAACGATGAGACTCGTGCAGATTCGGATCCATTTCCTCTTTCGGCTGCCCAATATGACCACTGTCGTGCCCAAGATTTGAACATGTGTGGTTCAGATCACCTGCTAAAATGCTGGAAACGCTGGCACGGATGGGACATAACAAGCTCGCAAGAGGGTAGAGCCATGTAGGATTATGCAGCAAGTTTTAATTGCTGTTGACAAAGATCTATCCTCTATTCGCACCATCATCGCAGCGCCTTTCCGTCATGGTATTGAAGGCATCATTGGCAAAAAGTCAAAAATGTCGTTTTGGCCTTCTTCAAACAGGCCGAATGATTCCGCGATGGAATTCGACACGGTCCAGCTGGGAGCTTCCATCGTATCGGGAAGCCGGGGAAAGACCGGTCTCGACGCCGTAGCTGCATCACTCCCTGCAACTCCATTCACGTTGGAGTAGCGATCAGCTCCCATACTCAGATTGACTCTCTGTTGTGAATCCTCGGGTGAGCCTGTGGGTGGATCAACATGTGTGGGGTTCTCTGCATCTCGGTACGAAGAGACTGCATCATGGTCGGAGCCAGAGGGGGCATGCAACTCTGTGCTGTGATTGCTTTGCCGATCACTGCTGTGGGACCGTTGGCTAGCGATCAGAGCTCGTGCATAATTTACGAATATCGACACGGTGCGGTGGATGTCGGGATACGGAGGCTGTTTCAGAAAGTCGCATATCCTTTCTGCTCTCTCAAGAAGAACATTCTGGTCAATAAGATCGGGCCGCCAACGAGCGATACGAAGTGCGAACGTCGCTGACCGTTCTCGTCAGTAAGTTTGTTGCGTCAATACTGCAGGCGCATCCTACGATGATCAACTTACTGACAAAGGCAATGGTCAAAGCCGGGTATGTTGGGGCCCATGGGAGCTGACAGCGGTAAGCTGGTTCGCCAATCAAAAATGCCATCTGGGCCATGATGGTCGTGACAAGTGATTGCCACAGGCTCATCACATTTTGGTCAATTTCCTTGGACTCAAAGCTTGATGTGCCTGGCTGCAACTTTTGAATCCGTGCGAGGGATGCGCAAAAGACAAAGATCCTTGCATACAACAACATCAGCTTCAAGCTGCTCCTTTGGAAAGCACCGGCATGAAACCCGTTGTCTTTGGAGAGTCTTTGGTGTCAGTCAAAATGACTCCCGAAAACCGTTACAGGAAGTCAAACATACTGCTATGAATCTCATCCCACGTGGTCCACCAATTCTCTAGGCTCGTCATTATAGCAGGCAAGTCTGACGATAAGATGTCTCGTACGGAGCTTGCACTGTCAATGACGCTGCGTGAGCGGCCTTTGATCTAGTCAGTCAAGGATGACCAGGATGGGCGGGACCGAGCACGTACCACGGAGCTGATGAAGTTCGATGATGCAAATAGTTCGCATGTCGCACGGCAGAGCTAACGGATGGTCGAGCAGCCCCCGGAGCTTCGCAACATCAACTTCAGCAATGCGTGATTTGCGGCCCGTCCCAGACGCCACGTCTAGTTCCAAAGTGAAACTAATGAGCCAAGTTCTTGTCTCCCAGATCAGTTGCCGCTCTGCCATGGTTGCGGTCAGGGAGCTACGAGGAAGTACGTCTTGACTGAGAAGCGTATCCAAAGACTTTTCAAGGCCCGAATCCAGGGCAGTCCGTAGAATCAGAGCGGTGGAGAACCACGTCTTTTCGGAATACGCAGCAAGAAGAATCATGGCTTGCACAGTCTCGAGTTTGGTGGGTCGTTCGAAAAAGCTGTCTTCAGCCAGTCGTTGCGATTCGTCCTGAAGAACACGCTGCATGTGCGTATCCCCGCGAAGGTCCATCACGGCTCGGCTTGCGAGGTAAATGATGACCGTAAAGCAGAACAATGAACGTGATCTGATGGAGTCGAAGGTATCACGGATGGGGTCAAAGAGTGGCAAGTAATTCTTACTACCTCCAACGAATCTATCGTACCATAATTCGTCAACTTTGTCAATAGTTATGGTATCACTTGTTATTCATTTTCAAAGATTTTGCTTACCTCTCATACATCACTCGTGCATTCTCTTCACTTACGATACCTCGGGCAATGATGTCGCCTCGCCCATCGCCTTTGACCGACTTGTCTATGAAGATCTAGCCAGGGTGATTGCAATTAATGAGTAATGCCTATATGAAGTGTATTCCACTCAATGGCGTTCGCGGTGTCACTTCGATGCTCACATGGTTACTATCAAGAAGATTCACAGACATGGAATGAACCGCAGAGACCGGTGCGATCATATCATTGGGACTCAAGTGCTGCGAGTCAGGCCCATGGCGCTCAGCCGTCTGAGATCTGTGCATATCTCTGAACGCGGAACTGTCAGGTAACGAATCAATCGAAGCGTCGAAAGAGTCATCTCGTCCAGGTATCGACGAGTAATCCTGCTCCCTTGCAACAGGAGTCTGAAGTCCACTACGTGGATCAAGAGGGGACGTCACAACTGAGCCGCTATAAAAATCATGTCCGCACGATGAGCGTTTGCATTTCTTCACTCAGTAGTAACATTGGAGAAATGATGCGAACTTCACCAGTACGTACCGCGCAGGGGTTGTTGTTCTTCTGCGTCGCTCACTGCGTCGTCTGCCATCCTCAACGGGGTCAAGGATACAGTCGCGACCTGCCGAGCGACATCGAAAACATGGTACTTGATTCGTTGCATCGCATCGCATCTTGACCCTTCGGCACCATCGACATGCTTTGAAATAGCGGATCGGAATATTCTCCGCTCGGAAAATCATCTCTGAACCACGAACGCTCATGGCTGCGATGACTCCAGTACCTTGATCACTGACTATGTACAAACTGTCCAGGTGGAACCTTGTGCAACGCGACAGTTCAAACGCGTGGCCTTATTGTAATTTCACGATCATAACAGCTATTGTCTGGAATATTAAGTGATCGGAACGAAAAGAGATGGATTCTTCTAAGGATGTGAGCTACTCGAGTGGCTATAGCTACTCGATAGGGTCACGTGTACGTTTGACAGTGTATCACGTGTATGGGACACGGTCCCGCGTCATGGAACGTGGGTGAGTGCAGCAGATCAATCGGGTAATGCTTCTCCGGTCACGTGCTTCCCGTCCCGTCAATAGACGGCCGGCATTAAGTAACTTGGGTAGTTAGTAACTCACTTAAGTTAACTACTGATCTCACCAGACAGGTCGAGTCATAGAGGAACCAAACCAAAACCACTAGCACGCACGTCCAGAGATCTCCCAGCACGACCGTACAACACCTATCCGTTCGTTGTCAAGGGGCGTAAGTGAAGATCAAAAAGAGTGTGTCATTGCAATGTGCCAAAGAATCAGACTGTAAAGACCGTCCTGAATCCTCGATTCCCTAAGGTGTTGGTGGGTCGCAGTACTAAGATTACGTAGGCCACAGATATTAGTAAGTACTAACTTAAAGTACCTACTACCTAGTCACCCTGACGATTAGCCCAGTGTCTGGATCGAAAGAGAAGGTACGTGCACTCAGTTGAGTAGGCTAGAGTGCCTGTTAGTTTGAATGACGGGTGCTTGTCAAAAATGTGTTGATGTGTTGCAACGCATAGAAGAAGGCTACCTGGAGGCTAGACAGAAAACATCCGGTCTCCTTACTCCTTGGGTACCAGATACTGGCGAGCGGCCATATTTCAAAAATAAAAGAGTATAAACATTCATGTACAGCTCATGATATATTTGTCGACAAAAAAGGTATCAAATCTACAATCACGTCTCCAGAGACTGATGCAAGACACTCGTCCGATAAGTCTCATTCCGTTGAACGAGTTCGTCATGTGTGCCGTGCGCAACACATCGTCCTTCCTCAATGAAGAAAATACAATCCGCCCGATGGATAGTATTGAGTCGATGGGCGATTGCAACGATCGTTGTGCGACCGGCCAATGTATTGAGTGCATCCTGAATCTTCTTCTCCGACTCGACGTCAAGTGCACTGGTCGACTCGTCCAAAAGCAACATTCGAGGTCGCCGAACCAAGGCTCGTGCAATTGACAAGCGCTGTCGTTGGCCACCCGAGAATTGTTTTCCATCATGTGTACAATATGTCTCGTACCCGTCTGGAAGAGCCTCGATGACCTCGTGTATGTTAGCCATTCGGCATGCCTCTTCAATCTCTTGTTGTGAGGGATGATGGCCTGGTCGTGCACCAAGACCTATATTGAAAGCAATCGTTCCTTCAAACAGCACGTTCTCTTGAGGGACGAGCGCAATATTGTCCCGGAACTGTGTGCCGATCTGGCGGGTGATATTGACACCATCGATAATGACCGAGCCAGATTCTGGACGATAAAATCGTTCCAGCATAGCGAAGGTGGTGGACTTTCCGGAACCACTCGGGCCGACCAGAGCATAGAATTTGCCCGGTTGAATATTCAGGCTGAGTCCCCGTAGGACCGGTCGTCCAGGGCGGGAAGGATATTCAAAATAAACGTTTTGCAATTCTGCTCCAATTCCATTCATCGGCAGGGGTGTTCCTGACGTCAAAGAATCGACAAAGCCAGACTGACCCTCTTCAACGTCAACAGTCTTCTCGTGGAGGTGGCTGGAATGATCCTTGGAGCTAGAGGAGGTGTCGAGATTCAGTTCATCATCGGCGGAATGTGTTGTCAAGAGCTCTGCAATATTCGACGCTGCCAGATTTGCCTTGGAAATATCGGGTGCCAGAGCAAACATCTGACCACAAGACTGCGAGCTGAACAGGAGCGCCGGCAGCACGATGAAAAACTGAGTTTGCGAGTAAAGACCTTCGACAATCTGCTTCGTCCCCCACCAGTATGCCAAGGCGTAGACTAGATTGCTGATACTGAAAGCCAAAGCGAGGAAGAAGTTGCCAAAAGCGATCGACCACAGGGTTTCTTTGTAAGGCGCCTCCAGAGCACGTTCGTAGAGCGTGCAGCACTGCTTTTCTAGTGAAAACGCAGAGACAGTTCGAATACTATCGACTGCTTCTACGGTCAAGGCAGTTGCTTGTGTGAAGGCCTTTTCATGGCGTTCTGCGAACTTCGCTTGGGTTCGAAGCTTCATCATTCCTGAAATGAGCAACACAGGAATCGTAGGGAGCAGAACAATGGCTATCTTCCAGGCAATGGCGAAGGATACAACGAGCCCCGCAACCAAGTTCACTGCTGTAGCTAGAAGCAGGCCAATCGTAGTACCCGTAATGCTACTCAAAGCGGTGGCATCGCCAGTGATGTATGTGATGAGTGTTGCAGGAGTCCTGTCGTCCATACCGTGCCACTGAACGGTCTGACTTAGAAGCGACTTCAACGACGAAACGCGAATGCGATAGAGAATTTTGTCAGCTGCCCATCCAAATGCACAGCCGCCAATCACGTTTGCAAAAAACTCCACCAGTGCCATGATGAAAAAGAGGAGCCCATAGAGGTGACCGCCATGTCTGATTCCATCTGCACCTACACATGGGTTCAAAGTGCCAATAGTATGGCCAAATATGACCGCTTCCGCGGTATAGCTCCCACCGATCACAACGGACATAGCAAGTCCAAGCAGTACGTATCCCAAATTTGGGCGAAGTAAGCCAATGGTGAGTCGGGTCGTGAACCGTTTGTTGCGGGTCTTGTTGCCAGATTTTTTCACATTGTTGGAAGAAATAATTCCTCGTTCCTGCTTCGGAGTGTCTTCACTCAAAGTCGATGCAGACGACGGGGAGCTGCCGTCTTTGATTTGTTGAATAACGTTCACGCCAGTCAATTTCTCCTCAACTTCAGTCAGACTTTCCCGATCGTCCATCATGCGTCCATGGGCTTCGAGAATGCTCTCTTCTGGTGAGATAATTGTTGGGCTCAACTTGTGGAGATTCTGGAGTCGAACCATCTCAGAGTAAGGACCGCCCCGGCTAAGAAGTTCGGAATGGCTGCCCTCTTCGATCACTGTGCCTTTGCTCATGAAAACGATCTTGTCGGCATCTTTGGCTGTCGCTAAACGATGCGCAATAGACACCATGGTGATACGCCCAGCAAGTTTAGCGAGCGCATCTTGAATCAACTTCTCACTCGTCGAATCCAAGGCGGCAGTGGCCTCGTCCAGAATAAGCAGGGCTGGTTCGCGTACAAGAGCCCGGGCGAGTGCAATGCGTTGCTTTTGACCACCGCTCATCTGACTTCCAGAGGAGCCAACCTGGGTTGCGAGTCCATACGGGAGAGCATCGATAAAGTTCAGGGCATTGGCGTCCGCAGCCGCTTGTCGGACCTGTGCGACGAGAGAGGCAATTTCGGGATCAGCTTTCTCTAGCGCTTCCGTTTCGGAAATGCCTTGGCGTATATCGTTGACTATGTTTTCCAAAGATGAGTTGAGGATGAACGGTGACCATTGTCGGTGCTTCTCATTTCCAGATGTCAAAAGACCATACGCAATGTTCTCCAAAATGCTTCGGTTGAGCAGAGACGGCTCCTGTTGAACGTATCCAATGCTCCCACGAAGATATTGAACATTCAATCTTGGGAAGACCTGATTGGAGATGGTGATTTCACCCGCATCAGGATCAAAAAATCGTTCAAGAAGAGCAACGACAGTAGATTTACCTCCTCCAGATGGCCCCACAATGGCGGTGTGTTTGCGAGGCGGAATCGTCAAATTGACACCCTGCAAGACGGGGGCGTCAGGACGAGATGGATATTTGAAATGCACGTCATGAAAGATGATGTCTTCGGTGCCAAAGAGCGCGAATCGGTCTCCGCCGTCAGCTGTTCCATCAATCTTGGAGTCACGGTTGATGACCGCCATCAGCTTCTCGGACGCCCCCGCTGCCGCCGCAAAGACGTGCAAAAATGGAGCAACCTGACTGAGAATGAAGGAGGCGTCAATCAGGACGAAGATCACCGTGTACACAGCACCAACAGAGGTCCCCTTGCCGCCATTTTTAACGGCATCAGCAATCAACCGTGAGCCTTCCCAGAATGACAAGGCATTCGCGGAATACGCGATGAAGTATAAAAGTCCAAGCTGAGCAGCGTGGGTGGCGGCCTTTTTGAATGCCGGAGATTTTGACTGTGAGAGGTATTTTGCGTAAAGCATTTCCAGGCGTTCATTTGAGCTGAAGGCGTGCACTAGAGGTAGATGCGACAAGCTTGAAGAAGCAAGCGATGTCGCTGCACCCACATGCTCATCAATTTGGCTGGCATACTTTTTAATGTAGTGCCCGCCGACAAGTGACATGAAGAAAAAGCAGGGCACAACAGATACAAGCATCCCGGCAATCTGCGGCACTTTTATAAAGGCCACGATGTATGCGGTCACGAAGTAGGACAGGGTGCTGATGACAAGTCCGACTTTCTCAGAAGTCCCGGCTTGCACGACTTGGATATCTCCAACCAGTCTCGCAGCCACATCACCGGCTCGCATGGCCTCGATAAAGCCAGTCTCTTGCTTGATAATGCTTTCAAAGTATCGCCTCCGATACCGCCGAGCGATTCGTTCACTGGTATAACTCCAGCATCCGCAGTGGATGTAGATGAAGCAAAAATTGGCGATTGTGATATAGATGACATAAAGCACTTTTTGCCTCACGCTTCCTGAAACGTCGGGATTTGCTTGTGAAGAAGCGGAACAAGTGGCTGTGTTGAGATCATTGATCAAATCACCAAACACTATCCCAAGAAGGGGAAATGGAAGGCCAGCCGCAATCGAGAAAAATACGCCGCAGATGATAAGTAGGACGTCGGTTTTGGTGTAGTCGAGGGAGAAGAGAAGACGAATGTAGGCAAAGGGCTTTCCGCCAGCGGAGTAGCTGGTTTTGAATCGCGTGATCTAGGCGTTGCCGATTTTAACATTGCGAACTGTATGATCGTTCTGGTTCCTCGCACAAATTTACGTACCATGGAGGATGACTTCCCACCTTCGTCTTCATTTCTGTTCGTGACATCTACCATGTTGGGTCACAGTCTAGCCAAGTGGCATGAGAACCCCAGAGAAAGCGACTGGCGTGACCACACTGACCTCGCGACAAGTATCGAAGGGGAATGCCGACCTGAGGCTCAACAGGAGATCAGAGCTATGGGCTGAAGAGCAGCCACTTCAGTCTGGACCATGCAATTCACTCAAAACGTGGTCAAGATGCTCATGTTGCGGTGCACCAATATCGCGTGTTTTGAGTTCACGAAAAGTAAGGAGGGAAGTTTCCAAACACAATGGAAGTCGAGAGACCCGAGATTGAGTGATTTACGTCGGCCTCTCTCGGCAATTCGGAAGACCCATTGATAGTCATCCCAGTCCTCGACTCCGACCACGGGCACAGAGATTGACGACATTATGGACGGGGCAGCCTCAAATCCACCGTGGGGCCGGGGAGGGGGGGGGGGGAACCTCGAGCTCTCTGCAACTGCGGATCGTGGCATTTTGGTCCTCGAGACACTTCGGAACTGTGATAACCGAGTGGGCAGCCAATGGTGCAGACCAGCACGGCGTATGACAATCGCTCATGACTGCTGACTGCAGGGTTTCCAATGAGACCCGTTCAATAGTCTTTCGCTTCAAAGGCATACCATTGTGTAGAGCGTGAAGAAACCACAGAAAAGCAAAAAAGGCGGATACTATGAGACCAGCTCCACCGAAGATCAATGCCTGACCGTGCTTCGCCACTGCCACTCGTCCTTTCAGCTAATTTAGTCCATGGTACGGCACCACTAGTGTCACTTTTCCAGGCATTATGAATAGCCTCATGATGCCCATCGATTCCACTGACTGACGTTGACACCACATCCTCAAGCTGACAGAGGGAATTTGCATCATCCTGCCTGCATACGATGTCTGTCCCGAGGTGATGCGGGCGAAGTCGGTGGGCCGAATTCTAGGCACATCAGCCGGCACCAGAACCGGGCTTTGAGTGGACCGCGGGTGAGATTCGGTTTCGTAAAAAGAAGACGCGCCAGCCAGCGTTGTCTTGGCTGTACATCTTGGAAAGCAGATTGCTTCAGGTCGATTGTGGCACGCAAGGGTGAGGGAACCCAACAGCGGGAAACTTGGTGGAACCGCATTCAACGCCCCTTCCGCGAGTCCGCAACTTGCCCCTCGGGAAAATCAATTGGGTTTCTGTGGGTTTCTTTATCTGATGATCTAATCAGATCGATCACGATCATGATTTTCGGGAAAACTCAACCCAGTCCAAGAGAGCTACCTACTGTCGCTGTGCTCCACGTACCACGGCAACACAGAGGAAATGTGCTTCTAAGTGCATTTCATACGATCTCAAAAGGCCTCTGCAGACCCAGGCTCTCAAAGAGACATTCTCGTATCTACATAACGACTCGTGTGACTGTATACAGCATGGTCACAATAAATTTGCTTAGGCCCACCTATACTTGCACTCGAGGGCCAGGCAAAAACGCCTGCCAAGGCTCCCAAGGTTGTCACACCCCCTGAGATCCCATGTGTACCTAAGGAGGTCAGAGTCATCTTACCTGGGCCGCGATGGGTGAACGCTTCTCATAAATTCATCTTAGCATACTCTTCAAGATCATGAGACGAGGCCAGTATTTCCTATCACATTGGACTTCAATCTACTCATCTGGGAGGCCAGTGGTCATGTAGATTGTAGACTGCGTGGCCCACTGCATCAAGGTAGGTACTGCGATGTCGCTTGGGTCGATCTTTCGGTCTAATTGAGGCATCTCGCCCAAAGTGGTATTATTTCCGCGACCGAAGCCCGTGTCACACCGTTTCATCAGCGGTGTGCGATGCTGCACATTTGCACAATGCACCATTGCGACACCAAGCTGAAAACTGCTGTCACGGAACTGTTAGGGGATAGTTCATTTGCCAAGTGGCATGCATCAAGAGCCTCTGCTATTAACATACCAGATAGGTAGTCTTCGATCTGTCATGAGGAAAGGACGGAACATACTCAACATTGCGGCGAGTGTCCCACTGGTTTGGAGCTGCCGAGAACTTCTGGACCCCCCTCCGTTGCCATCTCATCATTTTCGCCTCTCGTACTTTCCATGAAGTGAAAGGGCCCCGATCCTACCGTTGGGTGGGCTCGCTAGACGATCATCCATCGCCATCCATGTATATCCGCCCGCAATGACAACATTGTGCTTACCGCCTGGGCTAGTAAGTTACCTACTACTTACAACTTCGAATTCAGGCAGGGTAACGTCCCATCCATAACGGAGGCACTCCGAAGACTACTCCATCCATTCCGATGTGCATACAAAGGTACCGATCTTTCAATTATTCTTGTTTCCCCGACTGCTTCTGCATGGTTTGTGGCTGCTTAGACTCGGCCCACAAAATCGATGACACGAACCATACCGCCACTGTCAGGTGCTCCACGCGCAGGAACTTCGCTGCGCACGCCGACCGTAGCTTTCATCGCAAGTAAGGGATCCTAAGTTGATCTTTGAAAAGAAGATCGCAACGCTGGGTACCTAGCAGCTTGTCTTTCGATGCGAAAGTCGGCCGCGTGTCCGAGTCGTAAGATAGATGCCATGAGTCCTCTGTTGGGTCTGAATAGACCTGAATAAACAGGCCGAGGCCCGTGTTGTGTCAGAGATCAAAAGAATAGAGTAGCATGAGAAATAAAGCTGACTACTGTCGGAATCGCTGTGACTGCCCACCTTTTTGAAGTACCGAAACGTCCCGCTAGCCTCAGCGCCACTTGATCATGGTAATTACAAAAGCATGTTCGAGAAAGGGGAATGGATACAACAAAAGAAAACGAAGAATGCGGACAAGAAGAAGAGAAAAAGAAGGGGAAAGGAACAATAATGTAACTTCAAACAAGAATACTGGAAGGGCAATATTCACACAGCCAACTCGAGAAGAGCCTTGGCTCACATATCGATCCCTCGCATCTAGGTGTCTCATTGGGTGCGACGGGCCATGAAATAGGTCAAGAGGTTAAGTGAGCCCTCGCCCGCGGGAGGCGTGACCTTTTGCATGCGCTCGGGGCCGAACTTGATATTCAGCAGAGTACAAAGCTCCGTTGCCTGCTTTCGTACTCCAGGTCGAGTATGGCCGAGTTGCTTGCTGACAACTGTGCCAATTTGAGCCAAGCTGTCATCGGATAGCTCAACAGGTCCCTTGGAGAGCGCCTGGTGCACAGTGGCAAGTCCCATGATAACAGAACGATACATATCGTCGTTCATGCCGCTCTCCGTAGCATCGTCCGTGTCAATGCCTTGTAGCACACCTTCGATCACTATTTGTGGAGGGAGAAGCAAGGCCAATTGTTCGGCCACTTCTTCAAGGCAAGTCACAAAATGCGAATTGGACTCATAATGCCGCCGAGCTTGGATCAGAGAGGCCATGGCGGGCACATCGTATCGATGAAAAAGTGTGCCAGTACGAAGAATCATTGAGCGTATCGTAGCTAATATCTGTGTCTTCACGTCATGGTCTTTTCGGTTGAGTGGGGCTGCTTCGAGCTCGCGCAAAAGAGCCTCCAGCAGCGCGTAGTATTCGCCTTCGCGCGAGACAATGGCCTCGCCGTGATACTGGAAGAGACCTTGCAGCTTCCTGTATCCTGAGATATCCATAGTGTGCGAAGTGATTCGAATCAGCGCCTTGTTCAGCATCTCTTGGGCGTTGGCTGGATCCTTTGAGCGAGGACTTGGGCTACGGTGTCGCTCTGCCCACTTGCGCCGGTGGCGAAATGTGGGTTCCTCAATCGTTGAAAGTGCTGGCGATTCCTGAGGCCGCCCTCTTGATTCCACTGAAAGCCGTGGGGTGGACTCATTCAACGGAACTTCCTCTAAAGCGCTGGGCTTCACTGCAGATCGCGGGGTCGTGGTAGAGCCATCGTTCTTCGAGGTATGTTCGAAAACATTCTCGTCATTCAGACTACGGGCGAACGCCTTGGGCGTGACGGCTTTTGGTAAGGACGAAGGCGGCAGGTTGGCACCGTGCGGGAATGGCGCGTGATGAACTCGGTGTCTTATGGGAGAGGGAGTACCTCGAAGAGGAGTCTTCTGAGGTGAAGGAAACCGTGGTTCGGTGGAACCGTCCTCTTGAACATTCTCATTGGAAGCCAGCTCTGGGAACGTGGATTTGGGAGGTGTTTGAGGTGCTGCAGGAGAGCCCGGCATTGAGACGCGGTCCTGCTCATGTTCGTCGGTATGACGAGCAGACTTCGCTGGACTGGAAATTCGGGACGGAGATAATCGAGGCGTTTTGGGTTCTGTCACGACCGGCGAATCTGGATCTTCGTATATGATGACTGGTTCTGTTTGAGTCTTCGCTTGGCAGTCAGATGCGACGATTGGGGAAGCAGGATACATTGGTGCTTCGTGATTCGCTTCAAAGAGTTGTGGAGCAAGCTTTGTGCTTTCTTCAGGGACACGAGAGGATGGCGGCTCTTTTGTAGGCCTGGAATGCAGATGCAGAGCGTCGGGAATTCCATGCGAGGGAGGCGTCGGGCGCGAGACAGAGAAGAGGTCACTCTCCGTTACGGTTGATGTCGGCTTGTCGTGCTCGCTAAGCTGACCCTCATTAATGGCTTGCGGGGACGGTGGAACGCTTGCGCCAGAGTCGCTGCGAGAATGACTCGCGGCCGCCAAATCTCCATGAGATTTAGATTTCGACAGATCAAGCTTTTTCGGCCTGCCTCTAGTTGTACTCGATTGTTCAGCATCTTGAGCTCGGAGGCGAGGCCCAGACGTAGGTTTTGAGGAGGGCGTGGAGGCCTTTGGACGCACTGCCCTAGGAGATCCGCTCGTTGAAGGCACGTTCTGAGCGGTTCGAGAGTCAGGTCTACGGGCGTATGGATCCGCAGTTGCCGGGCGGCTGATTTCAGGCCGACGTGGCTTCATAGCAGGTCGCATGGGAGCAGACGAGAGAGAAGAGAGGGGTGCAACTGTATGTAGTGTGCGAGCGGGAGGCCTTGTCGTCCCATCTGAATCGACAACTGTAGACTGGGCGGACTCTGGTCGCGGCGGGGGTAGAGCTCTCTTCCTGGCCGCAATGGCCTCTTTTAACGCTGAGCGACTGGCGCTAGGGCCAGCCGAAGCCTTTGTGGGCGTGGAAGCGGTCTTGGAAGCGTTAGGATTGGATGGATCTCTTTCAAGTAGTGTTCGGGACTTTGCGTCGAGAGTTGCACTGATTGCATTCGCTCGATCCGGCCAAACATTGTAGAATGTCCAAAACGTGCTACGCACAGCCTCTCGCACTGCAGGATTTGCATCTGCGAGCCCCCTCTTGAGGGCCTTTTCGATGAGATCCAGACCGCCGCCGTGTTCGACAGTAGCTTTTTGATGGGCCTGTCTCCTGATCAAGGTTCGAAGCCATCCAGCGGCGAACAATCGAAGTTGCAAGTTCTTCTCTTGAGAAGCCCACTGAACGTGCTGAAGAATACGGATGTTGTAGGAGACATTTCCGATGACGGCATCCACAGTGGCGTTGCCATTTTGTGCAGCTATCTTCTTCAGGGACCCGCAGAGCTTGATTAGGTTTTGCATGGTTATCTCAACCATATGGTCCATCTTTGGGCCACATGTCCGAGCGATATCTTGGACCAGAAGACAGCCATTGGTACACAATGTAGTTCTCAGAGAGTGGACAACTTTGAAAATCCCATCGAGCAGAGTTTTGACTCCATGGATGTAGCTTTGAGGAAAATCTTGGGGCCCATTGCCCCGAGTGAGGCGACGGAAAAGAATGACATTCTTCTCACGTTTCAGCCAATTGTCTTCCGATTCCCTGCCCTCAAACCACGGAAGCATGTCTCGCACGGTATCATCAATGTCTCTTGCTGACGCAACTAGAAAAGGCTCAATTCCATCGTCTTCAGAGGAGGCATGCGGTAAGCTTTGCGGCTCCGCTGGAGGTTTGGGCCTCGAAGGGGCTTCTGGAGGGGCGGGAGTCGACCAATCATAATGGCTCCTCGATGATTCCGGACGATGTCGGATTGGCTCTGCTTCTTCGTGCGTGTCAACAATATCTATACTAAATGTGGGAGACTTTGACATGCTGTAAACCTACCATCTTCAACGAGATCCCGCATGTTCGATCTCGACGACATTACCGAGATGGGCCTGTCGGCGCGAGACAGGGAGCGAACCGAGCTCGGCGGCTCCGAATCGCTCAAACCAATTCCAGCGAGAATGGCATTAGCAATTGATTTGCGCACACCCCGTGCCAGCAGCTGTTTCTGCAAGTCCGACTTGGCTCGCGCGGGAGCAGTTCTGAGGCCTAGAGTAAGCAAGTGCACATGTTGTTTGACTATTACAAGCTCGAAGCTGCGTACCGGAACAATTCGACCACCACCATTCTCGCCGTGTCTCGTACGGCGCTGTCTGCATCCTCTAAGCACGAGACCAGCGAAGATACGTACTGACGGAACAGCAGTCCATGGTGCTTGGTCATCTTCAATAAATTTTCAGTTAGCAAGTGCGCAAGCTGGAGGAGCTAAAGGAAGGCAGCGAAGCTCACGTTTGAGAGCCACAACATGCTCATTTCTTTGGCCCGCGGATTCTTGCCAGTTAAGGCAGTCTCGAGAACATAATATTCGACTTCAGTGGGTGCCACAGCCCATAATTCCGTGAAGATTGACGCCGCTTGTGATCGAATCCGCTCCTTGTGGTCCCCAAGTCGCTCCAGGAGAATGTGATAGAAGTTGCGCGCCTGACTGACAATCCATTGTTGCTGATCTTGAATCGTCAGACGTTTCAGGAAGTGACCGAGGGTGGAAAATCCAGCTCCGAGGACTGAATAATGTTGGGATGTGAGAGCCAGGCGCAGAGTGTCGAAAATGATTGGGACGGCGCCTTCAGGCACATTCTTTTGCTTGATGTCCGACTTAATGGCCGTCAGATGAGCGACCTTGGCGTCAATTGAAACATTCGGGTTTTTGAAGGCTGCCAGAAGCTCTGCCGCTTTTGCTTCCATACTGAACACCAAGAGGAAATTTCAAGACGTGCTAGGCACGAAACATGGAAGCAATAAGTGGTCTGAGTGCGAGCGGGCAAGAATTGGCTGAGTTTCGACGGGTGTTCACAGATAAGTGTCTGTCGTTCCTAAGCGGTCAGCCACTGTGAAGAGGTCAGTATACAGCCATCCACGCCTGGGCAGGTCCCAAGTACATCGGATAGCCCAAGAGCACAGGCATCGCAGAACTCGTGGTCAGTGCTTGCGTGCGCACGCCCGGGCTCCAGGAGGAACGAAGCGCAAGAATGTGGACATGTCGCGGGTCCCCGCCGTCGAAGTCAAAAGAGGAGATATCATTCTGCGAGTAATGTTGGGCATGGATCATAGCACTTACGATCTAAGATGCACTATTCCTCAAGCAAGAGGGAAACAGGAATCGGCGCAAATCGTGGAAGGTGGGATGTTGACGAAGGTGACGGAAACTCGGTCGAGTCAAGGGGCGATAGGCGCGGATAAGCGCGAGCGGCTCCACCTGATACGATAATCTTTTCTTCCAGTCTAGCGATGACGATGGAAGGGAGGAGACAATCGGATGCGAAGAATGATGGCCTCTCTTCTGACGTGAAGTGGGTAGTGTCAACAATAGCCAGGGTGGTATGCCTAGTCTTAATTTTCCATGCCCAAGATATGTTGTCAGTCAACCATGGATGAGCCCAACCCCGCCCAATCTCCAAAGCGCGTTTGTTGACATTGTGGTCGCAAAGGGCAACCAAATGCGGTACACTTCCATAAACACCACATTAGACGCCTGCCGAGGTAGCGCCAAATTTGGCAAGGAAGACAGGTCGAGTCAGATGGGTTAGGAACAATACTTTGGCCAAGTGAGTCAGTCTTTTCCGGTGGCCATCATTTAGGCCACTTAAATTTGACATGTCTAAGCGCAACGTTCAATGTATGCTCAAATAATCGACAACAAGGTTGGGTGCCCGGTCCAATGGTCAAAAGAACATAGAGGTTTCAGTTGAGAACTTGGGTAGCGAATCTTGGACAGCACTAAGTAGCGACTCCGATCATAGTTGTTGACACCACCTGCAATCTATTAGAAATGTGCCAACGGACTTACTGCGATAGCCACAGTAACACCTTGAAAGTACCGTGTGAGTCGTGACTAGAGACTCACTCAATACTGGTAGGAGACCCGAGTACGTGGAGTCTATACTCGCGGGACTCCATAGACCTGTTCAAGAATACTGCCACACGATGATTCATAGTACGTTCGGCTTTTCAATTCATTTATACTACCTACAGTCAGATGGTCACAATCAATGTGTCAAGATACTCGTAATAGGCGCACGGATGAAGCTGGTGGTTTCCAGTCCACGAAGGATCTACGTGAGGTCCAGGAAAGCCAGATGATCGCGAAATACTATGCACGCCGCTAGCTCTGGGATTTCTGACCTCTAACACTGTTACAAAAGGGGTTCAGTCAATGTGCGAAGCAAAGTACTATCAGATGGACTGACTGGCAACAGGGATTTTACCTCACACGTGAGTAGTCTCAAATTCGACAAGCCACTTTGTGAAGAATAACGAGACATCAGAGCAGAGGAAGGACATAGTAGAGTACGATACTCCTCATAAGAGATGGTGCGTTATAGGCTGCTTCTGAATGTCACGGGGCAATCAAGGAGGATTTGTGCACTACCGGGCCCCGCATTCGCCCCGCGATTACTTCCGTCTTTACAGCGACTTAGTTAATTTAGAAGAAGCTACGCCGAGTCATCACTCGGTCCAGGCACGTAAGACTCGCCAGTTTTACATTCTACGTCAGAACCGTCCAATACGAATTGGGGCATTGTAGGCTGGACTGAGTTAACGCCAGACGAACCAAACTCGAGCCAGTCGTTCAGAAGACTCGGGCACTTCGCTTGCAGAGATGACCACCACCGCAATTCCAATCACATCAGGCCAAGCCCCAACTGAGTCTGCAATTCCTAAGGCGGTTCCAAGTCACAGTGATTCTCAGACATCGGCAGACAAGGACAAATCACAAGACCAACGAAGCATAGCAGTAACAGTGCAGCCTTCTCAAGCAAAGTACCGCCTCCATGCTGAGGATTTTCGTCATTCAGGATCAGCCGCCTTCATTTCATACATTCCTGATGTAGGCGCTACCCTCGACGCGGCGCTTGACAACATTATCAAGTACCTTTATACTTCTCCAGCCCGCACTTCTGCAGCATATTCTCCTACGAAAGTCACAGGATATACCCGGGGGCATCAGCCTGAATTTGTCCCATCAATCCCGCCTACACGCGCGGTGACTGTGTTTCTGCGAGACTTCAGCGGCGTTGCCTATACGACAGGCACAGAGCTCGATAATGATCACAAAGAGATCCACATCTCGTTGTCCTATATCAGCCATTGCAAAAACTCGGCGGCCAAAAACGATCCAGCGCATGAGCTAGCCGGCGTGATCACCCACGAGCTTGTTCATTGCTATCAGCATACCTCGCCTCCGGATCCTGTGAAAGATGGGAAGCCTATCCCAGGCCCGCCGGGCGGTTTGATTGAAGGGATCGCTGATTTTGTTCGACTCAAAGCTGGCCTGTCTCCGCCTCATTGGACGCGGCCCACCCGTGCATCCGAGCGAGAGAAGAAATGGGACGCTGGGTATCAGCATACCGCTTTCTTTCTTGCATGGATAGAAGATGTATTGGTAGGCCAAGGTGCGATCGGCATGCTCAATGACCGATTGCTTCGATGCGGTTATGTTGGCGAGGAAGATGGCCAAGAGGGTAGCCACCAAGACAGTTTCTGGAAGGGTCTCTTTGGCATGGGTGTAGCTGACCTGTGGGCAAAGTATGGAGAGTGGCTTGATAACGACCCAAAGACAAGATGAGATGCAATGGGAGACAGTTTCTGCGGCGGACAGCTGTCTGATACTGTGCTAGTCGTCTCTGGGATTGCGCGGACACGGAGTGTCATGAAATTTGCGAAGAAGTCGGTCTTGAATTGGAGTTTTATTTTAGAATACATCAAAGATGCCTTATCTTCGCACACCAATGTCTGAGAGGGACAATGTCTCCATGCCAGGTATCGATCAAAAAAAATTCGCTGAAGAAGAGGGGTGGTGGGCGTAGCCGCATACAGGAGACGAAGACCACAAGAGTTAGGGTGAACAAGGGAAATAAAATGGTGAAGGAAGTCCCAGCAGATAAAAAGACACCAGAAGAAAATAGAGGAGCCACAATTCCATACATACTATACAATGCCCGGTCGTGCAGTGACAGGACGAGATGATCTTTTCCCCAATTGCCTAGTTCCGATGCAAATCCACAGCACCGAGAGGAATGGCAAAAAAATCAATGAGCGAGAGGAATAGCGTAAAAGCGGGTGAGCGGGAGACAAGTTCTAATGTTCGAGACTTGTCTCAAACAATGACTTCACCCAGGTCAACGTAGACCGGTTTCCACGGCGCGGCTCCCTCCTCCTCCATGGAGCTTGGTACACGAACGTTGAGTGGACTGTAGAGATACCAGCCCTTGAGCGCAGCCAAAGCTGCACGCTCACGGGCCTCAATCAGACTGGCGCCAGCGCCTTCGCCAAGTTTGTCCTGACCAGAGAAGATACCCACCACGAAAACGGGGTGTCTACTCTTACGACCAGTCTCGCTGATAATTCTGGCCACGGGAGGCTCGAAGTTTTCGCGCGCGCAAAGGCGTGCCAAATCGCGAGCAGGCTGAGAGAAATTGAACAGCTGTGAGATGTCGAGATGGCGAGAGAGGAAGTGCTGCTCGAAGAAGCGCTTCGCAGCTGGGCGTCCTGCGTGAAGATAGATGGCTCCCATCACTGCGCGAACGAAAGTGGCGCTGGCGAGCTCAGCGGTGACACCCTCTCCCGATGTGGCGGGGCCCTTGATGGCATCGCCAAATTCATCGTCATAGAAGATCTTGGAGGTTACCGTCATCCTCCACGCCTTCTGTGCCGCATACGGACGAGGGTTGCGTGTGTTGGTGTTCACGAGGTTCGGGTCGCTGCCGGGGGCAAGCCGGCGGAACTGAAGCAGACCAGGATCAACCTCTCCACCGGGCAAGGACGCGTGTTCCACACCCCATTCACGGGCCATCGCGGCAAGCGTCTTAGGACCAGCATATGCGTACATCGCAGCGAAGATAACTGTCAGGGGAAGTCGAGGGTAGGTGCAAAGGAGGTGCTCGGTAGTGTAGTAGGTAAGAAGGTCGTGACCGAGAGTCGCGAGCGATTCGTTATTAAAATCGGGGTTCGAGTCCGCAGATGCATCGACCAATGCTCGCGCGAGGGTTTGAGGAGGAAGTCGTGAGGGGAGATATAATCGTGCGTGGAGAGCAGCGAGTTTGGCGGAGTTCAGGGCCGCATCGGAGGGAGGAGAAGGATATTTGAGCATATCCTTGCGTCTATGGGCGCTCCGTACGTGTTTGATCATTCCAGCATCTTCAAATCCACCCTCGCTAATTGCTTCTCGGGGGGAGGAGTCAGTCTGCAGAGGGGACGCAGTGGACTGGCCTCGTGATCCAGCCAGAAGTGTGTGTTGACGCAGCCTGCTAGCAATGCGAGCCCGGGGAGATAGGACCGTACTGCTCCATCGCTGGAGCTGCACCCTCTTCATCTGAGCGGATATGTGGAAGCTTCCAAACAATCAAGAAACCCGAGAAACAAACGTTCCGCCAATACTCCAATGGGTCGAGACTCGATAGACGTGCGGCCGGATTGTCGGGGGAGAGAAAAGTGAAATTGTCTCCCAGGTCACGGGATCCTTCGGTCGTGTGAGCTGAGGCTAATCCTATTCGGGTAATTCAGTCTTGGCAGGTAACCTTCCATTGACGGCCCTTTCGGCATCAATCCGCTTGCCAGACCGAACTCTTACGACCCTTCCTTCAAATTCCCCAGACACTCCCTCGCATACATCACATACACAATGGGTGGAGGTGGAAAGATCCCGTGAGTGCTCCGTCGTATCGACTCCCAGTCTCGATGTCTAATGAAGTCTTTCCACGTCCAGGTATCCTAAGGAAGTCTGGTCCCCCGCCGGTGGTTGGTACGCCCAGCCAGGCAACTGGAGGGCCAATACCGCTATCATGGGAGCCTTTGTCATCGGCGTGGCCGCCGTCGCCTTTAGCATCAGCGCTGACCGCGAGCATCGCGACAAGATGCCCGAGCCCGGTCGCTTCTTCCCTAGCCGATAGTACGTCTCCGTGTCAACGTACCGCACGCTGCTCTCCATCTTTTACTGACAGACGCGCTATTTTGAACAGCTGGAGCCGACAAATCCGCGAACACGAGAAGCAGCAAGCAGCGCAAAACTCCTCATGAGAAAGTGGCCATTGGGCTAGGAAAGGGCCAGGGGGTGGCATCGCGGTGTGACAGCAGTTTCCTTCATATGTTCTATTATCAATTCTTCATTCCCTGTGGCTGTACGACAACATAAGGGCGTTTTCGAATGGGCCATTTGTTCAATTGATCATCAGGTGCTTCTGCGGAGACTGTCCGAATGATTCATACAAACGCTGCGTGTACAGGCGGATTCTTTCCGCAAATTCAGACTCATTCCACAATTCTTTCCTTCCATCATCGACCGTTGAGATTTGAGGAACACCAATTTGCTCTACCACGACTCCCGCGGCGACTGTAGCACAGATGAGGGCCATTGGCATGCTTCGTCGTGCACCCCAGGCGTCGAGAGTCTCTCGCCAGGTGGAACTGACCGACAGAACACGATCAATGACAAGCAAAGGCTCACGGCCGGAGCTCACCATACCTTGCGCCAAGCCGCCGAGGAACGAGTTGCCCGCACCCGTAGGATCGACCACCGCTGTAGCACCCGATTGTTTAGGCTGATGGTAGGCTGGTAGCCACAGCTTCTGCGCTCCTGAAAATGCATAGCACCCATCCTTCCCAGCTCGTATCACCAGACACCCATCACTCTCGGGACCAATGCCAGAGGATAGGATTCGATCAACAAGCTTCATGCTCTCTTCGCTTGTTGCGCTCCATCCGCGCTGTTCGAACATCATTCCCAATTCTTGGTGGTTGGGGCTGACCACGTCCACTACGCGATTTGCCGCAAAAAATGTCTCTTGCTCTTCGGGTGTGCATAGATCAGGCACTGGCTCCCAGACGAAGAATGGCCGAGACGGGACTTCCTCGCCGGAAGTTGCCTTGCCTGCTTCGTATAGGGCTTGGCGGCGTCGCAAGATGTCATTCACGATAGATATACATCGAGAAGGAGAGCAGACCATATGGAATGTCTTTGACCAGACCTGTTTTTCTGACAACATATGCGGTTCCAATCTCAGTTTTGGTGTCAGATATTTAAAGTCTACAGCTTGTCTATTAGCCATGAAACTTCCGTGTCTGCAACCTGTATACCTTCAACGTACCCCGCTTCTCGTCTGGATGATATCCATTCCAGGCGCGAGTGGTCAATCTGCTTCGATCCTCTCGTATGAGACAGTCGGTACTCCATGACTCGATACATGCCAATGTCTCTGGGGGAAAGTCAGCTCCTACATCTACAATCCAACTGACGGATTGAGCATGCGCAGGTCCTGCGACCATTCGAGCGCCCACGACGGCGAACGAGGCTGCACCCCCAACGACATTTTTGACTGCAGCTTTGGAACCGCCGAAATCTATGTCATCTGCGTGCAGATTATATGTAAGCGCTTGAACTACCAAGTCTATGTTCGATATGACAACGGGAAAACCGTCATAACGTACCAAGGATAAACATGCCCAACGTGCAAAAGTCGATCGTATTTGACCGGAGCAAGGCTGAACCTGACTCTGCCATCTTGTACAATACCTGCATCCGGCTTGATGTGCAATATGATTGAAATCAGATTCAGTGACTTCTGGTCTCGATCGGATTTGTCCAAATTCGTCTCCAAAAGAATCAAGCAGTCGTGACTCGTGACTCGTTAGTTCGAAAGTCAGACCCAGAGCGTAATTAAATCTGTAATTAGATTACTCAAAACGAGCTGCGACGTCATTGGCAATCTTCCCCCACTTCCGTATTGTATTGTTGCGGACCCCGGAAGCTGGCAAGCTGCATCTTCAGGAGCTCCGGCCGGACCACCTCAACGGCTCTTCTCTCCTTTCGAACGTGAGCGTATCCACTGACTTCAGAGAGAGGCAAAGGCTCGCGGACTTCCGATCAGTTGCCAAAGTCATCCCGACTTGCTCACACGACGAGGCCATCCTTCGTCGGACCAAATCTACTTGACCCCTTTTCCACGGACTCGCGCAACGTGTTGCCCATCATGGCGAGTGGCAGCCATATGCATAACTTCACCACCCTCATCAAGCGGTATGTCTGCTTTTGTTAGGCTGCTAGTTCTCCAAATTCCGATATGTCATGGTCGAAGACACTCGCACTGCGACTCAACCCGATTGTTGCGCAACGCTAACATCGTATTTTGTGCACAGGCTCGAGGCGGCGACCTCACGCTTGGAGGATATGGCGATGAGCTTGGACGACAACAGCGCATCAAAAACCACAGGACCGTCCTCAGCAGCAGCACCGGCTTTGCCTGAACCCCCGAAACCAGCTGCACCACCCGCTCCCCCAGCAGCTCCCGCGGCGCCACAGGTCCCTGTTCAGATCCAAGACTTCGACACATTGATCAAGGGTGACGTTCAGAACTTTGTGAATCTCGGAGAAAAGATCGGCGGACTGGTGGCAGAGCAGGTAAGAGTCACTCAGATTGCCCCTTTGTATCGAAACTTCAGCCAATATCGGTACTCATACATACATCCAACAGTCGAAAGCCGTCCTGCAGGCCTTCCAGGCTGAGCGCACCTTCCTCTATGTCTCGACGAAGGCAAAGAAGCCCGACGTGCCCCCTCCAGAGCTCATGACCGATTTGCACAAGGCCTCTGACAGTATCAACAACATCAAAGAGTCCAATCGCGCTTCATCATTGTTCAACCACCTTAGCGCAGTTGCCGAGGGTATTGTGGCGCTGGGTTGGTTCTTTGAGAGCAAGCCGGCGGACTTTGTTGCTGAGATGATTGGCGGCATTGAATACTATGGTAACAAGGTGCTCAAGGAATACAAGGAAAAGTAAGCATGTCCGCCACGTATGACAGCTTCCACCCCGATTTTTAACACCAAACAGGGACCGCACCCATGTTGAATACATTCAGGCCTACTACCAGAACTTTAAGGCCCTTTCCGCCTACCTCAAGAAACACTATCCCAAAGGCTTGACATGGAATTCCGAGTCTGGTCTCAGCGCCCTGGACGCCTTGAAGGAGGTCAAGGCCGGCTCTGCCTCAACTGGCGGCGGTGGTGCTCCTCCCCCTCCACCACCTCCCCCTCCCCCTCCTGTGCCCTCTGTGAACGTCCCTGGAGGTATCCCACCACCCCCTCCTCCTGGTATTCCTCCTGCTCCCGCGCCCTCTGCGCCAGCGCCTGATATGGCCGCTGTCTTTGACCAGCTCAACCAGGGTGAGCAGATCACATCGGGCCTGCGCAAGGTGGACAAGTCACAAATGACCCACAAGAACCCCAACCTTCGTGCAGGCTCCACGGTCTCGGAGTCTTCTGTGTCATCTCGACCTAAGTCGCCTGCGCCAAGCAAGAAGCCCAAGCCTGAAAGCATGCGTGCCCGCAAGCCGCCACGCAAGGACCTTGAGGGCACCAAGTGGCTGATCGAGAATTTTGAAGGCTCCGATGAGATTATTGAGGTTCAGGCACAGCAGAATCAGTCTATTCTTATCACGCGTTGCAACCAGTGCATTGTCAAGGTTTCCGGCAAGGCTAATGCTATCGCGATTGACAACTGCACGGGCCTCTCTATCATTGTTGATTCCCTCGTCAGCAGCCTCGACGTCATCAAGTCGCCCAAATTCGCTCTTCAAATCGATGGCACTGTTCCAACAGTTCTTCTGGATCAGGTGGATGGAGCCACTGTGTACCTTGGCCAGAAGAGTCTCGCAACGGAGATTTTCACCAGCAAGTGTAGTGCCGTCAACATCATGCTACCTCCCCAGGAGGGTACTGATGATGATACCAAGGAGTGCCCTGTCCCGGAGCAGATCAAGAGTTATATCAAGAACGGTGTGTTGGTCAACGAAATTGTTGAGCACGCCGGTTAGACTCGGGAAATGCTCGTCTTTTCACAGGCAACCGGGCCAACACTTGTCCAGAAGAATCTTGTTCAGCGATCTATCATTCAAGATAATTAGTGTCTTTCTTGTTCTAGATCCCCTTACTGTATATCTCTGCGGTATCTCCTTGTATTTCCCAATCCTACTGCCATCTATTCGGCGCACGTCAGCGTACATTACAACATTGTTGCTCTCGCGCAAAGTATGACATCGATCCCCGTGCTTATCACGTCGCAGGCTGTCAAGCACCAGAGCATTTGACAAACATGCACCTAGCATTGAAAAGCCCCAATTAAACACAATTTTGTGGCTCGAAGTCCCCAGTGCAGGTCTGAAAGGTTCCACTTCAAAGGATACTTCCCCACGAATCCCCGAAAGTTAGGACCCTAGCCTACCGAACCTGGGATAGAGTAAAAGATGAATTCATTTCATCCGTCAGATCCCCAATCTCGCAAGCGTTGTTGAGTTTCACTACTTTGCAAGCACACTTCTTACAGCTCCAGCTGTGCCATGAGGAAAACAATTTGCAAATTGTTCTCCTCGCATCTTGTGGCCATGATGACGCCCAATGGGGCATACATACCAATCTAGTCTATGATGATTTCGTCGTGTCTGCAAAGGGATATTTTGGCTCCTACAGTCAGTAACGGCAAGTACATGTTGATATGTGCTTGCCTACTAAGCACCTAGGTAGGTTTATTTGCGTCACGGAAGGTTCCATGAATACGGTTTGCAGTTCACAACCTCCAGCTACTATATTCGTCTGCTGTCCAGTTTGTAGTGGCCTCACCAACTTTCCATGTCACTCTCATTAACGAGTTAAACGCAGAGGGGGCACAGACATAATTGCCCATGTTTATTTACTAAAGGAAGCTGAGGAGGAAGAACCGAAGGAGTAAAATAGTAAAGGATGATGATGATGAATAAAGACTGGCAAGTGGAACATCAAGAAGAGCAAGGGTATATAACCGATGGAATAGTCAAAGCGCCTTGTGCTGAATGGTGTGAGTAAAAATATAAGAAGTAAGGATAGAGGGGCCCCGAGAAGCGACCAGGTCTGAACAAACATATGCTCTTCCACAAGTCGCGTATTGTGACCTCGAAGACTTTCGTGTCGCCTAAGGTTAGTATATCGCACTCTGAACGAAGTCGCAACTCGGCCTCTTTTGGAAGTATGATGTGTTACGAAAAAAACATGCCGCTCAGAGCCATTGATGATGATACCGTGGCCGGCGATGACGGTACTGGGTAGAAGCAAAAGTGTGTTGCCACTGCGTTGCTTTGAGAGCGGCTTCGTGTTGCAAGCAGAAAACTGCAGGACCAGCGTTACCCAATTCATGCAGCTGAGTCTGCAATCATTGAGCAGGCAATGTTTCAATTACTGTATCTGGTCTCTCGCTTGTGAACGTCGAGACTACGGAGCCGCCTGGCTAGCAGGCTTTCCCCGTTTTCAGAAGCACCTTGGCCAGGGGCATAAGGCTGGCCTCTGAATCCATATTCACCTTTACTGAGCTTTCGGTAGAACTCATCTGACTCGAGCTCGGCTAGTGGAGAGGACGCTTGTAGCTCTCTCCTCGGCTCTACGGTGCTCCAAAGTAGAGCGCTTTCACTTGGCGATGATATGTGTGGCAGGACCCCCGGGAATGTGACTTTGCCGGCATGCTGGCGATGAGAAGCTGCCTCCATTGCTGGGCGAGGCCCAGCGGTGCTGGAAAAGCTGTGTTCGCGTACCGACTTATAAGGACTGTATCGCGGATCTGGCAGCTGTATCTCATTTCGCAGTTTCTCTTTGCCATCTGGCACCCTGTTGGCAAAGACAACTCGAATGCTTGAATGCAGATAGAAGCGCCCACGCGAGGGACAACATATGTTTAAGTGGATGAGATACCGCAAAACTGGCTTGTCCCGGGGGTCTTCCGTCGCGTTGAGGGAAGCCTCGGGGCGATCAGTCCCGTAATTCTTGCGTGCACTCAGAGGCATGTCAATGATCGGACCAGCTGAGTAGCTTCGTTGCCGAATGAACGTCTTCGTTCCGGGTTCCATATCACTCAAGTCGTACGGGACAAGGAACAATTTCACTGCGGTCTTGTGCGGATTCTTAATGATAATCTGCAATTGACCTTGTTGCGGAATTCGATAACTCCCACCTGGAGGACACTTGGGTGACTCTGCTCTGCGATTTTTCTTCTCTCGGCGGCGTCTTGAGTCGGCATCTGGCAGTGGCCGCGCAGTGGTGTCCTCCATGTCAAGATCCGCCGAGAGCTGCATGGGACTGAGATGCCGTCTCCGACGCCGGCTGGAAGTAGAGTCGTTCTTGGGCAGAGAGTTCTCGAGGTCAATCATTCCGACATAGGGACTAGGGCTGTCATCGGCGATCGAGCGACCGTGTCCTGACGTCGGATAGCTATAAAATACCGCGGGAAAGGAGACTGTGACATGTGGTGGACATCGAAGATTTCCCTTGCATTTCCCCTTCCCAAGAACACCAATCTGTGCTGTGAAATCCAATGGCCTCGATGGATTCATGGACATCCGCCCCCGTAGGATTGACTCTTCATACGATCCCACCATGGGAGCATGGGGTTTGGGAGAAGTCTCTGAGGCCAGAGAGGGTCTTCTCATTCTGAACGCATGATTTACAGTCGGCGTGGCGAGTTGAAGACTGTAAGCCGCATTCAGTGATCTGCGCGAGGGGGTATAAGAGTGAAATGTTCCATCGTGATGTCCATAGGACAATTTGCCACCAATTTCGACCGGCCGTAAGCCGGGAGGCGTTGACTGTAATTCCCGGAAGGTTTCCGGCGGCAGGGTTCGCCGCCTGTTTGTTCGCTCCAACAGCTCCAACGTGTTAGTCTCTGACACTCCTTGAGGCGAGAAGTCTGAGTCGCTGTTGTTGGCTTGATACACCAAGGGACTCGTGGGCGCCTTGAGGACATAGCTTGAGGAGAACGAACCGAGCGATGGTGCTCTAGATCTTGTTTCTATTATCAACTTCAAGTCATCCCGGTTGGCAGAGACCTGCCTGCGCGAACTGTGAGGAACCTGGAATGCAGGTGCTCTAAACCACGGTGTGGTAGGAGAAGTTCCCAGCTGCGGAAATGGCGAAGCCGGACTTGACTCTACAAAATCAGGTCGGTTCCCGAGTCTTTCAGAGTGCGGAGAGCCTTCGCGGAAGTCGCCAGAGTGCAAGGCAGATCGAGGGCGCTCAATCTCGGTGGGTGATGCCAGTACTTCTGTTTCTTCCCTTGGGGCGCGCTCTGTGGACACTGAGTCAATCGCTGGACCATCGAGCTCCGATAGACTAACTGGTGTAGAGTTACCCTGCGTATGCGTAGTTGATTCACTCGCGCCGGGTCTCTGTTCCTTGACAGTAAGTCAGCCTGGTCATTCAGCATATACGCACTATTTGTGCTGAACTCAGGGTGTTTGAGCGAGCAACGAGAAGCTTCGATACGCTCGACGCCAGTGAGACATACCTGATGTTGTGATCTCCAGTACGAAGCCTCTTTAATTTGTTGAATGAGGCGATGCCGATCATGAGTCCGAGCATGAGAAGTACTTTCCCCCACCTGGAGGACGTTTGTTCCTACTTCCAGGGTCCCTGTATGGGGTGAACCATCTTCGGAAGCATGCGCCGATTGAGGCCGGGGTGACTGTCGTGGTGACTGTCGTGGTGGGAGCTCCGACTCACTGAGATCACCCGACCAGCGGCGGCAGACCCAATTTTCGGGATCATGAAAGAGAGGCATGGTAGCAGGAGGAAGTTCAGGAGAAAAAGAGATTTGACTCGAACATGGCAGACAGCCTTCACTACGTGCTCCTCAAGCTCTGCAGCGTGAGCCCAACAGTGCCTGAGGTGACGGAGTGGATGCGGTGTAGTACGAATATGCTGTCAGGGATTCTGTTCGATCTGCGGATGGCAAGAAGGGCGCCCGGGCCGGCTAGTATATCTCGCACTGCTTGCGAGTATCTATCACCAGACGGAATACACTGCTGCCAAAGGAAGTGTATGAAACCTATCTGGAAGAAGGCTCGGAGGGCTCAGAGAAGTCCGTAAGGGGGAAGAAGAGAAAGGAAAGTCATGTAAGAGAGACCGGTCAGGTCGGCGGAGTACATATGTCATGAGGTCGTGGGTCTCCAATGATTCATCGGCCGTTCATGTTTCGTCAGGGCAGCGTTTGCCCACTCGCTTCCTTCCTCTGACCAAACCCTTTCCGACTCACGTTTGTTGTAGGGAATCTGAATCGGCTTGATGATCAGCAGTGTTTGACCACTAGAATATGATGGTGAAAAGCTCAACTCTGCCTGACTGCGGTGGACTGGCCTGGCGATTCACTTATTCCTGTGGAGCCCAAGACCGCTGGACTACTGTATGAAGATCCGCAGCGCGTGGGGCGCCACATCTTTTTTCTTCGGATCCCCGACGTCGATCCTCACTTTTTCTCTCTTCCCCAATAACTGCCATCCACGATTTCGGGTGAATCTCGACAAAACAGCCCTTTAAAGCCGGGATTCCCAGACTCCTGGCATTCGCGAAACAATAAGAGAACTTTTGGGCCAGTCATCATGGCTCCCAAGCGTACACGAGATGGGGAAAGCAACCCGGCTGGATCAGGCGCGGACCAAGTAGTCAAGAAACGCAAAGGTTTCAGTGTTGGTCCTGCCAATCTACCAGATGGTACCTATCGGCGGAAAAGTAAGCTTCAAGCAAAGAACTGGTCTTCCTCCGAACGGATTGGGATTATCTGACACGATTCTCTACGTACAGCTCAAAAGATCAAGTCCGACCTGATCCAAAAGGCCAAGGTCAAAAAGGCTTACGCCAAGATCAAGGCACAAGAACTGTCCACAAATGCGCCCAAGCCTATTTTCACCACAGCTGAAGAGGAGAAGGGGGAGACGAGGCACCAGCGTCGTTGGAATTACATCCGGATCGAGTCGCTATGATGAATGAGCCCGAGCGTGAAGAGCCTAAACCCGAGCGGCGACCAGAGCGACGACCAGAGCGACGACCACGTGAGGCGAATGGCCACCCAAGGCAGCGAAAGCCAAAACCTTCTGCGTTCGCCAAAGAGATGGAAATTGCAGAGAAGCGAAAACAGGAGGCAGAGGCCCGACAACGGGAACGAGAGGCGCGGCAGAAAGACCGCGAGGCAATGGCGCGCGCAAAGCGCCTCGATCAGAATGGAAAGAGGCGCCTTGGTCGGGAGAGCAACGTACTTTTGAGTCGGGTTCAGCGCATGGTTGGCCAAAATTGAGGCATACGAAAGTTTACTGTCGATGTTTGATACCCAGGTGTTGTGATTTTCCTCCCACTTCAGACCCTTCCGTTGAATAATGTATACGAGACGATTCACATCTACCACAACATACTCTGTCATGAACGAATTGAATGGAGCCGTCTGAAAATTGAATCGATGGTCTTGCAACAACTACAGATTAACTAGAAGTGGAAGGCTTGGAGCTTCCCGCGCTGCGAGATTTCTTGAAACAAGCAAACTCGCCTTTCGTCCGATCTCGCAAGCGTTTGAGTACCACCCGCATCTCTCCCAATTCCGCCTGAAGTTTGGTACGAGCCTCGTGAGTCGTACGACGATCCAGTTCCACGTAAATCTGGCTCTGCAGGTTCGATGCCTCGTCGGTGGAATACTGAATTAGAGTCTGTGCGATAAACTCGGTGTCCAGCGTCGCTTGCATCAGAGCTGCGAGTGAGAATGTGGGGCGGGAGCGGAAGGCGTCTAGAAGAGACGATGAGACCGCTACTAACAGACGAGACAGGATGGTGACCAGCAGTGATGAGGGAGAGTTCTTCGACGCCCGGCTGGAAACTGGAGAGATTGTCGAAGGGATTGTTGTGGAGATTTCAGTGTGCACCAGTACCAGGGTCAGCATGGTGCTATACACGTAGGGTCGCACTTGATCTGGTCGATCTGTAGACGGTACCCAATCTGGCGCCGTGATTCCCGCGTTGATGATCTTGTTCAACGTGGCAATGGTCGGTTGGGTGTATGACTGGAAAAGGCGATCTTCAATCTGCTTAAGGACGTCGGACACAGTCTTCCCTTCTTCCGTCAATTGAACCGAGAATGATGTCTCGAAATTGGCAATCAATCGCGGAACATATTCAGCCTGTAGGGCCTTGAGGTTGGATAGAGTAAGAAGTATTCTCACGTTCTGTGAAGGTCAGCGACGTGCTAGCGAAGCCGAGGATCTGGAGCATGACTTACCCGGTCGTGAGAATCCACAGAGTCCACAGTCAGCACCGACAAAGCAGCGTCGACTACTTGACTCGCCATGACGGGCCTCGATAGAACCCACTCATTCTCCTCTTCCGACAGCGCGAGCCGCTCCGCATTCTCCACGAGACCACTCAATGCCTTATAAACACTGGAGACGAACTGCGTACGCACCATCTGCAGTAATTTTGCAGGTGGCTGAGTGACCACATCCACCGATCCCGGTTTTGCCATAGCTTCGGAAATGTAAAGAATCTTTTGCATGCCACCTAAGATGGCACTTTCAAAGTCCACAAACAAGCAAGGCATTTTTGTTTGATCGCGTTTTTCAGAATCGCGAGTCCAATCTTCGAGCATCTTGAAGATCTCCGCGTCCTTACTCCACGCAGAGCACGCCACACGGGCTGAACGCTCTCGCGCAACGCTAATCACGGTCTTGAGCTGATCACTCGCTTGCGTGGTGTTGCTGACTGGACTCAGCGCTGCCATCTCACTGGCGGCAGTGCCGAGTATGATCAAGAATCTACTGAGATAATGAATACCACTTAGAGAGTTCGAGTATGGCGGCCAGAATGCATAACCCTCCCAATGCTCGCCTGTCTTTGGGATTGAGATGGGTAGATTCTTGGGGTCAAGTTTGAACCGAGATTCGGTAGGCGTCACTCCGCGCGACGCAGGGCTTGTTGGGCTCGGTGGGATTGGAGAGAAAAGCAGCGACATGTCCTCCGTGGGCGGATCATTGAAGAGTGAAAGAACATTCTCCCGGATGAGAGTGACCAGCTCCACAACGCCTTGCTCAAGTCGCGTCACGTTAGCCGGAGTGAGTCGGTGATGTTTTCGACTCTCGCCTTCAAATCCGACGGGGAGCAGTCTCTGGCGGCTACCGTCAATGAAAGACTGAGCTGCCTCCCAGAAGTCCAGCACTTCACCTAGCAGTCCATTCTGTGAAGATAGAAGCCTCGTCAAGAATGCCTGAATACAGTCCCAAAGTTCAATGACTTGATCGGTGTCCAGTCGCTCCGGTGTATCTGTGAAGCCATCGCGTGGAGCGAGACGCAAAAATGATGCAACTGACTGCGGCGTTGGCACGTCGCCTCCAGCGAGTCTCCGTCGTAGGATTTCAATTTCAACTTTGCAGCGTTCACAGAAAGATGTAATCTTAGTCTTCAAAAACTCGTATCTGCTGAGCAGCCATGTCCAGATCGGGTTGTTGTCCACCCCTAATTCCAGCAAGGCGCCAATCAACTCCATGTGTTCCTCTTTGGGGCCTAACGCGGTACTGGTCGTGGAAGTCGTGGGCGCATCGCTCAATCGCCTCCAGAGATCCCGCTTGAAGTTCTGAATCTGCAAGTCAACATCCGTCCACATGCGACCCATCGCGAGAATGGTGTGCGTTTCGTTATCGGTCAATTGTCTTCGAGAACTGGAGGCCTGCTCCACAATGTTCTTTGCTCGGTTTGCCAAAGTGCGACTTTTCGTGTACTGCTCGAATACGGCATCATAGTCGCGCTGTTGGATGGCCTTGGACAAATGACTCCCGATCTCGTACACATCGCGGTGCTTCTCCATCGTTTCCACGACGGATTTGAGGACCAACTCCCGATCTCTTCCACCCAGCGCAGGTCCCCATACTTCCTCCGCCTTCACTGAGGCTTCCAAGAGAGGACCTCGGATGCCTTTCATGCCGTATTCGCTTTCTTTGGTCAGGGCATTTTTTTTGGGACCGTTCGTGACAGGTGCAACAGGCGTGCTGGCCTGGTATTGACCAGAATAATTACGGAAATGTCCTGATCGCCGCGGCGCTATCGTCTGTTCATTTGAAGCACCCTGGTCCCTCATTTCCGTATAGACACTATCAATGGTGGCTTTGGCGCGGACAAAACGCTCAAAGTTTGCTTCCACCAGGACTTTCAGAGAGGCTGATTTCTCATCGATCGATTGAGACAAATTGTTCAGTCCCGCGACAAGCGCTTCGATCGAGGCGTCATGATGCACTTGAGATAAGAATAGCGCCGGAGAGAACGACGTGGATGACAGCAAGAAGCGTGACCGTTGGCCTCCATCATCTTCCAGGCGAACACCACGACTCTTGAGTGTTCGAATAATGCTATCACTACCTCCAAGAGGATCAGGTTCATCGCTTTGCGTTGTGTCCCTTCCCTCTTTTCCGCGTCGCGAACCAAAGTTGCTCTGCAATTGACTCGAGGTCCGTTCCAGCGCGAAGTATCGTGATTTGCGAGCGCGCGACTTAGAATGCGAGACGGGCTCCGAGTCCGACACTTCAAGATCGTCTAACGCCGCGGGCCATTCCTCTGGAAATTCAGACGGCAAGTTGTAATGGCTTGCGACGTCGAGATCGGACATCATGGCGGCTTTGTATCTGATCAGGAGTGGAGACGGGACGAGCCACTATCAATCGAGGGGCGACTATTCAGATTCGGAATCAGAGTCCGGGGAGGGCCTGACTTTGAAGGAGTAATTGCGGTCACGATGCAATAGCGTCGTCTCGGCGAGCGACCGGCGGAGCTGTGTGTGCTTGGTGTGTTTATAGAGGTTGCACAGCGGCTCGACGAGAGCTGCGGCAGCAAGATGCGATACAGCTTCCGCAGGAGGCGGCAGAAGGAGGGAATTGGTCACGAATCAAATCAGTAACTGTCCCGAGCCTAAACCCAATGGTCAACGGTAGCGGAGTGGACTGCTCTTCGGGTAGCGGGGGGAAGAGAGAAACCGAACGGTCGAAAAGCACTAATGCGGTCTGGTGCTGCCGCCCGCCTGGAAACCTGAGGAGAAAGCAAAGCGCAGCGCAGAACTGCCACGGTCGGATCGGCACGGGCGCCGAGAAACTCGATTCTTCCGTCCAATTTTCCTTCACTTTTCCTTCTCTCCGCTCCCCTCCCCCCCCCAAGTTACGACGTCTCTCTTACCCCCACCCCTCTTTACTCTTCACCTTCAGGAAACGCCCTTTGTCGGGATCTCCTTCACAATGCTCGCCGCCAGAAACTTCGCTGCTGCTCGCCAATGCCTGCGCTCGGCCCGCATGGGCCCCAGCTTCGTCACCTCCGTGTCGCAGGTACCGTCCACACCCAAATTGTCACTTCATACGCTCATTGTCCACCAAGAACGAACGACAAGGACAAGGACAAGGACCACGCATCGGCTGACTCGAGTGTTTTTCGCCTGTCTAGTTCCGCAGCTACGCTACTTCTCCTGACGAGGCTGTCGCCAAGTTCAAGGGTCAGAAGGGCTCTGATGTACGTTTCCAATCCCCGGAAATGCGAAGTTTTCCCTGCCGCTTGACGTCGTGCCGCCGCCAACCGACAACGCGCGACCTGCATGAACGATTCAGTTACCCCCATGCACGGGTCTCTACACCTTCTAAAACAGCTGTTGATTCATTGATTGTCTGGATAGGGCAAGTACACCGTTACCTTGATCGAGGGTGACGGCATTGGTCCCGAGATCGCTCAGTCCGTGAAGGACATCTTCCAGGCCGCTAAGGTACAGTTCTGCGACATCAATTCAATTCCTCTCCACAGCGCTAAACTCCCTCAAAGGCCCCCATCAAGTGGGAGTCCGTCGACGTCACTCCCATCCTCAAGGACGGCAAGACCGCCATTCCCGATGAGGCTATCCGCAGTGTTCAGCAGAACTACGTTGCGCTCAAGGGTCCTCTCGCTGTAAGTTCATCGACCCTTGCGCAACGCGCTATAATATTTCAAACGGGGCTTAAACCTGATCGCGTCCGATTCATGGGAATAGACCCCCGTTGGCAAGGGACACGTTTCCCTGAACCTTACCCTGCGCCGTACCTTCAACCTGTTCGCCAACGTCCGTCCTTGCCGCTCCATTGCCGGCTACAAGACCCCCTACGACGGCGTCGACACTGTCCTGATCCGTGAGAACACCGAGGGTGAATATTCCGGCATTGAGCACGTCGTCGTCGACGGTGTCGTCCAGAGCATCAAGCTCATCACCAAGGAGGCTTCCGAGCGTGTCCTGCGCTTCGCCTTCCAGTACGCTCAGTCCATCAACAAGAAGAAGGTCCGCGTCGTGCACAAGGCTACCATCATGAAGATGTCCGATGGTCTCTTCCTCAACACTGCCCGCGACATCTCCAAGGACTTCCCCGATGTCGAGTTCGACGCCGAGCTGTTGGACAACTCGTGCCTGAAGATCGTCACTGACCCCACTCCCTACAACGACAAGGTCCTGGTCATGCCCAACCTGTACGGTGACATTCTGTCCGACATGTGCGCTGGTCTGATCGGTGGTCTTGGTCTGACTCCCTCCGGTAACATCGGTGACGAGTGCTCCATCTTCGAGGCCGTCCACGGTTCCGCCCCCGATATTGCCGGTAAGGGCCTTGCCAACCCCACTGCTCTGCTGCTCTCTTCCATCATGATGTTGCAGCACATGGGTCTCCACGACCACGCCAACAAGATCCAGAAGGCCATCTTCGACACTCTGGCCGAGGGCAAGGTAAGTTTGAGTTCCACGAAATTACCATATTGAGATGGTAGATCGATGACTAACGCTATGATTTACCTAGACCCTGACTGGTGACCTTGGCGGTAAGGCCAAGACCCACGAGTACGCCGAGGCGATCATGAAGCGCCTGTAAATGATCTCGCTTTCTGCAATACCTGTACTATGACCTCCTTTGATTGCTTTCATTTGTTTCTCGAACGACCTTAGACTTCCTATAGCGATCGAAATATACCTCTTTGTGGACAGCCATTACATGGTTATGAGATTGTTCCGCTTTTGAAATTTGCGGATCTGACGTAGGTGATCTGGGGTTAATGACGAGGAGCAAGTATGCAGTGCCTCAATCAAGATGTCAATTCGAAGAGAAAGCACACCCAATCTGTCTGCTTGCTCTAACAGATTCGATTCCGGATTCTCCCAATGTCACACTCACTACAACCCGAGGCCGTGGAGGTCCGTTTCTTCGATATACGCACCCGGGTCAAGGGCTGGTTGCCCGGTCGAAACAAAGCCCGATTTCTGACGTGCTTCTTGTTCCAACGAAGCATGACCTCTTCGTGAGTCGGGGAAGAAGTCATTTTGTCGGTGACTGATCGTATTCATAAAGACAAGACATCGCTCAAACGCCCAATAACCGTTCGTCTGGTATCATCAAAGCGCAACGACAAAAGTAAAATTCAGGTTCAGCGCCGGCGACCAGTGCGACGCGTGCCAGTGCTTGCGGGTGCTTTTTTCGTTCCCTTAGGCTTCGTTCGAGATGCTTTCGCTCGAGTGCTTCTTGTGCCTCCTTTGTCACTGGTTTCCTCTTCTTCCTCTGCTTCTTCACCCTCATCCCCGTCACTGTCCTTGCCAATATCACTTCCGTCCTCGCCGCCGTCGTCCTGACCTTCGTCATTCGCACCGGACTCTTGGCTCGATTCGAGGTCTTCGTCCGATGTTTTACCCTGGCTTCCAGAGCCAATTTCGACTTGTAAGCGTGTAGAGCGGGTTTCGCGAGTGGGTCGACGAGTACCGCGAGTGTATCTGCGACCTCGGGACGGGACGGGGGATGAACGGGGCTCTGTGTTGAAATCTCTCATTCAGTGACGTTGCTTCTAAAACCACTGCACATGGGTTTCAGACAAGCCACTTACCATCCGTGTCTGCAACAGTGCTCCCTCGCCGGGACTCTACATGTCGACTGGTCACAGGTGACAGTGAACCTTCCGTAGCCAATCTTCTTTCGAACATGAGATCTCCATATTCATCATATGGCAGCTCAAAAGGCCAATACATCTCACTGGGTTCTTCGTCGTCTTCGTTGCTGTCTGCAAAAATCGCATCTTCCTGTTGGAGCAACGTCATTAGCGATCAGATGATAACACCACTGTAAAGATCGAAGCTGCTCACACGCTCATCCAAAGCTTCAAGGTTGTATAGCGTGCCCAACTTCTTCCATATTCCCGGTATGCGCATATGCTCCGCTGACGATGGCGCATATCCTTGGCTTTTCAAATATTCGGCGATCGCTAGCATTCGAAAGTGTTTGTGGACGCCTGCAACGAACACAATGTATTAGCTCAAGAGGCTCTAACGAAGCAACTCGATTGCAGCGTATCTTGAGCGCTCACCGACAGGTTTCCATTTTATTATTGCCTTGAGCAATGCCGTCTCCTGGTCATCCGTCCACGGATCCGCTAACAAGTCATAGGCCGCTTCGGGCTTCTCAGCAAGGTCATTGGAACCAGGAGTTTCTCCGCGAGACTGCGCAGTTGTATCCTCAGGGGGTGTGATAGAGTGCGCGCGTTTGACTTTCTTTCGGGGTGGCATGTTTGAATTCGCTATAAACACTTGCGGTCACGAGGACTCGGAGCTCAAGTTGCTTAACATTTGTTGCGAGTCGCATGAACCGCGTTTCGAGATCGTGAGCCGCCGGGACTTGTTATCGGATGGCCTGTGCACGATAACGTTCTGCCGATGCGCGAGCTCGAACAGTTTCGCCGCAATTACCATGAGCACCTCGGACCTTGTCGAGTCGTGTAACTCGCAATGTGCTCAACATGCAGTCTGGCGACCATGGGATGAACCCTTTCTCCAGTGAAGATCTATGGCGAATTTCCAAATTCACTATTGAGGCATTGCCGCCATTGGAGGAACTCCCGTGGGACTCGAGCTTGTCAGGTACGCGGTACCGCTTCATGCCTATTGCCCACTGCCCACATAGGTGAACTTTGGACTAACGATGGTCTCAAGCGAACCGCGAGGATAATGATCTGGTGACACGGAAAGGCCACGCAGTTCCGGAATCGGTCTGGAAGCTTGATTTCTTTTCCGATAATCTCGAGCGTCCCCATTCACCGACAATCTCAACAGCCGGTCCGTCAGAGGACACCGAATCTACTGCGCCCCCGTCAGTTCAACACGATGCGACTGAAGTCGAGGCGATCTGGCAACTAGATTCTCTCAACGCATTCCCGAAAGCCTTATCACCCTTGAAGACGTGGGATAGACAATTTGATCCTCAACATCGTGAACGTGTATCTGCATATTTCACCGAATCAGGCGCGAGAGGTTTCGACGCGGCGTTATCACGCCAGGCCCAAGTGCATGGGAAGCCAATTGCTGGCCGCTTAGTAAATGAAGACATATTTCTTCGTTCCGTATTCCAGCTTGGACTAGGCTGGAGCTCGCCGTTGTTTCGCTATAATGAGCACGCAATGACCTTTGACACTGCCGTCGACAACATGCGTGTCTCGGGAGTCAGCATGTCGATGCTGCAGAGTCTCATATCAAGCGTATTACCTTGCGGGGTAAAAATACAACTTCTGCGACGTTTCACACGAACTGTTCCCGGTCAACCGACCGACCTACCGAGCCTTTTCACTCTGCGTGGTACAGTTGGTGTCATTCTCCGCAGCCTTGAGGCGCAAGTCTTGGGTCTTTCTCATCAAATAGTTTCGCTTCTGCAAGTCTCGAGTTTGTTCCGGACATGCGGTGACTTAGTCAACGCAGTTGCAGATATTGTACAGGCGGCACAGCAGTCAACTTCCGACGCCGATGTCATTTCGACTGTCCTTGATCGTGCCTCTCAATTTGCTCAAGCATTCGGCCGAATGGAGAACTTGTTGTTCGAAATCGTTGCACGAATCAGCAGCCCATGGCTTGAGTTTGCTGAGCACTGGATCGGACTCAGCCCTGAAAACGATGCGCTGAATGGGCTGATCGCGGGCGGGAAAATGTTCGTTGAGTTGCGCGATCATGACGTTTCGACGAGATTCAAGACAGTCTCTAAGAGAACAGACTACGACTTAATCATGGCCAATATTCCGTCGTTTGTACCGAAAGACCTTGCGCGCACAATGTTCGAGTGCGGAAAAAGTCTGCGTCTTCTGAAGAAATCACATCCAGCGCACCCAATTGGCAGAAGAGACGTCATTTCACAGGCTGGCAATTTCACCTTGCAAATTGCAACTACATGGGATGGCATTGAACGAATCCAACGACAGGCGCAATCTTACGAGTCGAACCTTCGCAAAGAAATTCTGCGATATCAGCGTGCGAGATCGCACGAGCGAAAGTCAGAACTCGATTCCCCTCGTGTGGACACCGGCTCGTCTACAGTGCTAGACTCGGTGTACGAGCTGTTTGATGTGGATGACGAGACCCGGCTTCAAGATTCGGCACTGGAACACAAAGACTTTGTCGACAGCAAACTCGCCCGATTGATGCAGAATACGGAAGAGCAGCCTTCAGATCTAGTCACCACGAGCAGTCGTTTTGGCCCTGAATTGCCGTCTGCTCTTTATTTGTCTCTTGCACCAGTTGTTTCTTCCCAGTCCCAACTGGTTGACTACTCGTATCTTCACCATTTGTTCAAAGAGCACAACCTACGGCATCATCTTAGTCTACAAAGGCGATTCCAGTTGCTCGGAGATGGACCTTTTGCGACACGACTCTCTACTGCTCTCTTTGACTCTGAAATGGAGAGCGGGGAGCGCAAGAGAGGCGTTGTTCGAACAGGTATTCATACTGGACTGCGTCTCGGGAGTCGAGATGCATGGCCTCCCGCCAGCTCCGAACTGCGGCTCGTTCTCAATGGCTTGCTTGGCGAATGCTATTCGTTCAACGAAGACCCCATAACCTCCGACCACCCGAACACCAAGCCAGAAGGCAAGGAGCTTCCAGGTGGTTTGAGCTTCGCCATCCGCGATCTCACCGATGCTGAAGTTGAGCAATGCAGAAACCCCAATGCGATCGAAGCGTTGGATTTCCTTCGACTGCAATACAAACCTCCCGAGGCTCTAGAGGTATTGTTGACGCCAAAATCCTTGACGCGATACGATCGACTCTTCAAACATTTACTTCGACTATTCCGAATGATGACTGTCGTAAAAGAGATCGTCCGAGACTCTACTCACCGCGGCTCCACCTCAGGAGATCCACGGAACAACTTTCAAAGATTCCGAGTGGAAGCTCAGCACTTTGTGCTGGCGCTCAGTGACTATTGCTTCCAAGTTGCGATAGGGCTCAACTGGAGCAACTTTCAAAAATCGCTTGATAGAATTGAGCACTGCCTTGATCGTGGCGATATCGATGGAACCATTGAAGTCGCCCACTCAGTCCCGCGGCTGCGCGGGTTTCACGAAGACATTCTAGACCAGATGCTTTTCGCCATGTTTCTGAGTAAAAGACACTCCCAGGCGGCGAAACTACTGGATAGCATTTTTGGAACGATTCTGTCTTTCGTTCCTCATTCTAAAGCTGAAGGGTGGCAGGGGCTGAGACACGAAAACGAAGAGGTTGTTCTGCATCTCTACTCGACCTTTCAGAAACATACTTCTGCTTTTGCTGCATACTTGCGGGCCCTGGACCCAAGCAAGGCGTCGGCCAAGCCGATGGGGAAATCTGGAACGCTCCTCGATTCTTCAACTGACACGTGGAGCATCTTTGAGCATCTGCGAATTCGGCTCAATATGAAAGAGTATTACTGACCAGTGGCCGGCCTGGTGTGCCGGATCGTCATCGCATGTGTCAGGCATCCAATTGTCTGCGCAGTCTTTATGAAACTGAAAGATGAAGTAATCTCCAATCGCACCCGTTCACACCAACCAAGCTATGGAAATGATTTTTTTTAGCACTGTGCTATATCTGTACGATGATTTTGGTTTTCAAGACAGTAGTCCCCCTCTTTATTCTCCTCCTTACTCTCCTCCTTACTCTCCTCCTTACTCTCCTCCTTACTCTCCTCCTTACTCTCCTCCTTGACTGTGCCCCTCTTGTGGGCCTTCAAGCGCGCAGAGCCACACCGCATAAAAAGCAATAAACTCATCGAGGGCCTACACGAGGCCTTTCGCAGTACGACTCTTTGGCGGGAATGAAACCATCAAGTCTGCCTGTGAGACTGCGGAAGAGATGTGGAGCAACCAAGCTCATGAGCATGGGTTAGCTGCGGTTGATTCCAAACTGTCTAATCATTCGCCTTCCAAGGATGACTGTGTTGTATACAAGATGTGGTAACCTCAGACTGATTATGTAATGACATCTGATTGGGAGTTGGACTAGCGTGTGGAGCTGCTCTCGGCAACGGGGCCGGACGGTCGAGTGGAGAGACGTTGATGTCTGCTTGTACTCCATTGGGTGTATTTGATGTGTTTGATTCAGGATGTCAACGATGTTTCTTACTTGGCACTCGTCTGCATGACTGCTCGATGTTCGATTGGGGGGTACAAGATCTTGGAGCGCGTGGTAGGCGCATCGAGATTTGCGCAGATGTCAACGGAACACGCAATGATGAGCATCAAATGACAGCGAGCATGAAGATGTGACTCGGGAAAAAAGCTTGGAATTGCGTCCATAGAAATCGGACATGTCGGTCGATAATCGGTCAGTCAGGATTCGATTGTGAAGTAACAACCAGCTCATACCGTAGGTATGTATCTGGGAGTCCGTTCTTCAAGGGTTGACGAGGCATTTTGCTTGCGCCCGTATGTGAGGATCAATCGCAGGTGCTCGATTGACATCTATATAAATTCAGAAGCTTTGTGCTCAGGCATTGAATCAATGTTCTAGAAACAGACTGTGCTGTCACAATATCGGTCATAAAGCTTTTCCAACTCTATCGCAGTTTAGCTTTCGAGTCAACCTTACCAGAGTCCATCAAATGGCAGCTCATCCACTCCAAGCCATCGGCCAGGCCGTTGGCTCGATGGGCATTGATCCCCGACCAGAGCAACTATCGTCCTTGTTTCAAGGAGCAAATGACGGTCCAGCAAAGACCGCCGCGAGGTTGACCGGCGTTCAAGGTCCCGGCAAGAGACAAGATGATGCTTCGTACTTTACGAGCAATGAGGGCATCCCGCTCCTCCTGCGCACAGCAAGACGGTGGGAGGTGTGCCTGTAGTTTCCGACATCCATCTCTTCCAGAAGCAGCAACACTTTAATCGGTCGAAAGATCTTGAGAGAATGGTTCATCCATGTGCGTATCCGGCAGACTTTCGTTCTCCGCCAGGAACATCGTGCTGAGACTTACAATACAACCGCATAGGTGGAAGCGGCGCCTTTGGATATTTTGAAACTATCAAGGACGTGAAAGGCCATTGCAAGGTCAATTGATCCTACCCCTACCATTTTGATGGGCTTCGACACTCACATAGTATGTCACAGGCCGACTTTCTGAAGGATGTCGAACTCAAGACTCCTGTTTTAGTTCGCTTTTCCACTGTTACGTTGGGTTGCGAATTTCCCGATCTTGCCAGGAACCCTCGTGGGTTTGCCATCAAATTCTATACCGGCGAGAGCAACTATGACATTGTCGGCCTCAAATTTGTAAGTTACTTCCCTGCCGCTCTGAGAGACATGCAATTTGAAGTGACATGCTGACTGACAAATGCCTAGCCGGTCTTCTTCTGTCGTGACCCGATTCAGGGTCCTGATGTGATCCATTTCCGCATCGAAACCCTCAGAACTTCCTACTCGACAACAACTCGTTATTCGATCTGCTCGTCACCACTCCTGAGGGGTATGGCTATCTCAGACGCATTATTACCTGATCTGATGAGCTCAAATGCTGACCTTCGACATAAGGGAATCACACGGGAATGATGTTCTTTAGCGACCATGGCATGCCCCAGGGCTGGACTCACAATCACGGATATGGATGTCATACTTTCAAATGGTTTGATATCCCCATACCACTCCGATACATGCCACATTTCACTCACGAGATCCTTCCAGGGTGAACAAGGACGGCAAATTCGTCTACATCAAATATCACTTCTTGGCTGAGCACGGCCAGAAGCAATTCACTGTCGACGAAGCTACGCGACTGAGTGGTAAGAATCCAGATTACTTCAAACGTGATATCTGGCGTGCAATCGAGAATGGTGAAGAGATCACCTGAAAGGCCCACTTGCAGATCATGGAGCCCGAGCAAGCTGATCCTACAAAGCTTGAATTTGATTCGTTCGATGTCACCAAAGTGTGACCCAAGTCTGAATCCCCGGTATGGCTGTGTGCACCGTAAACAATATTCATACAATGTCTGGTTGCATCTAGACACTGACATGTCTTCAGCTGCATGAATTGGACAAACTCGTGCTCAACAGAAACCCCGAAAACTTCCATCGAGACGTTGAGCAAGCGGCATTCTCACCAGGTAGTATGGTACCCGGCGTTCAGCACAGTCCGGATCCTCTCCTTCAATTCCGTACCTTCTTCTATCGGGATGCCCAACTTCATCGGATTGGTGTAAACTGACATCAGGTTCCTGGTAAGTAGCACACTTCCCTTTCCTGAATTGGGATTCTCCCTCAAGGCTCACCTCTCTATTTTTCAATAGTTAACTGCCCATTCATGGCACGATCTTACTCCTCTCTCAACTTTGACGGTCAGATGCGAGTAGACGCCAACCACGGCATGAACCCCCAATATGCACCCAACAGCTTTATTCATCAATTCCGTCCCGACACCGCAGAAGCACCCTACCAGCTCTCCGACAGCATCATGAGTCGTAAATCGCACTTCTCCCATGAAGGCAGCCCGTCAGAGTACTACCAACCCCGTATGCTCTATGAGAAATTCATGGACGACAAGGCCCGGGACCACTTGCATAAGACCACCGCAATGGCACTCAAGCTGGTGAACTCTTCGATTATTCAGAAGAAGTATCTGGCTCGGTTTCTGCGGGTCTCGCGCGCGTACGCGGAGGAAGTTTATGCCTTGCTGCCGGAGAAGAATTTTGGGTCTGAAGAGGTGGAGGAGGCTTCTCGGGTCGCGGAGACAGCGGGTAAGGAGCCGAAGTTCTGTCCTCATTTGGAGACGGACAAGTTGGTGGGAAAATGCCCGGCGATGCAAATATATAATCAGTGGCTAGCGAGGCATTGGGCGTTGCAGCCTGGCTAGCTATCGTTCATGACTTCGGAAAATATAACGTTACTACCGGATCGTGGTCTGACTATGAAGTCCTGCTCTTAAGGTACGTTGTAGCCGCATTTCACCATGGAGAAGTATGAGCGAACCTCCATGTTGAACTCGAGTCTCCCAATTGATATTCTCTTATTGCATTTGTGAATCATTCATTGCGGCGGAAATACTGCGTTATTTCATTCAGAAGAAGTGAAGATCAGACTCAGCCCAGCCTTGCGCCAGGAGTGTTTTCTTCGCGAACTGTTCCATTGCTGGAGGCCCACATATCAAAACCATGCTCAGCTCCTCCGGGGCTACAAATTTATGTAATAAGGTCTCCGAGATTCTGCCTCGCAGACCTTTCCAGCTCTCTGACCCCTGGGTGAGCGTGTGTACGACACGACACCTTTGTGCATGTTGTTCCGCGTACATTTCGAGCTCGGACCGACACAGAATATCTTCCTCCAGTCTATTCCCATCCAGCACGACGCAATTCGTAGAATCGTTCGTATCTTGCATGACGGCCCGCAAAACTTGGAAGATGGGTGTGATGCCCGTGCCGCCGCAGATCATTTTCAGGGACTGGACAGGACGCTTCTTGCCGCTGATGAGCACCTCGCCCTTACCCAGGTATTGGAAACGGCCGGTGGGCCCCTTGCAGTCCACCACGGCTCCGAGTGGAAGTCTGTCTAGGGCCATGGTCATCTTTCCACCGGGTGTGTTTGTATCGGGATTGTATATTTTGACAAGAAGTTCCATGCGTCCTTGTAAATTAACTTCTGAGATGGGAGTGTATGACCTGATAATGGGTTCGTTGCTGATGGGGTCATTCAGTTTGATCATGAGGTGCTGACCGGTGGGTAGACCTAAGGTCTGCGTTTCGTGTTCCAGTTGGAAGACAAAGGTCTTCGTGTCCCAGGATACAGTCTTCTTCTCTGATAGCTTGAGCTTAGACCAGGCATTTGGTTGAAGGAATGTCGGGCGTCGCTCCCCTGGTGTGGGTTGAGTGCTGTTCTTGAGGGCTTTCATTGCATCGGGGTGCAAGGTGCCGATGTGATAGTCGGGCATCATCGCCTTTGCTGTTTCGCTATCTGCAGAATCTGATCAGCGTGGATTCCATAAGATAGCGTTTGATGAGTTCCTCAACTTACGAATTGCCAAAAAGTCCTCTGACACATCAAGACCAGCAGAGGATGTAATGCTAATTGCTCCCCCCGGATGACCCTCCAGAAATGCAGTGCCGTCGTAAACTTCGCCCTTGACCACGAACCAGGGTTCCCCGTTGCTGCTACTGATCTTCAATTCATCAAGACTGATAAGCCGGCTCACACCGTCCTTCTTCATGCAGATCTCCTTGACTGGCGCTTGTGCCAGAGGCTCGTCACTTTGCTGCCTCTCTCCCCAGTAGCCATTGGTTAAATCTCCGCCGCTCTTTTTCACTTTTTCCATCCACCCTCCCGCTTTGGTCGGATGCGTAGGGTGCTCAAAGATCAAGCTGCCACCTTCTTTGGTGATCGTGACTCGAAACCACGGGTTGTTCATCATTCCAAGCACAGACCAGTACATGTCGCGCGGTTGCACGGTCATGGCATCGTCCATGGCACGGACGAGCAGGGCATCGCTGTCTTGTAGATCTGCGACGGGAATAGCGAGAGACCAGAATGACCAGCAGAAACATGTTTCTCGCTGCCACATGTCGACTTTGCCGCCGAAGAGCTCGCCTTCGTACTCACGGTATCGGTCTTCGGCGTAGTTGATCTCGGCTAAGCGCCATGCTAGGTGATAAGAAGAAGGTTAAAGTCAGAGACGCGTGTTTCATGGACTCAATACTCGCAGACTTGACTTACATTTGCCTTTATCTAGAGAAAGTTCAACTCTTGTGATTCTTCGTCCCCCGCCAGCATAGGCGTAGCCTTTCGCTGTATAAAACTCGCCACTTGTTGTGAGGTCCAGTCGTTCTTCGTGTTCAGGATACACCGTGGCCGAGTTGACATTCAAATCGTAGATGGCATATCGTTCATCCGTCCACCACTTTTTATGCTGGGCGGACATTTCAGGGGAGACCATTGTTCTGAACAGTTTGGGCTGTTAGTTGTCTCTGAAATAAGACAAGGTCCGGTCTCTCCATGGGTCACGAAAACTCACGGTAATACTCGATTGTCATTGACATGATACCAATTATCGCTGGGGGTATCGGTCACGATCAATCTGGTCAACCATTTCACGCTGCGACCTCCAATCTGTCCCGGGACCACAACCCGTAAAGGACGTCCATGATCAGGTGTCAGCGGTTCGCCATTCATCTTATACGCCAACATAATGCCCTTGTTCCGGTCCAGGGCCCAGTTCAATTTCACTGAGGTACCATAGAAACCATTCGGCTACGAGATGATGATATGAATTAGCTTGGAATTCTTTTTCATTTCTTTTGTGGGGGAAAAAAAGAAGAAGCCTTTGAATGCAGTGCCATCATACTAACCAGTTTGTCCGCGCCCTCCATACACACAAATTTGGCTCCACGACGAGGTCGGGCACTTCGCAAGACATCTGCCATCATCGGCCCTGTGAACAACGCCGTCGACAGTCCCGAGGGTCCCCATGAAAATCCCTTAGATTTGCGAACGGTGTTTTGCTCCTTTCGTCGGTTACCAGCACAGACAAGGGTGACGGGCGCAGTGATCTGATCGTAGTTTTCGACAATTTCCCGCATGCTCAGGCTCACGGGGTTTTCAACGAGTCTGGAGGGGAAGGGGAAGAGGTCAGTCATTGCACGGCAGTCAAATGTGACATGGTGGCGTATGCGTCAATCGTACCCTTCTATACGCACGCTCCATTCTGGGATATCTTGATCCCGGACCTGTGGTACGGGACCATGATTGCGAACGTAGAATAACTCGGGTGACGTGAGGAATCCTAGTCATGGTCAGTTACAATTATAATGATCAAGCGATGGCAGGGAGAACAGAGAGTATCTTCCTCTTTCTTTGCTTTTTTCTTCTTTTCTTTTTTGGCTTTTCTCGGGGGAAATACCTTCATTGAACAAAGCTGTCAAGGGAGGTTCAACATTGAAAGGGTGGACGCCTGTCAATCGAAGAAGTCTCGGGTCGCGAGGTACATGGTGATCTGGTGTACCTTTGTCGAGGTCAAGGATCTCGGTGGGGAGGAAAGAAGGTGGAGGAAGTGGAATATCGACTTCTTGTGGTGTGGGGAGGTCATGCAGTTCCGTGTGTCGTTTCTTAGTAAGGGAATAGTCCTCGGTGACGCAGATGGTTGTTGTGGAGGGTAAGGCCAAGGTCGCCATGATGACTTGTTGGAAGGAAGCACAGGGGGACGTCCCTCACTTGATACGGAGGGAATTTGATGCTTTGAAGCGAAGAATGAGATCAATGAATAGTTTCTAGTATACGATGCTTTGATCATTCAAGGCCAGCTCCATTCGATCCGTAGCTTCTCGGCCTGTTCTTGAGGACGATTGTCATCCGGGACGATCTGGAGGCTCTCTCTGGTGGCCACATTGCCCACGCTATCACGGGCATTCTACCGCCTGTATCTACCAATTCAAGGTCACGAATTCGATCAGATAGAGACTCAAGTGGTTTCTCCGCGGGCTGTTTGTTCCCATCAACGGATAGTCCAGATATCACGACCACATCATGCATCCGTCCTGGGTACTTCTACTGTCTGTTGCTCATGGCCGAGTGTCTCCAACGCGTATCTGATTCTTATCTAATCTATACTAGAATCGTAACCAATCACCGCCCCCGCGATCTTATCATCCTCTCCAATGACAGACCCACACGAGTTATCGACTAAGCCTGATTCGGCAGGTTGTCGATCGACACTGTGGATGCAGTCGGCTATCGTCAACTGCTTCAACTTCCGGGCGTTTTCGTTTCGATTAGTCTGACAAGTGTTGAAGTGACAGCATCTCCGCGGAAGTCTCTTCTGTAGATCTGGACCCCTGCTGGTACTCCATGTGTCAGTCATGCAGTCTAAGGTTAGTCACTAGTAGTCCTGTACTAGGATACCTAGTGCTAGTGCAGTCACTGATTGTCCACCCTAGTGACGACCTCGACCTGGATCTTCCGATCGAGGTTTGCTCGGTCGTCAACTTGAAGCCCATGACCCGATCCTTGATGCGGGATAGCGGCCATCAATTAAATCAGGTGATATCAAAAGGCGGTGGTATATTCTCTCTGCAATCAATATGATGCCCATCTCTCCCCTCGTAGATATACTTTGTTGAAGAAGAAGAAGAAGAAGAGGGAAAGAAAAAAGAACTGGAAGGTCAAACACCACTTCAACTTCGTCGTCACGGTCACACACACATCCAAGATGCCCCCAGTATTAGACGGGCTCCGTCACAGCGAGCCAGTCGACGGGAGTGCCAGTCCCCGTGTACATCCACAGAATGACAACCCACGGCAAAGAGTGGTGGTCGTGGGACTGGGAATGGTAGCAATCTCCTTCATGTAATACTCCCATCTCCACGCCCCGACCACATCCAAACGATTCTGAAAAAAAAAAAAAAAAAACACCATCGCTAAGATCTAGGAATTCAGCGAGAAATTGATCAAGCAAGACACGACCGGCCAGTACGATCTCTTGGTCATCGGAGAAGAGCCATACATCGCCTATAACCGTGTGGGCTTGTCATCCTTCTTTGAGCATCGAAAGATTGAAGATCTTTACTTGGAACCTCAAGAATGGGTGAGAAGGAAATTCCCTCCAAGTGGATCCAATGTGATGCATATCATTGCATTGAAACGACCTCATCTCTAATCCGCAAATCTTCGTTCAGTACGCCTCCTTCAAAGATCGCAAATTCGACTACCATCTCAACACCCGCGTCACCGAGATCCACCCGGAGACCCAGACGGTGCAGACATCCACCGGAGATTCAGTCCCATACGACATCCTTGTCCTAGCAACTGGCTCCGATGCCGTTCTCCCAACCAAGACTCCCGGCCACGATGCCAACGGCGTCTTTGTGTATCGCACGATACAAGACCTCGAGCGACTCATTGAATTCGCGTCCAGGCACAAGGGGCAAACGGCTGTGACCGTGGGAGGAGGACTGTTGGGACTCGAAGCGGCCAAGGCCATGACCGATTTGGAGGACTTTGGCAGCGTCAAACTGATCGATCGCAACAAGTGGGTCCTGGCCCGTCAATTGGATGCGAATGCGGGCACGCTGGTGACTCGCAAGATTCGAGAGCTGGGCCTGGATGTGCTTCATGAGAAGCGGGTGAAAGCGGTGGATACCGACGCCGAAAACAATGTGGTGGGCATCATTTTTGAGGATGGAGAGCAGATCGAGTGCTGCTGTATTTGTTTTGCGGTCCGGCTTCCCGTTTGCCATGAAGCTTCGATGCTTTTCCGATTGAGGCCATGTGGAAAGGCTAACCTTGTCACCATAGATTGGCATCAAGCCCAGAGATGAACTGGGCCACGCGGCCGGCATCAAGTCAGGTACACGGGGAGGATTTGTCATTGGCGAAAGGTATGATCCAGCGGGATTTTGGAGTGTTTGGAGGGTGAGGAAAGCACAGCATACTAAACTATCTTTTCAAAACCAGCCTTCAAACTTCCATTCCCAATGTATACGCAATCGGTGAATGTGCAAGTTGGGAGAATCAGACATTCGGCATCATCGCCCCAGGCATCGAAATGGCCGATGTGCTGGCCTACAACCTTACCCATGCCGACGGAGAGCAAAAGCGCTTCACTCGGCCCGATCTCAGCACCAAGCTAAAGCTCCTCGGTGTTGATGTGGCATCCTTTGGGGACTTTTTCGCCGATCGAGATGGTCCTAAGTTTCTCCCGGGTGCTCGTCCGGCGGTCATTGAAAATCCACTGAGCGATGAACACTGCATCGAACAACAGGAACCGCCCGTCAAGGCCTTGACATACAAGGATCCTTTTGGAGGTGTCTACAAGAAGTACTTGTTCACCATGGATGGCAAGTTTCTGCTCGGCGGTATGATGATTGGTGACACCAAGGATTATCTCAAATTGAATCAGATGGTCAAGAGTCAGAAGGAGCTGAATATCCCTCCGAGCCAGCTCATTCTGGGGGCTCAGAAAGATGGTGATGAGAATGCCGATGACCTGTAAGTTCGTCCCCTGTTGAACCTTCCTCACCTGATTTCTTTCGATGGCACAGAGTCACTCATGCAGCATCTTCCAGAAACGATGATGTGCAAATCTGTTCTTGTCACAATGTGACCAAGGGAGATGTGGTTGAATCGGTCAAGAACGGAACTTGCAAGACGATGGCCGAGGTCAAGTCATGCACCAAAGCTGGGACAGGCTGTGGTGGCTGCTTGCCCCTGGTGCAGTCCATCTTCAACAAAACCATGCTAGAAATGGGTCAAGAGGTTTCAAATCACCGTCAGTACCCCACCCACAAACTGACCATACAACCGACATGAACTTGTAGTGTCTAGCTTGCTAATCGCCTAGTCCCCTCACAGTGTGTCAACATATCCCCTACTCCCGTGCCGACCTCTACAATATCGTTGCCATCAAACAACTGAAGACATTCCCGGAGGTAATGAAAGTCGCCGGCAACAACCCCGAGTCCCTGGGCTGTGAAATCTGCAAACCTGCAATTGGATCCATCCTATCCAGCCTGTTCAACCCACACATCATGGACAAAGGATACAACGATCTCCAAGATACCAACGACAGATTCCTGGCCAACATTCAAAGAAACGGCACATTTTCAGTGGTCCCTCGAATCGCAGGTGGAGAGATCACCGCCGATAAGCTGATCGCCATCGGGTCTGTCGCGAAGAAATACGGACTGTATTGCAAGATCACCGGTGCCCAGCGGATCGACATGTTTGGCGCCAAGAAGCAGGATCTGCTCAGCATCTGGACGGAATTGGTAGATGCCGGAATGGAAAGTGGTCATGCCTATGCCAAGGCGTTGCGTGCCATCAAGAGTTGCGTCGGGACAACATGGTGTCGATTTGGGGTCGGTGACAGCGTTGGCATGGCCGTGCGGTTGGAAGAGCGATATAAGAGTGTACGTGCTCCTCACAAGTTCAAAGGTGCCGTCTCCGGCTGTGTGAGAGAGTGTGCCGAAGCGCAAAACAAAGAGTGAGTCTGATTCTTACCTGTCCCCCCCCCCTTCAATCAACGTGTCTCTCGTCCTCTCCTACGCCGAATTCAGTATGCTGATACCTTTCATCTCTATTACCATAGCTTTGGTCTCATTGCGACGGACAAAGGGTTCAATATCTACGTGGGAGGCAATGGCGGTGCGAAACCTCGACATTCGGAGCTGTTGGTGACGGATGTGCCACCCGAGATGGTGATGCCGATCATTGATCGCTATCTGATCTTCTACATCCGCACCGCGGACAAGTTACAACGGACCGCGCGCTGGATTGAGAACTTGCCCGGTGGAATCCACTACCTCAAGGAGGTGATCATCGACGACAAACTGGGCATCTGCGCCGACATGGAGCGACAGATGCAAGAGCTAGTAGACAGTTACTTCTGCGAATGGACCGAGACCGTGCGGGACCCCAAACGCCGCAAAGTGTTCCAGCAATTCGCCAACACCGACGAGACCGTCGAAACAGTCGAAGTGGTTCAGGAGCGTGCTCAGAACCGGCCGACATACTGGCCTGCGACCTCTGCACAGGAGGATTTCCAGGGTCATCAATGGTCAAGTACGTCGTGGCAGCCCATCATTCGCGCGGACCATTTCTCGGACGAGCCTCCGCGAGTCTCGTCGGCGAATATCAAGCGGGGCGATACCCAACTGGCCATCTTCAAGATCAAGGGCGAATTCTACGCGACTCAGCAGATGTGTCCGCACAAGCGAGCCTTTGTCCTGTCGGACGGGCTAGTGGGCGATGACGACGCCGGTAAATACTGGGTCTCGTGTCCATATCACAAGCGCAACTTTGAGCTGAACGGGGAGCAAGCCGGGCGATGCACCAATGATGAGAATGTGAACATTGCGATTTTTCCCGTGGAAGAGCGAGAGGACGGCTGGGTATATGCCAAGTTACCCCCCGTGGAAGAGTTGGACGAGATCCTCGGAACGAAGAAGTGGAAAGTCAAGAAGGGAGAGGCTCCAGATCCGTTCCAGAAGATGGATAAACGATACAAGGGGATGAGAGGGAAGAAGATCGCTGAAGGTCAAGGCCCTTTGCGGTCTCAAGCTCAACCGGCAAAGGGAATTGACTGGTGATAGGGTGTTTGATTGTGTTTGTGATCTTTCTACGCGGATGGGCTGGAGCGAAGGCATTTTGAGACTTTAGCGGGTTCTTATTGAATTGAGCACCTATATGTTATTGTTATTTGGTTCAGCTAGGGCTCAGGACTCTTCCGGCAGTCGGGATCAACAATGAGCGCGAGTTCGTCTGAGCATATCCGATTACCACGAGTCCAGAATCCTAGGTGCTGATTCGTCATCTTCCGAATTCTCGATGAGATATACAACCCATTGGGGAACCTTCAATCAATCCTGATCTCTACTTGATGAGCACCAAGTCTTCCAAACCTCTGCTGACGACCGACGAACATGAAAAATACCGACAACGTGAGTCAGTAGTCCGGTCGAGGGCAAGGTGGTGGAATTTGGTCTTCCTCACTTCTGCCACGCTTGGGGTTTCAGCTCAGTGGCGATGAGGAACCATCACATGCCTGCCGCCAGATTGTTGTACTCGTTTACCGTAGTCTCTCGCGGGCATGTGATAGCATCGCGTACAAATTGAGTCCGCATACCGGGTTTACTAATGTACTAGTTATGTAGGTACATAGAGCATCCTTAGTAGAATGCGACAAGTAAGGTCAAGAATCATCTCTATCCAATCTTTCCCCGGACCAAGTTGGAATCTGAATTCTCTGCCACACATCATCCATGCGGTCGGCTCCCGACACGACCCTCTCTCTACACCGCACAAACCCTACATTCTACTCAATGCAGAGCATGCACTGCTGCAGATCGAATCTCCAGCCTCAACCCCAGAATACAGGATTTGATTTCCCGTCCCACATCATTGCTTGAAGGTTGTTGTGTCAGAAATTAGAGCCCACGCCCCCAGATAAACCCCAGATACGCTATCTTGTTGGACTATTTCCGCGGAAGTCTACGATCGACCTGGGGGAAACAATGCTCCATGAGAATCCACAATCTAGACTACCACGACCACACGCAACAATTGGGCTCTGCTCCATCGCTATCTCTTGTTTCGAGGGACCCAATCGGCGGCGGTGTCTTTATCATCGACGGGGACCGGTGGGCCTCAGCTGGACCCACTGGTTTTCAACCTAAAATCCGAGAATAGCTTAGTTGCGATCAATTGGATCCGCGATCTGGAGAGGTTTTGGGGGTGGATTGGAACCTTTGGGTCTTTTGGAACTACTAGTAGGTGTGGCTGTGGAGCAGACGTCTGCTTCACTGAGTTCCGCGGAGTTGTTTCGCTGAGATTCTGGATTACGAGTGAATGACTCTTATCGGATTGAGGTTCTCGTGGTGAATGTTGGACATCGACAAAAGGCTTGTATGGTCAGAGACAACCATTCCGAGAGCTTTGTAGTCTTATCTGTGCCTGTCTGCGAGGGTCTACCAGCCCTGACTGGGTGTGATGTCTGTCAAGGATGGCAGGCATAGAATCTAGCCCTGGCTGCAGCCAGACCGCAGAGGCCTCTGAGAGCCCTTGATCGAGCATCTTCGGCTGGGGTGAATGCCTTATCTCGTATGAATCACACATGAAGATCGACCAACTCTTGTCGAATGGGCACTGGGAGTTGTGGACGTGCTGATCGATCCTTGTTCGACTTAATTGGTTCACGTCGGCTTTTCTCTGTATTGGCTCGAACGGCTCATCCGGCTCTTATTCGTGTGCAGAGTGATGTGCAGAGGTGCACTCTTTGCCTGCCTTGGCGCTCTGATAACCATATCCGCCCGGCTTCGCCAATCTGGGTGAACGGTACCTGGATGCAAAAGTGATACATCTAGTATGTATGACATGTCAGTGAAATCAGACTATCGAGATATCAATCCTTTCCATATCATCTATATAGCCAGCTCGTTGTCGTGGATTTGAATCATTTCCATCCTCAAGGCCCTTCGGAATCAAAAATCAGACCAACAGTTGCAAATATCTTGATACACATCGTTGCTCTGCTCCTCACTCATAGCCTACCTGATCCAACCATTCAATGGGTATGGCTCTCAAAGCCTTCAAGCTCCTCTTCGCCGCGCCGGAGATCAATCCAGCTAATCGAAAAGCAACATCGATTCCGGTCTTGAACCCATTCAATCAATATGGCCGGGTCTTTTTCTTCTCATGGATAGGCTTCATGGTAGCCTTCCTCTCCTGGTATGCTTTTCCTCCTCTGGTAAGTCGGACCCGTGCTCAGCCATCTTGATGCGGAAAACAAAAGCAAAAGAAAGGTGAAGAAAATTGATAGCACAAGCCTCTAACAAGACCATGCATATCACAGTTGACGGTCACGATCAAGAAAGATCTGCACATGAGCCAGAATGATGTGGCCAATTCAAACATTGTCGCGCTGCTCGCAACGTAGGACTCCCCCCCCCTCCTCCCCTTTCCGAACTGGTCTGGTGTCGATCGAGCCATAGCATGATGACTGACGATACCTTAGCTTCCTTGTTCGTTTCGTCGCTGGGCCACTGTGCGATCGATTCGGACCTCGTTTGGTCTTTGTTGGACTGCTGCTGGCGGGCTCCCTTCCCACGGTCATGGCAGGTCTCGTCACGACTCCACAGGGCTTGATTGCTCTGCGTTTCTTCGTTGGTATACTGGGCGGTACATTTGTGCCTTGCCAGGTCTGGTGCACTGGATTCTTTGACAAGAAGATCGTCGGCACCGCCAACGCACTTGCTGGTGGCTGGGGTAATTCTGGCGGTGGAATCACTTAGTATGTTCTTTCCCACACAGAGTCGCTTGATGACAAGACCAGTCTGCGAATGGTTGGTGCCTCTAACAGCCCGTACTCGCCAGTTTCCTCATGCCGGCCGTTTTCGATTCCCTCGTCTCTGCCCAGGGCTTGACACCCCACAAGGCATGGCGAGTCACCTATGTCATCCCCTTCGTCATCATCGTGTCTGTCGCACTCGGAATGCTGTTCTTCTGCGAGGATACGCCCACCGGACCCTGGGCAGATCGTCATCTGTGGGCTGAAAAGACTGCCAACACCCAGACGACTCCTGGTGGCAAGGTCATTGACCTCCGGTCAGGTGTCTCTTCCAGCGGTCCCTCAACGACCCCATCTCTGTATAACATGGGGCTGGACGACGTTGAGAAAAAAGGTGCCCAGTCACCCCATATCTTCGATAGAGACGATCCCGCTCCCGCAATGGGTCAATTCACCACCATCTCGCCGGATACCGTCGTGGCACCAACTCGCAAAGAAGCTCTGAGTGTCGCATTCAGTCTCTCCACTTTCGCAGTTGCCGTACCCTACGCCTGCTCCTTTGGCTCAGAGCTGGCTATCAATTCCATCCTCGGCACATACTATGAAAAGAACTTCCCCCACATGGGACAGACAAAGACCGGGCAATGGGCTGCCATGTTTGGCCTGCTGAATGTAGTGTGTCGCCCGGTGGGAGGGCTTCTGGGAGATTTCCTCTACCGATCAACGGGAAGCTTGTGGTCCAAGAAGCTACTGTTGACCTCACTCGGTCTGTTGATGGGCGCGTTTGAACTGGCGATTGGTTTCACGGACTCCTGGTGGCAAGGTCATTGACCTCCGGTCAGGTGTCTCTTCCAGCGGTCCCTCAACGACCCCATCTCTGTATAACATGGGGCTGGACGACGTTGAGAAAAAAGGTGCCCAGTCACCCCATATCTTCGATAGAGACGATCCCGCTCCCGCAATGGGTCAATTCACCACCATCTCGCCGGATACCGTCGTGGCACCAACTCGCAAAGAAGCTCTGAGTGTCGCATTCAGTCTCTCCACTTTCGCAGTTGCCGTACCCTACGCCTGCTCCTTTGGCTCAGAGCTGGCTATCAATTCCATCCTCGGCACATACTATGAAAAGAACTTCCCCCACATGGGACAGACAAAGACCGGGCAATGGGCTGCCATGTTTGGCCTGCTGAATGTAGTGTGTCGCCCGGTGGGAGGGCTTCTGGGAGATTTCCTCTACCGATCAACGGGAAGCTTGTGGTCCAAGAAGCTACTGTTGACCTCACTCGGTCTGTTGATGGGCGCGTTTGAACTGGCGATTGGTTTCACGGACCCCAAGCAGGAGGCCACCATGTTTGGTCTTATTGGTGGACTTGCTCTGTTCCTCGAGGCTTGCAACGGTGCCAATTTTGCTCTGGTGCCTCATGTGCATCCCTACGCAAACGGTGAGTGACTCCAACTTCTATCTCTCAACTTTTCAATCTGTCTGGCCCGAGCACTAACTTTGATTCGTCCTAGGTATCGTATCCGGCATTGTGGGCGGCTTTGGAAACCTTGGCGGAATCATCTTTGCCATTGTCTTCAGATATCATGGATCCGACTACGGAAAGTCGCTTTGGATCATCGGTGCCATTTCTCTGGCGGCGAACTTGGCTCTCAGTTGGGTTCGTCCGGTCCCAAAGACTCCAGTAATTGCCTCGTCGTGAGAAACGGAATGCGGGTGTGTGGCTCTGTCAAAAAGAGATGTTCATGTGATGATAGCGATTCTTTCCTTTTCCTTGCTTTCTGCCAGATATCCTGTTTTAATGAATGTTCAATTGCACTGCTCTGCGCATGTCGCTGAGTAAATAACTGCATACCTTGTCTCAATCTATAAAGTTGCCAAGAGCCCGCGGAACGGCAAGGCAAGAGATGAAGCTCGGGTTAGCGCACCCCGAGAACGGAGCAACACTGAGACGAGGAACGAGGGGCGGCCAATTCAAGACACCAGCAGCCACCGCAAGTTATTCTTCTTATTGAGTCTTCTCATTCCGCTTAAAGGAAAACAGCAGGTACCGACCTTTCTCATCGAGTGTGGCCTCCGTGGAGAGTTTGATTTCATTTGTGATCGGATTCATCCAGCTAATTATCTTCCCCAGGATCATTTGCCCCGCCGAGCCCCGCTCAAATCACGAGTTTCGCCCTGGGAAAGCAAAAGGCCAACGAGCCAATCTCTCTATCTGGTCCGGGGAAAAGTCTTTGCTTTCAAGTCAACAAAATGTCTCCAGTTCGTCGAATCGGTCAAATTGTGCACCTCAAGCCTGAGGCTGTGGCAGCCTACAAGGAGTGCCACGCCAAAGTCTGGCCCGAGGTTCTGAAGCAGATCGAGGACTGCAACATCAGGGATTGTACGATTCTCGGCAATCTCCGGAGCTTGTTGTAGCGATGGACGACTGATCTCTGTCTCAATTCTCAGATTCAATCTTCTTCGATGGAGATCGCACGCTATTCGCCAAGTTTGACTATATCGGCGAGGACTTCGAGGCTGACATGGAGAAGATGCGGGCCAACCCCAAGGTTCGGGAGTGGTGGGCGATGACCGATTCCATGCAGGTATGTCTCTTTGGTGTTTCATCACTACCCTGCATCACAATGCGATTGCTAACTGGCGATGACAGGAGAGCTTGGTTCCCGGTGCAGTGGGCAGTGCTGAAGGTCCTGGGTGGTGGAAGCCTCTGGAAGAAGTCTTCTACACAGACTAGAGCTTCGAAGTGTGGAACATGGCTCAAACAGTTGAATGAAGACATTCAGTGTTCAGACTGGAGCTCGTAGAGTGGTAGCCTATTTGAAGAACGAATCGATTCGCTTTTGTCGGCTGTCGTAGGAAGCACTCCCAATGCCACCCCGTGTGCGACGCAGGCCAGCAAGGTGCTCCGTATTGTCCGCGCCCACTATCTTCATTGACCATCCCTGCAAGAGCGGGAGTACTTTCGAATCTGGCTGTGCTGTCTCAGCTTGATATAGTGCTTCATCAGGTCCGTGGTCCATATCAGGGTACTGCGGCGCAGGTGATGAACAGATCGGTCTCATGGAGATCAAAATCTCCATTACGCCCGTGTTAGACCAAACAGGAGACAAGAGAGCAGGCGGTCCACCATTCCATGCGGCAGTGCCCGGCATTACAGAGATGCTCGAAGGATCGAAGAATCCAGTCAAGCAAAACCACAGAGCCCGTAGAATGAGCCCATGTGCCACAATTGCAACTCTGCGCTCGTAATGCTCCTCTTCTTCTAGCAGAAGTGGCAATAGATGTGTCTGAAGGAAATTGAGCGATCGTTTGCGCATGGATTCCTTGCTCTCTTTTTCCTTGCCAATCGGAACCTTCTCCCTGTCAGTGACAATCTGCGAGAAATTCTCAACGGGGGTTCCAGTAGCACGTTGTATGCGCACGCCTTCTAATGAACCGAAATCTCTTTCTCTCAAGTCTGGACTCAGAATAGGAGTCAATGGTGCGCCATTTACCATCGAAGGCTGCATGCGACAGATACCCTCGGCTGTAATGCGCGCTCTGCTTAAATCAGACGAGTAAACATGATCAAATTGAATCGGCCGATTAGCAAAGAATCGACCCAAACTCTCAATCTGCAACATGCCGTGGTTCGTGAGAGCAGAGTCCGTACTCCCGGCCCTTGAAGTACGGGTCAGCAACGTCCCGAATTGCGAATGGCCTATTTGGGAGTCGACTCACCAGACTTGCGCCACGTTGTGGACTGTCTCACCATGTCGAATGAGGTATATCCTCATGATTATATCTTTCTGGTTTTTCAGTATGCTTTGGACCAACCGAGGGCACTGGATATCCGACTATCATTTAGCCGTGGATATGCAAAGGCTCATGCCGTAGCCGGGGCGAGCCCTCAAGGCACGTGATCATGCAGTTTGCCACGCGTGAAAAAATTGAGGCTTGCAATCGACTGATCGAGCCAACCTCCGAAATGCCATTCTTACAGTGTATGAACACAAGCCTGTTACAACTACATCAAGAACACCGAGAAAGCGCTTGAGGGAATGATGGGATTGCATGGACATTGGAGCGGTTAGATCTGTGAAGGAAAAATTGCCTTGAATAGAACACCGAACTAATTGCGCCCAAAAAGAGATTGTCAAGTGAGGAAAACACCCCTTAACCGTAACAAAAGTGGTATGTGTAAAACAAAAATCATGAATCCCATCATCTACATCGTATTAAAAAAACGAAGAAGCGCCGACTGGCAAAAGCCAATTCCCTCATTGTATTGTGAGTAAAAGGAACTTTTGATGAAGCTTGAGCAAGAATCCGAAGGATCCGACCAGACAACTGTGAAGCATCGCGCTTAAGCAGCGAGCTTGCGAATCTTCTCCTGGACACGGGCCTTGCGCTCGGCGTGGGTGAGCTTGGCGACCTTGTACTTCTTGGACTCGGCCTTCCACTCCTCCTTGGTCTTCTTGGAGCCCTCCTCCTCATCCTTCTTGAAGGGGTCCTCACGGATGGCCTTGTGGGCTTCCTGGTAGAGCTCCTCGAGGTCACCAGCATCGATCTCCTCCTCGATGTACTTGGCGAACTGGGACTTGTAACGCTCCTCATCCTCATCGGCGAGGGTCTCCATGTACTCAGAGACGTGGCCACCGAGGATGTAGCTGCGGAGGGTGTCGGCATCGAGCTCCTCAGACTCGATGTCGTAACCGGGGAAGCGGCGCTCGGAGTGGGGGATGAAGATACCACCGTCGGAGGCACCCTTCATGGCAGCGAAGACACGGTTACCGGTGGAGGTGCGGACAAGACCAACATCGAGGAAGGCCTTGAAGGGACGGCGCTCGCCATCATCGGTCTCGACGGCCTCAGTGAGAGTGTACTCACCGTCAGCCTCCTCGACACCGGTGAACTTGTCCGCCAGACCGAGCTTGGACAGGGTGCGGCGGGCAAGGAGGAGACCAGTGGCGTAGGCAGCAGCCCAGTTGGTGAGACCTTGGGTGATACCGTAGCGCTTCAGCTCATGGGCGTAGGCAGAGGCGAAGACCTTGTCGCCGGAGACCTCAGAGTAGACAATCTGGGTGACGATGTCGCGGTTGGTGAAGCGAACGACCATGCGGTACTTGGGCGCATTGTACTTGTTCTTGGCCTGGGTGATCAGGCGCTTGCGAGCGTAGTAGTCGGTCTTACCCTCGCGACGGCGGCGGTACTTAGTCTGGTAGCGACTGAAAGGGAGGGAAAAATTGTGTGAGTTTGAATGGTCCTTGTGTATTTCGGGTGCTCGCAACAGGGAATAAGCCTCTTACCTGAAGTAGGCATCGTTCTTGACAGTCTTGGTGAAAGGCTGTGCGAGAAGAAATCGCGAGTCAGCAATTTGCGCTTCAGATTATCGTCCGAAGCATCTTGCAGGGACCCGGCTCCGTCGATGGCGGAGACACGAAAGCGAGAGAGGATAGCGAAAGGGTGTATAATTCACCCGTCCTTGACGGTAGACACACTCACCATTTTGTCGGTTGTCGGAGCTGAAGCCTGGTGGTCGACGGATGGAGAGTTCGAAGAAGGGGAGAATTTTTGCGGTCGACTTTGTGGGGTGTTTCGCTTAGCCCAGACTGCATCCCGCAGCCAAAAGTGCGGTAGGCGACGACTTCAATCGAACGGTGGGCGACGACTGGCTGCCGACGGACTTTTTACAGTACAATACCTGTAATCTTCACAGAATGGTGAAAGATTGGCCAATATTCGGTCTGAGCACAGGAGTTGTCGTATGATCAGGCTCAGTCTTGTAATGGTACACCATCTGCTAACGAACTGTAACTACTACCAGCGTACAAATTTTGAATGTACAACACATCATACCCAGTTGCAGGTCACTGGTGAGCCTAAATGCTAAACATATGCTGGGAGTTATTCAGTAATCTACTGTCTAGTATCTATAGTGCGCATCTACCTCAGAAGGTGGTAAAAGGGTCTGAGGTAGTAGACAATAAGACATCGTGATTGAATAGTCATGTACAACTGTACATTGTACATTACTACTAGGTACCTACATTGACAGGACTGGCTAGCAGCTACCTGGTACCTACTAACTAAATGCTACTGTCTGATATGTCTACTAGTACCTCGCCAGAGTTTGGACTCCATGCGGCTGAGCCTCTGGGCCATCGGAGTCAGGTAGACTGCCATCCTATGGTGAGCCGACCTCCTTAATCAGCGAGCTATGACCACGAGCCACAGTCGTTAACGGCTCGATATGAGTTATGCTGTACCTGTGTACCAGTGAATCTCTATCAACGAGCGACCTTTTCCGACCAGAGAGTCTCCCGTTGAAAGTGTGACTTATTCTCTCGGTATGTGAACGAGCGCAGTAGTATGTCAAGCTCAGAGGCCATAAAACGTCAGACATGTGCTGGTTATAAGATTAATGAGGACCGTATACCTCTATCATATATTCACAATCAAGCCCATTGTCCTAAAGACGGGCTTTCCCTTGCTCCTCGAGCAGTGGTAGCCCCGTGAGCTTCTCAAGCTCTTTCACAGCATCCTCAATTCTACCAAGAGTCACCTTGACAGTACGCATACCAGCTTTCCTGGCGCCCTTCAAGTTCTCGCCAATGTCGTCGAAGAAGACAATGTCCGACGCTTGAACTGCGGGCAACCCACGCTGCTTGGCCAGAGCCTGCATCTCCTGGAGAGCCACTTCGTAAATCTTCGGGTCTGGCTTTCGGAGTCCAGTATGTGCAGATGAGATGAAGAAATCGAACTGCGATCGCACTCCCGATACATCATTGTTATAGTCATGACCATCGGGGAACTTGACGGTGTTGGAGAGAGCGCCCATCAGGAATTGCCCCGAGGCCTTCAGCTTCTGGAGCGCAGGGAACATATGTGGATCTGGCTTGCGGGATATCCTCATCATTTCCCAGAAGAGCCACTCTGCATCCACTTTTGGCAGCGGAGGAATGGGTCCAGGAGACTGGCCCTTCTTCTTTGCTAGCTGCTCATTGAATTGTTTCCACAGGTCTGAATTCTGGAGGTCTGCGTTGAACCCGGCGAAGAAGTCGGCATCCATGGGGATTTGGCCTCGCTCCAACTTGTGCCAGCTCCCGTTGGGAGACGTTCGAGAGATGCTGAAATTCACCCAACCTGGTGGGATGCTATGAGCAACCTCATAGTCGAGGATTGCCTGGAATGGTGATACCACCTATGCAAGCTGTTAGTGAGCCGAGACATTGAACACTGAGGTATAGTTGTGAGTTGGGCGCTTACGCAAACTCCCCCGATGTCGAAAAGGAGACCGATGGGCCGTTTGTCAACAGCCATGATACAGAATGAAGAGACAAGTTGGTTGACTAAAAAAGTACTCCTGCACCTGAGAGCATACAAGATATACGCCTTTGTCGAAAGCTAGGTGGCTGCGTTGAATTCAAAGGAGAAGGTGTTCCTTCAACATGACTGGCAATTGCCGAGGCACTGAGCGGGCCCAAGACCGAGGAAGCAAGGGTACAATTAGCCTCAAACGTTCAATCCTCATGGAGGCACCTTCTCCACCACCCTCTATCTGGATATATGGAGAATGATGGACTTGTGCTATCACCTAACGACTCTCAAAAATCAGCACAGGTCGCATTATCGATAGTCGATGTACAGAGCTAGCTCTCATCTCTCACGTTTCCCGTCCCATTGTGAAAGACAGGCTTGTGCTCCCTCTTTGCTTGAAGACAAGCAGTCACGTGATTTCTTTATCGATAAGCCGCTGTTGTTGGTCGCGCGTCTGCCGATAAGATGAGCCCCAGTACATCATCAAAGGCGAAATTAAATCATGTCCATGGAGTCTTGATCCACATTTCGATGATATGGACTCGAGCCGGACGATCTCAGAAGCTAAATCCGCTTTCTTGCGCACTCAAGTTCGCATCTTATCAGAGACCCTAGCACCGCCCGACGATTGGAAGAACTATGCAGTGGAGACGGAAGACGGTGATCTGCCTGAGAAGGTGATCTCAGATGTATTGCACAAAGGTGAGACTTCTTCGAGGGTTTCGATACTGATACGTTCCTCGTCAAGGCAAATTCCGCCTCAATTTCGACTATGCACATGATGAACTAATGACTTTCCAAGTGAATGTGGCTACCAAGCAACACCATCGCGTCGTTTACTCGTCGCAAGCCATTCATCACGTCGCCCAGCAGATTGCCAGTCTTTACTGGTCTTCGGTCAACCAAGAGACACCTAGCAGAACACCTTTCACTGAGGGCGTGGAAAAAAGTACAGACCTTTCCCGGCATATGTAAGTCCCAGGCTGCCTATCCTTTGGCCACGCTCTACGGTCTTCCGAATCCTGCTCACCATTCGCAGGAATCTCATAAAAGTACCGCACGATGTTGAATCATTAGGTGCAAGTGATGATACGAACGCAAGGTGAAAAATCTCAGCCTCTATGAGCTCCGTCAAGTTGTGTCCATTTAATTAACCCTGTCGCACAGATATCAACAGCTACGAGAACGACTGCAAACGTTGGATGAAAGACGGCAGCAGCGTCAGCAGAGGCTTGATCAATTGCGGCACCTTCAGCGGCTCCTTGATCCCTTCAAGGATGCGCAAAAAAACATTCAGCCCAACCTTGTCACTCGTGATGGAGAATTGATTCAAGAGCTTGAGAGGATGCGCATGCTTGCCGCGCGCGTCGGGGGGCGTATCTCGCAGCAAAAACAAAAAATACGCCTCGACGATGGAGAACGTTCAGATTATCTACTTCCGGGGTCATCTTCAAGGTTAGACTCTCTGTTGGACATGGAATGATAATCATTCGTCTCCTCAACATCGGACAATTGCACAATCAACCATGGGGCGACCCCTTGAGATTTGAAACCCGCCCCTGGCTAGTAGGACACGCAGAGCGAGTATCTCGCACCGCGGCAACGTAAAGGACTCATCAGCCAGTCTCAATGCCTCCGACTAGCCCTCGTCATGTACCATGTAAATCCTTTGGTCTGGATTTTATGTTTTGCACCACTTTCGTTGTTGCTTATCTGCCTTGGCGCAATGAGGGTTCACGATTCTCTGGTCGCGTGTCCTTTGCGATGCAGCCAGAAAGCACTGAGGGACTCCCATGTTGGACATGGGAGAGCCTGCACGAATCCTCTATCGAATGTTGCGTTTTTCGATAACTTGAGTTGAGGAAGCGACGCTTGTACACACACCTTACAGGAAGTTGCAGTCAGGTTCAGAAGGATTGAAGACAAGCGCGACCGCTATAGAAGGCAGGAACCGACCATCGAACCGTGAACGTTGAGAAAGAGGCACCTGAACTTAATTCTACTCTGTTCGTACAAAAGCAGAGTAGACTGAACCTTACGCAGATCTCCGCCTGTTCCTGGGAGACTCATCCAAGGCGATACTACTCTCTTGCTCATTCTCGCCGTCATCCATTACACCTTGACCCGCAGGTCTCGGAACTGCCCGGTTGATTATTTGAGTAGCGAGCCCGGACTTGACCATACGGTATTTCTTTGCTGAGTCGCCCCAGCTGAAAATCGATGCGAGGACCATGAGCGCCTTTGACCGGGTCAGGCGCCTCGTCGGCCTCGAGGGAGGCATTCGTCGCCAGGAACCAAGTCCTGCGACCTCCAGCAGTAGCTCGGCCGTCGAGAGTAGCGGAGATGATCTCCAGTCTCGCGTCCAAGTCTTCGAGTCCCGCGGCCGCAGCCCCGGCGTGATGACTAATCCCACGCGGGCGGGCGCGCGGACGGACTCTCCAAGTCCCACCGGCGTCGAGACAGCCTGCGAGCAACGCCTATCAGCATCTCTGCCGACTGTCCCTCTCACCCTGACTTCCAACCTCGATTGGTCTGGCCACGACAACGATAGAGACGAAACCGAGACTTTCCTTGATGAGGAGCAGTTTGTCGCCGACAACTCCCCAGTTCTGCCTTCACCACAGCACACCCTCAATCATTTCCTCACGGAGGGCTACGAGGTTGACCCTCCCTTGTTTGTTGACGCGGACGCCGCCAACATCGAGGGCTCCGATTCCGCCTCCTCTTCCAAGGCACCCTTTACACGTGGGCACCGCCGTCGTTCCACCCACGTCACTCGTCGTGACCTTGAGAAGTTTCAACAGGAGGTTCTAGGCGTAGAAAACACCGCGACCTGGTACGACGAGGAAAACGGCTCCTCGCGTCCCATCGATCCGTTCGACCCCCAGCTGGAGGCGCTAAATCGTGCCTTCGAAGCTGCCGATATGTCCATGAGCAGCGGTGCCGGTGGACTGCCTGCAGGCAATGTTCCCAATTCGGGCTTGTATGCCAACTATACGGAGAATTCGCCCACGCCCGGCATGGGCAGCATGTCTCGACAGCCCTCGTCCCCTGCCCATCCGCATCCCGGGCCTCAGGTCAATGGCGGTGGACCTGGCGCTGGGGGAATGCCAATGAATGCTGGTCACCAAATGGACCTTCACCATCTTTACGAGATGGTCCTAGAACTCAGCGAGGTGCTCAAAAATAACCGAGAAGTCACAAAGAGCATCGTGTCAAGTGCAGAGGAGATCATGGTACGTCAAACACCGGGCCAGCGCAAGGGTCATGGATAACGAAAGCTCACTTCCTCATTAGAAGCACGGTACCTCGGAGGATGCCAGCACCGCCCTGAGACAGGTGAATGGCGAAATAACCGGTATGAAAAAAATTTGTTCTCCAGCATGCTCTTGGCGCACTCGACTTAACATCTAGTCATGTAGCTGCGCGCATATCGGAGCTCGAACGCGCCTTGGCCAAGGAGAAACGTCTGAACGAAGTTCTGAAGCACGAGCAAGCCGAGAACGTTAAATTGATCGGCGATTACGAGACTAGTGTCGGCCTCATGGTGGAGCAGATCCGCAATTACTGCCAGAACAACAATATGCATTACCTCTACCAAAAACGACACTACAACAACCTTCTTCAGGCCGAACGCGATGCACATCTCGACAGCCGCCTCGACCGAGACTACTGGCACACGCAGACAATGAGATGCGCACAGATGATTCGTACCGCATCTCGTCTACGATCCGAGGAGGAAGAACTCCCCATTCGCATCGTTGCCGGTCTCCAAAACGAAGTTCGCGCTTACCGGAATGCCCTGGGCATGGAGCCAGAGAAGCCAGAACAAGAATACGGCTGGGAGATCCTCAAGGACGTTCCTGGTTTGGAATGAAAGACATACCCCCGATTAAAGCGCGCCATATCTCCATCGGCGCGATGATTGACGCCGTTATGACCTGTACTTTATAATGTTGGTTACCTTCTTATTCTCTTACACCTATACACAAGATAGCGCCCGCAGGTCGGAGTTGGAGAATTGGATGCTTTGCTCACGGTGTGGGTGATGAATACCCAAGATTGCGATCTGCTACCTACTACCTGCTAGGTACCTAGTACCTAGTCTTCCCGTGACTTTCTCGTACTTAACGAATGGTGACCAGAATCCAGCATCTGGTATCGGTTCTGTGATTTAGGTACTGTGAGCAGCCTGGGGGGCTCGTTCATAACCTATTGTGTCAATTCAAAACCTACCTATCACACAAGTAGTCCCTGGAAGTATATATGTCTTGCTCGAGCACTAATGATCCACCCACTACTTCAGCAGCTTAGGTATTGCACACCATTCCTTCAATCCATCATACAGCTGTTCAAATTGCGAGCCGAATTAGTTGTCAAGTGTGATCAATCGTCCTTCTTTCTTCAAGTGAGTCTTGAATTAGAGGCCACCAGAGATCGACAGAGCCAAAAATGATACCAGGCACAACCGTGAAGGGTGCTGTCGTGGATTCTACATTTGTGCAGGAGAATTTGGGGTATGTCAGTGTCTTCTCGAATCTTGGGCTTTGGAGTGACCTATCAGTATTCATTATGAGTCTGGACTGGGTAGTAGAAAGGAAATTATGTGCAAATTGTCAAGAGTTCTGTACCCTTCGACAAAATCTGCGAGTCAAGATTGCCGGAGGCATGAACGGGCCTTCTCACAGGGGAATATCGAATATGCCAGCATAAACATGCCTTGACGTTGAGAAAAATGAAACATCAATGTATAAATACATGATCAAGGCAGTTTGAAAAGCAGGGGTACACGCAAAAGCAACGCTTGTAAGAACAAAAGTCATCTCGAAAGACAAAATAAAAAGTAAAGACACGTGAGACGATAGTATAATGAGTGTTTCATGTCAATCATATACGCCAGCAAGGTTTCGCCAGCAAGTAGCCAGTCGTGACGTCGAATAGGATTTACTGCGTGCTGGCGCCAGTGCCATTCCTCTGCGGTGGCATGCCAGTACTCGTTGAGTTGTCAGACTGTTGAGGCTTGCTGTTTATTTGCGCGGCAATCTGCGACTGTTTGAAACGCTCGAAGGCCTCGGCATCATGATGCCGAGCGGCCCAAAGCTCGTCTACGGTGAGCCCGAGCTTTTCAAAGGTGTCCTCGGCACCCGGACTGTCAAATGGCGATCGCGATCGGTCTTCGTGCAGTTTCTCGAGTTTTTTCCGCAATGCCAAAATATGCGATGCTTCGTCATCAGCCTCGCCTGAGTTAGGTGGGGGGTTCAGGAAATCACGCCGAAGATTTTGCCCGAGTCGATGGACGTGACCCTCTTCGGATGTCATTGCACGAGAGTGCAAAGAAGTCATCGAGCTAGTGCGGGAGAGGTGGATGGCGTATTGATCAGTTTCTTCGTCGTCAATCGCATTCTCATTATCAGCGAGGTAATTGTTCATGACGTCGCTGGCACTTGGGCCGGAAGGACCATCGCTGGAATGTTGCGAGACGTTGTCTGGAGCAGCTGATGCTGGAGCAGGTGGAGGGAGAATACGAGTTTCAGGATATTCGTCCTCGAACCTTTGGATCATTCTCTGAAGCGTAAAGTCCAGGAATTGAAGCCGTCCTGAGAATTGGTTAGTTCTATGAGGGAGAGAAGTAGCGTCGTTCGTAGTGCACTTACTATAATTAGCATCGTTACCCAGCCGATCTTCACGAACAAGGGCAGTCTGAATCCGAGCTCGAATGTTCCGCGCCGATTCTAACAGGTTCTTCGACATGTCTCGAGGTCGCTTCGTGGCAACGCCCCTTGATTTGGGACGCCGGGGAGTTGCAGTACCGCTTGCGGGGGTCGAGGCGTCTCCAAGATTATCGCCACCGTCTTGGTTCAGATTACCGAGACAGACACCCAATGCCTTCACCACACCGGTACCACCAATGACATAGTCCTCATCCGGTGCGGCGTTGACTTCCTCGTCATTAATTTCTTCCAGTCCATTCGCGTGCCCAACAATATGCTGTAAGATTTCCGGCACGGGCACATCTTTGGTCGGAGACATGTTGATCGACTCGGAAAGCTCCTCGGCAATTGCCCCACCCTCAAGATTCCGCAGGGAATAGGCTACGATTTGAGATGCAAGAGCTTTGACCACTTCGTTGCTCTCGGCCGCTGGGACATCAATGTCAACGGCGATGATGGTCTTTGAAACACGGACGGCGGTCATCATTGACGCATAGACGGCACAAGCCTCCTCTTGCACCGCAGGATTTGTGCTCGAGGCCAGTGCAGCAATTTGGGGGTTCTCCATGATGTTCAGGTGGCACAGGCTTGGACATTCAGGGAGGACTTCAGCAAGACCAATAACGTGGTCGGGTGATAGATCAACATCTGCCAAGTGAATCCGCTTCAGAGAGTGCATCTTAGGCAAGAACCGTCTGAATGCCGCTAGCGAGCTTGGCTGTGAAGAGAAAAGCTCCGGGTTATGCGAGACATCCAGGAAGCGGAGGTTGTGCAGTCGTGAAAAACCCTGGAGCAGTGGGCAGATCACCGAAGGGTTCAACGAGCAGTCTGCAAGACTTATCGCGAAGAGGGGCTGATCAGGCTCGATAGCAGATACGATGAGATCGAGGTCATCTTTGATGGGATTCCCACCCAAATCCAAGCCTTCACAATACTCGTCTTTGAGGTAGTCAACCACATGCCTCAAACCTTCGCGGGAAATTCCGTTGTTCGCGAGACCCAAACGTCGTAGCTTCATTGTCGTGGCGGCGGTACATATTTGCTTTACTTGATCTGTTGAAGGCGTGCACTCGCTCAGTAATAGCTCTTCAAGGTGATCGCCACCGAACCTTTTCCCCAGAGCTTCGGTAAACACAGCGCATGCATCAAAGGGTGGTGCGAGGGTCTGTCCCGCGGGGCTGTCGGATGGAGATCTGATCTTGGGAAACGGTATTCCAGACAAATCGATAGCCTTGAGAGATCTAGAAAGGTGGACGAAGAGACTGATGTGGCGCCAACCTTCTCGTCCAATCCTCGGATTGTTCTTGAGCGAGAGCTTCTCGACCACGCCCCACCGCACGTTCTTCACCACGGGTGAGTCTGGTTGTCGAAGCCGGCGGCGTCGATAGCGCATTTGCTCTACTGTTTTGGTAGAGAGAAGCCCTGAAAGAATCGATCTGACCGATTCATCGTTCAACGAGCAATTCTCCAAGATCAATTTGCGGACAGGCACAACAGCGAGCCAGTCGCTAAATGTCGCTATGTCTTGAATGGTCATAGGGAAGTTGCTCAGGTCCAATGCAGCCACTGTACCAGGAGATTCGGCCAAGGTTGAAGATGGGGACGAGATCTCATCAACAATTCTTTTCAAGACTGGCGTTTCACGGAGCTGGCAACAACGGCGGTAAATCCGCACTGGGTCGGTTGTTGGATGACTCTGTGTCTTTGATCGTGAAAGACCGCCAACTGATGGTCGGAGGTCGTCCTCCTCATCCTGGCCATCAAGCTGCAGAGGAATTGTTCCGTTGGCGACAGCTTGCCTGCGCTTCCGCTCCTTACGTTCTTTTCGCTCCTCCTCGGACCGTTTTTTCTTCTCTTGCTTCCGCGTAGTGTCTTTGACCTCTCCATTGGACGGTGCGTTGGCAACGACGCCGGCATTTAACGACTCCGAAAGCGTGGGCGCCAAACTCAAAGTCTCTGAGTCGAGGGTGGTTGGCGGGCTCACCGAAGGCAACGCTTCTTTATCGGCGACCTGTTTAGGGCTCTTCGGCGTGGCAGATGCCCCGTGATTGTTCACCCTGTCTTCCGACTTCTTCGCTTTCTGCCGGTTAGATTCGGGCAAGGACTGTCGCAGCTGATTTGTTGGAGGTGCATCCTCATCCGAGTCTCTGTGTGAAATACCCGCAATTTCCACATCGACGCAAAACGCTACCCGGTTCAGCTTTCCTTGTTTGAGATCTGTCACCTTGCACCGGTCTCGTCCGGGGTCAATATTCATGACACGACGAGGGCAAACGGCACTGTTGGCAGGGAGCTTTGGAAGTCCTCCCTGGTTTGACGAAAACTTGCGCAGCGCATTGTGAATGAAAGATGTGCCTTTCGGTGACGTGGAGCTCGGGGTAGTTGTCTCCTCCTTCTTTTCGGTCTCGCGATCTTTGGGAAAATAGGCTGCGCCGAACGGGTTATGTGCATCGAGGGGAGATGTTGCTTTGGGGCTCGCGGGACTTCCCTTGAAGCTCGATTGCGATGGAGGCGTCGAACCAGACGAAAACTTTGAGCTCAGACTAGATATCCAGGAGTTTCTCCGTCCAATCGGCTTGGGGCTACTCTTTGACACAGTCGGGGATTGGCTCGAGGTTGGCAGCTTAGGCGCCTCTGTCGGCTTGTCGACTTTCTCAATCTTCTCTTCCGATTTCGTATCATCGACGACCTTTGGAAAAGCGCGCGACTCTTTTGAAGAAGGCGGTTCCACGGGCGCACCATTCGATTGAGAGGTTCGAGGAGATATCGATGTTGCGGACGTCTCAGCAGCAGATCTGTCGCTTGTCGTTGATGTAGCGGACTTGGTGCGCGACAGATGGTCTAAAGGGATAACACAGTGAGTCTTTTTTGTCCGATGTACTATGCGCCGGCCTCTCGCCGCTGGCGAGTGTTCCGCGGGAGACACCAGGGTGAGTGCGAACGACACCAGCCACTGACCTTTCTGTGAGTGATGAAGCCAGCTCACATCCACCGTCTGAACGCCGTCCATCTTGTGATTCAAGATTTCCTCTCGTTACAATTCTGCTCACGCACACACCACGGTGGGAGGGGAAGGCTGGCGGGAATGGAGCCTCTGTCCTGGTTGACCAGTTGTGCGACTGAGTGGCGCAGGATCGAGGTCGAATGACAGGAGAGGCCTAGAACGGATGACGCATCATTTGGCTGATCCCCGCTTCGTGTTTGGATCTATGCAGTCTGGGTGCTTGATGTGACGGTCGGCGAGTCCTAATGCTGACTTCGATGGGTGCTTTGTTTAGTCAACGGGCTGCCGGGCAGACTTGGACTGGCTGATTATGTTTCAGTCACAGTCTGGGGATGTCGCAACCAAGCCAAATTGTTCAGTGCTGCTAGTGGTACTATCGCAGTGGCTGTGGGGCACACACCATCCGTGAAACGAGTAGCGCCCAGTGGCCGTTTTCTGGCAGACCGGCTACGCTGGTCTTGGGCAAGAGAAGAGACTAGATTCGAGGGTGTGGTATATAATGTGGCATGCTGTGCGAGGATCTGAGTCCAGCACCTGGATTGGTAAGGGGTCGATTGACTGGATTAAGGGGGGTTGGTGAAGAGAGACGCTTAGGAAACCCTCACAAAGTGGCGCGAGGAAGCGACCGGAAGAGGGGGTGGATATGATGAGAATAAGGTAGTCCCGAAGGTCAGCACCTGAACGGAGGAACATCCCCATATCGATGATGGTGACATAATGCCCGCTTCCAGATTAGGTTGGTCCGCTCGTGCAGTGCAGTCGATGCTTAGCCGGTCACCGTTATCGGTCCATTCCATTACTATGATTGCTAGGGACGAGGCTGACCATCCCCTTTCAAGGGCTGTTGTCTCTTTCTTCCCCTTGGAAGATGGTTATGTTGATATGAAACTATTGCAGCCCTGCCGTATATGAGCTCTGTGTAGCTGCTCTGCGTTCTTTCTTCACTCCACATTTGACCTCGCCGTGACCGGCTCACCGGGGCTCGTCCTTTGCTTTTGCAATATGCCTTGCCCAGTCATTTACGCTGAAAATCCAATTCTCGTAACCTTCTTTCGACTTAGCGTCAAACGCAAAATGTGACCCACCCTGGGCACGTGAGGGGTACTGCTTTACACACGCAGGATATCCGTCGATTTGGACTAATCAAGTATACAGTCTTCTTCCCGCTTACGGCACGTTCACAATGGCAATGTCCGTGAGCCACCAACCTACCGAGGCCTACTAAGCCTAGTGCCTACCTGCGTCGAAGATAGACATGCAGTATTGAGCCTCAATTCGATGAGTTTCCACGTCGCTTAGCGCTCAACTTTGTCCTGCTCCGAAAAAGCGGTGGCGTGCCTGATACTCATTCCTCTTGTGGGCATACTTTTTAGCCGATCGATCATTTTGATTCTTGGGCTCCCATCTTCACATTCCGATGTGGAGGAGCTTTCCCGGAGACGTTGGTTGGAACTCCGGCTCGAGTGGCGGAAACGGCCCCGGCGGGCAAGCAAGTGCCCGACAGAACTGACTCAACTGAGTACCTTCGTTGCTGAATGTGTTGACAACTTGACATGGTCGGGTAGTAAGTAGTTCGCCATATGCTGTAGTTACAGGCGAAGCCCTCTCCTCCACAGCTAGGGCTGTCTTGGTCGCCTCTTAGGCTCTTACTCGGGCGATGGGCAGACAGTCGGTTTTTCTCTTGCTATGCATGCGTAAAGCTTGCCTATCACTTAATGCAGATCAGAGGCCGGATTGTGGAAGCGGTTGGGTTGCGTGAGGTAGTAAAAGTCAGAAGCCAAGCCTTCCGTGTTCAAAGGGTCATGAGAGGTCATTGAGCGAAAGACTTTTTCAATGTGGGGATATTGCGCCAGTGCCTAGTCACTGGAGAGGTTTTTTCTGTGGCAATGTTAATGCTCAGAGCATCTGTGTGTTGGCTTAATATATACCACTGCCACCGATGTAGTAGTAGCGATTATCGAGGTCCTTTGAATCGGGCGCTGATCGGGCATGGTGCTCTTGACCAAGGGTATATATTTTGATAAACATCCCAACATATCATCCGAAGCTTCAGTAGTACAATGGTTAGTATACACGCCTTCCAAGTGTGTGATCGGGGTTCGATTCCCCGCTGATGCAACGTTATCTCTTCTTTTTTCTGTTTTTGTTTTTGTTTTTGTTTTTGAGCAGGTCCTTGCAGACCGCCGTATTTCCGGGACATACGCCGCTGCAGCCACTCAGCAGAGGAGCTAAGTCCTGCAGCGAGCAATCTCAACCAGTACGCAGTGACGCACTACGCACTGTACGTAGAGCCATCAAGGTTGAGAGCTCTCAAATCAGCCCCGAACAAACTACAGCTAGCCCTAACATTCATACTTGGACCCATATCGGCTGCCCATGGTTTGAGCGTGGGATGATTAGAATCATAGAATGCCCTTTCGTATCTTTCCCAATACCTACTCGTTGTGACCATAGGTAGTCAGCCATCTAATATAACCACAATGGTATAACTTCTGATTAAGAAATGAGACTCGTTGAAATACGGCCGTGTACAGGGACCAAGTGCGTACTACATAGTCATACTGCGCGGTGCGTCCGTAGTACGGTTACACCGATAGGGTAAAATTGAAGCAAAGCAAAAAGAAACGTTAATGTTGCATCAGCGGGGAATCGAACCCCGATCACACACTTGGAAGGCGTGTATACTAACCATTGTACTACTGAAGCTTCGGATGCTATGTTGGGATGTTTATCAAAATATATACCCTTAGTCAAGAGCACCATGCCCGATCAGCGCCCTATCGATTCAAAAGTTGAAAGTACGACAAATGATTTAGACTATGGCTCTCTGCGCATATCTGACGACTTGATGACCTGGGAATTGACAATACATATTCACAATGAGTGGAGAGTCCGGTTGAAATGATATGAGCCGGAGATGAATGACAATCACCTATCTTGCTGATTGTTCCTGAAGTTGAGAGGTTGAAGCACCGGCGGGCAAGCACATCCATTATACGTTCAAATATATCACTGTAGTAGTGTACCTGTCGCTCGGTTGAGCGTCACTCGACCGGCTATCACCTCGGCAGCTAACTATTCAATCCATTCAAATAGAAGACTCGAAACTCATGGAACATTGCCCAGGACCTACCTAGTAGCCGACCAGCCGATAGTTTGATTATCGGCCACCCAGGTACTAGGCATCATGACCTGGCCTCCCCATTCGACTACATGTAATGTTACACACGAAGTCAATGCACATTATAGGTTTGTCCACGGTCAGTTTACGGGCTGCACAAAGTTCACAAACAAAAGGTGTGGACTCGGACGAAAGTGATCTCATCGCGCCTAGTCGATGAGTTGATATCGTCGGAATCATTGCTAGAAAGCTGCTTAATATCTGACCACTCGATCAAAGCTCAAGACGTAGGGACTGGGCACTCGCGAAATCCTAGCAGTGGCAGTGCGCAGCAACGTGTAAACCAACACTGTAGGAGCGTAGGAGCCTAGGAGGTAGTCTACGTGTATTAACAGGAGCTGCTCATCACGTAGAGTTTTCCGATCTGAGTCAACCGTTCCAAGTAGGAAGGCCGCAAAAGACTCTACTTGACGAGTCATTCAAAGGCTGCTAAAGTTTCCGATTACACGGCCACTTGTAACGCTCGGGCTCGGACAGCATCGATTCCAACCGCTCGCACTGACATGGCGTCAACTGGCCCCAGGCCCGTTACGCTAGGCCCGATCGGGAGCCCGCAACGCAGGGAGTGAACATCCCCCGCCACGCACGTCTGCACTGGAAGGAATTATTCACGTACAGGCAGAGTTACCAAATATGGGTTGACTATGGAAGGCTTCAAAAACAGTGGGTCCGTGGTGGCGGAACCTTCTACCTTATACCAAGTGACGAGGTCGCTCTTCTCAGATCTTTAAATTGACCTGCTTTCTATCCCACGCGCCCTCTTCGGTGCGAAGTACATATGCGCGAACACGAATTCGAATTATACTCCGCACCAGACGAAAGCATTCGTATATGATGACATCGGCACCCACAATACTTGCGACGTGCAAACAGACGCGATTTCATCTTCTTGATGAAAATCCGTCGAATGAGGTACACACTTGAGCACACTTGGCAGGGCGCAAAATCCTAGAATCAGAGCTGTATCGTGGCTGACTTGACCGTCATCTGGCCATCCAAAGGTTGACGTAGAGGGTCTCTTTATCACCATCGCCTCGAATGTGCCCGAGAGTGCAGATGATCCCGCCAAAGCCAAAGCCAAGGCAAAGTCGAAGAGCAAGACAACAGGAAAAGAGCTCATATCAGACGCGCATCTGCGTCTGAAAGGCGGCATCCACTATGGCCTACTGGGCCGTAATGGAACGGGAAAGTCAAGTAGGGATTCATGAGGACATGCGAAGAGCATGAAGATCAGAGCTGACCATGACGCTTGTGAATTGACAGCACTATTGAGGGCAATGGCAGACAAGCTCATTCCCGGCATTCCACACGTGAGCCGGATTGCAATCCTCCAGCAAACCGGAGTGGACGATGAGTCCGGAGGCTATGGAAAGCTACGGTTGGACAAGACTGTTCTGGATGCCGTGTTGAGTAGCGACGAGTCAAAGAATGAGATCACGCGCACAGCCGAGGGTAATCACCTTGCCCAGTAATGTCGTCACCCCGGCCACATTGCTAATGAAGCATAGTCCTTTCCAAAAGCTTTGATAGCGAGGACCCGCTAGCACCAGTCAAAGCGATTCGTCAGGTCCAGCACCAGCAGGCAGAAAGGGATCTATTCCTTGCCAACAAGAACGCCAACCTGAAAAGTGGCGCAAGAGGATTTCAGGCCAGAAAAGACTTGAAAGTAGCCGAAGAAAAATTGGATACGGCACGCGAGCGGTATGAGACTGCGTATATGGGATGCACTGATACAGACCTTTCCGGTCAAGAACATTGCTGACCAGTATCGACCATTTAACAAGACTAGCACAGGATGCCGAGACAATTGATGCCGAGACCGTCCAAGAGGACACACAGGCTGCAGCCGAGGCAATGCAGAATCTACAGTCACAGCTTGAAGATGCAAGTATTACGCCATCAAAAGCGAAGAGCCTACATAGCCACTAACATATCAATAGATCAATATGGTAGAGATGGAAAAAGAAGCTCGCAAAATCCTGATCGGTCTTGGATTCAAAGAAGAGAACCTCACTAAGAAGGTTTCCACCCTCTCAGGTGGATGGCGCATGCGATGCATGCTCGCCAGCGTGTTGATTCAAACGCCAGATATCATGATCCTGGACGAACCGACCAACTACCTGGACCTGCTCGGGGTGATCTGGCTTGAAAAGTATCTTCAAGAGCTACGCGAGAGGTCCGAGACGACAGTGCTTCTGGTTTCGCACGATCGTGACTTTATCAACGCCGTCTGCGAGGAGATTGTGATCGTACGAGAACAGAAACTCACATATTTCCGAGGTAATCTAGCCGCCTACGAGCAAGACTTCGAAGAGCAAAAATTGCGCTGGGGTCGCATGAAGGAGGCACAAGAGCGACAGGTTGCCCATATGGAAGCGAGCATTCGTGAGAATTTGAAAATAGGGAAAAAGACCAACGACGACAACAAGCTTCGACAAGCCAAGTCTCGGCAAAAGAAAGTGGATGATCGAATGGGCCTGCAGGTCAATGCCAACGGTCACCGGTTCAAGCTCAATCGTGACCTTGTTGGATACCACCTGACCAGCCGTGCGGAAATCGATGTGCCCCAAGATGAAAAGGGGGCAGTCATGGCGATTCCCGAGGTCACCGAACTGCGATTTCCGGGGCCCCTGGTCTCTCTCGAAGGGGTCACCTTCAAATATCGTGGGAATGATCGAGTCATTCTCGATGACATCAACCTCGTAGTCCATATTGGAGATCGAGTGGGCATCATGGGCTTGAATGGATGTGGCAAAACCACGTTGGTTCGCATCCTGAATGGTCAAATGTCTCCCTCTCGAGGAAAAGTCACCACCCACCCTCGACTGAAAGTGGGACACTATGGACAGCACTCGGTCGAAGAGTTACAGGAGAAAGGCCGCGATGAGCCCAGTCTCACAGCGCTGGGACTCATGATGGCCGAGACAGAAGGGAGCCTGAACGAAGGTGCTGTTCGCGGCCTACTCTCATCCATGGGCCTGGCCGGTCGCATCGCCTCCGACGTTCCTGTGGCCAAATTGTCCGGTGGTCAACTTGTACGGCTGGCGCTGGCACGCATCGTTTGGAGCTGTCCACAGTTGTTGATTTTGGATGAAATCACCACGCACCTGGATTTCCATACAGTCACGGCGCTGGCTACAGCTCTGTCCTCGTTCAACGGAGCCATCATCCTGGTTTCCCACGACCGATTCCTCACACGTTCGGTCATCGAGGGGAAACGTGACACCGAACACAAGCTCGACGAGGAATTCGAGGGACTCGAAGAGGAGGAGGACTCCCCCGAAACGAATCCCCGTCGCCGATCCGTGTACGTGCTGAAGGCGGGCAAATTGAGCGAGCAGGCCAATGGTGTGGAGCAGTTTGAGAAGAGCTTGGTCAAGCGTGTGCAGAAACTGCTTACTACTCGCTGACTTTCTCAGGTCCCGACGGGACTCTTCGTTAACTCTGTTGTCAACCTTTGTCAATCTCGGATGCGGAAACAGGTTTACACAATAGTAACGCTCCAGGCACTCGCACACTCCTGTGGGTCTCAGGTCCACTCCATTATCATTCTCGTGACTTCTACCAGTAGAAGTCGTAGTAGTTGGCAGTTTGTTCACTTCATGAGTTCATAAAATCCCTGTCATGTCTGTTTAGCTGCTCTCAGTTATGGGGAGTATGTACAGACAGTGCTCTTGGTTGTGTAGCATAGCACAGCGTTATCATAATGTCGTCTCTGCCATTGCCCCATGTAATTCTCTCAAGTTATTGAAGATGAGGGGGTCCTTCTCCGCCCTCGAGTCCGCGGAGATCCCCGTCGTTGAGCGGTGGAAAGAGTGGGAAAAAGAGTGGAAGAGTCACCGCCCCGCAGGGTCCATGCGGCGCGGGATTGACTGATAAGCTTCGTCGATTGTTCATGATTCAGCATGACCAGCGCCTTACTTCATCCTGCGCCCTCGCATCATTTCCATCGCACAATGGCGGACTTTGGCTCATAAACCCACGGATCTCAGAGCAAGCTCGCTGTCTGTCTCGATTGTTCTGAAGCTGTCAAGATTCATTCTTCAGCAAGCCATACTTGCTTTTTGTTCTCGGGCATCTTGCCTCGGCACTTGGTTCATCAAGACCCGGTTCAAAACTTCAGAACAGGGCCGATTTTGGTGATTGTTTCTCTCCCAGAGTATCTCCTATTGACCGAGATACTCTGTCCAGATTCTATCCTTATCTCGGCGCTGCAGGGTGTAGAAGACCCTACTTTATATTGTCTTGGAGGAAGCAACTGCGGCCGCGCAAAAGTCACTGTGGGTCTTTGCAATTGCCCTGTCTCACCATGAGCAATTGTCCTCGCGTGAACAAATAAACGAAAATCACAACCATGCTGTCAAAAAGAATCCTCTCCCTGCCAAAAGGCAGGCTTCCTGCGGCCTGCTCGGCGCGGCAACACAGCACCCGCACGACAAGTGCTTCAACGGCGGCAGACCCCGCGCTCTCCCACCTTCCTCCGTCTCACCCGCACCCCATAGCCACCTCCTCGTCCTCTCCACGACTTGCAGAGCTCAAGTCCGCCAAACCATTCTCTGAATTCCTGACAGATACCTTCAACCGGCAACATGACTATTTGCGCATCAGCGTCACCGAACGCTGCAACCTGCGATGTCTATATTGCATGCCCGAAGAAGGAATCGACCTGTCACCTACCAACCGCCTCCTTACCTCTCCAGAGATTGTATATCTATCGTCGCTGTTCGTCTCACAGGGTGTGACCAAAATTCGCCTGACGGGAGGCGAGCCGACCGTCCGCAAGGATATCGTGCCGTTGATGCAGGACATCGGGAAGCTACGACGGAATGGTCTACGAGAGCTATGCTTGACCACGAACGGGATCTCGCTTCATCGAAAACTGGACGCGATGACGGAAGCGGGATTGACCGGAGTCAATCTAAGCCTTGACACACTCGATCCCTTCCAATTCCAGATCATGACCCGCCGCAAGGGATTCGATGCGGTAATGAAGAGTATTGACCGCATCCTGGAGATGAACAAACTAGGCGCGGGGATCAAGTTGAAGATCAACTGTGTCGTGATGCGAGGGATGAACGATCGCGAGATTGCCTCTTTTGTCGAACTCGGTCGCGAGAAACCGGTCGAGGTACGGTTCATCGAGTATATGCCATTTGATGGAAACAAGTGGAATAAAGGCAAAATGTTCTCCTACCAGGAAATGCTGGCGGTGATCCGGGAGAAATACCCGACTTTGGAAAAAGTTCAAGACCACAAGAACGACACAAGCAAAACCTATCAAGTTCCGGGCTTTGAGGGACGAGTGGGATTTATCACGAGCATGACCCATAACTTCTGCGGCTCTTGCAATCGCTTGCGGATCACCAGCGATGGGAATCTGAAAGTGTGTCTTTTCGGCAATGCCGAAGTGTCATTGCGGGACATTATTCGCAAAGAGAATGATGGCTTACCCATTGATGAGATTGCTGCCAGGGAGCTACGACTGATGGAAACCGTCCAGGCGGCTGCTCGTCTGAGTGATGAGGGTGACTTGGTGCCCGGGCGTGAAAGAGAACTCCTCGATATCGTCGGCATGGCAGTCAAACGTAAGAAGGCCAAGCATGCTGGGATGGGCACCCTGGAGAATATGAAGAATCGACCTATGATCTTAATCGGTGGGTAGGCCCCGGCGGTTCCCTCTCTTTTCTGCACAGCTCTTCTCTCATACAGGAATCATTTCCATCATCTCTTCTATATACCCGTGGCAAACTTGGAAACACAGCGCACTCGCTGGTTGTGGAAATGACATTTGATGCACACAGAATGCCATATGATATGTATCTATTGAATCAGTGTCTGGATCTTGAACAAAGCATTCCGAGTCTGGTTTCTGTCTCTTGCGTCTCGTTTTCTATACCCTGCTAATCAGCGACATAGATCGTAAGTCGACACTACAAGACGTAGGGAGCTCCAGTCGAGAACCATGGCCAACCACACACCCCTCACCTTGGTCGAAGATACCGTCGTACATACTGCCAATGAACCGAATATTTCCACAGATGCGCTACTACACGACCAGCAAAGCACCATCCACATCAACCGCTCAATCTACCAAGATGAAGACCAAGACCAAACCCAACCGAACCACCCACGCTCTCCCCACCGACTCTGATCCCGACCTGCCCCATCTCACCCCATCCCAAACAGTCCACATGACTCAAATCACCCTCAAACCCGAGACCGAACGCATCGCCACAGCCGCCTGCACCGTCGCCTTCTCCAACGCTCGGCCCTGGACCATTCTGCGTCAAGGCCAAGGCACCCACAAAGGCGACGTCTTTAGCGTCGCCCGCATAGCAGGCATCATGGCTGCGAAAAAGACCCCCGACCTGGTGCCGCTGTGTCACCCTGGACTTGGCATCACGGGGGTGGAAGTTAGCGTCGAGTTGGAGGGTCCTGTGGAAAAGGGCGGTGCAGAAGACGAGGGTTGCCAGCATGGATGTATGCGGATTTTGGCCACGGTGAGTTGTTTTGGAAGGACAGGGGTAGAAATGGAGGCTATGACGGCTGCGATGGGGGCTGCATTGACGGTGTATGATATGTTGAAGGCGGTCGATAAGGGGATGGTGATTGAGGGGGTGAGGTTAATGGAGAAAATTGGAGGGAAGAGCGGGCATTGGAGGAGAAAAGATGATGTGAATGAAACATAAGACGTGAACGAGTTGTAGATCCTTGGAGAGAGTTGAAGACCGTCTGAACAATACAGTCATATACCTACTTGTTAGTAACGTCTGGTCTCAGGTTCCAAGGTGAGAGCGCTTTCACTCAAGCAGTCGTCAATTGCATTGGCGCTGACCTAAGTGAAAAATTTACGTGCTTGTGAAACGGCATACATTCGAGAGCATCTGGGATCTCATATTCGATTAATGACATTGCATTTGAAAGCCAACTGAACGCCGAGGTTCTTTTTATCCGCATGTGTATAGAACAGGTGATATATATCATGAGACCGCAAAACGCGAGGAGATTTACTCCTCTTCCATTTCAACCTCATCTTCATCTTCCTCCTCCGACTCTTCCTCCTCCTCGATCTCGTCCTCGCTCTCCATCTCTTCCTCATCGCCACTGGCATCGCTGCCGTCATCACTGCCGAAGTCCTCCATCAGTTCGTCCTCGTCGCGCTTCTTGTCTTCGGCGCGACGCTTCTCTTCTTCCCGACGGCTTTCCTCAACGATGGCGGCCCGTTCCTCGCGAAGCTTCCGCTGTGTCTTGACAAAGGCACCCAGAGGCGTGGTCTCCCAGTCGACGTCCTTGAGGAAGTTCTCCACCTCAGTCCGGTTGCGTGGCGTGTATGAAACATTCAGCCGGCGCTCCTCGATCCATCGAGCATTCGCCTCAACCTTTTGGACGAGAAGAAGAATCATCTGGTTGATCTTGGCGTTCTTGTTGCCGCCACTGCGGGCAGAAACCTGCTTCAGCCAGCGCTTCAAGGCAACGACGACGGGCACGGAAAGCTCGGGGAATGCAATGTGCTTGCACCAAAGAACGAAAAATTCGGACAAGAGCTCGGCAACCTGCTCACCGACACCATCCTGGTAGGTACGGGACCGCAGGTAGGATTTAGGTGCGCGAATGGCGGTGTCGAAATCAAGCGGCTTCAAAGTGCTGGACTTGGGAGCCTTGCGCATCTCGGCAGAGGTGAGCACCTCAATGAGACCAGGGGCGAGGGGAATGTATGTGCCGGTGGCACGAGAGATACGCAGCAGAGCGCGAGCCATTTGGAAGCGGAGGGGGAAATACTGAGCGGTAGGAATGAGACGCATCGCGCCAAGGGTGATCTGCACGACAGGATAGATGAGAGGTCGCAGGGCGGACTGTTTGCCAGCCTGGGCTTCGACAAGACCATCACAATGCTGTGAGAGCACTCGCGACCAGAAGTCGAGAGAGTGCACGTATTGCCAATTGTAAATCGTCTTATACGACTCCTTCGACGTGTTTGTGATGCTGCTACGCAGATGCATGGCCAGTTGTCTGATGAAGCTGAACCCAGTAGTGTAGGCAACATTCTGGTCGATACCCCAAATCTCGGCCGCCGAGTTCTTCATCAAGTTAACACCAGCCAATGTGTGCACAGTCGTGTTGCGACTGCCCTTGACCACACCTTCGTAGGTGGCTTTGAGCACCGTCTCCCTGATACCAGGATCACCGAGAACCATCAGGCGACGAAGGAGAAGGAAAGCAGTGATTCGGGTGGCATCGGCTGTGGAAACATCGGCCCAGATCCCAACGACGGTCTTGATTAAAGTTTTGAGAACTTTGCGGAACTGCAGCAGGTATGGAAGCATAGGCTCCATGGCCGACAAGGTCAACTTCAGCGTTGAAGCATCAGATAGGTTGATTAGGAGCTGATGGACGGAAGCGGTATAGGACTTGATCAATGGCGTGAGAGTCTTGAATTTCTTAGAGTCCAGCGAAACACGGATTTTGCCTGAAGCAGTCTCCTTGACGGGAAGGTGGTGAGCCAGGACCTTGGGAACAACGTTCAGCGCCGTCACCAAAACCTGGTGATAGACATTGGGATCCGAAATGGTGTACTTCTGCTCTGGAGCTTCAGCATCGTTCACAGAGGCAGCGGCACGGAATGCAAGAACTGTCTGACGCATAGCGCGGATCGAGTGTTGCTCTTCCATCAAGCTCTGCCACTTCTTTACCATAAGAATGGTCAGGGTATTCTGAATGACCTCCGCCTCCCCCTCTTGTTCTTCGTCATCCTTCTTGGACTTCTTCTTCTTCTTTTTCGCAGGGCCCTCTTCATCTGCAGGCTCTCCCTCGCTCAGATCGTCGACTTCAGACAAATCACCTTGGGCGCCAAAGTCGAGTAGCTCTGAATCGTTCTGCTGGAGATATTTGTAGAATTCAGGGTCCTTCTCCTTAAGCGCCGCCAATTGGTCCTTGTGCGCATCGAAGTCGTCGGCATCGCTTGAAGCTTCTGCATTGTCATTATCGTCGTCACTGGCAGCGCTGCCGTCGCTAGCATCGGCTGCATTCTCCTGGGTGGTGGTGCGCTTGCGCTTTCCAATCTTGGGTGTCACGTCTTTGCTGGACTTCTTCTTGCTCTCGGCTGAATCGGCAATATCGAACCCGCCAGCAAAGAAATCATCGACGTTCATCTCCGCGAAAGCGTTCTCTTTCTTGACCTCCTCAGGATCAGGCTGATCCTCCTCTTCGGCATCTCGGCGGCTGGCGCTCTGAGCCTTGCGTTTCTCATTGAGCTGATGACGCTGCTTCATCTTAGCCGTAGACTTTCGTCGCTCGATAACATCCTTGAGATGCTTCTTCTCGAACTTCTTGGTCGCCTTCTTTGCGCCGGCCATTTTTGTCAGATTTCGCTGCAAAAACTCTGGGCTGGCTTGCTTTCCGATATTAACGGACGCTAAGGAAAAAAAATTTGGCCGGGGAAATTATCGTCGATTCCGCCTTCCTGACCGCCTCTGCAGCTGCCGATAAGGACGAAGCTCCGCGTCACCTACTCCCCGGCTTCGATAACCGGATCAGTTTCGTTGATCATTTCCATCAGAGGATTCGATAATTGACGAGTCGCTCTTCTGGGTCAAATCTCAACGATGTACTCACAACGACCCTTATCGTATGCGCCCACGCCTTACAGCTACACTCCAAATCCGGCACGATTAGCCACAATCAATCTCGATGAGGTACGCTCCCGATAACCTCTACGTAGGCTCCCCGCTAACGCAAGTCGCAGGAAGTGAAACTCGTGTCAAGCTCAGGAGAGCGCGAACTCTACGAATCTCTTGCCGAGATATACAGCATAATTATCACACTCGATGGTCTCGAAAAAGCATTTATCAAGGACGTTGTCACCGAGGCCGAGTACACGGAGACGTGCACGAGGCTATTGAAACAATACAAGTCTAGTCTGGGTGATGAAACGGTGTCACGAGAATTTGTGGACTTGGAGACATTTAAGAGGACGTGGGGAGTAAGTGGTCATCCGTATCTCGGTACATTGATGGAACGTCAACTGAACATTTGTAGTTGGAATGCCCTCGCGCTACCGAACGACTTCGAATTGGCCTACCCGCGACGGTCGAACAGGCCTCACACAGTGTACCGCAAGCGAGTGGAGCAGTCTCTGGAGGCTCTGGTGGTGGTACCTCAGGCAGTCTGATCTTGGCAGCAACTGAGAATTTCATCACCTTCCTTGATGCCTTGAAGTTGAACATGTTCTCCAAAGATGCTCTGCACCCTCTTCTCTCTGAAGTTATCCAGTCGGTCAATAAAGTTACCGATGGGGAATTTGAAAACCGTGGGAAAATCATTCAATGGTTGATTGCGCTCAACCAGATGCGAGCTACAGAGGAGCTTAACGAAGAGCAGGCACGAGAGTTGGCTTTTGATATCGAGCAAGCTTACCAAGGATTCAAAGCGACGCTGAATTGATCAGCTTCTACACTTGAAGGGCGCACAAGCTTGGTTATGACTCCCCTGTCAAAAGAACATTCCATTTGAGTCGTGCCAGCGAACACTTGATGTTTGAAGAAGCTGCACATTTAATGCGGCAAATTGGTTACTTCTCACAGAGTCTATCGCACCTGAATGCAATCCTCTATGTGATACAACGTCGCCAAGAGCAGTCTGATGCTCTGACGGACTTGTATAGCCTGAGGCTCTCATCAGTTCCCGATCGCGTGGGTTCGGTTCCTGTGTGCCTAATTTACAAGGCTTCGCAGCCTCGGCGCGATCCGTGGACTGGGACCCAGTCTATACTCTATTGGGACACATTGAATTTTATCTTTTATTTTTCCGTGTGGGCGGCGTGGATGTGGCGGGCCTTTGCGAGAACAGGCTCCGCAGATAAAATCCCCCCCGATCGCGCAAAGTGTTCGACGTGCCAGGCAGGCTTCCTGTCCGTCCACGTTGACTGAGTTTGAGTGCCCTCACAGTCCTCGCACACCATGATTGTTCCGGTGGGTGACGAACCAATTCACGGTAAGTTGTATCCAACTCGTATCTATCTTATCCGACCCGCTTAGACCGAGGGACTGATAAGCGATCGGTGTTCGGCGCAGTGTTGGATTTGCCCCAGATTTACCAAAAGCCTTCTGGGACCGATCTTCTCAAGACTCTTGCATTGCTCACACTGCAACCGCGGACTTTCGGAACCAGTGCAGAGGCTGTCAAGGGACCCTCAGTCCAGCCTGCGGGAGTGACAAGATATCTCACACAGATTGTCTCTAGCTCACTGTCATGGCTGGAGACCGATGAGTTGCGCGAGGCCGTGTGGGATGCAGCCGGAGCTCGCCTGAGTGAGCGGTCTGGTCGTGCAGGTATGAAATAGAGACGACGCCCTTTTCTGGTCCATTTGCACGCTCCGCTTATAGTTGATCGATCTCTGATTGACAATCTCCTGAATTTGCCCACAGCTATGCCAGCCATGTCGCGCATTTTCAGTATCCCGACTGCAACCGGCGAGGATTTGACACTCACTTTACACGAACCATCGCTCACGGAGGACAATCTCGGCATGAAAACATGGGTCTCTTCCTATCTGCTCTCTCGTCGACTCCACAGCCTTTACACCACCCCCCCATCATTGGTGTCCTCTGAGCTTGCAGAGCCATCGAGCAAGACACGTACCAAGGCTCTGGAATTGGGTTCTGGAACGGGACTGGTGGGCTTGTCTTTTGCTGCACTGATGGGCGAGTCAGCTGTGGTGCACCTAACCGATCTCCCTGAAATTGTGCCGAATCTGGCTCACAATGTCGCTTTGAATGTTGAGCTTCTCAGTTCAGCCAAGGCCGACGTGACGACCGGATTGCTTGACTGGTCCGTGAAGCCCGACCCCCTTCCCGCCGCCGACGAGCGTTACGATGTCATCCTCGCAGCCGATCCGTTGTACTCTCCCAAGCACCCGAAATGGCTTGTAGATACGATCGAATCATGGTTGAGCAAGCGGCTCGAGGCCCGCGTTGTGGCCGAAATGCCTCTGCGCGATGCCTACCTTCCACAGGTGCAAGAGTTCCGCCAGCGAATGACCGACATGGGTCTGACAGTCGTGGATGAGGGCGAGGAGGTTGGATATGATGATTGGGAAAGCTCCGAGGGCGATGCACTTGCAGTCAAGTGTTGGTGGTCGGTCTGGGGCTGGAGCGAGCGAGTTTGATAGAACACCGCCGTGCGGTTTGCTGCCACCTCTCGGTAGCATGACATTACGAATAGACGATACACGATAGAACAGCTCGAGCATATATGAAGAATAGAATTCTCCTTTGGCCTACTGCGGACACTCTGTGCCACGTGATAGCTCTGCAAGATTCGAGAATCTACGTGGCAGTGAATTTCAGCCTGTTCGCACTGCCGCCGGAGGCGACTCGCCTACTGGATCAGAATGAACATCAACAAAGTCTAAGGTACCTTAGACTCTCAATGCATTTCTGATCTGGTTGACGCGATTGACAACCTGTTCACGACTACTTCCCCGTACTGAGCACAATGGTGCACCCGGCTTGAAACGTGCAGTTATGTCAACGAAATTGCAGCGTTTGTCCTGCCCCAATGGCGTTGACATAAGTGGTGATATAAGGCCCCGATCCAGCCTCATACGTGACTGTAATCCACGTCAAAACGTGAGTTGTCTCTCGTAAATTACACTACGATTTGCAGCTACGATAGCCACATTGAAAAACACGATTGGCCCTACCTGAGAAATGAATACGTCAATGGTCATCTGAATTAGTCTCAGAGTTTCACAACAAAGAGCCAGAGCACGCAACTACCTTCGGTATCGCGAACCACCCACAATACGCGAGCGGGCCATAGAAATCGCTCGTGGAAAACCCTGGATATATAGACAGACTATCCAATACAGACGACGATAAGTTGGTGCACCATAAGTCAGACTTGTTTAATGAAGTACTCTTCATCTACGATGGAAGTGGTTGTCCACCAAGTAGAGAGCTTTGAGCTGACAGATGCCCAAATAAAGTGGTAACACCAAGAGCAGTTCAGCTCTAACTCCCCAGATCACTTGCAGGCTTAAGCAGATAGAACGCTGTAAAGGTCAGCGGAATGAACACAGGATTAGATGATAGAGCAAAATGGTATTTATGTCAAGGGTGGTCTTACCAAGATCGCATTTCGGGTCAGCCCAGGAATTGATGGCAACGACGCCAGCTTTGTCGAAGAGTTCTTTGCGCTCACTAGCATCATACTTATGGCTGTAGGCGAATCGAATCTTTTCCCCTTTCTTCACAGTGATATGATCTAAAGAAGCACCCAGTTGTATATCACGATCCCGCAGAGTGTACGAAGCCTTATGTCGACCCATAACTGGATTGTACTCGCTGAGATAGTACCAATCCTCGGATTTGAAAACGTCCATGATGTGACATTCAAAATTGCTGCTGGCGGCTTGAACAATGGTGCTAGCGTACTGCAATCCTGCCAGTGTAAAAGGCACTACTCCATCCGCGGTGTATGCTCGTGAAACTTTTGTCGGAAGCTTGCAAGAGTCGATGCTGATCAAGATCGAGCTCTGTATGTCCGTTGAGCATGTTGCTTCCGCCATGCTACGGATGAAGTTGGCTGCATTCTCGCAGGAAAAGTTGCCCATTGGTGACCCAAGAAAGAGAGCGCAATGCGGTCGACCGAGCTGTTCAGCATCACTTTTCATCCAGGCAAGTCCATCCTCAAAGGTGCCGTGCAAAGCAGCACCATGGACGTATTTCCATCGCTCAATGGGTAATGTGCGGAGTGTCGACTCCAACTCTGCACGGCTGAGATCGTGAGCGTCGTATGTGACATTCTTCTTTTGCGCTTCGAGGACATCCAAGAGAATATTGATCTTGTCCAGGCTTCTAGATAGATGATGACACACTCGGTTGGGTCAATGTTGGTCTGCTCTAGAGTTGCAGGTTGATGATCAAGATCACTCTTACCCACTACCCAGATCCACAATGGTGCTGTTATTAGCAATAGCGTCAGCCATGCTCGAAGCTTGCTCTCGAAGGATCTGAAGCTCCTCGTGACGGAGGTAGTAATCGGGCGCATGGGAGTAACTATTCCAGTGTTAAAGCCCCTCCGTGCCAGATATGATCAAGATAGGAAGGGCTCGCGGGTCTTTTTGCATTCATTCCATCCATGACTGCATCATAGATGGAATCTTCAACCTTGGTGGCCCGAATATCAATGATGATAGGGAGCTGCATTGCAATTCAGAAGGCCGTGGAAAAGCCGAGGGATGGGCAATATTGGGCGAGGCTTTGGAGAAATCGATGACTCTCAAAGAAGCTGACTGTGCCAAAAGTCATCTCTTACCGGTGAAGAGACCATTACATGCTTCGTAGGCCGCATCCATGGCCGTTTAGCCTTTACTTCAGCTTACTCAGAATCATGGCAAAGTCGGCCTGCAAATTCTTCAATTCTCAACCGTTTCTGTTTTGTATTTGCTAGGTGATAGCTGATCTTGCCACTGCAATGACCTGAAGCACGAGGAATCTTATTGTTGAACTGACTTCAGCCCCACCATATACTTGGGAAAGGAGTGGTGGACAATTCAAGCAGCTGGCATTCATCATTTGATATCACATTATAGTACTACGGTACTACCTACTAGTAGGTGCGTCGGTACCTAGGTACTGTACGTAGATACCTACTAGTTACGGTGCTACCTGTCCAGTGTCCTCACAGGCTCACACAACATTACGTAGAGCATATGTGCCTCTTTCATCAGTTTTAGTAGAAGCAGTCTTGACCCGCATTAGGCATCCAGGCTGGCAGTGCATTGGCATGTCTTGCGTTGGGAGATGCGGATTCGAAAAACCAACGATTCTTCAAGAATGATCGGTCCAGAACGCTATCATCTGCTAGGGTTGACTGTATCAACTTCCATTTTCAGATGGATTGTGGGGGCTTTCAAGCTTCAAGAGACCAGACGCAAGAAAGGCGGCAAAAAGAGTTGAGAAGAAATGGTGTAGCCAAAGCTTGCAAGAAACAACAGGAGAAAAGATCATCTTTCATCACCTGACCATGCTGGTCCTGTACACCACCCGAACATCCACTCTGGGGGACGGAATCTCCATCAAGCTTTCTTAGGACTCGGGTTTGTTTCGGATCAAGTCTCCACATCGTCCTCCAACGACGGATTTCAACATATACAGTCAAATCCCCATATAAATGGACGGCGACGAAGTTATCTACCGTCGATACCCATACTACTTCCTTGAGAATATCTAGAGCACGGAATGGACACTCACGTGGTGCGCCACCATGCTCCCAACATCAGCCACTCAGGCAGAAAGCCAGGGCTCGAGACGCGAAGCACAAGATATCAGCGTGACTGTGATGTGACTGCTTTAGTACCAGTCAGCGGGATATACTGTCTTCCATTGGCGGCGGAGTTGTCATGAATTTTCAGTCTCTTCGCAAAATCCGAGGTGAGGCCACTCGATGAGGTCCACCAAGAAAGCAGCCATATCAGAAGCTCCATTCAGCCCTCTGCAGCGCATCGGCCAAGACGTCCATTACTTCCAACCCCAAACGAAAACGCCAGAGATTGACAGCGCTTCCCGAGGTCCTGCCTTGATCCCACTCTGCACTTGGCTGGGAGTTGTTGCTACGAACCGAAGAATCCTGAAAAACATCTCAGTTATCGACTTTTGTTTCCGGATCCTGCGATTCTGCTCATCACAGCGAGGACCCTGGAATACATGTTCTACCATTTGGCATTCTTCAAGCGCGCTAGGCAACCGCGCGTGAGATCATTCGAGAGGTCGTCCAGTCTAGCGCTGACGAAGACGCACGAAGACGTATGCTTCTGCACATGTTCTCCCAAGGCGGGTGTAACACTGCCATCCAGCTAGCCCTATTTTTGCAGGTGGACCGGAATCATCCACCGGTAGAGCTTGGCAGATATCTCAATGGGGTCATATTTGAATGCTGCCCGGAGGATGACTCTTTCTGGCAAACATATAAGGCCGCTGCATTATCATTGCCTTCGTCTAAGAGTGGCTCAAACAGTAGGGAGGAGACTGCTTTACTCGACCGTCGGAGCTTTTACTGGACTGCAAAAGACGGGATATATGAGCTCGGTCTGGGTCCCCCGAGCCTTGAGATTAGGAGAAGTATGAGAACAAACCAACGCTATATCACAGTAGTGGTAGTATGCTCCTGTTAAATGAAAGTCACCCAGGCATTCGTTCAAAGTGTGGATACACTGGGTCAGCGGGTAGTTAGTGAGTGGCGAGTGCATCACTGCATACCCACAGCAGTCATTGGCCATGTCACGTGTATTCAATGACGTCGAGTCCCTCAGCATGCTCGGCACTTGATCCAACGGCTTGAGATCCCCGCAATGCCGCTCAACACAATCGATCATCACCCCTCCCGCTCTCATCCTGTGTCGAAGCACGAGTCATTCGATATGATCATCAACGAAAAAATAGATACAAATCTCACAACTGGTTCACCAAGATACGAAACGTGACAACTGGAAGTGCCTGCAGTTTGCTATCACACACCAGTAAAAGCAACGCCAAGCTCTACGTTCATTACCCGAGTATAAGAATAATACCGCCGCACTTGGCGCTTGTGCTGATCGCATTCGACGGCAAAACGCTCGTCGCGAGCGATCAACTTTTTCCAAAATGGTCATTGGTCTTCTGATGCTGACTGCCATCCCCACCACGACGGGCGTGGCCTTTGCGACAAGCGAGCAGCGGAAGGCGAACCAACGTCGAGAAGATGCGCGTCGTATGACGAAATTTCATATTGATGTGGAATGCGACGGTGATACCGACGATGATAGGGATGTCCACGGTCGAAGATTGGTAGTCCGTAACGATAAGGTCTGTATCGCACAGATTGACGATGTAGTCTTCGACGCGTTGCAACTTGCTGAATTCATCTAGGTCTACGTTGATCATCCCAACCCCGCGGATCGATCGATACCTGCCTTTACGGCGCTCGCATTCTACATTGAATACCCGGAGCTCGAGGAAACGAAACATTTGAAGCGAGGCCTTGGTCTGCCCACTTACGTCTCTGCTGATCCACCCTTGCTCAATTGGATCTACGCGGATGTCAATACGCATGAGCTGAAATACGGGAATCGTTCGCAGAGCGTGACGCATATCGTGGGTCCTTGGGACTGGTCCGAGAACGAAAGGGTCATCACTTTGGAGGCGAGCAACCGATTTGTGGCCGTGGAAGAGGAGGAAGGAGAATGGGCCCTATACTTTGACGGAGATGAGGATGATTGTGAAGCTATCCTCGAAGAGCAAGGGAAGTTGGACAAGGCCTTTGTACCGGTAAAGTTGGTCAGGAAGTTAGCTGAAGAACCGCCTCCAGGGCCTCGGTAGGCGTTCTCCAGATGATCATACGCTCGAAGAGAGGTGCAGAAGGTCTATGAACTCGGGGAGCTCAGTGTGGAGAAACGGTGATGAGATGTATGATAAGATAGAATGCTTGCAATAGTGTTCGATAAAATGTGTCCAATTCAGTCGAGTGTCCCTAATCTCTGGTCTACTTTTCCCAACAGTCCAAAAACTCCAATGTTGCTCATGTACAAAAGCTCTTGCAATTGCAAGATCTTCAATCATCCAACCCCTTCCAGCTCTCCTTGTCGCTATCGCCGCCGGCATGCGCACTCGAGTTTGCCTTGCGTTTGCGGCTCGCCTCAATGGCTCCCTTTCTACGATTCTCCATGCGTCTTTCGAATCCACTCTTCGTACTGATGCGCATCCCGCGAGCGCCCTTGCCATCTCCGTCTTTGCCATTCTTGTCCACCTGTTTGGACACCTGTCGGGCTTTGACACCATGCTTCTTGAGTTCTTTCTTGTCTTTCTTGCTCAAATCCGGTAGTGAATCAAGCAACCACTTCTGAATGGATTTTTCGCTGCCGTCTCCGCGCAACTTCTCGCTGACGTCGATGATATTGGCAATACTCTTGACGTAAGGGATATCTTCCTTGGTGTAGTAGGTGACTGCAATACCTCCCGTACGTCCGGCGCGACCAGTTCGGCCGACGCGGTGGACATAAACAGCAGCCGAGTTGGGAATATCGTAGTTGACCACACCGTTAATGCCGCGGAAATCCACACCACGAGCCAGTAGATCTGTGGTCACGAGGATCCAGATCTCGCCCTTGCGGAAGTCTCGCATGATCTCGGAGCGTTGCGTATCGGACAGGTCAGAGTGAAGCACGGCAATCCGGGACGAGCCGCCAGCTTCCGCGGGAATGTCGTACTTCAACTCTGAGTGTAGCGCAATAGCACGGGGAATGGTCTGGGTGAAGATGAGGAATGGCGGGCGAAGACGGACATCGGAAGCCGAGGCAGCGGCCGGGTGAAGGAGCTGACGGAGACCGAGCAGCTTGCCTTGCTCGGTAGCGGCGTACACAAGCTTATGCTCAATATTTGGGATAGCAGAGTCCTTGAGTCCGACAACCAGGCGGATGAGAGGGTCCTGGATGGCGCTTGGCAGGCCCATTCCAACCCGTCGCTCTTTGATAGTCGACCGGATAAGATCGTCGATATTGGAGCCCATGGTTGCTGACCAGAGGCTCACACGCAGGTCCGGGTGAGTGCAGGAACGCCATATACTGAGCGTCTGCTCGCGGAAGAGCGGGTCAAGAAGCACATCAGCTTCGTCCAAAATCAAGCTGCGCACGAGTGGTAGTTGAGCCAAGGGTTTTGTTTGGTGTTCTGAAAGGGCGTTGACCAGTTGCAGTGGGGTGGTAACAAGGATGTCACTCTTCGTTATGGGGATTTTTTTGAGCGGTGTCTTCATTTTCTCGTCGTCTTCTTCTCCTTCTCTTTCTCCTTCGTCTTCCGAGTCCGAGGCATCGCTATTCTCATCAAGTACGTCTGCTTCCTTCTCGTCATCATCGCTGCGTTCCACGATACGCATGCCCTTCTTCATCAATGTGATTTTGACGCCGGTACCAGCTACTAGCTTTCGACCCTCATTGACGATCTGACTGGCTAGTTCCTTGGTTGGAGCCACCACGATAGACAAGATGCCATGCTCATCGGACTGCGGGGAGTGATGATGTCGAACAATCTTGTTGATCACAGGGATCAGGAAGGAAAGCGTTTTACCGCTTCCAGTGGGAGCCACAACCAGTAGATCTGGCTCTTCAGCTGACTTTGATGAGCCAGAAAGGCCACCGAGGAGAAGTGGCAATGTGCCCAGCTGCACTTCCGTTGGGACTGTAAAGCCCTGATCTGCCACGTTCTCTGCGAGTCGGCTTGAGATCTTATATCTTGCGCGCAGCTCCTTGAAGGAAGTCAACGGCTGCGGATACAATCGACGCGCTCGTTTCAGCTCCTTCTTGCTCAGAACGGATGGTTCGTCCTTCTTTTGCTTCTTCTTCGTCTTTTTCTGTTTTTTAGATTCTGTCTCCGGGGCAATTTGAGAAGGAATGTCATCTATATCCCGCAGATCGGTGACTTTGATCTTGTGGGAATTGAGAATGGTACGACGTTCAACTTCGTCCATCTCATCTTCCTCGTCAGATCCATCATCCTGTTCTGTCGTCTGCTCCTGTACGCTTTGCGCACACTCTGACACCTCCGTCTTGGCCGCAGACGACCGCTTCGATGATTGGAAAAAGTCCAAGTCTGGGGTGTCGTGCTCATCAGCCTCTTCAACAGCAGCCGCAGCTCTCTTCCTCTTCTTTTGATTTTGCGCCGATTCGAGCTTCTCGCCCGCGGCGGTTCGGAAGAGCTGCGGATTCGCCGCCTTGCCCGTTGAAGGCAGACGGGCAGTGGACTTTGCTGTTGTCTGCGCGGCTGACTTTAAGTTCGTTGACCTCGTCAGCAGCTTGAAAGCATCCATGTTGGCTCAACGAAGGGTATACAATGCAAACAATTCAAGCCTGTGTCTGCGAAATTTCGTGAGGCCTTGGATCACTTTGATATTTCCGGCAGAAAAAAAGAGACCCACCGTCTCCGCACGGACCAATCATAGTGTCTTGAGACCCTCTTATATCAGTGCTGTACATGTACAATTGCATTGAATCTCTGACCGTGAAGCAAATGCGCGAAAGATAGAGTAAGGTCACACTAAAGACAGTGCTGTTCTCAAGATATTTTCAAATCTCGGTACATGGGCCGCGTTGCGGTAGCATACGTACGCTCAAGTCGAACGCACAGGGCTCCACCGCTACCAGGTATAGTAGTCCCTGCATATTACGTGGATATCTTTCTCGATACTTTCGAATACGCGGAACAATGCAAGAGCGCCGGATTGAAACAAAATCTCATATGAAATGATTCTATCTCAGACAACAGTTTATATTCCATCGTCTATCATACAGAGCCTGACTGGGGGCCAAAAGCGCAAGGCACATAGGAAAGAAGGGGTAGTGGGTGAACAGAAACCAGATAGTGTGTAATTTTCCACGTCTAGTGGTGGGCAACCTCGCCGCGGTAACCGACAATGTTCATGCGACCAATCATCTCACCGACGGTGAAGAAACCAATAATCTCGGCAGCGGTGACACCGAAGAGAGCAATCTCCTTGGCGTTGGCGTTGCGAACGCGGTTCAGCATACCCTGGGGGAAGGCATCTGGAGGTTCTTGATAGCGGCAGGGTTACGCATGACGTTCATCAAAGGCTCGAAGTAGGACTGGAAGGTGGCCATGTTGCTGCGAAAGTGAGACGAGAGTCAGATGCGCGTCACTGGTAACATCCCCAGGAATTGTGTGGCATGACTTACGGAGGGGACATCTTCTGTCCACGGAAAACAAGCTTGCCGAGCTCAAGACCCACACGAGAGTAGTAGATGGTGGGAGGGATCATGGCTGTTTGGCGCGTTAGCTGATGTCTGGTATGCATGTCTCGAATCGGACGTGGATTCGAGAAAGGTCATCGAGGAGGTAGTGAATAACCGTTCCAGGGCAATGGCCATGGTACTGAAATTTATTTCGATGGCCAGTCTCGAATCCACCGTATCCAGTTCGAGTTGATCGAAGTTCGAATGTGACACCCGTGATTCTCGGGGAGTTCTTACAGTCAACGAACTTGACAACCTTGCCGACGGGGCCGCCAACCTTGCGCAGGGCCGTGGCAGCATTGGAGAGGGCAGGACCAGCGGCAGCAGTGGCCTTGGAGAGACCATCCTGGGCCTTGGAAGCGGCGTTAGAGGCGGATTGACCGGCCTTGGAGGCAGCCTCGGAGGTGGAAGAGGCGTTTCTGGTGAATGTACGACGAGCCAGGAACTGCGATTGCCGCAGGACGGCACGAGTGGCAACGGGCATCTTGGGGAGTGCGAGGAGGAAGAATTTATTAGATGGGCTTTTTTTTTGGGAAAGAAACCAAGCACAGATAACCCGGGAGAATCACGCGTTGTGAAGAGACGGAGATGAGGGTCCAATGGCGATGTTCGTCTTGCGCAACGACCGGACCAGAATCTGCGGATTTGGAGAATCGGGAACTTCAGGGAATCGGGATCACGTGATGGGTGTTGATAGCCCGCGCTCCGCTCCGGCGGTGCCTGGATCTCAAGGTAAACGGCAACAGTTACAGCTTTAGCAGTAGCAGACTTGATCCTCACAATGCAAGATTGAATTTGATTTTCACACTCACGAGGTTGGGCCAAATCGCCAGGCTTTGGATGTAGATTCGGCCATATAGCACCTGAACCTAATGGGTCTGGACACTAAAACCGTGGACGAGGGGGGTTTCTGACGTGGGCAGTAGTATCTCGCCCGAGTCTGGATATGTCATCATCGTTGGTGAGTAGGGGATGCCGCATCTGGAACAATTTACCAGCAGGCAATAATCGAATTTCGGACTGCCCCCACATTATCAACACATTGAACGCGATATGTGTGCTTTTCATCCAAGTTTTCATCTTCTCCTTCAAAAGCATCAAGTGTCCGCTTTTAGGTTGCAGGATATGACTCGCGGCGACTTCGAGGCGCGCCGAAAGTGTACATAGATTTCTACCTCTTACTAGCGTCCAACAATACTCCTTAAATCCGAGTTCTGCAGCAACCTTATTATGTGCAAGTACCATTTCCTGGACTGATTCACGGCTGTTCCTGTGATATTGAAAAACCATCAATGGGCCAGGTATATGACTCGGTGCCCATTGAGATTTTGCACTTGACTGAACACAAGGCCGGCTGTGGAAGCGGATGTTCGGGTAAATTCCACTATGCTTTTAGCCCCCCTCGATTCCAACCCCAGTGACTCTTGAACTGTGCATGATCTACGATTCAGGTGTCAAGGACTGCAAATGCAAAAATCCATGTCAAATGTTGGATGGAGGTACTACGTACCTGGGCACGTTATAACCAGGAAGCACCTGCTAGCCCTGGCAGGCAGCAAGCGTGGACACGGTCGCACATTATTGCTTGGTGCGTATCGCTACATGGGCGGAGTGAATTATTATGGGCGACGGTGGCAGCGCTCTTCATGTGAAGCGTGCTTCAGCCTTCCACCCACAGTGTGCAACTCGGTCCCTCAATCATTTGCTAAGTACCTATCAAGACGACGTCCCGTCGGCACCACAAGATAAAAAAAAATCAGAAGAAGCTCAGTAGCTCGCTCTGCATATTGTCTGCGTGTGAAACATCCTCAGGAGTAGCTGATCATCTGGTGCGAGATCACGAGGATGAAGAACCTTAGCATGCCCTGGAATGAGGCTCAACTGCGACTCCAATGCACTGACCCAGATATCGCCTGAATGTGCATAGATACTCCCGGCTCGGACCGACGGACATTGCAAACAGAAAAGAACGTGGTCATCTAACCGTTGGCCTGGATCGAGTCCCATGCTCAACTGAATGCATTTGAGTCTGACATAGAATGCCCAAGTCCGTCGTGGAAGAGAATGACTTGTTGAGCAATTGAGCTCGATGGGAATCCACACCCAGGTTCCATGCTTTATGCATAATCGTGTGAGTTCAAGGCCGACATGGAAATTCTAATGTACTGGTGTCATCAGGCCTGATTGCCCAAAGCACCTATCGGGCTGATCTGGTCAATGATTGTTGCCCAAGGTTGTCAAAATCTCACGTCCTTATGTACTTGCTGACCTCGGTGACTACAGTAGTAGGTCAGCTGATAGTCAGGCGAAGACAGGCAGGGCCTATCGGCCTCGTAAGAATGATGATATCGGTTCCGCCGCAGTTTCCACCGGGAATTTGCCAGTTCGGGGCTTCTCTGTCGCGACGAGGAGCAGGGGAACATGATGGAGGGCGAGACAAGACGCGTGACCGGAGCGAGGATGGAAGAATCCATGATGATTGTGTGATAGGAGGAATTCGGCAGGTATTCAACAAGGTATGAAATTGAGCTTTCAATGCTCTCAGATTGATTGCCTAGATTGTGCAATGAGTATCGTGATGGCAATTATGGACCCTCCCGTAAATAGTCACGGTTCAACCAGCAAGACGTCCTTCTGCATTTACCCGACAACCGATTCTCGGACTCGGCCCGGGGGTCTGAGGAAATCGGCCGCCGCCAAAATGGAGCCAACGGACGGTGAAGGGGTCACGAGGAGGGGTCGACCAGCAGTTGGAGTGGAGCTGAAGGCTGCTTCATCTTGATGGACTCCACTGATTTAGCCCAGCAGGCCTGGGGTACAGTTACAGGAGGGTTAGAGCAAGATGGAGTCATGGATCATGTACTCGTAGTGCAGTACGGCATACGGTGCTACTGTAGTCATGACCGGATGTATATGATGCATCTTGGGTGCCCTTAGCCTCTTACTACTGTAAAACTGCCTTTGGAGTCGACGAGTCCTCGTGAGCAGGAATTCCGCAGATTGGGTAAACGGTCATACTCAAATCGTCAGATAAACCGCCGACTGGTGGTGGTAATTCTAGACGTTCAAAAGCGAAGCCTCGGAGTGCTGGCAGAATCTGTAGATCATTTAAACGCAATTGGTAGACTAGCATCGACAAGTATGAATCTGGCTGTAACTAATAATACCTGCAGTCGTGAAGCGCAAAATACATCTGGTTAGTCAGCACTCAGGTGTTCCACCACTCTCCGTCGGATGCGATGAACATACTCGTCTGAGCCATTCTGTACTACTGGGTAGTGTGTAGTGAGTCGTGCCTAGTTAGTGCTCAGTTGTCAAATTAGTAGTGATGTTGCATACACCACCTCATTCTGGCTCTGTTCACTGCCTATTCTTGCCTGTCTGGGCAGGGGAAGAATTGGAGAATTCAACCCCGCGCGGTTAAAATCAACATGCCCCTCTACTCTCCACTTGGGGCGCGCTTTTGTAGTCGGAGCCAGTGAACTCAGTCAAGCCTCACGGGCGCATGCACGGGGAGCCCACCAGCGACTCGGCTGGTTGGCTACTCCCGGTTCTTTGCTCGAGAAGTTCACTCCGCGTTCTTCTCCACGTTTGTTCGGCAAGATGACGGTCCCACGAGAACCTGTTGGACCCAGACCGGGTGCGCGCTGCCTTGTTGGTCATTGTCGCTGAGGATTACGCTTTTTCCGTTTTTTTTTTCATTTTTTTTTTTTTCATGTTCGGTGGTGATCACCTGCTCGACTGTAGTCCAGGGCGAGTTAAATACTCCGCCTGCCCCTCGTCGCACAAAACTTCTTTTGTGGCCACGATCTCTGTCGTTCTCACTCTCCGCTTTCTCGACTGATACCTCTCTCCCTGTATCTCTCCTCCCCACCACACACTTATCATGTCGACCGCTACAACCGTCGCCAAGACCAACATTGGTGTCTACACCAATCCGCAGCATGACCTGTGGATCGCCGAGGCCGAGCCCAAGACGGAAGATGTTCAGAGCGGCAAGACTCTCAAGCCTGGTGAGGTGACGATCGAGGTGCGGAGCACTGGTATCTGCGGGTAAGAGAAGCTCTTCGATTCACTGTCGGCTATGATCCAAGTCAGATGTTTACGGGCATGCCGCGAGGAAAGACCGAACCACTGACGTGTTGCCTGTTTTCCCTTCCTCTAGATCCGATGTTCATTTTTGGCACGCCGGTTGCATCGGTCCTATGATTGTGACTGGCGATCACATCCTCGGCCACGAGTCTGCGGGTCAGATCGTCGCGGTCGCCCCCGATGTCAAGTCCTTGAAGCCTGGCGACCGTGTCGCCATTGAGCCCAATGTCATTTGCAACGAATGTGAGCCTTGCTTGACAGGTCGATACAACGGTTGCGAGAGAGTTGCCTTCCTGTCCACCTCCCCCGTGGACGGTCTGCTGCGCCGTTACGTCAACCATCCCGCCATCTGGTGCCACAAGATTGGGGACATGAGCTACGAGGATGGTGCTCTTTTGGAGCCTCTCAGTGTGGCGCTGGCCGCCGTCGAGCGCAGCGGGCTGCGTCTCGGTGATGCCACTCTGATCACTGGCGCCGGCCCTATCGGTCTGATCTCTTTGCTTAGTGCCCGTGCTGCCGGTGCCTGCCCCATCGTGATCACCGACATTGACGAGGGGCGTCTGGCCTTTGCCAAGTCTTTGGTTCCTGAGGTGCGCACCTACAAGGTTCAGATCGGTCTCTCGGCCGAGGAGTCTGCGGCGGGAATCATCAATGCGCTCAACGACGGCCAGGGCTCTGGCCCAGATGCGCTGCGGCCGCGTCTCTGCCTGGAGTGCACTGGCGTCGAGAGCAGTGTCAACTCCGCCATCTGGAGCATGAAGTTTGGAGGCAAGGTGTTCGTGATCGGTGTGGGCAAGAACGAGATGACCATCCCCTTCATGCGTCTGAGCACTCAGGAGATTGACTTGCAGTACCAGTACCGTTACTGCAACACTTGGCCTCGCGCCATCCGTCTGGTGCAGAACGGAGTAATCGATCTGCACAAGTTGGTCACGCACCGCTTTGCCCTGGAGGATGCGCTGAAGGCCTTTGAGACCGCGGCCAACCCCAAGACTGGCGCGATCAAGGTCCAGATCATGAGCTCCGAGGAGGACGTCAAGGCGGCGTCAGCCGGCCAAAAGGTCTGAAGGAGCTCTCCCTCCGACGGCAATTAATATGGAAAAGTTGATGATGTCTGGGAGTTTGGAGCGTTGATATTTTGAGCACTGGTTAATCCGGTCAGACACAGCTCGTGCATGCGACCTTTCTGTCCGTTGTTATTTTTTTTTATTTCGTTTCTTCCACGACATGAGTGATGGCTAGATATACCCCGACTGGGAATCATAGAGAGACCCCGGAATGGAATTAATTCAGTGTTTCAAGCACTTAGTTTAATGTAGCGAGGACTGGAGGCGGAGAGTAGATGATCGCGTAGTAATCTGACAACCGAGGCGGGCAGTGTCGGCGATACTTTTTTCTCGCTGCTTGTCAGCCGTATGAATGTTACGAAGCTTTGCTGTGCAGACGTCGAACAAATCGTGCTCTCGAAACATTGCGTGTTTTCCGAAGCCTGCTGCAAGTCAGTGCCATTGCCGTCGGCTATGAGATTGGAACATGCTCACCGTCTCATTCCGCTCAAGACTTCTTGTTGACTGCAAGCCCACATTTCTTTCCCTCCTATACTACTTGTCACCCCATAGATGTAGCAATAATTGTGGTTTGTTATTTGAGTAGATACGAGGCTTCAAGCCTTCCGTTGGGCGCGGTAAGAGTTGCTCCCATGGCGCCGCGGCGGGATCTCGGGAGGCCTAACCTTGTTTCCTTCTTGTCTTCGGGAGGTTATTTGTTTTTGAAGGAATGGTCTTTGTACTTGCAATTACTTGCGAGTCTTGACAACAGGAAGTTCAGTGCGATGACAGCACGCCATACCTAGACTGTCGGACCACATCGTACTCAGGTCGAGAGGCGTCTTGGTAGAGCATGCCTCTGATCCACTTGAAGCGATATTACACAGACACCAACTCTTGCGCACCAGGTTCCACCAGACCCTTGACAGCCGTCCCCGGAGTTCACACAGCAACCCCACTCCAGACGATCGATCCCTTCATCAACTCTCAGACTGCCGACATCAGCCCGACAGCTAGATTGATGAGGAGCACCTCGTCGGCAATTTGAGTCGTCGATCAGTCGATTCAAGAGTCTTGATGCACCGAAGCGATTATCCACCACAGACAACTCCGCCGATCTGCCAAGACCTCCTCCCCGATAATTGCCCGCACTCTTTCATCAGGGTCCTTGAACTACAGAGTGTAGTCGTTTTATACAAATGGAAAGTGTTGTACGGGTAGAGAGCGTACTGTGCCATGTAAATGGCGTCAATTCCAACGGCAACAGGGTTGCGCCTTGCTTGGCGGATCTTGGCCGGGGTCCAGTCGTCCCTTCATCTCCCTTTATTGTTTGTATCTTCAAATTTCCTTCGCGTATTCATCGGACATTATCTTCTCCGCTCGATCGTGATGCTACTTTCCCCTCCTCACTGACAATCCTTGTCCCCCACGTTTGCGTCAAATCACCTGGGGAGAGGCGGGGAAATGTTTGCATGTCCACTGGTCGCCTAATAACATTTCATCATAAATACTTTCAACCCTCTCGTCCTCATCTTCTTCTCACTCTCAATTCATACATCTGAGCTGCGTCTACGGATCCATTCATCATCATGCGTAGATTGTTGCTGCTTCTGGCGCCCCTTGTGGGTGCTGCACTGATCGACACCCGCTCCAGTCATCTCGAAAATTGTTCTGGTTACAAAGCAATGAATATCCGTGAGCAGGGTCAGTCTTTGACGGCTGATCTTGTCCTTGCGGGAGACCACTGTGATGTTTATGGCACGGATTTGGAGAACCTGAAGCTTCTCGTGGAATATCAGACCGGTACGATGCCCTTTCACCGAGCGTGACATCATGAAAAGGAAGAGTAATGAGAGGAAAACCAATGAGGTCAATACTGATGACTCGCCTCTAGACGATCGTCTGCACGTTCTCATCTCAGACCGAGACGAGGAAGTCTACCAGGTGCCCACCTCGGTGGTGCCTCGCCCTGACGCCACCAGCCACCATGGCAGCAACCCCAACATCCGTTTCGATTTCGAGGCTGAGCCTTTCTCCTTCCGTGTCCTTCGTGGAGATGAAGTGCTCTTCGACACCTCGGAGACTAGCTTGGTCTTTGAAACCCAGTACCTGAGACTGCGCACATGGCTACCAAAGAACCCGTACTTATATGGGTTAGGTGAGCACAGCGATCCCTTGCGTCTCCCAATCAAAAACTACACCCGCACTCTCTGGAGCCGTGACGCGTACGGAATCCCCGAGAATACCAATTTGTACGGCAATCACCCAATTTATGTGGACCACCGTGGTGCTGAAGGCACCCACGGTGTGTTCTTCCTCAACTCCAATGGTATGGACATCAAGGTTGATCAAACCGATGATGGACGTCAATTCTTAGAGTACAACACTATCGGTGGTGTCGTTGATCTCTACTTCCTCGCTGGTCCCTCTCCCAAGGAGGTGGCCAAACAGTACTCGGAGATTGTTGGACTCCCTGCTATGCAGGCCTACTGGACTTTTGGTGTACGTGACTCATTCCGCTATGGTTCTGGTCACGAGCAGCCCGACTGACCACTCGCTCTATAGTTCCACAATTGCCGTTATGGACATCGTGATGTGTACGATGTCGCCGAGGCCGTCTCCAACTACAGTCATGCGCACATTCCCCTGGAGACTATGTGGACCGACATTGACTACATGGATCGACGCCGGGTCTTCACCCTTGACCCTGAGCGCTTCCCTCTCGAGAAGATGCGCGAGCTCGTTGACTACCTGCACAAGCATGATCAGCATTACATTGTAATGGTTGATCCTGCCGTTAGCGACAGTGGCAAGTTCTCAAAATCTACCGTACTGGGCTCTCATGAAACGTGAAGGCTAACATGGCATTTGACGCAGACAATGGCGCAGCGAACCGAGGCAAGGGGCAGAACGTCTTCCTGAAACGCGGAGGAGAATGGTATCAAGGTAAGCTCATCTGATGCAAGTCCGATTCTCCTTTTTCTCACAGAGAATTGGCACTGAACCCTTCGTAGGCGCTGTCTGGCCCGGAGTCACGGTCTTCCCTGACTGGTTTGCACCCACTACTCAAGACTGGTGGGATGGCGAGTTTGCTCGATTTTTCAACCCCGATACCGGCGTCGATATCGATGGCCTGTGGATTGATATGAACGAAGCTTCCAACTTCTGTCCATGGCCCTGTCAGGACCCGGCCGCCTACTCTGTGGAAAACGATCTGCCTCCTGCCGCTCCTGATGTTCGCCCGTCTTCGCCTCGTCCTTTGCCCGGCTTCCCTGCCGATTTCCAGCCTGGAAAATCGTCGGGCAAGGTACGTCGTACCGCGGGCAACAAGGCGGGCTTGCCCAATCGAGAGCTGGTTTCTCCACCATACCAGATTGCAAATGCGGCTGGGTCTCTGAGCAACAAGACTATCGACACCGACCTCATTCACCAAGGCGAGGATGCATACGCAGAGTATGATACTCACAACCTCTATGGCACCAGTAAGTAGCTGTGCATATCCTTCTCGTACAAGAGGCTTTTCGGGTGATATTGATACTAATTCGGATGGGTCATCTCAGTGATGAGCTCTGCCTCTCGTCATGCTATGAGCGAGCGTCGACCTTCTGTTCGACCTCTGATCATCACTCGAAGCACTTTTGCAGGTGCCGGAGCTCATGTCGGTCACTGGTAAGTTACTTCCCAGCAACATTGTACCCCCCTCGTCAAACCCAAAATCTAACTGCTCTATCACTCTTTCCAAACGATTAGGCTGGGAGATAATCTGAGCGAGTGGGGCAAGTATCGCACGTCAATCAGACAGATGCTGGCATTTGCCGCCATCTTCCAAATCCCCATGGTAGGATCTGATATCTGTGGTTTCGGCGGCAACACGACCGAGGAGCTTTGCGCTCGCTGGGCCACACTGGGTGCTTTCAACCCATTCTACCGTAATCACAACAGTATCGACTCGATTCCCCAAGAATTCTATCGCTGGCCCACTGTTGCGGATGCTGCTCGCAGGGCCATCGCCATCCGTTACCGTCTTCTCGACTACCTGTACACGGCGTTCCACCGCCAGACGCAGACCGGCGAGCCCTTCCTGCAGCCCATGTTCTACGTCTACCCGGACGACAGCAAGTCTTTTGCTAACGAGGCGCAATTCTTCTACGGTGATTCCCTGCTCGTCTCTCCCGTCCAGGATGTCGGAGAGACCTCTGTCGACGCGTACCTACCCAAGGATCTCTTCTACGACTGGTACACCGGCGCAAAGGTCCAAGGTAAGGGTGCTAACAAGACGCTCACGAATGTCGGCGTCACCGAAATTCCCATCCACATCCGCGGTGGCAGCATTATCCCTCTGCGCGCCGAGAGCGCCATGACCACCAAGGAGCTACGTCGTCGAGGCTTCGAGATCCTGGTCGCCCCCAACAAGAAGGGTTATGCTTCGGGCTCACTGTACCTCGATGATGGCGAGTCCCTGGAAGTCGAGAACAGCAGCGAGATTCAATTTGAATACAACAAGGGTCGCCTTTCTATCCGTGGTCTCTTTGGCTACCACCCCAATGTGGCTATCGAAGCGATCACGATCTTGGGACAGGATCGTCCTCGGAAGCAGGCACGCGGAGTGGATTATGATGCGGCTCGACAGAGCGTCACCAAGAAAGTGAATGTGAGTCTGAGCGGACCTGCGGAGATCGATGTCTAAGGGGGGTCAAACTTTCGAGAGTTGTCTGGCTGGTGATGAAGAACGCTTCGACTTTTTTCTGTTCCTACTTTCCCTCTTGCGTGAGTTCGTCGAGTTGATTAACCAGTCGTTGCTGATTTAAGTTGTGCATCCCTCGGCCTTTTTCGGTCACATTCCTGACGGGGGAAAAGCTCCGACTTGGCAGAAAATGAACTTTCACAATGCACTTCTACGGGCTTGAAGGTGTCCTTTCAAACTTTCCATACCTTCAGTCACACGCGTTATCATGGACCATCTAGTGCCGTACCACTACCCAGTGTCCACAAACTACCTTAGTGCCGCAGTGCCTAGTGCCTACTGCGTTGTACCTACTACTAGAGGTCCAATGGTCATGCAAGATGACCCTTTCAAGTTGTCTGAAGGGACGCGGTGCCGACAGCCATTAACTCGTTTCACAGTAGTAGTACTGTAGTACTACCTAGTACCATAGGTGGACTCTGAGATCCACAAAGCTCCAGAGCCCTAAGTACCTACTACCTAAGGCTGAACAGTCCCTGACTGTGATGCATATGACAGGTGACAGATCCACCGATTCGGTCTAGTCCTACAAAGAGGCTCCCATCAGAAATCTCCGTGGTTGAGTAATTCCGTCTTTTAAGTTGACAGTCATTTCCCCCCTTAGCTGACTCGTGAGTTTCATAATTTCCCCGAAGCGGGTATGAAGAGTTTCAGGATTCAACCCTGTGGTAAGAATGACCTGAGTTGTATAGTTTGAACGAGTCCTGTCAAGATCTCGTCGTGGTTTACCTTGTGATGAAGAATGGCATCGCAATGGAACTCAGGTGTGGCAGATGTGCATCACTGCATCTAGAGGGGATCAACAATCAGGACGTCTCGATGTGAATACAATAGAATAGAGGGCGGCCACCATTAAACTCACCGGACTTAACATCCTTACCGAGATCGAGGATTTCGTGTTACTGCTGCTGACGATGGATCAAACCAGTTAATATCTAGGTATAGCAAATGTTAGAGCGACCTGAACGATGCGCTGTTGTCTAGCCGCGCGACATCAAGCCTCTCATCGCAGGCTCGCACTGAGACTTTCAAGGTAGTGAGTACTGAGTACTGACTGGACTCGTATGAATAGGTCGATAAGTCTGGAGTCCACTGGCATTGCCATTAGGTACTTGCCTGACAAGAAGGCAATTCCAGGGTGTTCAAATAAGCGCAAAGACTTTACCTTGGGCGCCTGAGAGATGGATTTTAGTCCTCGTCGCGTAGGCAAATCGTATGCAAGTTGTTAAGTTGTAGGTCACTAGCATCATGACATGCAAGTACTTGGTCCTATCAACATGGCTACACATGATGATCTTCTATGTGGCAAATTTTGAAGGAGATGAGACCTTGCACTCATTCAGGGTTTTTTTCACCAGGGCCCTCTAGTCGTGGCGATGATTGTTCCTACTTAGCCCTGAATTCCTGACCCTGACTGATAAAAGGTCATGTGCTGTGCGCGGGCCGGCAACAACAGGTTGCTCATTAGGTACACTACTACTCAACTACTCTATCTTCTATGCAGCAGCAGGCCTGACTTATCACGAACCTCACGACAAGAAATTCACGTCACAGAGTTACTGGTTCCTGGGCGCATGCTTGTGAATTTCCGAGTTTCTGGCATTGCCAAGTTTCTCCTCGCAGAGTGTCTCTTGACAAGTCGGTCGCGAGGTACTGAGCCATTGTCTTGTTCACCTGATATGAAGAGGGTGTATATGAGTGTATGTCGTCAAGTATTTCAGCATAATCGACTAGAAATTGCGGCAAAGACGGGGCCAGAAATCCTCATCCGTTGAGGCTCTTCATGTGAGAAACAAGACGACAATACCGCAGTAAACGTCACGGCGAATGGGCCTAATGAGATCCATGTCACGATCTAACCGAGGGAACGGGGCTGAGTGGAGGCTAGCCGGTGGTAATTCTTTCTCGGTCGCATGGACTTTGCCCTCATCTCGGTGACTCGATGTACCCGATGGCCGGTTGACAAGGGCTCTTGGACAATTCCAAAATGCACATAATGGAGAAGCATACTACCGTGACCTGATCGCAGCAGGAGGATGAGTGCCCGGTCGCAAGATCGCAAGATCACCAAATCGCGAAATCGCGAAATCGCCAACCTGACTCGGTTGAGGCTGAAGGCTCCACATTCCCAAAGATAGCGTACCACGCTGCGTGGCACCGAGTCAACCAGGGCGCTCGTGACTTACAGAAGTCTTTATTTAGTACTGGGGTGCATAGGGTGCATAGGTAGATGATCAGATGTCTCTGTTATTCGACGACCCTACGACAAGACTGAGCACCCGTCTGCAACTCTCTCTTCAAGTCTGTGCGTGAACAGCTGCTCGGTATTTGCTACCGTAGCAATTCGGCACCCACCTTTGCCTGCGGGCAAATGACTGCAACGACACAATGACATGCCCGTGGCATGTCTCACTGATGTCTTTGGTATAATTAGTATGATAGCCGAGGCGTCTACACTCTACACTGTAGAGTGTAGAGTAGTAGTAAATTTCTGTGTTTTCTCAATGAGTCAGTGGCGACAAAAAGACAGGACGGCAGGTCGCCCAAACAATCACTCTTTACAGGAGGCTGGCAACGGGCCACGGGGCTGGGAGATGGAGTACACTCCTTGAGGGGTAAACTTTTGAGGTGGACAGTGTACACTGTACAGACCTACAGATGTTGCGACTGGGAGGGTCACTGGCAATCCATTTGAATTGGCTTCTACGCCGAGTAAGGGGCGCAGAAGGAGAGGCTGGGCTATCATGATGACATTTACAAGGCGATGTGATGGAGGAATACGACGCTCAGGAACCAAAGGACCGACCCCCTGAGGCCGAGAGTCCGGACGACAGGTCAGGTGATCCACATGCACATGATCGTTTGCCCATCATGAAACATTCCTGACATCCCATCGTAATCTGTCAGAGTCGCGAGACCTCAAGGATGTGGGGATCTTTTCACTGATGACTGCACATTGCACAATACACATCGTTGCCTTGCACGGCCGTATCGCATCGTCCAGCCAGATGGACCACCACACGACTATTACTACTACTACTGAGGCCTGACACAGCTGTGCACTGGTGCAGGACTGTCACCCGCTGGACAGGTTCAGATGGGTGTCTCTGATGTCTCACCTTTTGCCAGGAAAGGTTTCCCCAGCAGCTCCTCGGTTGACTCCACTCATCATCCTGGGTGGAATCAGTGGGTGTCGGGCGACAAGCCCGACAGGTACGAGTACCAATCACGCTTCCCCGATGCTGGGCGCGGATCCCCTTTCTCTGGCCTTCCTCCGGACCGAGCTGACACTAAGCCAAACTAACGACTACGATAGGAGCCACTTTTAGGGAGAAATTGAAAAAAAAGAGAGAGAGAAAGAGAGAGAAAGACAGAGCGAAGGAGGACCGTGGGGGCCAATCCCATGCTCGGCTCTGCACCTGCCTGGCGCTTTGCAGGCCATATCTGCCGTCGCCCTGTCGCTGCTGCGGCTGCGGGACGTACAGTCACGACTCACGATTCACTAGTAACAAAGTTAGCACTTGGTTGCAACCCAAGTTGGGTGCGCCCCTCGGGATCAATCGACCGATTGATCCCATGAAGAAGTTCCCTCCTTCTTCTTTAGGGAGGGGCTGATGCCTTGCACAATCGGCCTAGTGGGAATCAAGGATCGATTTGTCTTTGGTCCTGACCCTCTGATGGGATAATGTCTACTGGAATTGTCTATCCCACTTGGGTCTCCTCCCACTATGCCTAGAGGGGATTCTCCGAGTTCCCGAAATTGTGTATGCCCACTCAGAAAGGATGGGACTTGTCAGTCCCAATAATAGGCCCCCCAGATCTAAACGCCCTGGCTCAAACCCTACCTGCTGCGGCTGGCATCTTCGTGAAGAGGACTAGCGGTACAAAAGCGTCCCCAGCGCCCGCGAGGTCTTGATCAACCTTTCTTTTTACTTTTTTTTCTTTCTGCATTAAACCTCTTTGAAATATCTGATCTCTCAGCTTCCTCTCACTTCTCCCTTCGTTTAATATTCCAAAAAATCCATTTTGGGTTCATCGTCAGCTCCACTCGCTATAGCTGCGTGATCACCGTACGGCATTTAAAACATTCGCTACTTCCCCTCATATCAGTCGTTCCCAGCCTTCAGCTTTCCCCCGCGATCAATTCTCAAACCTGCATCTTGCTCACTTCGGTGCATATTTCACCACATCGACTCTCAAGATGCCATCTTTCTTCAAGTATGCCGCTATGGCTTTGGCCGTGGCCGCCCCCTTCGCATCGGCGCAGACTTACACCGACTGCAACCCACTGAAGAAGACATGCCCGGCCGACGCAGGCTCTACCGAGTCAAAGATGTCCTTTGACTTCACCAAGCCCTCTGGTCTCAACAAGTGGAAGACCACTGCCGGTAAGGTCAATGCGGGTCCCAATGGCGCTGCCTTCACCGTGGCTCAGCAGGGTGATGCCCCTACCATTGAGACCGACTTCTACATCTTCTACGGGGAGGTCTCGGTCACCATGCAGGCTGCTCCCGGCCAGGGTATTGTCAGCTCCATTGTCTTTGAGTCTGATGATCTTGATGAGATTGACTGGGTAAGAATATGCAACGTGTCTAGTTGGACTTGATCTAAGAAATTTTATATAAACAAAAAAGATCGATTATGCTAATAATGAATCATAGGAGGCTCTTGGTGGAAACACTGCCCAGATTGAGACCAACTATTTTGGCAAGGGTGATACTAGCACCTACAACCGCGACACCTGGCCTGCCGTTGCCAACCCTCAGACTACCTTCCACACCTACACGGTGAACTGGCAGAAGGACAAGACTGTCTGGTCCATTGATGGTACTCCCGTCCGCACCCTGCAGTACTCCGATGCTTCCGGTGGCTCTCGTTACCCTCAGACCCCGATGCGTGTTCGTATCGGTGTCTGGGCTGGTGGTGACCCCCGCAACGGTAAGGGTACCATTGAGTGGGCTGGCGGTGCCACCGACTACTCCAAGGCTCCCTTCTCCATGTATGTCAAGTCCGTCTCGATCACCAACACCAACCCCGCCACCTCCTACACCTACACCGACAACTCTGGTTCCTCTGGAAGCATCAAGATGAACGGTGCCGGTACCCTCAACGAGACTTCCGTTTCTTCTGGTGTTGTGAGCGCCACAACCTCTGCCACCGACTCCAAGTCGACTGCCACCGGCACCGGCACCCACACCACCATGGCCACTACTGTTCACACCACCGCCACCTCCTCCATCGAGGCCATCAGCACTGGCTCTTCTTCTTCTATCGATGCTTCCTCCAGCACTTCCAAGTCTGGTTCTCCCAGCGCGGCCTCGAGCTCTGCTCAGCCCACGGCTTCCTACAACGCTGCCCCCAGCGTTGTTGCCAGCTACCTGGGACCCGTCTCTCTTCTGGGTCTGGTGACTGCTCTCCTGCAGCTGTAAAAAGCATATGAAGCCAGACCTCCGGTCTCGCACTCTGACCTTCAGCGCGCTTTTTGCATTTCTTCTCGAGCTGCATCATTTATCATACATTTCTTTTTCTCGATCTGCGCATACCCACCTAATCACGTCAGTACATTACCTCTCTCGGAGCAAGCACACTGGGCTGGATCTGGGCTTCTTGAACATGAGCGATGCATGCTTCTTGCTTTACCTTTTTTTTTTCCCACGCACCTCTTCCATTCATGGCGTCTCTTTTGATTCCCCACTTTCTTGTCTCCAATCGTTCTCATAAACAATATGTTTCATTATGGAGGCATCTAGATTTATGTATGAACTGGGCACAATATTTACGTCGTCACCTGTATTGAATCCACACTATCCTTTCCTCAAATGGAAGAGTGCTCCCCAATCAAGCTCATATCTCCAGTGTCACGTGCATGATTCCTAGCTTTTTCATCGCTACGCCGTAGTCAATTCAACCCATTAGGTTTCCACTTTTGTTTTTGGAGTACTTCCCCTGGGCTTATTTTCCGCAATCATATCTCAAGCGTGGCCTATCCACCCGAAAGCCGAAGATCAACAGGCACGGACACTCAATTGGAGACAACACCCGACGCAAGGAAGATCACCTGTCATACATCGCAGTATCGCCGTCCAAGCGTCCTCGCTTCGACAGCCCGAAGATCTTTTTCCCATCCCTTTCAGACTCTGCCGCAACCAGGTCCATCCTGAAGTCGCCCTGCACAATAGATACTGGTAGTAGCCACGCACTCACCTCCCCATTCGCACCCGCATATCGGGTGCATTTTCATATCATTTCTTCCAAAGAAGCTCGTGCATGAAAGTTCCAGGGAACCCAAAAATAAAGGCAGACAACAGAAAGTGGAACAGTGCCTGAATGCCCGCATGCTGTTGGGACTTAGGGGGCAGTAGGGTGTGGGGGATGTCGAGTGGGCTCGCTTTGAACAGACAAAAGCTTGTTACGCAGGAATCCGAGCCCGCGTTTGTTCTTTGCTCGGCTTTTGCTGCCGGATTGGACAGTTGACAATTGCAGATGGCGGAGCTTTGCGCATAACGGGGCTGTGGTGACTCGTTCCACGGCCGGTCAGTCAGTCAGTGCGTGAGTCTTGGATTTTTTTTTTTAAGTAAGGGTGAACAGCTGCATCTGGTTCAGCATCCGAATGGTGGAGTGTGCATTCTTTTGGTTTGGGTCGGGTCCATGTGGAGGTTATGAGATGTACGGTGAGGATGGAAGATGAGGATCAGGACGAAGGTGCCCGGCGTAAGGTAATCGGTTGGCGTGTGGTCTCGTGAGGCCGGGATACTGGTCACATGTACTTGGATTGTTGGACGGGGCCCGAGTCTCTCTACGACTTTCTCGGTTTATTGCTAATCCTCTACTCGTTGAGATTGAGAGATGGGGTTGTATTTCAAGTGTGTGTTCATGTTCATAGCTATGGTTCGCGATTGTTCATGGCCTCGTGATAAAGAAACATTGTATCATCCAGAAAGAAAGCTTTCGCATGGGAAACCCCTCAGGTACAAAGTGTCAAATGATCCAGCGCCCATTCTGCGTTGAACGAGAATTGAGAATGGCAAACACGGCATCGAATCTCATTCCAACGGCTCACCTTGGATCATCATGTAAAGTAAAATGAGCCGCCGCCATTTGGAGGAAACACAACTCCCACCAACGTGATACCACATGAGAGAATCTGCCAGAGTCAAAACAATATTCACCATGGATGGCTATATCGCGCTCGCTGTTCTTCCCGCAATGCCTTAGCCAGACGAGCAATTTCATCCGCAACTGCACGATGCTGTGTTGAGACCAGCCTTAGCAGTGCAAGGGTACTCGTAGGCTTCTCCGCCGCCTCGTCACCAGAGGAGGCCGTGATGGCAGTATCTGCTGGTTGGTCGCCGGAGCGGACACCAGATCCAGCACCAAAGAATCTCGCGCTAAACACAGCATAGCTGGACAGGGACTGGAGAAGACCTTCCCCGCGGTTCTTGGCTCCGTGTTCAGCATCCACGTCCTTGCCCTCCATCCAGGCATGTCGCGCCTCTCGAGATACAATGCTTCCAATCGCCTCAAGATGGTCATCCAGTGTGGCAAAGCGTCCACCGAGCGAGTCGGCTTTGTTTCGTAATTGGGTTCGCAGACGGTCAAGATATTCCCCACGTCGGCGCAATTGCGACGCTAGCCTGGTATCTCGGGCTATCGACGTCGGGTCTGAGGATTCCTTGGCGAGTGGAGAGGCGAGAAGACTGTCGGTGGCAGAGCGAAGATCTGCGCGCAGAGAATTAAACTCCCACGAGGCGGCTCGTAGCGCGGCTTCGCTTCCTTGGAATTCAAGATCCAGGGCATTACGAGCCTCTGGCAGGCTTGCTTGGAGATTGGTGTGTAGCCTCGTCAAGGTGGTCTCGATATCTTGGAGAGCGTTCGAAAGTGGTGTCAGGGTTGAGAGAGTGCTGATGAAGATTGCCTGAAGGGTGGTCTGCGATGCGATGGTGTTTACTTCGGGCGAGACGGTCTCGCCCGGGTAGAGCAAGGAGGAGGATGGCAGGGGCCGCGGATGGAGCGGTACACAACTGGATGGATACGCGGTTTGAACAAGCGGTAAAGTGCACAGAACAGGCGCTTGATAGATGAGTTCTGGAAAAACTAGGAGATGCATGATGAGGGTGACTAAAATTGTATTGACGCCAGCGCGTACAAGAGTTTGCTGGTCCCGATAGATGGACGAAATCTTTGCCCTCACGCTCGCTTTTGGATCTTGACCGTTGGACTCGAGTACGTTGGAAAGCGAGGCCTTCGTGTCAGGGCCAGTGGTCGCTGTATCGTCATTTATCTGCGTCGATGTGATCTTGCGACGCTTTCTCATGTGCGGGGAACCCATGTCTGCTGGCGACACGGCGGCTGGCGCCACCCAGGAAGCTTCTGAGATGGGAACCTCGTAGATGGAAGGCATGACGAGCTCCGGACCAGTAGAGCTCCATGAGGATGCAGAGGAAGCCAGCGACTCTGACAGCTCTTTTTCACGTCGAATCTGCTCTTTGGACGCATCTGGCGTTTGGTCTGTGTCGTTTGCCGTCTTGGCAAGGGCCTCATGCTCCTCTATCAGGGTACCTTTTTGGTTAGAGTGGATGGATTCTCTCTCGGCTGTATGGGATGATCTTTGTTCTTGTTCTTTGGCCAGGATTGTGGATGCCACCACCCAGGAATCTCCTAGACCGGAGGGGTTTGGACTTTGCGATAATGTGGTAGACATGCTGGCGTGGGCATTTCGAGGGTCGCGGTAGAAACAGAGCCCTGTCCTCGCTCCACTGAGACGGAGCGTCCTGAGTGATGTAAGAAGTCTTGCGCACTTGCAGAGAAGCGAGAGCAAAGCACGACTGTGTTGCCCTTCTGGCTTGGCCGATCTAGCTTTCTACTGTTTGCCTCGTGAAATGCAGCTCTCGCAGTTGGCGAAGGGAGGAGAAGAGTAAATATTGCGGCGCAAGTGTACGCGCCGAGGGTGGGGAAGAAGGGGGGGCAGTTGATCAATCACGATTGGTGGGCTGCTTTGGCAGATGGCGATCGGATGAGATGAGATGAGATCAGATCAGATTATTATGACTATGATGCTTGTTATTATTAGCTACACTTGGCGCTATTTAGGTACTGTAATAGACTGGACCAGGTCAAGCCTTGAGCAGAGAATTCTTTGGACTGTTGTAAAGGCCTTTTCAGTTCTGCAAGAATACCAAGTCGAGGTACAGTGGTGTACCATGTGACAGGCTAAAGTTGACTGCTTAAGGGTATATTTCGATTATCTCTAGCGCCGCCCACGGCTCAGACAGAGCATTGAACCATGTGGGCAGTGGGCACACCTGGGGAGCCCAGCTCTTTTATATCACGGACAGACGCCCCGAAAATCAAGATTTTACAGGGAAACGCTCAACTTGATTCCGTCAAGTTTGCAGTGAGAACTTCGGTCAAGGCTTAGTACTCGAAACAATAGACTGGGTGTAACTTAACAGGTAGCACGTAGGTACTAGGTGCCATACCCAATTTATAGCTGTACTTATGGAATACTCATGCAAGACAGCAAACCCTCGAGCAGAACGTTCTCTTACACAATAATGATCTTTGGATCTTTGTTTTCTCCTCCTCCTCCTCCTCTTCTTCTTCTTTCTTTTTTCTTTTCTTTTTCTTTTTCGAAAAGTAGCTGAACAGCAATGATGATGGGCCAAGTCATACCTGAATAGCGATCTCATCACACAACACGTAAAGATGTGCCATCAATTGCCTCGACAATTTGGTTGTGACATTCTAAAGCCGAACGGATCGGATCCATCACGACGGCTGGTTCCGCTCGTCCACTACGAAGCTCCAGCGCGGGTAAAAAGAAAAAGCTAATCAAGTCATTAGCGGCCATCGGCATGATCCGTCACGATTCAACACAACTTGATTGACATCTCCGCTCGACACAGCCAAGGTCGCCGTGCTGCAAAACGTCCAAGATGCGCGCAGTCACTCGGCTACGGTCACAGCCACGACTGCTCCCAAGACTCGCCTTTCGTCGAGTCGTGGCTGGATCTGCGCCCCGGTCACAATGGCTGTCCAGCAGCGCGTCTCGTCCTTGTTCATGCGCGGATGCAGCCAACGGCCGACCGACCAAGGAACCCCCCGCTCACCCTCCTAACGACCATCGAGCTCTCGGGACTAGTCTCGAACTCTTCGCCTCGTCCACATATAGTCCCGGCTCGCCGCTGTTCCTCCCCCACGGCACGCACGTTATCAACAAACTTATCTCCTTCCTGCGAACGCAATATCTGCAGTACGGCTTCCGCGAAGTTTTGACCCCAACTATCTACAAACGATCTCTGTGGGAAATTTCGGGCCATTGGCAGAACTACAAAGATGATATGTACGAGGTCACCGGCCGCGGCGCGACCGGCGACACGGACGGCGAGATTGGAGAAGATGAGTCGTACGGGCTGAAACCGATGAATTGCCCGGGCCACTGCTTGCTCTTCAAGTCACAAAATCACTCCTATCGCGAACTCCCAGTCCGCTATGCGGATTTCAGCCCCCTCCACCGAAATGAAATTTCCGGCGCATTAACGGGCTTGACACGGGTGCGTCGCTTTCATCAGGATGATGGACACATTTTCTGTCGTCCGTCGCAGATCAAATCAGAGATCGCGTCCGCGCTGGGATTTGTGGACATGGTGATGACCACCTTTGGGCTGGGGCCATATCGGTTAGTTCTGTCCACAAGGCCGGAGACGGACTACATTGGCACATTGGAGCAATGGGAGAATGCAGAACACCAGTTACGGGAAGCCCTCGACAGCACGGGACGCGAATGGGCTTTGAATGAAGGGGATGGCGCATTCTACGGGCCCAAAATTGACATCCAGCTTCAAGATCATGCAGGCAAGTTCCATCAGCTGTCAACTATTCAACTGGACATGAATCTGCCCGAACGATTCGAGTTGGAATATCAAGTGGCCGAAGGAGAAGAGGACTACAATCCAGCCACACCCGGCCTCGCGAGACCGGTTCTCGTGCATCGTGCGATTTTCGGCTCCCTCGAAAGATTCCTTGCCCTGCTGATTGAGCAACATGGCGGCCACTGGCCCTTCTGGCTGTCTCCCCGCCAGGGTATCATCCTGACCGTGAACCAGGATGAGGCCGTCGTACGACAGGCCGAGCAGGCTGTCTCACAGTTCTGCGGATTTACTGTCCTTCGGCAGAACGGCGACAATGCCGTGCCTCCGCGCCCGCTGTCCTCAGTGGATCCTACCTTCTTGATCGACGTAGACACCAGTGCACAGACACTGAGCAAGAAGATTCAGCGGGCCAAGCAGATGAAATACAACTTCATCTTCATTCTAGGCTCACGCGATGTGGCTGAGGGCGGCGTTACTCTGGATGTCACTGGACAAATGCAAAGCAAAACCGATCCCAACGCAAAGGAGTTCCAGTCTCTTGTCAAATCACATCTCGGAGCGGAAGCACTCAAAAACCCACGTGCGGTTAAGCTCAAGATGGATCAGGTGCATCCATTGCTTGTGCAATTTGAGCGAAGCTTCCTCTGAGCGAGAATCTTTCCTCGCTGAACCCAATCCTGTATCATATGAAGCGTTCATTTTCCTCACCAAATACTTAAAGCTCTGTGGTGAGATCTAATTCTTTCAAGCGAAAGTCGCAGTACATCCTTTGGAATGGAGAGTCTCGACCAAATTATTGAAAGTACAGCATGTGACTAGCAGACTAGACTAGTATGTACTATGTAGTATGTAACTATGTATAGTATGGCCCTATGGCTATGTTCAATGTTGTAGGATTCTTAGTCCATTTCCAAAGATCCACAGCGTTCTCCATCCTTGTCGGTTACCTTCGGTCAACGGAACTCCCCGTGTGGCCCCATGCTCCGAGCTCGGCATCCCGACAAACAAACTTTAGTGACCCAAATGACTACAAGACGAAAGGGTGGGATCATGTCTGCGCAATTGCTGGGTATACGCGATAATAAATGTGTATTGGGCAGGCTTCATTGAGATCGTCCCTGGCATGATGAGAAGAAGCTATTTGACCTCAATCCTCAATCCAGCGGCTCGAATCGTCTTCACCCGTCGTCAGACTACTGTACTTAACGCTCATTTCAATATTTCTGGCGCACGGGCTCGATTTCCCCAGAGTGGCCAGATCACGTGACTCCGTTGTCGGCGCCGACAGCGACTCGGCGTCATTGGTGTGGGCAGAATGACGGGAGGATTGGCGGCCCTGGCAATGGTTGACTCACAAAACTTCTCTTACTCTTAATTGGCGTCGTCGCTGCATGAAGTAACGAATTTTTTTTTCCTCTCTTTCGCAACCCAAAAGATCCTCATCTTTTCTGACAGGAGACTGTAGACCACGTCAGCCTGATTTGCATTCTTCAGGCGTTCTCTTGTCTGCTTCGATCACATCTGATCGTCCTATTCGTCCTCTCCACTCTATATACCCCTCCCCCGCCACCCATCAAAATGCCGATGTATGTACCAAAAAAATGTTACTGGAGGCTCACATCGCAGCTGGCCATGTCCACGCACAATTGACAAGCTTTCTAAGCTCCAAAGCTGGCACAGTGCTGACGTTTGACTCCCTGCTCCCAGGCTCAAGGATCCATCAAAAAAGTACAAGCCTTACAAGCCTCTGAATCTCCCCAACCGAACATGGCCCGACAAGCAGATCACCTCTGCGCCTCGCTGGCTGGCGACAGATCTGCGTGACGGCAACCAATCTCTGCCGGATCCTATGGACGGATCTCAAAAGTATCGTTTCTTCAAGAAACTGGTGGAACTCGGCTACAAGGAGATCGAGGTCTCATTCCCTTCCGCGTCTCAAATTGATTTCGACTTCACCCGCCGCCTCGTAGAAGAGCCTGGTCTCACGCCCGACGATGTTTGGCTGCAGGTGCTTGCGCCTTGCCGTGAGGATCTCATTCGTCGCACTGTCGACTCCCTGAGGGGGGCCAAGAAGGCAATTCTGCACATCTATCTCGCCACCAGCCCTTGTTTCCGTCAGATCGTCTTCAATATGGACAAGAAACAAAGTCTGGCCAAGGCCGTCGCGTGTACTAAGTATGCTCGTTCGATCACCAAGGACGATCCCTCCATGGCGGGCACGGAATGGCAATTCGAGTTTTCCCCGGAGACGTTCTCAGATACCGAGCCCGAGTTTGCGGTCGAGGTCTGCGAGGCTGTCAAGGCTGCATGGGAGCCAACGGTTGAGAACCCCATCATCTTTAATCTCCCTGCCACGGTAGAGATGTCCACACCCAATGTTTATGCCGACCAGATCGAGTACTTCTGCACCTCCATGACAGAGCGCGAGAAATTCGTCGTTTCCCTGCATCCTCACAACGACCGTGGCTGTGCCGTTGCGGCTGCTGAGCTGGCGCAGATGGCGGGCGCCCAACGTGTTGAGGGTACTCTTTTCGGTAATGGTGAGCGGACTGGTAATGTTGACCTGGTCACTCTCGCTCTCAATCTTTATACACAGGGTGTCTCTCCCAATGTCGACTTTTCCGATATCCCCTCGGTCATCCAGCTCGTGGAAGAATGCAACAAGATTCCGGTCAACGAGCGCTGGCCTTATGGCGGTGCTTTGGTCACAAGGTTAGTAGGAAATCTTCTTACCTGGCATATGCTCATTCACATCATTTCTTTGCTGACACAGTCTTCTTTCACTTCAACAGTGCCTTCAGCGGAAGTCATCAAGACGCTGTCAAGAAGGGTTTCGCTGTTCGCGAAAAGGCAGGTGCTACCGACGAGGACGAATGGGTCATGCCGTACCTTCCCCTGGACCCCAAGGATATCGGGCGCAATTACGAGGCTGTCATCCGTGTCAACTCACAGAGCGGCAAGGGCGGAGCTGCATGGATCATCCTCCGTACCCTGGAACTCGATCTCCCCCGCGGTCTGCAGGTCGAGTTCAGCAAGGTTGTGCAAAAGGAAACCGAGCGGGTCAACCGCGAACTTCGTCCCTCCGAGCTCGTTTCCCTCTTCGAAGAGGCGTATCACCTCAAGTCCAATCCTCGCTTCACCCTCGTCGACTACAACATCACCACCGACCGCTCCCAGTCCCCTGCACCTCCTGAGCCCGGCAAGGCTCTCAACACACAAAACCTCAAGCGTCGCTTCACCGGTATCATTGAGATTGACGGTGAGCAGCACGCAATCACTGGTGTCGGTAACGGTGCCATCTCTGCTCTTGCTGCCGCCCTTTCAACTCTCAGCATTGATCTCGACGTTGTCGATTACAAGGAGCACTCGATCAGCCAGAGCAATTCTGGCGGTCTAGGTCGTGAAGTGAAGGCTGCTACATACATTCAATGTACCGCTGCCGGCAGCAAGGATCAAGTCTGGGGTGTTGGTATTCACGCCGATGTGGTACAAGCTTCCCTGATTGCTTTGCTCAGCGCGGCTAGCTCCGTAAGTCTACTTTACTTTTTTTCCAGTCCCGTTAGAGTGTCCTGTCCTCGAATCAAGCTAATCTGATCACTTCTGTGTCAATAGTTCCTCGCCTCTCACGCTGGATCACCAGCTCCCTTCCGTCCTATCCGCTCCAACACTCTCACAAATGAAGACATTCACGCTCTCGAAGAGCTGACAGGATCATCTGAATCAGCTACTGCCAACGGCGGTCTCGCGCCCAAAGCCAACATTGAAGCTCTCACTCGCCAGGCTGACATGCAGTAGAGTGAAGAGTGATATGTGGCTGCTCTCGGAACGCCAAAGAAAAGGCGTTTGAAAAAAGTACATTCAGAGGACAATTCCGTCCCAAAATAATGCATAGTCCGCGCGATGAGATGAAAATGGATTCCCCACAAATCACTTGCTCACTGTTCTATTCCCAGTATTCCGGGATGTCTAGTTGTTCTTGTTAATGTTCTGAAATAACATTTACTGTTGAGAAATGAGGACCGGTCCTACGTAGTGGCACTGTTTCTTGCACATTGTAGTGCTGTGCTTGAGACACAGACATTAGGTAAGGGATAGATGAGACACTCAATATGGACAAACGGCTCTATGGCAACCGACTGGTATGTACAGATAAAATGTGGCATTGTAATTTGGGAATCAAAAAGCACTGCTGAAGGCTGTAAGGGAGGGGAAGGGGCACAATCAAGTCGCATAAGAGTCATACGCATGACTGTTCTATATCTAGAACAAATGATAGGGATGTATGCTGACGGCAACATGGGCTGAAAAGCACGCGAGACATTCATGTCACACGTATGAGACGAAACAACTTTAAAACGCGAACAAAAGCAAATTGACAAATGAAATGTCGACTCATCATTCAGATATTGCGGCATCATATTCTCAAACAAGTACCGTGCACTGGTTATCCTGTACAAGACTTACTTTCAAAGATAATCGTGAACTCATGACTCGTAACTCCGCCTTAAGGTCGGTGGTCAGCACTGGGAGGCTTTTGCTGGGTAGCATCCTCGCTCAGAGCGTTCTGATACATTAGAGCGTCATGAGCCCAGTCGTCAGCCAGATCGTTTCCCTGAGCTCCAGGATGTGCTGACACATGACCTTCCGGGACTACCCTGCCGTCCTCGCGGCCGTGATAACCAGGCTGCGCTCCAGGGAAGGACTCTTGCCCGATGGCATGATATGTTCCCTCAGAGGCATGAGGATCATTGTACGGCATGTGCTCAACAGGGGAGTTGGTCTGGTCGAAGCTGAATCGTAGATTGCGGGCCGGGGAAGGACCGGTTCCGTAAGCCGGTCTAACCATTTCGAAGTTGCGATCGTCAAACCGATTGTGTAAGTCCTCGTCCTGCTCATATGCGAAATCGCCAATTCCTGGCTCGTGAATGTGTGGTAGGGCAGACGATGTTGCGGCTCCATGAGCTGAGCCATCGTGGATCTCGGAAGCGGCATCGAGCTCTGGCAGAGCTCCTGAAGGCATTTCCTGATAAGTGTCTTGGAGTATGATGGCCCTGTTCTCCGGAACTGCCGCAACGGGTGACCGCGGCACGACGGGAATCTCGGATTCAGGCGCAATGCTTGACTGTCGATGGCTGTGACCCATGGTGCTTCCAGGCTTGGAGTCTCGGCTGACACGATGCTGCACCAGGTTGAACGGATGGTTCTCGTCTAGGTCGCGGATGCTGAATTGCGCGATGGTCCGCAATTTGCGCGTGACCCAAGATGCCAGTACCTTGCCGCGCTGTTTTTCACCAAGTCGCGAGCGCGGGAAATCCCCGTGGGAAACAAAGGCAACAATGTCTGCCACTACCTGATGCTCGCCCAAAATCGTGTCGACAATAACAGGGACGAGTGAAGCGAGGAACGATTTGCGAGTGACTTCGACGACAACAACGATCAAGCCTCCAGCTTGGAAAATGGCACTGGATATAATTAGGTCAGAAACTCGAATTCTTGTCCGAACTCGGCAGGGTATAACTCACCAGCCTCCGTTCACAATGTTACGGTGGCACTTTTCCACTGAATTCTCAATATCCATCGGGAAATGGTTGAGGCCATTGACCTCGAAGGTTTCGCCAATGCTACCTAATACAAATAGCACCTGCATCTCGACAGGTTGGCCGCCGGGACCAATCGGTCGAGTAACGGTATGTAAGAATCCCAAGTCTCCCGTGCGCACGTACGGCACATTAGGATCACCATCAGCGACTCGGCCGTTCATTCGCTCGGCGTCAAAATCTTGAGTAGACCTGTAGAAGCCCTTGGCGCAAGCATCCGATTGCACCCAGATCTCACCGTATTCGCCCACATGTGCCAATGTGCAAGTCTCGGGATTGACAATAGCGATTTGAGTGTTAACAGGTACCATCCCGGAGTCTTGGATCAAGAGCGCAGTTGGGTCCGCGTCCTGGTCCACTGGATAGATCAGACCGCGACGAAGACTGCGAAGATCCAAAGATAGCTCAACTGGATCAATGCACATGTATGATCTAGTCACTATCATGGGGTTGAGGACATGGGAATAGACCACATTGATTGCGGTTCTGTCCAGACCTGCAGGAGCGAAATGAAGGCGTGTCTTGTTATAGAGATCAACCCGAGGTCTGCCCTCAGCCGATATCATCAAGTTCTTCAATTCCTGCAGCTGGAACCCCTTGCCAGCCATGGTGCTCATGGCATAATCTAACATCTGACTCGTGGCGTATGTATCCTTGATCTTGTATCGCGAGAGTGTTACAAATAAGGTCATCGGATTCTGTGCGAAATCGACAGGTGAGACAAGATAAGTTGGCGCACCAACATAGATACCCATCAGGCAAGTGTGGAGGAACCCGAGACCCAAGGTGCTGCGCACGCTTCCGAGAACTGGGCGAGAACTCGTCATCTGGCAAGTCTCTCTCTGCACCTTGCACATGCCCATGATCGTGTCATGGCCAATTTGAACCGAAATGCGCCTCTGATCGGGGGTCCAGTATGTCCAGACAAGTGCGGCCTGATTGCCCTGCAGCCAGGCATCCTTCATCGTGTATCCTAGCTCGCGACAGCCATGGGACTGTTTGGAAGGCTTGGAAGTGTTGTAGATGGCAGGCACGCCAATGCTGAGGACCTGTGCGGATTGCTTGATGTGCTGAGAGACAAGCTTCTGTCGCATGACGTGGTCGACGTCAGTGTTGACGATGATCGCCTTCACGTTGAAATCATTGATCACATGTAAGAACGCAGGGGCATCTTCTGAGAGCCGGTTCTGATCAATGGGAGCAACTGGAATGACTACCACACCCAGGCAGAGACAGGCATGAACAGCGTAAATGTAGTCTTCCGAGTGAGTGTACATCAGAATCAAGTGGTCGCCAGGGCGGACCTTGACTTTGTTCTTCAAATATGTCGCAACAGCTGAGACTTTCAGATCGAACTTCTTCCAAGTGATGCCCTTGCCCTCTTTGCCACGGCTGTCAATAGAGCAATAAGCGAGTTCTTCAGCCTGGCGAGAAACACGCCATTGGAAAAGATCAACGATCGTATTGAATTGATTCAAAGGTGTGGATGTTCGATCATCCATCACAACGTCTCGGTAATCAACCCCAGAATACTGCTTCTCCTGGAAAGCCAAGACTTCTTGCCGAGACGAGAGAGCCAATGGAGACCAGATGCCCCCTTCAGGGTCGACGCCGACGGGTAAGTTCATGACGGATCGCTCAACTCCAAATTTAACATGCACAGCCTGCAACATCCCTGCTTCGAAATCTTTGCGACAGAGCATGTTGCCAATTTCCCGTCTACCATTTTTCGTCACACGTGGTAGCGTGTTCGGCGCGGTCAATAAAACACAGTAAACACGAAGATGATGTTCCTGGTACAGCACTTCCATGCAACGCTCAGCAAGGGAATCGAGAAGGACTGAGTCAAGCTGACGAGGCGGACCCCCAGAGGCTGTTGGTGCAGTGGATGCAGCATAAGATTCGAGGACAATAACTGGCAGATGTTCTTCATTCACAAAAACATCGAATGCCGTGCAGTCATGAATCTTCGGTACCTTTTTGAGAAGGCTGACAACCAAATGTTGGACAAAGAAGTAACGGTGTTCAGCAATCTCCTGCCCGTGCTCAACCCATTCCACCTTCTGACGTAGCCGATCCTCGTAAAGCCCTAGGACAAAGATTTTGCCCTCAATGACACAGCCCAGTAGACCAGTGCGCAGGAATTCAGGCTCGACTAGGACAGGTGTTGGATTCGAGTCCTCGAACTTGTACGGCCGGGCATGGAAAATGGTCTCAGTGTGCTTGGGCAGAGCCCAGAATCCTCCTGATAATGAAGGTGAATCGACCCAAATCTCTCCAACAACATTAGACGTACAAAGCAAGTTTGTCTCCGGATCGACTATGGCGAGTGTGGCGTCTGGAATCGGATACCCAAAGGCGCCCACGCGAACAGTGTTTGGCATGCTGCTGGCATAACGGCGAGCATCTTCTCCCATTGCAACGACCACAATCTCGTTACTCTTCAAGGCTTCTTTATCAAGAAGCACCTCGCCAAGATCATTCTTTGCGCTCTCTTTTGGTGCTGAGACCCGAGATCCACCACCGAGCAGACTGCTACCGAAGCCAGTGTTCGTATCAGATTTTTCCAACTTCTCATCTTCGCCTTTCTTGTCTCGGCCGGCTGGGTCAAGTTCATGAGTCAACTCACACCCCATCCGCTCCTCGCCACCAAGCCAATCCCGAACACTGATGACCATACCGCCATGCTCAGGAAGGCAAAGCATCGGACATACAATCTCTCTAGCCCTAGGATTCCGCATGGGCCTCAACCATCTATCAGAGAGAATCTCGTGAAATTCGGAATCGACGGTGATTGTGTCAATCAGGCAAAGTTTCACAGTACCAAAATTTGGTTCTGAATTCTTCTTGTAATGCCTGGTGGCCATTGGGTCCTGTTGGTAATTGTATGCTGCGATCTTCAAACCAGAGTAGTCTGCGGCCATGATCGTGGCTCTGTATTTCGTGATAATGTGGGCGTAGAGACCGGGCGTCTCTACAGCACGATCTTCATGCCAAACGGTTGTATGCCCGCCATAGACAGTGAGCAGTACACCTAGGATCATACCGATTCCTTGTCTTGGGTCAAGGTAACTGATGATAGTCTCTCCCTTGGTGGCGTACGGCCGCGCGCTGGATTCCGTAGGAACAGTCGAAACTATAGCACTCAGGCATGCCATCTGGTGCATAATAGTTCGGTGGCTCATCACAACACCGCGCATATCTCCAGTTGGGGCACGCGCGAACTCGATGAAAGCTAGGTCTGGCACTACAAGAGCAGGGGTGTCATCCTTTTTCTTGGGATGGAAACTGCCAAACTCGTTCGTCTTCCACCACTCGACACCACGAGGCCAGTTGAGCTTCTGCGCCGTGATGTCACGCTGAAAGCCTTTGAGATTGTTCTCAGTTGTCAGAGCCAGATGAGCCTGGGTTGAAGTGAGAACCAAATTCAAGCTTTGATAGTCATCGAGGCTGTTGATAGGAACAGCAACTACGCCTGCGATGAAGCAACCCATAAGAGCCACTGCAAATTCGATAATCTCAGCTTCTCGGTAGACAAGCGCGACGCGGTCCCCTCGGTACAAGTTGCTTTTGTCCCGTATCACTTGCGCAACCTTTTCTGCACGACTTGCCAGCTTATCCCATGTGATTGAAGCAATCTCCTTCCCTTTTTGATCTAGCACCCAGTATGCTGGCTGCTTCGGGTGAACTCTTGCCCGGTGTCGAAGAACTGTCGGGATGTTATCGAAATTTGACATAGGGATATTCTTGTCGTGCGGGTCATTCACAGCGAATGGTATGTCTCGAGGCTCAAGAGGTAGAAGATGCTGAATAGCGGGACCGTGAGCCATGTCAGACGGAGTCATGAATGGAGGGGCAACGTTCGCAGTTGGTGAGAAGGCTTCCCCCGACTGTGAGTAACGATGAAAGCCGCCTCCGTAGCTTTCTCTGTAGTCATCATGCTGCTGTCCAGCAAAATCCGAAAAGTAGCCCTGTTGGGATTCCAACATTGTTGACTGTCGCGTGACCCCGCCTGAGGCTGGATCGTACGCGGTAACGCCATCGTCCGCGTATTCAGGCTGAGAAAACTCATTTTGAATGTAGTCAGGCTGCGACTCGGGGTTAAAAGCGTAGTTCTGACTCATTAAAGTGGCAGTACGTGTACTTTCTGGGCCAAGAGAGCCAGGCATTGGAGGTTTTGGGAGGAAAAGCGAATCGTAGGACGCTGTTGAGGGAATCCGCTCAGCAGTTTGCAGCATACTGATACTGCGTCTCTCTTGAGACCTGACCGGAGCCACAGGACCATTTTGTGTATCTATTCTGATGGGTGGTCCATATCCGCGTCCTCCATTGCTTGAGTGACCATTGTAACCGCCTGCAAACGCCGTTGGGGCGACTGGTGGCTGTGTAGATTCGGCAGTCGGTGGTCGGACGTTTAATATCGCAGGTGGGCTAATAAGGTCACCCTCAACACCTTGACCTGCGGTACCGTGACTGCCAATTTCGAGTGGTTTGTTTGGACCAAGGAATTGAGAGAGAAGAAGTGTGCGCCGTTTCTGATATCTTGGATAGTGTCAGCTAGTCACTCCTCTGCAATTGCCACATCAATTATATGAGCTCTCAACCAATTCCCTTCGTGCGACACCTCACGCTCCATGATCGCATGTGTCAGCTTCAGATGCTTGAAATGAACGGCTTACCCTTTCTCGGTAATATCACCCTCCTAAACATGTTCGCCGGACTTTAGCATTCGAAGTCATATCGGAAGTTTCCAGAAGACATACCTCAAGCTCTCGGTCCAGCTCACGCAGAGCTGACTGGAACTCTGGATTATCGTCGGCCATTGAAACGCAGGATGACCCTTAAATTGAGGGAAGTGGATCGTGCACGCGGGGAAGGGATAGACTGGTGACGGTTCAGAAAAGCGTCATCTCCCGGTTTAGCCCAGGGCACCACCATTCAAGGTCAGAATCGTGAAGCACACAGAAGCTGTAGAGAGTGTACAGTGAGATATTTATCAGAATCGTTGCGATAGTAGTGAAACATCCGATCTGTAGGCCTTTCGCGCTAGCAACAACGTCACTGACCCCAAAGGCGGTCAGTCACTGAATAAGTGACGCTGAGAGTTTAAACGGTGCACAATCATACTACGGTAGGGGACAAGTAGGTACCTAAGTACCTACTAGTAAGTTCGTAGTTAGCTACCTAACATTAGTTAGTAGTAACTAATGCATCCAGAGTTTGTGTCGTCAATAGCGTTGCCAGCAAAAAGAGCTCTTTATGCTAACAAAATTTAAAAAGATTTTGGTCCCTGTGATCTCGTTCGATGCCTTGCAGAAGGGATATCACACCCGCAAGGCTGAAATAGCCTTGTCGCACACTATGTATGTAGTTCGGACAAGAGATGATCCCGCTTAATTTACGCCTCTGGTCTATGGCACCATAGGGTGGTATTTAAAGACCTACGGCCATCTCCTGTACCTACCTAACAACAAATGATTACTAACATGTATGAGCTGGAACCCTTTCATGCTTCAAGGCTCTGAGTGTTAAGCAGACAACGTTCAATAAATCTGCATCTAATTCCTTCCAAGTAATAGACAACTAGAATAATGCCCATCGAGATTTTGCTCGTCTAGCGCTATCGACCAGACGTCAACTACCTATTACTATCTCCGAGAAGATCAAAACTGCACTCTGCAATAAAATCAGTACCATTTCAGGTTTGTCCCAGCAGAAACACCAACAATGGCTGACTACGATTGATTGGGATTGAGCGGAAAGCGTATATTTCACAAAAGTAATGAGAGAGAACAGCAGAAACGATAGAGAGGGTAGAAGAGCGGCAAGTGCTCAAAATACGCATCACATCAGAAAGAAATATCGCATGTAGTGACACCATATTGTACTCAAAGCAGCCGTACTCGGATCAAGCCTATGATGGCTGATCAGAGAACCTCGAGCCGCTGCAGGTGGCACTAACACGGTGGGTCTACCTACACGACATGATCACATGACGTTGATAGAAAGCCTCAGGCTCCATGGCCCATCATGGGCCGCAAAGGTATGCTTACCTCATCCTGGCAGATTGCCCTAAAATTTCTCATGTGACTCCACCCACACACCACACTCCGCTAAGCGAGAGCACCTCCAAATTCCTGTGTGGATAGCCATCCCGATTGAACGTTCAACCACCCTCGACAACCCGGTCACCCTTTCCACTACCTCCCCTCGACAATTCAAGATGTCCGACTCCGGGGATGTTCAGGCCGTTCAGCTGCCTAAGGAGATTGCCCATCTCGACAACCAGCCCGTTCTGCTGTTCGGCAAGTGGAGCTACGAGGATGTTGAGATCCGCGACATCTCCCTGACGTGAGTCTACCTCGAAATCGACCGCGAGATTGAAATTTTCTGGATGTGTTTGTGCCTATGAGGTCGCGCCAAAGAAAGAGATTGTGACGAACAAGAGTTGGGAAGAGGAAACGGGCAATTTGAGGCGCGCCGGGACAGATTACATTGGGGGAGCCACGGTCGCATTCAATTTGCAGAATTTGAATGGCTAACCTCTTGTGCACGCCAACAGCGACTATATCCAGATCCGTCAGCCCGTCTACACCTCCCACTCCGCCGGTCGCTATGCCGCCAAGCGTTTCCGCAAGGCTCAGTGCCCCATCATCGAGCGTCTCACCAACTCGATCATGATGAACGGCCGCAACAACGGAAAGAAGGCCATGGCTGTCCGCATTGTTGCTCACGCTTTCGAGATCGTGCGTTTACCCTTTTTTATTCCATGACTGTGGAGAGCGCATAGTTGCGATAAATTGGATATGGCATCCACATTTTCGCCCGCGCATGCTGTGGACCCGATACTTTGTCTGGATATGACCTAATGCGGCAATATAGATCAACATCACCACCGACTCCAACCCCATCCAGATCGCTGTTGATGCTATCGTCAACTGCGGTGCCCGTGAGGACTCCACCCGTATTGGTTCCGCTGGTACCGTCCGTCGCCAGGCTGTCGATGTTTCTCCCCTGCGCCGTGTCAACACTGCCATCTCCCTGATCACCATTGGTGCCCGTGAGAGCTCTTTCCGCTCCGTCAAGTCCATCTCTGAGTGCCTTGGTATGATCCTCTGTTGTTCGTTCCGCCTTTATTAGAAAGTACTTGACTAACACTTCTGCAGCTGAGGAGCTCGTCAACGCCGCCAAGGGTAGCAGCAACTCCTACGCCATCAAGAAGAAGGACGAGCTTGAGCGTGTTGCTAAGTCTAACCGGTAAAGGGTGTACTGGATGCATTCTCCGTTTGGTACTTCATGTTTTATGGATATTGGAGTGAACGGGGTGTTTTTCACCGGGTTTCGGATGATTGACAGAACAACTGCAAGGCTGTACATGGATAGGGACAGTCACGGAAGAAGCTGGGTCCAAAAATGGGAACACACGGACAACTTCAATTCCAGCAGTTGCGATGCAGTCGCAAGGGCCTTGGGTGGTAATGGCCAAAGCTTAAGTGAAAAAACAAAATTTTTTTACTGTTCACATCATGCAAATTACCGATGTTTTGTAGCATTCAAAAGTAGTCTACATGTTTTTTTTTTTTAATGACCTTGAACCACTCCTCAATCACGAATATATCAAGCTTCCCAGATCCAACATCAGGACTCGTAAGTTAACAATCTAGACGGCCGGTGGAGAGACTGGCATGTGCACACTCCCATCAGTAGACGCAGCAGACTCCGATGTACATTGGACGATAACTAATAGTAGTGTGGAGGTGCGATTGCTGGCTGGCCAAGTTGGGGTCGCTTATCGATATGGCGGGAAGAAAAAAGTTTCGGAGCAATTGATCATTAGTCTCTTCACCCTCCCACCGCCCGTTTTGAAGCACGTCCAGAGACCTCGAAGATGGTTAAAAGAAAGCTTGGAGCCTTGGAGAAGGTTGAGGCTGACCTGTGTGTATAAACTTTCGTTTCCCGAGGGATGCACTCGGCGATGTTTGAGTCTAGTGGTCCAATGTTGACAACCTGATTTTCCCCTTATAGGCCGAATCTCCAGCACAAGATTCGCAGGGATCCCAAGTGAGTGAACCCACAGCGGTCCAGCGAGTAATGGAAGAGTGAAGTTTGCGCAGTCTCTAACAATGGTCCCGTTCTTTCACAGGTCCTACATTGAAGATTTTCGCGCCCAACACTACCAATATGAGTCGCACCGGGAGATTTTCATGGCGGCGCCCTCCGCGGCCACGGACACTGGCATCATCTCATTGAGAGAATTAATTGATTTCATCTCTCATGTCGCCGATTGCTATCCTGAGATTTTGAAAGATTTCCCACGGCAGTTGATCGACATGCTCATGCAGCACCACCTGGTCTTAGAGCAGGAATTGCGGGAGAAGCTTGTCGGAAGTATCGTGCTGCTCAAGAAGAAAGACCTGATTGACTCCGCAACGTTGCTTCATACCCTGTTCCCTATTCTGATTTCCACCCCCAGCAAGACTCTTCGGGCTCTTCTGTTTCAGAAAATCCTCTCGGAGCTGCGCCAGGCAAACTCAAAGACAACGAATCACAAGCTAAATCGAACCATGCAAACTGTGCTGTTCAATTTGGTCACGTCGGACCGTACTTCCTCCAAGGCGCTGTGGGCCATCAAGTTGACCCGAGAGCTGTGGAAGCGTCAGATCTGGACCGATGCCAAAGCGGTCGAGGTCATGAAAGAAGCAGCCCTTTCGGAGAATGAGAAGGTCATTGTCGGTGGTGTGCGCTTTTTCCTCGGCGGCGACAAAGAGCGCGAGGATATGGAAGACGAAAGTAGTGACGAAGAGACCCTCGATATTGGTCGCCTTCGACACACTCTCCAGATCAACAAGAAGTCCAAAAAGAAGGCTCGTGTGGCAGAGAAAGCCATGGCTACGCACAAGAAAAAGGAGCGCAAGAAGACTCAACCACACCCTCTTAATTTCTCGGCACTTCACTTGCTTCACGATCCTCAGGGATTTGCCGAAACCCTTTTCAGCAAGCATCTGCAAAGCAGCAAGTCCAAGCTCAATCTGGAGCAAAAACTTCTCGTGTTGCAACTAGTCTCGCGACTGGTCGGTCTACACAAGTTGCACATCATGTCCCTTTATTCCTACTTCCAAAAGTTCCTCACGCCACGTCAGCCTTCGGTGACTTCATTCCTTGCGTCGTTAGCACAGGCGACTCACGATTTGGTACCTCCTGATGTCCTGGAACCGCTGGTCCAGAAGATTGCCAATGAGTTTGTCTCAGAGGCATCCGCGGGAGAGGTGGCCACGGCCGGTCTGAACGCCATTCGGGAGATTTGCGTTCGCCAACCTCTTGCTATGAATGAGACGCTACTTCAGGATCTCGTGATGTATAAGAAGAGCAAGGACAAGGGTGTAATGATGGCGTCCAAGGGCTTGCTCAGTCTCTACCGTGACGTGGGAGCCCAGATGTTGAAGAAGCGTGATCGTGGTAAGGAAGCGTCCATGGGTCTTCGGTCTGGCGAGAAAGAGCAAAGACGGTTCGGTGAACAGGAAACTGGTGGCATCGAAGGTCTTGAATTGTTGGAGAAGTGGAAGGAGGAGGAGCGTCGCAAAAAACGCGAAGAGAAGGGCTTGGCCTCCGATGACGAGGACGATGACGATGATGAAAATGACTGGGCTGCATGGAATGTCGAGGACGATAATGACAGCGATGATTCTGGCGGCTGGATCAATGTTGAAAGCGATGCGGAGATTGAGTTGAGTGATTCTGAAGATGAGGGCAAGGATAGACCATCCAAGAAGACCAAGCAAGACGACCCCGAGACCAAGAAGGACGAGAACATCGCCGCTGAAGAGAAGAAGCTTTCGACACTTGCTACCACCCGAATCCTGACCCCGGCCGATTTGGCGAAGCTTGCGGAGCTTCGCGCTCAGGCATCCGTCAACACTGCGCTGAATGGCACAAAATCCCGCCGTGGAGGTCTCCCTGCTGCTCGTCATACAGATGACCCGTTGACTGCTCAAGAGATTGAGGGTCTCGCTGCTCTGTCTGCTGCAAAGGCCACCCGTGAAGAGCGTATTGCTCATGCACGCGAGGGTAAGCCTGACCGTGATGAGCACAAGAGCAAGGAAGCTCGCCGTCGGGAGCGCAAGCAGGAGCAAGGCAAGAGTACTACCAACAAGGAGAAGGCTCGTCGCAAGAACTTCCTCATGACTTTGGGCAAAGCGAAGAGCAAGAACAAGCGTAGTCTCGTCGAGACTCGAGCCGTGCTCAAGGCACACCATGATCGTCAAAAGAGAGGTGGTAAGCGTGGTAACGTTGGAAATTAATCAAGTTCGACAGTGTGTTCGCACTTGGGACTTTTCATGCGAGTCCATTTAATCTGCCCTTGATGTCTAAATTGATTACCTGAAGATCTGGCGTTGCTATATTACTCTGCATATTTCTAGTTGGTTTTCCGTTGCGGACGACGATGCACAGGCGGCTTTGTATCGGCCATGAAGTCTGATTCTATAACTGCTAAGCTATTTCTCTCAAGTCATTGAAAATGGAGAACTACATGAGATGTAATGCGAAGCCACATGAATGTCTAAAATATGCCACGTCAAGGCCCTGAAACTATTGTCCCTGTACGTATTCAAGTGATCAAATTGATCGCTCTCTCTCTCTCTCTCTCTCTCTCTCTCTCTCTCTCTCTCTCTCTCTCTCTCTCTCTCTCTCTCTCTCTCTCTCTCTCTCTCTCTCTCTCTCTCTCTCTCTCTCTCTCTTTTCTCTCTCTCTTTTTCTCTCTCTCTCTTTCTCTCTCTTTCTCTCTCCCTTTCCGCGATTGGGAAAATACACACTAGATCTACCAACAATGCTGTACGCACGAGAGCCTCGCTTGATGGTCATATAGTGAAAGCAGCACCTTGGATAGGTAAATTTTATCCATGAGACGACTCTTGTGTGTGCTTGCTTCCACGAACAGTCTAGGTACCTAATCGATCTAGTGTTCACCTAGTATGACCGGGAAATGTACCGAATTGGATCCTAACTTGAGACCACTCTCATCAGCAGATTAAAACCTGCATAGGTTAGACTCTTGTTCCTGTGGCGAGACACGAGCTTCTTAAGTAGGGTAAGCTGCGTAAGCTGTAAATGGATGTTGTCAGCATTTCTCAGCCGGGCTTTCCAGTAGATCACGAATAGAAGGTCCCTTCCGAGCTTCTCACCGCAGTGCCAAGTACCTTTGTCGTCCTGGATGAAACCGTCGTACATACATACCATGATGACTGAGTACACAGTACACACCACACATTACGTGGTATATATGTCGTGCCTAGGTACCTACCTAGTGATCGTACCAGCAGTACACTTGTTGTAGACCCTTCAGGAAAGTGTATAATCGAATGGATGATGCTGGCACGGGCTGTAGCTACCTTGTAGCTCTAGCTAACAATCCCGAGAGTAACTGCCCGAGATGTATGTTAACTTGGGGGGTGTAGGTTGTAGTGGGACCTCCTGACACTGAATGCATTCCCACCCTAGATTATAAAAGAGGCTAAATGAGGTCAACCTTCCCAAAGACGTGCCTCACCGTACTTCGACTAAACCTTTTCAGGAGATGCTCTCGCGTGACTGGGTGTTACTGCTAGACTGGTCCCCACTCGGCGCGTCTCTTCCCGCCCACACGCGTCGCGTTTCGCAGTAGCGCCTGAATTCTGCCTGAAGTGGTGTGCATCACTTTGCATCCAAAGCCTCGTCTCCGTCACTTTTTTCGTTTCCCCTCGCAACCACCTTCCCCTCCACAGTCCCTCCTTGTGCCCCTCTTCTCATTCCATCATCTCCCCGCCTATTGTACTACTTTCGTCACGTCGGGACCCTCTCTCCACTTTGAGGATTGAACATTCACTACCATCTTCCGCCCCGTCGTATTCGATCCGTCTTTCCTAAGATCGACTCGACCTTACCCAGCCTCCTTTTCCTAGGCCATCTCCACTCAAGTATCCATCATGGGTCAAATGGTCAAGACCCCGACCGGCACCGCTCCTAACAGCACCCTGTCCAAGAGACGTCGCTTCCAGCCCCCAATCACCAGTTTCTTCTCCGCAGCCTCGGCAGAGTCGGGCTCATCGGATGCCCCTTCCGTGACACACGACAATTACTCTGCAACCACCTTCTCCTCGACGCCAGTCCTCCCTGAAAAAGTGCAGCGGAATCTCATGCAAGTGGGTGCGCGAGTCCGTAAGTCAATGGCCGAAGGGTACAAAACACAGCTCTCGATGAAGGCCGAAAAGCTTCATGACACCGTCACTCCGGCCGAACCCCGTGTCGCATCACCATCTCTTCACCAGACCTCCAATCACATCTCTCATACCCCGCGCCGCGCAGAGCTTGCGCCCTTTTCTGGATTCTCAAAAACCATGCACGACCCATACTCTGTCATGACCGACGATGGGGATGCCTACTCCTTGCCCCCTAGTAGCCAGGAATCGATGTTATCGACCGATTCATACTCTGGTAATGCGAATGGCCAGAAGCGTGGACTGGACTTTGAGGATGATGCATCTCCCCAAGGACAATCCGGAGCCGAGGCCTGGACTGGACGTGTCTACCTGTCGCCGCGAGGCCGTTTGTCAACCAACATTAGCCCGAGACCTTCGGGTATGGACGTTGATGATTTCGAAGAAGCTTCTTTCTTGCGGCAACAGGAAGAGGTCGACCAGGAATATGGGGGCATGGAATTCGCTTGAACGTTTTGCTCTTGGAAAATAAAGGGCATTTGTCTGCCTTACGTGCAGCGATGTGGTAACCCTGATCGAACAACGCAGCCGATTCGAGCCTGTTGCAGTACTTAGGTATGGCGCATCCTCTTGCTTTTTGTGTCTGCATATCTGTCCTACTAGGATTTGTCTCCTTCTGAGAGGTTTCATGTTGATTCTGGCTTTGCTTGTCTATTCTATACCCTTTTTTGCTCTGTTGATGTACTACCACCGCCTGTATCTTTATTTTGAGTCAAGCAATTGCCGCACCTCACTGCAGTTTCAGCTTCATCGCATCGATCTTGACACGGTAGATGGCACTATCAACGCTTTACTACTCAATGACTCGTTGAAAGTGCCGTAGAAATTACTCGACCTAGTCACGGCCCGCATACGAGGCAGAAAGAATCAAATAGAAAAAAACGAATTTCAAAGGAACGAGACGGGAGAAATAACCATCGTCATCAAATTTTTCTACGACGGAGACGAAGAGATGAGGTGGTGCCCTAGCTTGAACGACAAGACCTCTTTTAACGACATTCCAACTTCCAGTTGCCAAACATGAGGAATGTAAAAAAAAAAAAAAAAAAAATTGAAAGAGGGTCTAAGTATATAATCACACTACCCAATCCCACCTAAACCGTCCAGAGGAAGTAAAATGAATCATAGAGACCAAGTAACGCGGCACGCTAAATCCCGAATTGCAAAAAAAAAAAAAATCACAGGTATCTTGTTCAGGCAGTCGCCAGAAGCTCGCCTTCCGCCTTCACGATGTCTCGAAGTTTGAACGTCGTGGTGAAGTTCTGTTGTTTGACAAACCAGGCGTTGATCAGTTCCCATTCCTGCGATGGGTCTTGGAGTCGGATCTAATAGGTGATGAGCGAACAGCGTTAGTATCGCATGGAACTGAAGGGTGGAGGCCCAGAATAGTGAAAAGGGAGACGGGGGAATCATTTCTCACCTCAAATCGTCGCAACATGCTGGGGACTAGCTTGTAAATCTCCAACAGGCTAATGTTCTTTCCAATGCAGGTCCGACTACCCATTCCGAATTGGAACATGGTACCATTCATCTCTTTGATACGGCGAAGCTCGGCCTCCTGGCCACTTTCGGTCTGGCAGAGCGTCTCATCGGGCAACCATCGCTCAGGGCGATAAGCCTCGACATCTTGTCCAAAGATGTCTTTGTCCATATGAATCAACCATGCCGAACAACCAACGATGGTACCACCCGGTACGAAGTGACCATCGATCTCCGCTCCCTGCTGCGGAACAATGCGTTCAAGAGGAAGTCCAGCCGCGGGATGCAGTCGGAACGCCTCTTTGATACAGGCATCCAGGTATGTCAAACGCTGGCTCTCGTGCCAGGTGACGAGACCAGTTTCGGAATCGGCAAAGGCACCCGAGCGAGCGGCCTCGTCAATTTCTCCCCGAAGGCGTTCCAAGGCGTACGGGTTCTTCAACAGGAAATAGAAGACGGCTGAAAGACTGATGGCGGTGGTCTCAGAGCCGGCAAAAGCCATGCTCACGGCCATGGTGCGCACGAGATTTTCACTCATGAACTCCGGATGCGCCTCGTGAGCCGCGAGGAACTTGGACAGGAGATCGGGAGATTTGACGCCCAGCTCGGAGGCCGAAACTCCCTTGGCTAGCTCAGGCAATCTCTCTGCCATGCGATCGCTGGCAAACTTAGCGACAGGGAAAGTAACATCGAAAAAGCCCTTTTGCGCAAGCTTGAGGTAGATGGGGTTCTTTTGGAGAAGGCGGTCCAAGAAGGGCATTTGTCCGATCTGGTCAAGGGAGTCAGCATTATACCCCGGGCTCTGATGTGGGTTTTCGATGCGGAACAAAGGAAGAGGGACAACGTACAGGTGCTACATAGAGGAAAAGTCGCGCCAAGTAGGCCACGATACCATCGATATCCTCGTTCTTCTCGACAAATCCGTGTCGCTTACTGTAGGTGATCTCACCGATGACATCGAAGGCGTAAAACTGCAGCCACTGGGTGAAATTGCAGCCTTCGGGGTTGTTGACAAACAACTCTCTCGTTCGTCGCAAGAAGAGCTTGGTCGTATTGTCCACAAAGGGTTCATATTGCACCAGTGCAGACATGGCAAAGGCGGAGTTCACGCAGCGACGGAATCTCGCGTGGAAGTCATTGTCCGTCGAACTGAACAAGGATGGTAGACGATGACCCTTGGCGACGGACTGCTGCACCACGTAGAAATCAGACTGTTTCCACTTGTGTCAGCCGTGCATTTATCAATTGTTTTGAGGAGCTACGTCCCCTTTCATTTAGGCTTAGGTCTGACGAAAGAAACAGAAGAAATCCTTACCTTGATAAACCCCTTGTTCAAGCCGTAGATAGACTTCAGTGCCCGAGGGCTAGAAAAAGACAGAGAGTTTGGTCCCAACCGCACGACGTCGCCATACTTGCGATGAAGCGCCCGATGAGTAACCTCGGGTCTTCGACCGTAGACATCCAGGAGACGCCACCAATCAGTGACCGATGCGACCAGCGGTCCCGGGTACTTGTTGAGACCGTTATGGTATCTGTTCTTGAGCAGCCATAATGCCAGCCCAATGACGGAAACAGAGATCCAATGTTGGGCCAGGACCCGAAGCAGTTGATCCGTCAAACCGTGCATCTTCACACCGACACGTTGGAGATCTTTTGTTGTTACTTGTGTGCCCTTGGAAAGACCGGTGAATACTGGATTCCTCTACAGTCTTTCGCTTCTTTGGAACAAGTCAGCGGTCGAATGAGACTAATCGTAAATTGGTGCCGATGAGAGAAGGTCGTTGGAGACCAGATATAGTCGAGATATCGGCATGTCGACCTTCCTTCCAACTACCGGGGACCCTGCTCAGACTGGACATCAGCCAGTGGAGCTTGCCACGCCACGCGCACTCTGGAGCCACGGGTAACGAACGCTTTCATGTCGTGTGGGGGGAGGAGTCGACGGGGCCTCATCCTCTTAACTCTTAAGCGGATCGTGGAGCTTGGTCCCCCCAATCTTTCCCCTCGTTCCAACATCGGAGTGCCACCGGTGGATGAAGAAGCCCACTGCTTCGCTTGAGAGCCCACTCAGTGTCCCGTGAATGGATTGCTCCGCCGATCATCTTGGTAGGAGATAAGAGGTCTGTTAGTGTTCAAGGTGCACTACCTGCCGAAGCCGAGTATTCCGTGATTGGTCTTCTTCGATGCAGCAACTGCACATTCGGGCTTCGTGTCCCTGTGTTCGAGCAAAATGGATATCGCCGCTCTTGCCTAAAGACCTATACGTGTGGGGTCTAGATTAATGGGAGAATGCCATACAGATGGCTCTAGGTCCAGACCACACATGATAGAGTGGTCATGTACGATTGACAGGAACCAGGATTCATCCTTGAAACTCGGGCATCTTGCATAGCACTGGAGAGTGAGACGGTGGCCGTTACGAGAGGACTCTGCAAGTCTTGTGTGGTTCAACTGTTTCCCATGCCCCACAAGAGTTGGTTAAGTCTCAAACTGAGCCCACGGCAGACTCGATGATTTCCGATCACTTCGCCCCAACTTGGGGGGGGGGGAAAGAGAGTGTGGGGGAGAGCTGAGAGTCCAGCAATGTGCGGGGGCTCTGCGCGGGGAGACTCCGGGGGTCCACCGGTCAAGGGTCACGTGAGGGGCAGTACATCCAGGTCGGGTGCGGAGAGATTGTCCTAGTCTAACATTCAACAGAATAGTAGCACTGTACAGCGTACACTTTGTATGCTATCAACATATCCTCGAGCGCCCGATTGGATGAAAGCAGCAAGAGCCTGGCCAACACCATATGGGTGCTCAATCGCAAAAGCTCACACCTCACCAGGACGAAATGGAGAACAAACAAGAGAAGAAAGACAGAAAACCATGTCGTTGTCCGCAGAGCATTCCTGATTATCCAGAGCAGTCGAGGTCGGGAATTGACTTGTCCTCCAACTGCCGATGGCCACGATTCCTCATCGAAACCACCATATTCATCATGCGCTCTCACCCATGATAGCAATTAATCAGCACAGGGTTTCAAGTGGATGCTAGCTTCGAATCTCCATGCTTTCCGAGGAAACCGGGTTTGTATCTCCGGACTGACATTGATGACCGATCTTCCAGGGCAGAATCACCAAGACCACTGGCATCGGAAAGACGAAGAAGTCGGTAGATGAGAGCTGTGTGGATCCCGTGTCGATTTGATTGACTTTCTGATGCCCACCTTTATATGACGGAATACGTTGTGGGAGTAAACTCAACGCTAGATGTCCAGGTGCTCTTCTCTCGCACTCACACAATAACCTTACGCGCGGATCTCATTGACTTGCACTATGAGCTGGGCGATGGAGGACAGATGATGTGGATTTGTATTGCAACGTGTATGATGAACAAGTAAATTGGTAATATAGCATTACAGCACGCAATACAGATTACAGTAGGGTGTCGTGACTGTCGTCAATACGCAAGGTCGACGATCTTTCTGAGATGCGGACTCTGCCAACACCAATGAATATATCAGAGACTCCTCTCACCTCGCCCCTTGCAGTCAGACCAGAAGGCAGGAGTACAGAATCGGGTTCCGTATGGAGCATTCGTAAGTAAGGTAACTACCTAGCCATCGATCAGGTGACTAATCGTCGATATGATCGATATGATCCACCACATAGTCGTTTGACCGACGCTTCGATTCATCACCGCTTCAAACGAGCAACCTCTCGTCAACTCCGCCTTACCCTTAGGTTGTAACCGATTGTGCTGAGATTGTGTTATCATCTCACCCTCAATCACGCCGAGGCCGGGGGTCTCCAACTTCCCCAGTTCTCGTCATCCACCGACCTACGCAGCCGTGCTATCCGGATCCACCACAACGATAAACATCGCTTCCATGCCGGTACTACTACTGCCCACATATCTCCTTCTCCTTCTCCATCTCCTCGCGTCCGTCATCGCGGACCCTGAGCCTCTCCTGCAAGAAGTCACACCTGTCACGGTTGCCCCAGCCAGTGGGGCTCAAGTCGTGCGTAAGTACAGTACTCAACAACATCTCCTCTGGAATTGACCTGCTCGGCCATGAGAGAATTCTCCGAGAGAGGAGAAACCAAAAAACTAAAAACAAAGACACGGTCTGGGTCTGGGTCTTGGTTTAGAATCGGCTTGGGCTAATGCGGCTTTTTCTTCGAGGACGTTTAGCCAAAGTGGGTGTGCACGGGTGGAATTGTCAGGATGAACAGACTTGTCGCCATCGGTGCGACAGTCACGAGTTTTTTGTGAGTGGTGATACACTTCGATGCCTGTAGAGGGGGCGGATCACTGTTTGCTCCTCTGTACCACTACCTTTATGTTCATAGCTGGTCGAATTAATGTCGGTCCACTTCCCTCAGCCCCGTGCTACCGGTCAGCAGAGGTCAATTTTATACCTACGAGGTTCCGGACCAATGGCACGAGGGCGCGTAAAAGACAGAACAGGAACCTTCTAGTAAAGAATAGTAATATTGCTCACTCCAAAGCCCCTAAAATGCGAGTGTTTGTTTCTATACTGATGACATGAATGATTTTGAAAATGACATATATGGACGCGAGACACGAACAGAAATGTTGACAAGAAATTGAGACATGATCAATACATGCCGTGGATGGAACTTGTAGTGTAGAAGACAAGACAAAATACAAGTCTCCAACAGGTATCCCAAAGTTTCCATGAAGATCTGGAAGAGAGAAGGATATGACAAATAGCTCTGCTGGTTCACAGCTCATCCTTCGCCTCATCCTTGAGCTTCTGCTTCTGCTTCTTTTGATCCTCCTTCGCTTTCTTATCTTTGTTCTTGGACTTTTCGGAAGACGCCTTCTTCTTAGTTTGCTGGCCGTTCTCCTTAGCCTTCTCTTTCTTGGCCTCACGACCAGCAGCAGCCGTCATGCGTTCGTACATGCGATTGAGCACACGCTCGAATTCCCGCAGCCGAGAGTCAATCTCAGCCACGGTCAGCGCGGGATCATCGGAATCGGTCAACTTCTCCTGCGCCTCAAGCTGAGTCTCCAGCCAAGGCTTGGTCGTTTCGAAAATGGCGTTGAGAGCCACCAGGTCCATGGGGTTGAAAAGAGTATACTTGGGTCCCGTGGGTACAGCGCTAACAGAGGACTTTGTGCTGGTCTTGGAAGAGGAGGAAGAAGAGGTCGCCGACGAGTTCAAGTCATCATCCAGCTCGTCCAACGGATCTGCGCTACTGGAGGGAGACGGGGTTGACTCCGAGCTGGTCTCCGTGGCAGAAGTGCTGGATGCTGAGAGCGACGAGGAGTAAGACTGCTCATCGGTCGCAATCTGGTTCTCAATCATCTGCTTCATGGATTCGGCATTCTTCAACATGTCCTGGAGAAGCTGGATTCGAGCGGGACGAGTGGACTTTTCCTTCATGCGTTTCAAAGCAGGATTGACAATGGCCTTGAGATCCTTGAGCTTCGATTGGAAATCAGCCGTCTGGGCATTGTCGCTATCCTCATAGAGCCAATCGCTTGACTTGGCGATCTTGTCCTGAAGGAGGGATACTTGGTCTTCTTTCAACACGCCCAGGAAGTCTTCGTTATCAACGAGATCACGGCTGCGATAGATGAAAGATTCGAGCTCATTGAGGGCCTCCTCGCGCAGCACACGATCACGGTCGGAAGCGTCGAACGCGGCCAGACGACCCTTGATGCGAGCCATTTCGATGACAGAGGGAGCCTGGGCTCCAAGATTGTCGGAGGTCAGACTAAGAGGAATAATCTCCAGCTTGATCTGAGTAGTCGGCTTGACGGCCTCCTTGACACTCGTCGCCGAAGAAGAGCCGCTGGAAGTAGTGGTAGAGGTTTCGGCCTCGGTTTCCAAAGTGATCGATTCGCTGGCCTCGCTATCTGCGAGTGGCTCTTGCTCGCCCTTCTTAGAACCGAGACCAAAGAAACCCTTGACATCTTCGACGACGCTACCCTTCTTCTCCACCTCAACCTCGCAGCTGACGTTTCCACTAGTCACCTCAGGGAGGCCACTGACCGGGCTCAAACGAATATTGAACTTGGTGGTGATATTGGCAGGGGTACATCCAAAGGTTTCCTTCAACTTGTTCACCGATACAGTGAGATTTTGGGTCTTGACATCAAGGACGGGCAGATTCTGCTCCCCAACTTGTTGATAGAAGCTCAATTCCATATCCTCAAGGTTCTTCACAGTCACTTGCTTTTCTGGGCCAACCTGCGAGACCGCCGTGAAAAGCTTCTGGCTCCGCTCTTTTCCATCTGCGTTCCACTTGAGAACGATGGGATAACCAGCTGCGTCGCTGGCTCGGATATCCTTCACACGGAAGCTGGGACTGAGGGCCGCGCCCTTGAAGGCCGCACCAAAGACCGCAGCCTCGTCTGCGTTAACATTGGTGCGCAGCTTGCTGGCAGACCCGCAGACCTTTTCCAGTTCCTTTTGCACGAATGGCGTCCGAATTGCTCCGCCGTGGAGAACCACCGAGTCAATTTCGTTGAGCGTCAATCCAGCAGCAGCGAGGGCTTGTTCAAGAGGGCCGCCAACACGGGCAATGTGGCCAGCGGCCATTTCCTCAAACGCGGCGCGAGTGAGTTTGTATTTGAAATTGACCTCTTCGTCGTAAAGGCCCTCGAAGCTGGTGGAAGTCTCGGTGTTGGCACTCAGCACCTGTCGAACCTTCTCGGCGTCCTTCCAAAGCCGGGCCATAGTCTTTCCGTGAGACTTGATCTGGCCTGGGGTCACCTTGTCCTTGAGTTTCTGATGATCGGCCAATTTTGAGATCATGTCATTGACGATCAGGTCGTTGAGCGAATCACCGCCCAAAGTCTTGTCCCATCCGCTTCCCAGAACATGAATCTCTTGAACGGTCTTGTTAAGCTTTCCAACGTCCTTGACCTTACGGCTCTGGAAGCGGAGCACACTGGCGGTCGTGGAGCCCGCACCCATGTCGAAGACGATGTGGTACTCCGGCTTCTCGCCATCGGAAACGCTAGGAAACTTGCGGCTGGTTGCATAATTTAATCCAACGGCCAGTCCATCGCTGACCAGAGCCTGAACTTTCAAGCCTGCCAATTCGGCTGCGAGTGAAAGACTCTTCTTCTCTTCCGCAGTGTAGAAAGCAGGGTAGGTGATGACCACATCGCGAACATCAGAGCCCTTGCCAGCAAGCGCATCAGCGTTGGACTTGACTTCCTTCAATTGCATTGCCAAAATTTCCTCTACAAGGAAAGCGGTCTTTCTCTGCTCTTCGCCTAGACGGTTGCTGCGCAATGCGACTGAGCCACGCTCACCGGGGGCAGCTTCAAGCTTCAAAGCTGGATACCGGCTCCAGTACTCCTTGACAGCCTCGTTCTTTCCCTCGTCGAATGGAACGCCCAGAAGAGTCTTGAGGTTGATGTATACATCGTCCGGGAACCGAGCCGCCAGGGCCAGCGCGTTACCACCGTAGAAACGTTCGGGGAAAGGTGCCTTGCTATCTCTCGTCGGTTTGAACGCAATTGCTGCGGATTCCTTGCGCTTCGAGTCTTTGCTTAGGACAATTTCCAGTGGTATCCCCGGTTTTACTAGTGTGGCCTTGAAGTATTCCGTTCCGACATCGAGTCCGAGAACAGCTGAGCCAGCTGCTGACACTGGGGTTGAGAATAAGGCGAGTAGGACCAGAAAAGGAAGGACGACAATTGATAAAATGGGCGATGTGAATAGTCGCCCGCGACTTGTAGAAGCCATGTTCGATCGTCGATCTGCACGCTGACAATTGCTAGTTAGCCGCTAATAGCCTTCGGGTCTGTTGTATTATTTCGAAAGTGGGACACACCTAAAGATAGCAGTGTGTACACATAAAGCTAAATGTTATTGTGGATGCGAACTTGACTAGAACGCCCGAGTGCTTTTGAAATTGGACAGCGTTTTATGCCTTGTATGTCCAGCGAGACACAAGGCTGACGAGTAAATTGCGGAAAGCCCTTGATCACAGTAACGAAGGATTGGACAGAGTGCTTCTATTTCAAGCCATTCGGACGCCAGAAAAGAGCTGTGGCCACTTGTCAATAGAAAGGACGAGATGCATCTCTAAGGCCACGGGGCCGATTGCGATAAGAGACATGTTTGCACTTTTTGCACAATTACGTAAGGGAAGTCAGGCTGGAGGCTAGGCAGCTCTTGTCCACCACCAGACCGATTCATCCTGTCCAGTCAACTGAAACAGGATATCAACAATTGCAAAGCTCGCTTTGCCTGCCGACCTCATATGTCTGGCCATACGGAGAACACATATAGGTGAATGCTCAATCACGAATGTGGCAAAGCTCGTTCTCGAAATCAACTACCTCGCAGCAATCTGAAGTGCAAGTTACCATTCAGTTCTGGCGCTCGGTCATCCGAGCACGTCAGTCATGTACTGTGGAATTGCTGCTTTACCAATTGTAAGCGAGCATTTTAGTAGGCGTTTCCTGATTTCGCTTCAAGCGACAGTAAGCAGAAAGTAAGTCGAACTCTATAAGCAAAATGGCGACTTTGTGCGCGTGCAGACTGAGTGAGGTGCGGACTATCTGAGACCACTTGCCCGGTAACTCCGGGCGACCGTGATATATCGAGTATCTCATGTGTCCTCGCTGGACTTCAACCATGTCGAATTCCACAGCTATTGCTATACCTAGGTATGCACATATCAGTTAGGGCTAGAATATCTAGAAACTCTCGCAGTCCCCAGATGTCTTCGCACTCATTTGTCTGCAGCCATACCTGGTGCAGCCAAGTTGGCCTTCCCAAGCCCTCTGTGGTCTTCTACGTATGGCCTTGAACTTTTGACTTCTGCAGAAGGCCGGTCCGCGTACTTGGATGGAAAAGGTCAATCGATCCAGCTAGGTACCTAGATACTGAGGTATACAGGCAGCTCTCGCTTGCATATGTCATTGGAACTTGCCTCGAATAGCTCTACTGAGCTGATGTAGAACTAGGACAGATATGACCAATTGCAGCGCCAGGCATCTATCCATGAGAGAATGGAGAAAAGGGAGCCGAGCACGATAAAGGGAAAATCAAAATGTTCGTCATATTGGCAAACAGATTTAAGAATTAACTAGGGCGCACGTTAATGATTATTTCTAAGGAGTGACCGTCAGTCATGAGACTTCATAAGTTGCCACCTGTCGAAGCGACGGTGACAACAATTAGAGTAAGTTGTTCTTCAGGGATTTCCACCGCACCGATCCCAGAAGTGTCAAGAAGGAAATTTTTATGCCAAGATTTTGTGTTTTCTTGCTCTTTCGAGTTGCCCATTTCACTCATTCGCCAGATCATCCCACATTCAGTCGTGGGGAACGAGAACATGAAGTGAAGGGTGTTCACCCTTGTCAAAGCCTCGTAATAGTCAATTGAGAAATGCTCTTAAATCAGAGCATAGATCACAGCCAGAGCTGGGATCAGCCCGCTCAAGGAGCGCTGGAATTGGGAGGATCCAGCATTGTAAGCAGGGCTCGTGGAAGCAGGGGCCACAGGTGCAGTCGTTCCCGCCGCGCTAGTCACAGTGGAGGCAGGGGCCGAAGAGTGTACGGGTGCTACTCCCGAAGGAGAAGGCTCGGTAGCAACGGGGGAAGAGGAAACCGGAGCTGGTCCGACGGGGACGGTGTGAGTTGCCGATGGCTGAGTTGCAGCAGGCTCAGTAGTTTGCGATACAACGACTGGGGGAGGTACAGCAACGGTCGTCGCCGGGACTGAGGAAGTAGGCTGAGGGCATCCTCCACTACAGGTGACCACAGAGGTGATAGTCAGGGTGCTCGTGGCAGTCACAGGTTTAGTGATAGTAGAAGAGCCGGTAACAACGGTACTCCACGTGACTAGATTACTGTCAGAATTGATTTTCCCCAAGACATTTTGCAAATTCACATACCAGGGCAAGTCGTTGTGGTGTACACAGTGGTCATGGTCGTGGTGATAGGAGCAGGTACAACTACCGTGGTGGCAGGCACTGATGTAGGCTTAGGGCAGCCTTCACTGCAGGTGACCACGGAAGTGATGGTAAGTGTGCTGGTCGCAGTCACAGGCTGGGTGATAGTGGAAGAGCCGGTGACAACGGTAGTCCAAGTCACTGAATTCGTGTTAGTTTCGAACGTTGCAAAAGAGAAAAAGCATATTTGATTGTGCGTACCAGGGCAGGTTGTGGTGGTGTACACGGTGGTCATGGTAGTGGTGAGCGGTGCGCTAGGTGTGGCAGTGGTCTCGCAAGGAGTGGAAACTGCGGACGTGCTGTGGGTGATGGGCTGCGAGCCATGTGGTGTCGTCGTCTCAGTCTCACAAGGAGTGGTGGTGGTAGCAGGCGGAGTTTGAGAACCAGGCTGCGTAGTGGTGGTAGTTGTGGGCATGCTGTGAGTGACGGGCTGCGAGCCATGCGGAGTAGTCGTCTCAGTCTCACAAGGAGTGGTGGTTGTGGACGTGCTGTGGGTGACGGGCTGCGAGCCATGTGGAGTCGTCGTCTCAGTCTCACAAGGAGTGGTGGTTGTGGACGTGCTGTGGGTGACGGGCTGCGAGCCATGTGGAGTCGTCGTCTCAGTCTCACAAGGAGTGGTGGTGGTAGCAGGCGGAGTTTGAGAACCAGGCTGCGTAGTGGTGGTAGTTGTGGGCATGCTGTGAGTGACGGGCTGCGAGCCATGCGGAGTGGTCGTCTCAGTCTCACAAGGAGTGGTGGTCGTGGACGTGCTGTGGGTGACGGGCTGAGAGCCATGCGGAGTAGTTGTCTCAGTCTCACAAGGAGTGGTGGTCGTAGGAGATGGAGTAGAAGTAGGAGAGTGAGGGTGCGAGCTGGGCTTAGTAGTAGTGGTAGTCTCGCACGGAGTAGTGGTAGTAGGGGAAGGAGGGTGAGGGTGCGAGCTGGGCTTAGTAGTAGTGGTAGTCTCGCACGGAGTAGTGGTAGTAGGGGAAGGAGGGTGAGGGTGCGAGCTGGGCTTAGTAGTAGTGGTAGTCTCGCACGGAGTAGTGGTAGTAGGGGAAGGAGGGTGAGGGTGCGAGCTGGGCTTAGTAGTAGTGGTAGTCTCGCACGGAGTAGTGGTAGTAGGGGAAGGAGGGTGAGGGTGCGAGCTTGGCTTAGTAGTAGTGGTAGTCTCGCACGGAGTAGTGGTAGTAGGGGAAGGAGGGTGAGGGTGCGAGCTGGGCTTAGTAGTAGTGGTAGTCTCGCACGGAGTAGTGGTAGTAGGGGAAGGAGGGTGAGGGTGCGAGCTGGGCTTAGAGGTAGTGGTAGTCTCGCATGGCGTTGAAGTTGGCGACGGGGTAGTAGTGGTAGAGGTAGTGGTCGTGGTATCGCATGGAGTTGACGTTGGCGACGGGGTAGTAGTGGTAGAGGTAGTGGTCGTGGTATCGCATGGAGTTGACGTTGGCGATGGGGTGGTAGTGGTCGTGGTCGTGGTCGTGGTATCGCATGGAGTTGACGTTGGCGATGGGGTGGTAGTGGTCGTGGTCGTGGTCGTGGTCGTGGTCGTGGTATCGCATGGAGTTGACGTTGGCGATGGGGTGGTAGTGGTAGTGGTAGTGGTATCGCATGGAGTTGAAGTTGGCGACGGGGTAGTAGTAGTAGTGGTCGTGGTATCGCACGGAGTAGATGTCGGCGATGGAGTGGAGGTAGTAGTAGTAGTGGTCGTGGTATCGCACGGAGTAGATGTCGGCGATGGAGTGGAGGTAGTGGTAGTGGTGTCGCATGGAGTCGACTCTGGACCACCAGGACCACCAGGACCACCAGGACCACCAGGACCACCAGGACCACCAGGACCACCAGGACCACCAGGACCACCAGGACCACCACCACCAGGACCGCCGGAACCGCCAGGACCGCCAGGACCGCCAGTGCCATGCTCATCACCACGATGAACAAGTGCAGAGCCGTCTGGATTCCTGGGCAGCACATTGCCCGAGGCCAGACTGGCGGCGGCCAGCAGGAGGATAGAGATGCCACGCATCGTGTCTAACAGCTACAAGCGAGGGCTTTGCTAGACGTTGCAGGCAAGATACGCGATGAACGATCGAAGTCTTTCCTAATAAGGAAATTCGTCAAGACAATTGTCGGAGAACGAACGACAAAGGGAACCGTAGCGAGAGAGTTCCTTGTAACGAAAGCTATCGAAATCCGAAAGACAGGACAGGGTCGAAGTGATGAGGACTGCTGATTTTATATTTCAGCTCAAGAACAAATCTCAAATGATCCAGCATGGACCGATCTCCGCACTTGGGATCGTGGCATAGGTCTCAAGGCCGTCCGCCTTCGAGCCAACAACCTGCTGGCTGCTGGGACTTCGATTTTTTTCTTTTTCCGTCCACATCGCAACCCTTGAATTCTTCTTTTTTGGTTCCTTTTTGGGGCGAGCCATTTTCAGAGATGATCATGACCCCGCTTAGTCTGGATCCCATTGGGGAAATGAGAGAGACAAAAGAGCCGGGCGTTGGCACTGGCAAGAACATAAGTGGGAAGGCTCCACAGCTAGGTAGGCTTGATGATGTGCCGAGAAACTTTCCAGAACTGATAGAGGTGCAAGCATGGAAGACGGTCCGCTGATTCTCAGGCTGTCTGTGCAAATCAAGTGTACGGTGAGCATGCGAAATTAAGCCGGGCCTCGCCGCAGGGCCCATGCTGTGAGACAGGACGCCTTGGGTTGGCTAGGTCCGAGCTGTCTTTTGGTGACCTTGGAAGATACACCGAATGGAGAGGCTCTCCCCCAGGAGCTAGATCCTATCGTCTCCAAAGATCATAGGGGACAATGTTTGTTATCACAGTTGCGCATTTTCTTCATCCGGCCAACAATCCACGGAAGTGCAATTTTCAACCGGAGAAGTACAAGACACTCTCTTGTATCGGCCGCCAACCTATGAGCTCACCGCGTAGACGAGAATGAGAACGTGGGCACGGTGAGCTCTTCCGGCGCCCAAGCAAAGATCCATGTAGTATTGGGCCGCGTTAATGAGACTGACATGAACGAGAGCTTCGACTCTCTTGCCCTGTGAAGCTGCGGCGAGGAGCAATCCCTCTCTCGTCGAGCACCGAGGATCAGGCGGGACCACGACTCTGGTGGCTCTCTGCCATGGCGACTGAGGTTCCATAGCACAGCTGGCAACGCATGTTTGAGTGGATCATGCGTCATCGGGAAATGACAGAGCCAGTGGGGTTGTCCAGTCACGACAGGGGTGTGCAGCTTTGGCGGACGATTGTTGACTTCTGTTTATCCTGGTCGAATACATTCTGATGGGTGTGGCTCGCTAGATAGACTTGGAAGACAGACTGGAAGCCGATCCGTGATCCTAAAATAGCCACCATTGGTTCTCATTCGCCGGACGTGGATCGCTTCCAAGGGTTGTGGGGAATTTGTGCAAATAAGAGCGAGCAATGCGCAAGCCGCTGAGGTCCGACCAAGACAGGCGACGGACGGTCTGAGACGAGACAAGAACAACTGACTTCTCTCTTGACCCGAAAAATCACTAATCCATAGGGAACAGCCCCACCGAGCAAAAGTCTTGTTCAGATCCGTATTGCCATCAATTGGAGCAGTAGGCTATCAGTCTCAATAGACGAACTCAAAGTGAGCCAGAGTAGTGCCGGCGAGCGTGCCATCTCCAGCCCCAGCGATCCCACCAACATCGCTCACTGGCTTCTTAGGCAATCGCCTGTTCCACAGTGCGGTCAGAAAGTTGGTCAGCTCGTGTCTTTGGCACGTATAACATGCTATCGGACCAAGTCGAACCCAAATTGCCATTCCTAGGACTAGAAAATTAGCGGGCTTGGCTTGCACAACAATCCACGAGAACGCGTGTTTTGCCTGAATGTCCCGCCAACTACTATGAAGTATGAACAATTCTCCGGTGCGGAGGGTGGAGGGACCGATGGAGAGCGGGAAGTGGATCGAGCAGGAAGCTCAGACGGGGACAAAAGCCCATGTCGAACTGGACCTTTGCAGCAGTATGGCGATGTAGTCGTAGACTAGTACATACGTACTCTGTAGCCTTATTTCCCATAGTGGCCGACAGCTCTCAATGGAGTCAAATCACCGCGCGCAGCAAATGTCTACTAGTCTAGTATGGCACCTGCAGGGTCAACTTCACATCCCATTCAAGCTTCCGAGTCGGCATCAAATCAGTACGACCAGTCCAAGTTCCTGGGCTGATATGCAGGTAACGTTACATCCCGTCACCTATGAACCTTGTCCGCAGCGGAGAACAACGCATGGAGGGGACGTACTGTGATGATGCTACTGCTTGGCTAAAGCCCGCAGCGGTGGACAGTGGACACTTGCGCCAGGATCTCCCTGGGGGCCGTACCGACAGTGGGCTTTTCCAATGCTGGTCGGCCTGGTGCAAAGAAGTCCGGGCCAACGAGTGCCGCAGAGGGGGCTGGAAAGCGATGCAGTTTCCCGGAGACCCGACGCCTTCCATCTGACTCGTCTACATGCTGTATGTGGAGCTACCGGGGTTGGTAGAGCACATTGAGAGACATCGAGTCTTGCACAGCAGTCATCACCGCACTTGGACAAGGATTGGAAATTGAATACAAGTAACGCACTCGAACCAGGTACGGCGCTGCCCGTCCAAAGGAGATCTGACCGCCATCAGACACGCCAGTGCTGGCGAAGTGGGTGCAAAGCAACTCACACTGATGAACACCGAGACGTGGGTAGTAGTAGTGGTAGTGTTGTAGTTGTCTGTTGCTGCGATTGTTCGTGTGGGGTTGTCTCTCCCAGCAAACCGTCGTCATGGCCGAGCGATCGACCGTGGTTGACTTGAAGGGAAGAGAGGAACTTGGACCAGAGCGTGGGAAAACGCGTGGGAGTCTAACCCACTTTGTCTGGGCTCCCTCTCATGCTGGGCATGCGAGAAACAAGAAGGAGGGGGGACGAACGGCCAGTGACCACCGGCAGAATCGAACAATGTCTCGGATGGCTGCCCGGTTTCCGGCTTCCACATACCATGGATGATGGTACTTAGTACTTTACTACTTACAGCCCTCACCATAACTTCCTACTGTCTGTTACCGCACGGAAAGTAAAGGTACCCAAATGAGATTCCATAAATAAGATCTAGGATAATAATGTGGTAGGACTAAAATGTGTGGGTCATAAACCCTAGATCCTGTACGTAGTAAACACTCAACAGGTAGGTCAGATTGTTCTAGGAGAATGGCAGAGGATTTGTTTACGCATCGCTATGTTCCCTTCCACTCTTCATGTGACTTATCTCCGCGTGATCGTACGAGGGACGGAATACATACAGAAGTTCTCAAAGACCTCTCTGACAGCTGCGTGATATCGATGTATCCAACCCTCTGCCGATCGAAGCCCTCTATGTTCCTGCGGCGGTGGATAATCCGCTCTTCGAATCCAATCCATTCGACAACAAGAACAATAGGACACTGCAAAACGATGCCAATTCTCTTTGAGACCTGTCCCATTATGGTCAACTGCCACAGAGTTGGTACGTTGCCGGGTCGTCCGGATGCAGGTTGAAGTCTTCTACAGCTTTGGCTTCCTCTTCCGTTGACCTTGTAAATACTTGGGGCTGTTTTTATGATCAACAGAGCTTTGCAATATGTTCTGGATCACTGTTTAGGTTTGCAGTCTGGAGACATTGTGAATGTTGCTGATTATAATTGGAGGACACTCTTTAGTCTAATGCGTGAGGTGAGGCTAAGTACTTGATGTCTCACCTGAGGGTTTGGTCGAAAGAATGTACAGTGCTACTGACTGAGACTCTAGTCTCTAGGTAGTCTCTAGACTCTCTTCTACTGGGCGAGTCCGACCAGACTGGTGGCACTCACAGAACTTCATCAAGTAGGCCTAAATCTCTCAAATTTTCAACATCGCATTCGAGCACAGACCCTCCTCAATCGCAATTGGAGCAAACACGCCAATTAACTTCCACAAAATTGATGATGTGGTGGGGATCATGGGGTTCAAAGACGAGGCGAGAGACATGAGGGTGGATTTCACACTACTGCGTACTGTCAAGTTTACACCCATAACAAACTTCTCTCGATGACTCCATGACTCAGTCAGCCTGATTGAATCATGGTGGCTTGATGGCTCAGATGAAGAGCCGATGAGAAGCAACGTCATGCGTTCTTCTAGGCAAAACTCAGCCAGCGGACTGGGAGAGCATTAGTGACTCTAGTGAGTGTGATCGCGAAGCCGTCCGTATTCAGAAACAAAAAACGTGGTCAGGATGGAGACTTTTCCCAGGACAACAGACTCTATTTCTAGAAGGATTGACTTTCATTGCCAACTTTCCGGAAACTCATCAAAAGTAAAAATTGCTACACAGAAAGACGCGCATTCTCCTAGTATGTTTTCTCCGAGAAACACGGATTCATGTTCTAGATCGTTACTCGTCTTTCGTGAATAGATGCGACAGTTCAGTCATCTTCATCATCAGATGACCCACTTTGCCAACCTGTCTCATAATTTTCACGGATTTCACCCAGTCCATGAATCATCGCTTCTCGTTCTTCGACTGATAGCATCCGCGCGGCGGTGACCTGAAGCGCCTTCATTCGCTCACCAGTGCGTGTAGAGGCGGTCAATGCAGTAGACACACCCAGTCCATCTTCGTGGAACGGAATCGCCGAGAACAGCTCACGTGGGAAACTGTCGAGCACAGGAAGACGTAGGGGGCTGCAATAGCTGAGACATCCAAAGATAACCAGGTTAGTAGAGCTCAGCATCTTCTAAAAAATATATGGTCACGAACCTTTGCAACAAGGACTCGGAGTTAAAAGCGCGTAGCTTCCGCAGGTATCCAAGATCTCCTTGTTGTGAGGCTTCACCCCTGTTCCCGACCTCGACGCCGCGGTGTATCTGAACTTGATTGAAAATAGTCGCGGCCTCTGTGCTTAGATTCTCGTAGCTAAAGTCGATATCGAATGTGTGCTGAGGCTTTGGGGAAGATTCCTCATCCAGTGCGGAGGGATTGAACGATGTTTGCAGCTCATAAATGTTGCGAGCACCATCATCTCCAGCGAGGGATGCCTCAAAGTCATGGTATGGCCGAAGACGAGATGGCAGTGACATTGATTCCACTGCTGAACTAAGGAGGGCAGACCGTTGCCATGCTGAATGTCGATCCACGTTCAAATACTGCGGTAGATTCTGCGGGATGTCGAGAAGAGGCACATAAAGATTTGCCTGGGGCGATATAGAATAAATTGACCTTGCCTTGTTCGTGTCCTTTTTATATTTTTGATTCTGGTCGAGAGTTAGCAATTTTCCTCCACGCGAGCAAGATGGCAATCGAGACGAACGCGTTGTGCCCGGGCACCATCTTCAATAGCCCACACCCAAATGCTCTTCTTGCCATATTCGTCTCTCAAACGATCGACGTATCGAGCAGCGAACCCACCCCACGCATCATCAGATGAGACAAATATTTGAAGTGCGCGGAGTTGATCGCACTCCTCTGCGAATGGTCTCACGTCGCGATCTAGAAGGTCATGTTCCTTATCAAGATCGTGGAATAGGTCCTCGCCTACGTTCCAGTCCTCAAAAGGCATAACTTGGGAATTGAGCTCATAGTCATTCAGCTGGACGATTGATCGCGGATGATAAAAGACACGATTGTAATCAGACCAATATCGAACTGTTTCTGAAGTAAGACGAGGCGCAGCTGTACCCAGATCTAGACTTCTTTGGTAGTCGCTAAGAGGAATGCGCGCCTGCTGTTGAATGACCTCTCTGCCGTCCCTAAGTCGGAGATCAGTATGACGAATGCAATGGCATGAGTCAAATTTGATTAATATACCATAGCCCTTGGCCTGACACAGAATCTTCGGTGAGCTCGTACAGAGCATTGTGTTTGCGTAATGTGCCAAATCCACCTTTCAAGTCGTAGATCACAGTTCGAGGAGTGTAGGTCTCAGATCCATCAGCTCCTACTCCAGGACGAAAATGGACGTCATGATTGACAGGTGACTCTTCATTATCATTATACGTAAAATATGACTCCTATAGAATGCTTGTCAGAACATTGCATTTGCGAAACGAGGCATAGGGCCTCATACCTGGAGATTCCAAAAATGTGTTGCTAGATAATTTGCCCGTTGGCCAAGCTGGAGTGTAACAATCTCATGCATTCTGGCAGGATTTGGGCTGTCTTTTGATATGCAGCTTAGTTTGGCTTTCGCCGAATGCTAGAGGTCATGGAGCTCATTGAACGCACACTAAAACCAACCAACGTCAGACACCTAGACTGATCACACTAAGCCTAATTGGGTTGAGAGTGCCACGTGACACTATTCCCCCGCCGTTCCCGCGCTAACGCAAAAAGTGGAAGACGCGATCGTGTCCAGGGCAACAATCACCTGACCTTTCCCAAGAGGGCTGTAAACAACGCTAGCGCCAACAACGCTAAGCCGTAACGTTAGTGCGTCACTCCCCAGGCCTCCACGACTGATTCATCCTGTTGAAAGACGGGAATCTTCTTTTGAGACGACTTAATGAACATCTGTATTCAACTTGTCAAGTCCACGCAAACGACTACGCCTCGACTCAGCGATGGACTCACCACAGCGACCCATCCTGAGTCCACCAAAAATCCTACACCCGCTGTCGCCGGAAAGAATGAATAAACAAACTGTGCCCGCGTCCCCATCTCTACCCACTGATCTGTTATCACTCCATCACAAGAATACAAAGGGCGTCTCCGAAGTTCAGGCCAAGGTTGCTTTTCTGAACAGCCTGTCACGAGGAAACAGTCCACTTACGAACGCACAATCCGCTGCCGCCAATGCGGCTTTACAACGCGCAATCCTCGGTCGCGAAGAGGCCGAATCTGCGCTAACATCACTACAAGAGGAGTATTCCGAGGCACAGTCTCGCGAACGCCGTATTAGCGAACGACTGGAGTCCTTGCTAGAAGAACTGCACGCGGTCAAAGAGCGACAAGGCCATGAACGATCGATTTTCGAGAAGGAAATCCGCAAGGCGCGCAAGGAGGCCTTTCGAGCTGGATCAACGCTTGTGAAACTACAGGAGGAACTCAAAAACTCCAAATCCGAGACCAAGGCCCTCAAAGAGGAGCTCAATGCCGAGCGAGATTCCAAGGACAGAGCTAAGCAAGAGGCCTTTGAGCGCGCATATGCTCTGGCTGGTCTCACAGAAGAGTTAGAAGAGCTGAAAGGTCAGCTTCGGTCCTTGGAAGCCGCCAATCGAGTCAGCGCTCGCGAGGCTCGAGCCCATGAGACCAGGATAGCGAATTCGGGACGGATCTCAATCACCGAGGGAGATCTTGAGTTCTTGATCACCCCTCGGCGTCCCAAGCGCGGCGCAGTGGGGTCTGTCAAGTCCCCGGCATTTGACACAGATCTGGCCGAGCTTGCGGAGGCGACTCCCCCAAACGGCAGCGTCTCTCTGAATGCACCACAGCCGTTCAGACCGAGGAAACAGCGTTAGACCCTTCACACGCTCATGCGAATGAAGATGAGGTCGAGGATCTGCGAGATGAGCTGGAGTATGAGCGTCGACGTCGTGCCGAGGCAGAGGACATGATTCACTTTATGAACGTCGAATGCCAATTCCAAAGATGCTCCTGTCGCATCGCCGAAAGTCAAGGTCGCCGCTATATTTATGATGCAGCGTACTATGAGCAAGTCCAGAAACTTGAAGTTGAGAAGAACTCAGATGCCTCCCAAGAAGCTCGCCAACATCACACGTATGATCGGGCTGAAGGCATTGCTCAATATGCCGAGTCAAGTCACACACCCAGCGTCGAGCCTCCAAATTTCATCGGTCATGCCAACGGAATCTCTGACGCCAGACCTGCAGTCAAGTCTGCCACGAAACCTGGACCGCTTGAGCCGCCCGAAAGGATGAAAATCCCCGAAGAGCCGCTCGTCACATTTTCCCCTGAAACAGGGACCTTCAAAACGTTCCCTTCGCCTCTGCGTGACAATGTCCAGCCTCGCCGAACAGTCTCACCGACCATACCCGAGCAACCAGTCTTTAACCCAGCGGGCAAAAGCTGGCGAAATTCGGCTGCGTCCTCTGGACACATGACTGACTATAGCTCCCAATCTGTCGGATCGAACCATTCTCGGGTCACCTATGAAAATTACGCCGATGGTGCCCATGACCTACCAAAAGAGCCGAGACCTGTTGAGGAAACCCGCTCGTCTAGGTCTATCACAAGGGATGATCTTCACTCCTCGCAAATGACATCGAAACGAGTGCCTCTGCGCCAGGAAAATGATTTTCGCATCTCTGAGTCCTCAGGCACGCTACCTGATACTCCAGTCAGCCGGGAGTATGCCCTTGCACAAATTGCTGCTCGCCGCGATCGCGCTCGTAGCAAGCAACGCTCCGTCAGCGCGAACGAGGCTTCTGGACGCAGAATGCCATCCGCTGCGAGTAGTGGCATAACAGCGAGTCGTGGACCACGCCGCATGCCAAACCTGCGAGCCGAGGCCAAGCCAGAAAACGAACTCGCAGAACGACGAGATCTCAGTGCTCCTGTTCGAATGTACCATCGGTAAAAATTCGAACGCCACATGGTGAAAAAGAAATCCCGGGTGCAACTCCACCAACCTTATTCTTCCATCATGCTCGCACTATCCGATGTGCCTTCTTCCCCTCTCGTTCTTTCCCTCATTTCGTCCAACTTTTACTTGCATTCAGGTCGCGTGGCGGTAATGCCGGTGCATTTGGTCTACGGATTCGGCCTCGGCGTTCAATTGATGAATTTTTCCATTTTCGATTTCAAGATGCCCACAGCCTGCTTTACTGGCAGACTCACATACCTCGGGATGAAATCCTTCCCCTGCACACTTTCTTCAGTGATTTCCTTTGTCTTCATGGATTGTTCGGTTCTGTACATATGATTCCAATTTACGACTCGAAACAGCTCGAATCTCGAGTCTCTTCCTTCAACTGCCCATTGTCTATAAGAGGGAAAGTCGACCAGGCGCGACTTCGGCCCCTTGCTCAGGATATTGCCGAAAGGCCAGAAACTATGCCGTATGCCGTACTTGGTAGAAACTCAAACTCCTGATTGCATATGATCCACATGAAATTGACGGAAGATTTAGTAAGATCTGCTCTCCCCAGCAGTCTCGACCTGCAATCGGCCCTGGATCTATCACCACCTACCCGAAGTGCACTTTTTGATCCTCGGTATCTCTCCTGTTAGGTTTGCTACGACAAATGGCAAACGTCGAGCGACGTTCGACTTGTGAAAGGGGTGGAAGCCACGCTGTTCCACGTCACAACAACCTAGGTAGGTAGGTAAAAGTGGTCACCGATCGAAGGCTGGATGTTGGGCTCATGCACTATACGCGAGGCTGGGTGTAGCAACTGCTCATCTGACCTATATATACCACCCTATTGCTCTATTTGCTGAGTCTCGATGGCATGATACCCGTCAGAGATTTTCCACCCGACTATGTCCTGGACTATTCTGACTGAAGAAGAACCGATAGCTCATACGGAAGATTCTCTACAATACAGGGTTCAGTGCATAAAGTGCCCATAAAGTTGACAACTTCAAAGAACAGAAATACCGCAGCACCGGATGCGTGCGCTATCAACGTACGCAGATCGACCCCACCACAAAGAGACCAGCTCCTGAACGATAATGCGATCCGTGGCGCTCCAGACATCGAGGCCCATGTCGGCCATGTCAGCAATTGTGATAATGACAGGGTCATCTGAAAGGTCGACCTTATGACCGGATGTGCGCTCAGTATGATTCCCGTGGGATCTCTGTCGAAGTAGTGGTGTACTTCCATCATCGCCGCTGATAGACTGTCGCGACATGGAAAGCGATGTTTCACCACCGTTGGAATTCGGATCGTCAAGATATGGAGCATCGCTGTATGTATCGTTTACTTCGTTCTCATATCGGCCACCACTATCATGGCGGGCGATGGCACCCGCGAGAGTGAAGAAGATTTGTGATGTGAGCTGACGGAAGTATGCGACCAGCGCGACTTCCGGGGCATCCTGGCCTTGGACCTCTGACGGCACGGCCGATGGACGATGCGAGTTGGGTTCAGGATAAGCAATACTTTCTACGCTTGCTAAGAGCCTGGCATCTTGTTCAATCTGATGCTCCTCTTCATCTTCGGATAGACCGTCGCGAGCTTCTCCGGCTGAAGCCCACCAAATGAACGATGTGTAGGCGAGTCGGGTCCAAGAGAGCGGCTCCACCATGGTACTAGATGAGTACGTGGAGGTAGCATCGCTCTCAAGAGAATCAATTGAAGCAGCATCGTCATGGGATAGCTTGCGTAAACCTCTACGGAGCATTCCATAACGACGGGCGTCACGTTGCGTTGCTTTGAGGCCCACACTTGATGTGGCGTTCGGCTTCGTACTTGAGCGATCCACGCAAGTAATCTTGGGGAACGCGCGCCCCTCGGCTTGCTGAGCGTGAGCAGGGGCCATCGTCACAAGGACATCATACAAATCCGGCTTCATGCATAATACGCTGTCGGTTGAACAGGCAATCCAGCTCGGATCCTTCTCGACGTTGTGCGTACTCCCAGCTGCGTCATATGAAGCGAGGTCGGGAATATCGTGGATACCCACGTTGAACAGCGGCCGTGGCCGTAAAGGCAACACATTGTCTGCGGGGAGCACTTGAAGAAGTGAATTTGGGAGTGACGCTAACAGCGAGAGGTCATAGACTAGACATTTCGTCAACACTCAAGATGGGTATACAGACTGTCAGGATCATTACCGTAATTGCATGGGGTGTGCACTGGTGCTTCAGCCATGATCAAAATGCGCTTGCGCAGGAGCGCAGCCCGGTGAAGAGGGAAGATAAGTGGCCCGAAGGATTCAATGAAACCTGGTAGCGAAGAAGCCGGATGGAAGGGAGTCAAGGCCGGCCGAGCAGTTTCCAAGACCATTGCGTCGCTGAAAGCGCGAGTATGACGCACTGATGGCTTGCTATTCGGGCGAACGCGTTGATTGATGGGGGATTCGACTGGTGATTCTACCGCGGCTGCATTGGAGCCCCCAATCTTGAAAGCGTCCCAATACGCCGATAGCGATTGTTCGTCCGTCATGTCCGCAGAGTAATTTCTGTGCACACACGCCCGATTGATCAGCGCTCGAGATACTTGATATTCCAGGTCCACAAAACCACGTACTGTGCCAGCTCCTTCAATCGAGGTGCATGTCTCCAACTCTTCCCAAGACGACCCGAACTGCGCGGTACCAGGACTCCGACCGCAAACATCTTTGCATTGCGCTCGGCCTCCTCTGCGGGCTGATTGAGAAAGGCGCTGATTCCAGCATACTCATCATGGACAAAGTAACTGCCATAACCGCAACATTCAGGTCAGCCCCAATTAAAGGTCATGCGCAAAGTGCGTGGTTCACATTCGGCGAGATGTACTCACATCAGGTCCTCTTGCACATTATGCGATCCTGAAGGCAATGATTTGTACTCCACCACCCCCTCGATCTCGACTGTCCCCGCAGCTGTCAGCATTTTGCGACAATGGATCGCGCAGAGCTATCGTAGAGCGATCGCAGGGGTAAATGGTAGGACTCCTCACCTCCTGGGACAGTCCTCTTCCAAGAGATCACATATCTGTAGATTGAAATGTGTGTCAGCTCTCCACCATGCCTCTTCTTTTCGAAGGCGGATGGCAATCCCTGACTTACCCGGTCCTGATGTCGAAGCGGATGACGAACAAGGCCGCAATTCCTGGAGGGGACTCCATAGCAGGGCGCGGAATCTCGATCGCCGTAGGTTTCCTGGTCATATCGGGTGGCATTTTGTCAGGGAGCTATGGGCAGGGGCGCCATCTAAAGGAGCTCGGGGATTTACGGCCAGTCGGCTGGCGAGTCTCTTGGAGAGTCGGGGAAGGCGGGAGATCAGAGACGGAATGCGGAGACCAGCTGTTCCTAACTTCCTACCGCGGCCATTACGTCGGCCACTGGCACGAGCTTGAAGCTAAGCCGCTTCAAGACAGACACCTTGAACCAGAGCGATGGGACACTTCCAGCACTACTAACAGTAGTACCCGCCTCTGATCAATTTCTTTGCATGTCATTCTCATGATGCTGCACGCTATGAATGCACCGACTGACCTAGGTCGCAAATCGAATGTGTTGATGGCTGAGCTCCGTGCCGCTCCAGTGGCTGAGACTGTCCGAAGCTATCCACAGTGCGGCGTCGGAGGAGACATCCTAACAGGCAATGTTCATGAGTCACACGTACAAGGAGGAGAGTCGTCGACCTCTGTTACCGAAGACATTCTGCGCGTTGAGATGTTATTTGGATCCTGAAGACTCAAGAGTATAGGAGTCAGATGAAACAGCTTGATAAATTTCACGATGTGGTATTATGAGCTCCGGCCCCACTTTCATTATCATCTTCGAGGGAACAGCACTCCTGGATTGATCTTCTCGAAGCTCCCAAATGCATCGCTGGCCCCTGCTTTGCCAAACCTTTGAGTAGATATTGCCTCAAAGCCACCACAGACTGGAGATTAACCCAATCTCAACACAATTGAGCATTGCTCCGAAGCCAGGTTTGAAAGTAGGGGCTGATCAACAGTGGAACGCCCTCTCCCTCATGGTCAAGATTTGAATATACACAATGGAGAACACGTTGCATTCTCACCCTTATTACCCTGTTGGAGCCTCTATTGCAGGGTACTCTCCAAATGAAAGCTCATTGATTGAACTCCTGGTCAAAGCTGGGGGAGGTTGCACAGCCTTACTAGGGCTTACATTCATCCTTGTCTCGTACGCGCGACCGAGATTATGTCTCCACGATCGAATGGCGATCCTCTGGTTCATGTTGTGTATGTGCCACCTCTTCGTGTTTTCGGAGTAAAATGCTACGGTGACCGATATCCTTGGATCGGATTGTCCAAGAAGTCATCGAACCGAGGCTGACTGCCATTCCTTATGTAGCTGGCACCCTGCACTGCTTCTTTGAGGGATACTTTATGGTCAACCATCGAGAGATGGCCTCGGCTCAGGACCTCTTTGGTCAGTTGTGGAAAGAGTATGCGCTCTCTGATTCACGATACATGACATCAGAGACACTAGTACTGTGCATGGAGACAATGACTGTGGTATGTCTTTTATGTCCTTTATGAGTCAAATTGAAAGGAAAGCCGATCGACAGGGCGAGGCATGAGCAATGATTATGAATATGACTTTGCAAGGACCTCAAGCTGGAGTTGGATGAGAGTTTGCAAGGCTGGTCTGACCTGAGTCTCTATAAACAGTTACTGTGGGGGCCACTCTGCTTCTGGGTGGTCACTCTGATCATCACGCAAGATTCTCTGCGCCATCCCATTCAACTCCTAGTGTGCATGAGCCATCTGTATGGCGATACCTTGTACTATGCGACCAGTCTGTTTGACCACTATGCCCACAACATATCATACAGCCGGCCTGAGGGCTACTACTTTTGGCTGTACTACTTTTTCATGAACTTGATCTGGATTGTCGTGCCATTCTGTGAGTCAAGATCTAAGAAAGCAACTGTGTGCCAGGGCCGGAGGCTAAACATTGAGGATGAATACACGAGCAGACTATCTGGCTCAAAGTATTCGAACTTTGTCGACAGCCGTTCGATTCCAGCAGGAGTCTGTGGCCCGTTCCAAAACCCGTTAGAACCAAGGCCAGGATGATGCGCTTCTTTGAGCGCAAGCGGAGCGTGTGCTCTAGGGAACATATACATCAGAAACCTGGGTATTCTCCATCGAGCTAGAGGCTCCCGGACCAGCCCACAAGGAGGAGGATGGATGTGCGTGATGAAGGCTTGTCACTCCAGAGAGATGATGAGCCCTACATCAAGGCCCATAAGTCTCTTTTTTCGGAAGAGCTGGAGGTGCACAATTCCGAAGTCGATCTTTTTGGCGAATCACTCCAGCGGAAGTAGCTTCCAATTTATACCAAGTATTGAGGAACAACATGCCTTACGTGAGCCTATATAACTAGGGAAATGGAACTTAACCCCTCATATCAACGTATCATACATAACGAGATACCTAATGAGAGAATGGATTTGAACTTTCCTCTTGGAGCATGGGGTAGTAGTCCACCAAGGCATCAGATTACCCATTAACTATCGATTGCTAGCTATCAGACCAATTCCCGCCCAAGGAGAAGCGAGCATACAGGATATTGCCTTCCTACCCTTATACTATATCACCGGAGTCAAGGTTTCAGTTAGGAATGTCGGTAAAAAGCCCGGCCACCCCACGGACCAGCCTGGGCAAAGTCCGGAAATGTCTTCCACGGCATGTGGGAAAATTGAGTGACGGCCGTTTAGCAGTCCACATTCTTTGCCCTGCCGGTTCTGAATACCGCTGCCAAAAAGCCATCTGGACAGAAGCCGTGTGGTCGCCCCATAAACGGTCAAGTGGCCGGGCCTTCTCGGCCACTGTTTCCACCGTTTCCACACCAAAATGACCTCCACCAAAGGAAAGATCATCGAGCTGGGACCACCACATATGCTACTAGCCCACTACTACAGTACACTCTTCCAGTCAGGTACCGGACCTGACATGGACCACAAGTTAGGTACCACAGGGAGCTCACGGAGCTTAGTAGTACTAGGTCAACATCAGCCACTCGTCAATCCAAAAGTTTCATGGACCACCTCGGGACAATCTATTACATTGCGACAGATCTTTCAGACTCTCAGAACTGAGACCAATGGTCACGTCTCTCAAAGTCATTTTCTCGCGGAGCGCTGGAGTAGTGTGTGTCTCTTTCACCGCTGAATGCTTCAGCGGCCTCTTCGCACTCGAACCACATCATCTCGAGCCAGGACGCTCCACAGCTCACAGGGAAGTGGATGTCAGTTGCTAAGCTTCTCGCCAACGAGAGGAATTGCCGTGACTAGTGTGGCTCCTCTTCCGTCATTCACGACGCCGAGCAGCAGGAGTGGGTGGATATCAGTGGAGTCTTGCGGATGGGCTTATTCGACTCCTGCAGTGCGTGGAGCAAGCAGCATCCTTGAAAACAGCGAGAGAACCGCTGGATTTGAACATTCGTGGGTTCGCCTCTCTTGTTCTTGATATCTTAGTCCAACGTGAAACAGGACTCCTTTCGTGAATGTATCTCGAGCCACTTTGTCAATGCCGGTCAGGTACCGGTTTGACGTCCGGGCAACTAGGTAGTCTGTTAGTACCTAACAAAACCAAGTCCCAAGCTTCAGGATTGGATCAGGCGGAACAACCCTTGCAGACGCGCACAACCAAAGTCGAATGCAAGTACTGATCAGAAGGTGCTAGAGCATCGCTAGGGAAGAATTCAATTTCTGTGCAAAATACCGGACCTCTTTTTGACCCAGCAATCAGAGGTAAATGCTACCGGTATTATCCACCCAGGATCAAGACCACTCTGGGGTTGTCAGGTGAGCTGAGCCTGGTATACACTATTGAGGCAACTACAGTCAACTGGACGCGATAAAAGCTTCATACGATAGCGCCAGCCTATCTGCCATAATCACATGCTGCCATCCATAGACTCGTAGTCTTCCACGCTTGTCGGGAGATATTCAATCCCAAAGGAATTCCGTACGTCTCGAGAGCTTGAGCTTGGCGCTCGACCGCGGCCTGAGGCGGGCCCCGTGTCGATCGACATCGACGGTTTCCCTGGCAGCGCCGCCTTGCTCAGGCGCTGGCTTATCGGCAGATCAGACCCTCATGGCCCCGGACCCAAACCCCCCGTCGCCCGCTCTTCATCCATCTTGTTTACATCTGTGCACTTGCCCCTCCACCGGGTTCATGTCTCTCCAAGGTTGTCCGCTCAGGACCCCAAGTAGACACTCTAGCGAGTCGAAGGCGTGCGGCTTTCGTGACCTTTCCAGGTGATCGATTCTCTGTGGTACGTGTGTGTGTGTGCCCGCACAGATAACCCGCGATCCCGCGATATCTATCCCCCGACCGATGACGAAACCATCCTCCAACAACCCCCCAAACAAATATTCGCAGTGAGAAAGGGTCGGAGGAAAGAAGATTCACCGCGAAGCCACATCGAATCGATGATATCTGCTCACACGTTACCACCGTGCTATAGATATCCATGCCCGCTCTCGCTACGCCAACACGCCCCTCCAACCGGGGAGGGAGTGTCAAAGCATCGCCGGCGAAGCCCCTGGACATTGGACAGCCGTTGGGGATCCACGACACGAACACGGTTCGCTCCCGTGTGCGCCAGTGGCAACAACAAGGTGGTGGGGTGATTACCATCAATGATGGAACGTATGATGACGATGGAGATGAAAATCAAAATCAGCCCAGGCCACTACCTGCTTCCGCCAAAGCGAAACCGGATCAGGTAGAAAAGCCCGACACGGAGAAGGAGCGCGCAGCGGAGAATGGCCTGGACTTGGAAGCGCGGAAGGAAGAGAAAAAACCCAAAGAAAAGGACAAGGTACCCGCCGTTCGCAAACGAAGTCATAGTACTCCTCGAAAGCGGGTGATTAGCGACGAGCATTGGAGGAAGAATCGATCCTCGACGCAGACACCCTCGCGCAATCTACCGGCGCCACGACGAATCAATGAGTATACGACAAATGGCGGCGCTGGGTCACCACGGGCCAGGAGAGAGATTCATAAAGATGTGCTGGACAAAACGCGGGACCCGCCCAAATTCAAGCACTATCGGATTCAAAATGGCTCCCCACCGACGGTGGACGAACGAAGACATTCCGCCAGTAGAAAGGATGTCGACTCCGTCACCGACAGCGAATGTGCAGGAGAGCATCCTGGTTCAGTGATGGCGTCAGAGATGCCGAGCGACATGTCCAAAATCACGAGTCTTCCCGAAGACACGGAGTGGGCGAAGAGTGAAGCCGACTTTACGGAGCTTTCTCGACGACGCGCTCGAGGACCTTCCAAACCTCCGAAAGGAGGCATTTTCGCGCACATGCTGGACGAGTCTCGAAAAATGTTCAAGCTCCCAGAGCCAGAGCCGCCGAGGCCAACTCCCCCCCGGCAGGGACGAGGGGAGCGAAAATCGAAGCCTGGCTGTCGGAAACACCCGATCCATTTGTCGAAACTAATAATCCGAAGACTGACATGCCTGGACCCCTGGATATTAAATCCGCACGCGCGAGGCGGTCCCAGCGGATTGTGGACGAGATCGCGACAAGCAATCCCATGTCAGATATTTCTCACGATAGTGAGGCTCGCCCAAAGAGCAGTGGTTCGAGACCAAAAAGCTCACATAGTCGACATTCCACCCACTCGGAAGGGTCTTGTGCAACGAAAGATGATGGTCGGGCGCCTCAAGGAAGCCATGCGAGTAGTGTTGAGAAGCCCCTCGCGCTCAGAATCCGGCGTGACAAGGAGAAGGCACATGAACCCTCAGAAATAGATAGCTTGGCACCGTCCGAGTCAGACTTTCAACCATTCTCCGACGGCGGTTCTGAGGTTTCGGGGAACAACGCGCCTGTCCCAGTTGGTCTCAAGAGACCATTTCCCAGCACGGGGCTACACAGATTGTCTACAATTGCATCGAGGGATACACTTAGCACTCTGCCTGAGGAGACCACTGTTTCGGAGAAGGATCCCGCGGAGCAGAAACGTCCCCTTACTGCCGAAGAAGCTGAAGAAGCCGCCGAAAAGGTGGATCACTTTGATCCCAATTCCTTACCCGGGGTAACGTCACAACTTCAGCGGCGCCTCACCACACATAAAGACCTCATGTCTGTCCTCTCTGTGTCCACTTCCAGGGGTGGCAGTACTCGGTCCCGCAGAAGTGTGCGCTCCAACAGGAGCCGTATAGCTCACGCCACCATTTCTGACCTCTTGGCTGAGCTTCGTGCGGACGAAGTCAAGTATATGCGTGAGCTGAAGACTCTAGTCGGTGGAGTAGTCCCGGTCTTGCTCACTTGTGTACTTTCTCGGTCGGACTCGGCCATCGCAGCAGGATTGTTTCGACCCTCTTTAGACCCCAAAGATGATCTCAACTTCTCGAAGCCAATAGTGAACATGGGCGTCGCTACGGAGCGTCTCAAAACTCTACACAAGAGGATCCCCCAGGAAGACGTTGATGCTTTGCTAGCATGGGCACAGGGTGCTCAACGGGTATATCGTGAATATTTAAAGGCATGGCGGCTCGGGTTCAAAGATGTTATCGTCAACTTGGCTCCCTTGGAAGAGGGTGACGTCGATGGCAACGCTGACACGAAAAGTTTGGATGAAGGTATGGAGCGCGATGACCAGGGTGACATCATTGGCGCCAATGGCGAGAAGGTGGATGTCGCCTATCTGCTGAAACGGCCTCTGGTGCGCTTGAAGTATCTCGCCAAAACCTTCAAGGGAATTAACAATTTACAGCCATCCGCAAAGGCTGAGGATATTGCTACGGCTTATGCGTCACTAGTGGCCGAGGCTCGCAAGCGAGCGCGCGACGAAAGAGCACGGCTAGAAGACGAATCTGCCGCGAGTATTGATCCAACCCGAGCCCGAGATCCGATGACATTAGGCCTGTCCAGTAATGTTGTCGTCGACCAGACTCGTCGCGTGCGAGCCCGCGATTTCTTCAATCTCTCTTTCTACCACTCAAGCGGCCAATTGATTGACTGCCGGGCTGAACTTCTTTACCGCGACAACACATCAAGCAATGGCCCAGGCGGAGATTTGCTGATATGTGAAATTGACCATTCTGAGCGATGGCTCCTTTTCCCACCAATGGATCTTCGATGCGTGTCTGCTCGGGTTGGAGACAGCAAGGGAGAAATTGTTGTCATGCTCCGTAGCGCCCCCGAAGATGAAAGATATTGGCAAGAGTTGATATCTCTTCGCATTGACGAAGTCGACATTGTTCTCGAGTGGGTATCATTATTGGGACAGGATCCCATTCCGCCCGCTCTTTGCAGAAGCCAGAGCTTCATCAGTCGGGCCAAGCAGCACAAGTCTCGTCGGTCTGATGTTGCCGATTCGTCACCGCGTGCCAACAGCAGTGATGTCGAAGTGCCGATTGGCGAGAAGGTAGCCAGAAAACGGCGATCGCTTACGCCAAAGGATCACACAACATCTTCAAACATCTCGACCTCCTCCGTTACAGACCTTAGATGCTCTGTGCTTTCGGCAACCTCTCACGAAACGGAGAACTCCACAATTAGCGATGACACCGCTAGCAAAGGCACGACACGCCCTGGTCTACCACAGCTGCCTTCGACCATGTCTGAAAAATCTGTGGGAGCATTGAAAAGATCCAAGGCCAAGAGACATTCACGACATGCCGACAGTCCCAATCCAGGGACATCATTGCCCCAGACTGGTCACATTGCGCAGCCTACGGATGCAGGCCTGTCGGTGCAAACACGGTTCTATGGGAATGGGGCCAATACCCATGAGACCACTTCGGTCAAGGAGACCACGCCCAAGAAGGCAGCTCACGCCCCACGCCCGCGAGAATCGCCAGAAAAAGAGTCTCCCCGAGTTTCCTCGACACCTTCTGCATACCTGCCAATGATCCCCAAGATTCGCAGCAGTAGCAGCCAAACGCATTTGTCTTCTCCATCGACGCCGACGCATGAAGAAGAGGAAGATTATCCTCCTCTGGACGCACTGCCGGAGTCACCGGCCTTTGAGACTCCTAGCCGTTCCGAGAGGCGAAAGTCGAGACGCAAGTCTAAACATGAAGAATCACCTCCTCCGCCGCCCCCTCACCGCACCCCCAGCTCCTCTCCAAACAAGCTCTCCAACAGTCCAATTCTTCCTGCGTCAGGCCACCGAATCAAACGCCGTGGCTCTTCCCCCCTGAAACACGAATATGAGCCATCCACTGCATCTGATTACTCCGAGACGGACTCTGAGGCCTCTACTGTGCGACACTACACATACTCTTCCTCCGACAGCTCTGAATCAGGAAGTGATTCGGCATCTTGCTCATCTTTCTCAGACGATGAGGAGGACGAGATTGAGCCGCCGAAGCCTGTACTTCCACAGCCAAGTGCTTCTGACGCGAGCTCATTATCACCTTCCAATTCGGTCTCTCAGGGTGGTTACCGGACTGTCCCGCTTCAGCCAACAAAGTCGACCAAAGCCCTTGCAACGGTGTTTGCCTGGTCAGACAAGGGGAGCTGGGATAGTCTGGTGCCGGATGAATGCTCGGTTGTCGTCAGTCCAGGTCTGATCGAAGCCTTCAATGTCGGAAATGGCATGAATCCAAGCGCCCCTGATCGAGCCTATCCCCATCTGAAACCTGTGATCTCAATGGAGCTTACGCCTCTGGTACCGATCCGTAGGGGTACCGCAATTGACATAAGCATTCGTTCACCCCCGACTGACCGGTCGAAAATGACGTCGAGCAACAACATTATGTTCCGCTCCCGAAACCCCGATGAGTGCGATGCCCTTTACAGCCTTATCAATCAAGCTCGACTGAACAATCCAACATACATCGCCTTGCAGAACGCACGGGGTCCAATGTACGACAACTTCGTGCCCGACTTTGAGCAGCCCACCGAGAAAGCCGCGAGCAATTGGTTTGGATTCCCTCGACGTCGAAAGAGCTACCGCGCGTCTGACTCTCCTCGCTCTCTTGCCGAGGGTTCTGAAAGTAGCGTTGGTACCATGAGCAGCGCCTTCTCCGCGCTCAAGCGCTTCCGTGGCGGAAGCAAGATGTTCAATATCTCGCGGTCGACAGTCATTTCACGAAGTGGCCGGGAGGACAGCCTGTACTCCAGCTCTGGCGCTTCTTCCGATCCATCGCCATCGTCGGGAATTGGCCGCATCGCTGCCGCAATTAAGGGCGCTGACGGGATTGGTCTGTCGAACGCGAAGATTCGTCTCTATCTGCGCGAGACAGCCTCCAAATGGCGGGATATGGGTGCGGCAAGGTTGACAATTATGCCTGCACCGCCCAAGAACTCTCCCTCTCGACCAGGTACCGCTGTCAGCTCTGCCACTGAAGACTTGAAGGACGACAGGGAGGAGAGCGCGTCGCCCCCCAGTTCTGGCGCAACCACTCCACGCCGTGATGCAGAATCTGAGAAACGTATCATTATTCGAGGCAAGACGCGAGGGGAAATCTTGTTGGATGTCTGTTTACCCGAGAGCTCTTTTGAGAGGGTGGCACGCACTGGGATTGCCGTGTCAGTCTACGAGGAGAACGAGGGAGGTGTGATCGCCAAGCAGGGTGGTGTCGGTACCGGTACGCAGCGGATTTACATGCTTCAATTGAAGTCTGAAGCCGAAGCTGCATATACCTTTGGTCTTGTGGGTAAACTGCGGTATTAGGTCTGCCGCACGTGAGCCCCAGGCGGGTGTATCCAGGTAGGACTTCGGCATTAGAGATACTCTGGAGCTTTGGATTCCAGTTGAGATGACTTTATCGGAGCAACTTTTGATGGCTCCGAGATTCCGTCTTTGCTTTTTTTCTCTTCTCATTTCATCGAACATACTTCCATTCTTGTGCCTCATGTTCTTTGGACTATTTCACTCTGCGGGCAATTTGCAGGTGAATACCAGTTGGCATCGCATTCTTCCTTTCTGTCTTCCTATGATAACCCCCCTTGTTTTTATTTCCATGTATACTTTTTATCTCGGCCATGTTGCCCTGCGTGCTAAAGTAGGTAGATCTGAAGGAATAAGATGATTTTTCGAAGTCAGCACTAATTAGCTTGTATTCCTCCAATTTTCTTTCGTAATGGTATGGGGTGGCTCCTCTTTCTATATGCTCAGACTATTGTGGACTTCATACGACCATGTTACCAGCTCCATCTTTATGAGGAATTCTCGCTTGTAAGATTGTGCAAAGTGTGGCAGGGTCTTCAACCCTTCCAAATCATACATTCATAGCTTTGAGCAATCGGGTATATCACCTGTGTTCTAAGAACGAAAATAAAAGAAACAGTTAACCCAGCCATGTGCCAATTAATCATCTACTACAACCGGCGCGGGACTCTCAACTTGAGCTCCACTCGTCTTCTTGAAGATATAGCCGATCTGATTACACTCGTCCCTGAGCAAATCAACGAGAATATCATCATCGATCGCGGCCGCAATCTCATCAACATCGTCGTCATTGCCGCCAACCAGTAGCAGCGAGGGATCAACATGAGAGTATTGCGCCAGAGATTGATGCATCTTGTCCTTTTGCGACTTCGTCTTGGTCTTGCCGTGCGCGCCGGTCTTTCTTCCACGACGCGCCATTTCGCGGATTTCACGCTCTTGTTTCTCCATGTCCACTTCTGAGGCTTTCATGAGTGAAGAGAACTCCGGTAGACCCTTGTCGTCGTCATCGTCATCGTCTTCTTTGTCTTCTTCTTCTTCTTGATCGGACGGGGGGTCGCTGAGGTCCGAGAGCCCAGAGTCGGCATTTTCCTTGGGCGTCATGGTGCCGGACAGGACGGGTGCAACGCCCTTGCCACCGCAATCACATCCCAACAGATCGTGTGTTTGACAGGCACTTTCCTCATCAAGGCGGAACAGATCGCGCAGTTCAGCCGTTGAGAATTGCGACACGCTATCCTTGTGCTCCATGACACTGTCAGCAAGACCCAACTTGGTCACTTGGCGCTGCCAGATCTTTTCCTCCAGGCTACCCTTGAGAACCACACGATATATACGACAGTGGTTCTTCTGTCCATCGCGGTGTATGCGAGCCATCGCTTGAATATCAGTGGCTGGATTCCAGTCCACGTCAAAGAGGATCAGACGGCTAGCGCCTATGAGATTCAGACCGGTGCCGCCTGCCTTTGCGGACAGCAAAAATGCAAAGCAAGCATCTGCCGGAAGACGATTGAAATCATCAACAAGTGGCTGGCGTTTTTGTGCAGGAGTACTACCGTCTAAACGAAGGAACGGGAGACCGAGAGACGTGAGTAGGGTTGCGAGGAGTGTCAAAGTTGATGTGTAATTGGATACAAGAACAATCTTTTCGGACGTCTTTGATCGCAAGCTGTCGAGGATCTGATCTAAAACGCGAATCTTGGCGCTTGCAGAAGCAGATAATTGCCGTGCAAGCTTTGGAGGAAGAGAGGATATTAGAGCGCTGATTGTTTCGTTCGGTGAGTCATCGGTGTTCGTCGCGGATAGGAGTGAAGGACTGTTGCACAGCTTCTTCAATATAGTGATCAGTTGCAGCGCACTTTCGGCATTGCCCATTGCGGTTTGGAAAACCGGTGATTGAAGCACGGCTTTGTATATATTGACCTGGGTACGGGTCGGTTTGCAGAAGAGGACGTATTCAGACTTGGGCGGGAGATACTTGGACAAGATATCGGCCGTCCTGCGAAGAATGAACTTGGACGTCAGTTCTCGAAGGTCCTCGCTCCGAGACTCGCCTTTCTCAATGTCTTTCTTCGTAGCCTCGGGTTGTCGACTTCGTACAATGGGAGTTTCAAACTCTCGAATGAAAGACTTGAAGTTACCCAGAACACCAGGATTGACCAAATCAACAGCCGCGAAGAATTCCTTCAGATCATTCTGAATGGGGGTTCCAGACAAGATCACTCTCTTCGCGGCATTGAGCGACTGGATTGCCTGGCCGCTCTTGTTCTGCAACGTTTTCAAGCGATGTCCTTCATCTGCGATAACAATGTCGACGCCAACGCCCCTGGCCAAGCCTTCCTGCACAGTCCTCAGCTTCTCATAGCCCACAATCATGATACTGTAAGCTCTTCCTTTCGTGAAGTCGGTGAGACGTTTGCGCTTGTCGTCAAAAACGAATACGCCAATTCTCTCGTTGCCGAGCCATTTGCGAAATTCCTTTCGCCAATTGTTGATGAGTGTCACAGGGCACACAATCAGTGCCTTTTTAATAACAGGCGCCTCTCCGTAAATGGGATTCTGCTTGAGCAATGTCCACAGCAGGGCGATGGTCTGCAGGGTTTTGCCTAACCCCATGTCATCTGCTAGGATGGCTCCTTCCCCATTAAAGTCTCGCATGCCCATCACACACTCGTATAGAAATTTCACGCCTTCACGCTGGTGTGGTCGTAAACTCTTCGTAAGCAGCGGATCAACAACAACGTCAACGATCTGCTTGCCGTGGGGCACAGTCTTGGGCCGGGGCATAACCAGGGCTCCTTTGGCGAATGGATCGTGTCTCGGAGTCACCGGTCCAGAACTTGACGCAGAGTTCACATCATTCTGAAGAAGCGGTGTCTTGTACGCCCCCAGTGTCCTTGCGGGCTTGCCTGTGGATGCTCCATCTTTGGTGAGCGAAGAAGTGTAGCTCGGTCCGGTAGGCAACATTCGTCTCTGCGGCTCGTTCCTCGTCATCGTTGGAAGGGATGTCTTCGCAGGGGGTTTTGTTGGAGCGACGGCGGGCTTTGGATCAATTGAGCCTTTTTTGGATGCTAGATATTCCCCTCGTGGAATCTCGGAGTCTATCTCGACCTCTTTGCCGGCAATGTAGAGCATTTTTCCAGGTTCAAGTTCCGCTTCGTATGCCACTCGTCCCATGTCTTTACCTCCAATATCGCGTAAATGTAAGAAGCCTCCCCGCACGGCGATTATTCCGTCCCCATCCCACGTTTTGTTCTTCTTTGCGGTTGGTTTTCGCCTGGATGAAACACGAAGTCAGTCCCGAGTCGTGCCGTGAATAGCAATGGCAATTTCCAACGTCCAAAAACTCACCACAGAGCATTGAAAAACCTCTCGAAGACGGCATCATCGTGAGGTGCCGACTGAGTCGTCGCTCTGCTTGAGTCTTCTTGGCCCACATTTTTGACTTGTGAAAGTGGCTTGCGGCTCCTTGGGGATGATCTCGTCGGCAACAAATATTCACTCTGCACCTCCTCCTTCGACAATCGGACTTTCTTTGCCGGGGGATCAGTCACGTCGTCTGCTTGTACTGATGAATCTGCTTTCCTAATCAGAGGGGGTTTGAAGGGCTTGAAAACCATTTCGACTCGTGAATGATGGTTCTTGATAAGACGCGGGTCAACCAAGCCATTGCGCGTTAATGGGAGCGCGTGATCACATGATCTGGCATCTGCCACTATGAACCTTCCGTAGCGCACCAGAGGGCCGTAACAAGTAGAACGGCACCCTGTCAGTTGGACACGAACTCCGCGACCAGTCCTTTTAAGTTGCCTTTCAACTTTACGTGAAGTCTCATCAATACAGTACGAAAGTGATTTATATGAAATGGAGATTCAACGCTTGCATCAGGAAAAAAAGATTGAAGTTTGCTTTCTGGGAATCAAAAAGGAATGGACTAAATACAGTCATGGCGAGTGTCATTAGAGAAGATATTCAAAGCACCAGATCTGTTCGAAGGGAAAAAGGCCGAGTGCGCCGTCACCATAGAAGGGACCTGCCCGAATAAGAAGCAGTTGGACGACATCTCAACAGTTGTCCTTCAGGCTTTTGTACAATATTGGAGCTCATTTTCATTTTTTTTTTTCACGTTCACGATGCATCAGGTTTGATTTCACTTGGCTTCTTCGGCAAGCGCCTTGTCGGTCAAAGGGATGTGCTTGGGACCCTCGTAGGATCCTTGGCGAACAAACCACCAGGCGGTGATGAAGATTGTGAGACTGCCGGTCATGAGGCTGGCATAGTTCATCGAGGCAGCCTCGACGGGGACTCCGTAAGGGAAGCAGAAGATGACCACGAAGGCCAGGATGTAGATGCAGGACAAAATGTTGACGATGTATCCAACGGTGTTATTCATAAAGAAGAATCCGGGGACAAACGAGGATCGGCGGCTCAAGATGTGAGGGAAAATAGCCATGAAGTAAGACAGCGAAGACAGCTGGACAAAGCAGCCGACAAAGGCGCTGAAGGCAGTGGTTGAGCCAAGGTAGATGCAAGCCAAGACGGTGATGATCCCGCCACAGGCGAGAGTCGCGTTGAAAGGATTGTGGAAGGTGCCGTTGATGCGGCCCATCCACTGAGGGAAAGGAGTGGCGCGGTCACGGGCGAGAGTCCACAAGGTCCGGCCGGCGGTGATATAGCATCCGGAGGAAGTGATCAAGGTCGGGATGAAGGCGAGGATCAGCAGACCGAGGGCACCGCCACGGGAGCCGGTAGCCTGGTAGTAGATCTCGGCCAAGGGGAAGTTATAAGAGCTCGAGGTCACGCTGTCCAAGTCCTGAATGGAATAGAAGATGGCAATCATATACAGAATTCCGGTGGTGAAGCCGACAGCCATCTGGGCCAGCACGGCCTTGGGAATGTTTCGGCTGGGTTGGGGAATCTCCTCGGCCAAGTGAGAGGAGCAGTCCGGTGTGCCCACACTGTACGCACCGTTCAGCATACCCATGACGAACACGAAACCTTGGGAAGTATATCCGGTGCCGTTGCTCCAGGTTTGCCAGATATCCTTGTCGGAACGGTACGCATTACCATTGACATGGGGCATGACGGCGCAGACAATGATGGTGATGAAGACGCCAGACAGGATGAAGAACATGCCGATGTTTCCGATATGCGGCAACCACCGGTTCATGAAGAGGACGATGGCGCAGCAAACCCAGGTGCAGACCAGGAAACCCACAAAGACATTCCAGGTTTGGGGGACAAAGCCCGGGTTCATCAAGGCGTACATGGACACCGTTTGCTGAGACATGATCAAACTCATCGAGGCCGCACCGAGCACCCATGCGAGACAGTTCCACCAACCGGCGAAGAAACCGCATGCGCGTCCATACTTGCCTGCCGTCACCGAAGCCCAGTGGTAGACACCACTGGCTGACGGCATGCCCGATGCCAGCTCCGCAATGGAAGCCGCAACCATCCAGTAACAGACCGACACCGCGATGCTAATAACATTGAACCGAGTGTTAGTTTCAGACTCAAACTTGGGACTTTTTTTTGATGAGACGCGACAAAGGAAGCAAGGGGGGGGGGGGGGGGGGAGATTGCAAGCATCGGTCGTACAATTCATAGATGGTGGCACCCAACCCACCATTGCTCAACGCCGTCACGACACTGCCACCTTGCGCGATCCAGGTGTTACCCGTAGTCACTGCGATAGCACAGATACTGACGAGGGAGAAGTTTCGCTCCAACTCCTGGACGTGACCGGAGGCATTGACCAACTCTCCTTGATGGTCCTCTGCGACCGTCGACTCTGTCGCTTGGGTCTTTTCGTTGTTATGTTCGGCCGACATCTTCTGTTCTATGTTCCACCTGAGGAGGCTTCACTCGTGATCACACTCGTCGAAGCAGCTGATGGCCGAAAGCTGTATCGCAAAGCGGGCCAATCTCTCTGCTTTGGCACAAGCCGACGATGGGACGTGGAATAGACGAGATGATGCTCAAGGGCTGGGGAGACACGATCCTAAAACAACACGAGGGGATCGATCGAGAGTAGACGAGGCGAGCACGACGGTCGAGGTTTCTTGTACCTCTGTGAGAAAAGAGCGGGAGCAGGGCAGGGCCGTGTAATGTTATTATTATATAGGATCGTCACCACATCGATCGACTTTTAGTCCGGGCAGGCATGACTGCGGGCCCTCCGAGCAGTTGGCAGTTGGCAGTTGGCCCAGCGGAGCATCTGCCAACCACGGCCAGTGTGAGCCCATCATCTCGAGCATCTGGTGCAATGAGAATGGAATGTACACTGGCACACTAGTAGTCTAGTCCAGTGGAATCAGTAATAATGTATGGAAGTAGTAGTGTGGAACAAGAAGAGAGACTCTCGAACTCTCGACATCTGCCCCCTTCCGGGACCGCGCCCGCGTCCCTCCCCCCACAGCGGCCTTTTGGCCACTCTAATCGATTAACCTCCCCCCACTCGATCACCAAATCAACTGCTGTCTGCCCGTCGTGAGATCCACCCGGGGCCAGTTATCTCGAGCGACACGGCGACGATTGGGTCTGCGAGTGCACCACATTGAACACCACCGTGGCACTAGTCATCTCGACCGAATCTAACTTCGACGGAAGGTTTCCTCGGCGTCCCTCGACGTGCATCGACGCCTTACCCAGAAGGGGAGCTTGAGCAGACTGAATTTTCTGCCGTTCGGCAAGGTGCATGATTCGCTCGACGATGTTCGATATCGAAACAGAGAGAGGGAGAGAGAGACCCTCTCCAATCCTCAGGGCCAAAGGATGACTCTGACCGTGACTGCCTCTTCAGTCGCGGCGACCTGAATGTTCGGTGAAGGTCTCGGCAAGGTCTTCGTCGGATCCTGGAGACAGGGACCAAAGACCAAACAAGATATCAGAGCATTGCCTGTGCTTCTTCCTGGGACCCGCTGTTCCACCCTCTCTCTACACTCTACTGTACTACTCTCTGAGTCTCTACAGTACATGCTCTCGTGGTGGGCGAGCTGTGGGGAGGTCTGGTGGAATTGATCGTCTGTTTGTGTACTGTTTCCGGGATGCTCATGGACTTCCAGGTAAACTTTCCCATGTCAGCTACCATTATCAATATCCCTACTTCCTGGGACAGAAGTGATATGCTTCGCCACGTGCGGTGCAGGGAACATTAGACTTGCCGCAGAGAGCAGGCCTCGTTGAGCCCGGCTGATGATGTGGCAAATGCCCTAGAATGGGAGAAATGCTTCCGCACGAGCATCTAGCGCCAAACTACTAGCACTAATGCTGCAACCAGCATTCCTGCAATGTCCCTTGCTGCATGACCCATTGACAGGCTAAACCCATCCGAGACAGGACTCCTGGCGGATTCAAACACGACGGGCTTGCACAGGCACCCTAGTGACCTACTACTACTACTACTACTACTACTACTACTACTACTACTACTACTACTACTACTACTACTACTACTACTACTACTACTACTACTACTACTACTACCACCACTACCAAAACCTCTCACTCGTGGAAGAGGCAACCTTGGAGCAATCTGTTACGTGAACTGTCACTGTATTCGAAAGGGGGAACGGTTGTCTATGATCGATTTCTCGATCCTGGGTCCTCGGCGGGACCGAGACTGGAGTCGCATGCATGAGCTAACGCATTGGAATGCTTCACATGTTCCCCATTTGTCATCTTTCAATCAGGGCTCGGAGACGGGGATGTCTCACCAGCGAGAGGGTCGTCTGAGCTGAGGCCCTCGGGCAAAGCATCACGGAGCCACCGAGGAAGCTTTTCCGGAGGGTCCTCTCAACTTTGTCATGCACGGCTCCTCCGGTTCTGAGATTTGCAACTATTTGAAGTTACGAGACTGGGCTCCCGTCATGGTTGGGTTATTGCTAGAGGCCGCAGTTGGCTACTTGCAGTACTGCGAGGCTAGACCTACTACTACTACTACTACTGGATTTTCTCTTCTAGACACCTCGTTTACCAGTGGACATCACCGGGAACGAAGGCCGAAACCCGCGATCCAGATGCCCTGCATACACTGTTCTTTACGGGCATCTGAGAAGCCGTACCCATTACGTCCAGTATATGTCTGCATGAGTTCCAGAAAACCCAACCTCCTCCAGCCGTGATATGAGAGAAAAGAGGCAATACTAGCCCCGGGCTGGAAATTGCGCCGTTGGACTATCATTACTATGCAACTTCTCGTCCATAAGCGTTGACTGGATAGACGGACTGCAGGTTCACAGCAACTACACCATGAATGTTCAATGTACACCTACAGAGATTTTGAATCGAGTTTCATCGATACCAAACAAACCAGTGGACGGTTCGTCCGTATCGTAAGCGAGCTTTGGCGCTCCTGACACTTCGAACTCGCTTAGCGATGGTGTCAAACGTTCAGCCCGACGCATTTTTGTGGCTGAAGAAGAAAGATGGCGTGTGTGTAGGAGACATTGAAGAAGACGAAAAGAGAAGGCGAGTAAAAGAGACATGATCAAAAAGAATCTAGCCCCTCCACACGCCCTCTCACTACAAGACAAGTGTACTACTGTACATCTGTTAGTTACCAGTTAGTGACCTAACGCACTAATCTTCGTAGATTAGATGAGTGCAGGATTCAGTGGGCGCAGTGGAGGAACAGATTGGGCTAGAGCCCACCACTAGCTTGCCAAGACCTCGGAGAACAATAAACACGGAGCCAATTGTTGTCCGATGCGCGGTTCTTTTTCCTCCTTGGAGGGAGCCACTTCTTGGGGGGAGGTCGGAAATAGAAAGAGAACCTTTTCGTTGCACTAGACTCAACCTGGATAGTCTGGTCACTTTGGGAATCAAAAAAGGAAAAAGACAAATTTGACCAATATGACGAAAGTTTAGCGAGAGAATAAAAAAAAGTCGACTTCATCTCATTGTTCCCGCTAGCCCATATCGAGATATTGGTTCTTTACCAGATCCATGCCCCGGCGCTTTCGGACACGGACCTGTCAAACCCGATCCCCTGAGCTCAACGAGGACTGTACCTCTGTTCATTTTCGGAACAGATGTGACTGACACACGGCCGGGAGTGAGTGTCCGTGGCATTCGTACCTCGGCGTCCGACTCCTGTCCAACTGGGAAACCATGCGAAAAATATTGCACAATGTCCTTGTGAGTCCTTTGTGTGTCTCCAACGGTGGGTTCCTCCGTCCTTCGGCGAGACACGCAAAATGATCTGCACCTTCCCTCCCATCAAGATTGGTGATCCTCCACATTGCAAGGCAGAGACGGGCTTGTACCCAAGGTTCGTGATATGAGGATCAGTGGCCCGCGAGCCAGCGAGAGAACGAGATGGCAGTGTCTTGACTCTTCAGTGCCTCACGTCTGGTGTGTACGGTACAAGTCAGAGAGAGCTATGGACGTGCCGAACGGGCGGGCCCAGATCTGCACAAGGAACCATGGGTGAGAGGAAACGTTGTTATTGCCACGGCCCTCTTGTTGCTCTCAGCCGAGAGCTCCGGTTACATCGAGGATCCGGAGAAGAAAGCGACCTGCTTAGATGAACGCAGCCGTGGGACTCGTGCGACTTCCGAATGCGGGAAAGACAGGCGCTCCACCATCGGGTCCACCCCGATACCTTCTTCTCCACAAGCAGCGACGGATCACCCCCGTACGGAGCAGGGATTCTCGTGCTCACTGAAGGAAAATCGCTCACATCGTAAGACTTGTGATCCCGTGGTGTACAGTTGCACATCTGCGTCTCCTTGGATGGGGCCCGGCTCAGCTGTCTTGTGCTCGATTACCGCTGGATGATGAAGCATCGTTGCCCAGTAGATATTTATACCTTGGACGGTTTTATGCATAGTTCGAACGCTTCTGAAAATGAACCGCGAGGAAGTTTTTGTTCGGGACGGGAGCTTCGCAGGGAGATCCACTTCGTATGTATGTACTTCCAGCTGCGCCATTCTTCGGATAGAATTGATCGTATAACTCTACTCCGAGACTGAGATTGTCGCAGGATCCGAATCACACAGGTGGAAGGGCGTCCACGACGGAGCTGCGTACCAAAACATTCTAGCTCCAGCTTCGCCCGGCAGACTTGCTCTTTACTCGTGTGCATCGTGAGAAATGACGGATCTCCTTGCAGTCTTCCACAATGAAGTCACAGGCGTCGTCAGTCGCCCAAGCTCTAATCTACATCATCTGTTACGGGGGCTACGGACACAAGAGGATGCAAGTCCGAAGCTACTCCCTCTTCTCCATTGGATTCACGGGGGTGAATCATCCCGTCTTGGAGAATTTCTGCACCTGCTGACTGGATCATGTCAAGAAAATGATGATTGGAAAAGACTGTCATGCTCATCGCCCCACGCACAGTGGGCGAGAAGGCTCCTGTAAAAAAGGTGCAGGGATCCAGTATAGAATTCTTTCGTGGTACTTCCAGGGCCCCCACGCTTCATCCATGGAAACTGCAAAGTGATGTACAGGCTCCAACCTTTTTCTCCGGTGGATGTCCCGTGTCAAGTGGTACCAATGTTTCCAGTACGGGGTCGTGCTGGTCGTGGGCCTGAATGTCAAACATGTCAATTGACTCAATGAACAGGGGCTGTCGAAGGAGGCCGTGTGTCGCGGCACCTCGTGAGGCTGGTGCAGTGTGCGCTATCTGCACGCACCCACCAGTACTACTACCTTCTTTTTTGATGCCGATGAAGAGATGGGTAGATGGATCTAGGGACAGATGGTTTTTGCAACCACGGACATGCAATTGGCTAGATTTGACGCGCCTATCTGGAACTATTCGAGTCGTAAACTGGTCCGCTCGGTCATGGCAATTGACTTTGAACCTGCATGTCGCTTAGATCTGGCCCACGTTCAGGAAAGTAGGTGTGTATGTACTACTATGTAGTTAGTAGTTAACAAGGTTACTCCTTCTGTATGCTGAGTCAGTCATACACCATTTACTCCGTAGCCTTGGTGGGAGGCTTATGAGGTGTTCCAGATGTGGAAGGTCACCAGAACGTCGAAAATGCCTATCTCGAATCAGATGTGCCTGACGTCTCGGGCAACGCAGAGACTCATGGCCCAACCTTGACGAGCTCAAAACGACCTGCGGTCTCTCTCGGATGACTTGAAGGGATGACAGCTCGACGATCTTGATCTCGACCCGTTCAGACCGGGCAGAATGAACATCTGATCGAATTGCAAGTCCGCCTCTTATGAATCGGCCTCCCGAATAGTTCTGTCACTGTAGGTTCCAACCAAGAACAGAGCGACTCCTGTCCAATCTCTTTTTGTCTCATGCAACACCAACCTTTACCGTGGATGGAGCTTGCATGTCGACCCACCGCGGTGGGAGTTCCAATCCTGCACTCCACCCCAAACTTAGCATCACGGTTGGCTCTGATGCGCATGCCAGATGAGAATTAATCTTGGGATTTAATTGTGGCCTGGCTGTAGTAATGTCGGTGGTGCCGCTTTAGTTCCTGAGCGCCACAATCCAATCACCGTGTCGTTCTACTCGACACTGGCGAACTTTCCTTTCTGGCTATTCTTCCAATCTCTCGCTGATAGGATTCGATCTTTCGGTAGATGTGCCCGTGGGCTGAGATGGAGAAACCTTGTCATGGACCATTGATTTCGCCGATTGTCCCGCAGTCAGATCCAGATCCCTCGAGGGTACAAAGATAATTAATACGTTTGAATACCCACCAGCGCTAGATACTTCCCTACACTCGTCATCTTGTCAACTCACCTGTGCTGTTCGTTTGTTGCAGAGTCCCGACGCTTGATGGTGTCGTGATCCGGCGTCTACCACACTCAACCCTGAAGATGTCCGGGCTAGGAGGGGATTTTGGTCGTCAATTTGAGCGCGAAACATGGACCCTTTACGGTGTAGGCGTTCTCGGCGCTGTGCTTCGATTGTAAGTGAACCATGAAGAGATAGGAAGCGCATTGCGATCTGACGAACGACTCGGGAGGGAATGACAACTAATCCTGCGTGATGCGCTCACTCCAGTGTTGCACGTGCTCGACGTCTGGGAATCCGAAATCTGCAAATTGACGACTATCTCATGTTTTTCGCTGTCTTTTGGTACACGGTTCTGAGCGTGGCCTTGACCTCGGTGGCCACCGGTGGAGGATCGAATCTGTTGACACCAGAGGATCTCGTCAACATGACCGACGCGGAACGCAAGGACCGGGTCCGAGGCAGTAAATGGGTGTTTGTCTCTGAACATGCCTTTATCTTGTGCATTTGGAGCCTCAAGGCTTGCATGCTGGTGATTTATTCGCGAATCACGTAGGTCCATCTGTTTTTGGACGTCCTGTCACGCTTCCTCGTCAGTTGCATCGAGCTGACCATTCCATGTTTTCATCCGATCAGTGAGGGCTTGAAGCAGCGCAAATGGATCAACTACATTGCCATCTACGTCGCCTTGGGCTTTGTCGGCACTGAATTATCACTGTTTCTCATCTGTCGTCCCATCACCGATTATTGGGCGGTGCCTACACCAAATCGTAAGTGCTCGGCGTCGATCAGTCTTTTCTGCACATCCTACTCACTTTTGACTCTTTTTTTTTTTTTTTTTGTTTGTTTAGCGCAATGTTCAAACTATCAATATTACGAGATTGTCCAGGGATGCTTTTCAATCTCGGCGGACATCTTCATGCTACTTGTCGCCATCCCCATGCTCATGCAAGTGCGGGTGCCAACGAAACAGAAGCTCATCCTTCTCATCCTCTTCGGCATGGGTATCTTCGTCATTGTCGCCGCCGTCCTCAACAAGGTGTACTGTCTGGTGCCGGCCCTCATTTCCTACGTGTACATGAACTGGTACTTCCGCGAAGCTACCGTGGCCATTCTGGTCACCAACCTCCCGCTCGTCTGGTCCCTCCTGCGCGACGTCTTCCCCGCCCTCAAGAGCTGGACTGGGGGATCGAAGCGAGGAACCGACCGCTATAAGTCCGGGCCCTGGACCAGCAAGAATTCTCGGCCTTACGGTCCACACAGTCAACTTCGCTCCGGTGATTTTGACATGAACACCATTCAGCACAAGACCACCGTGACCCCGCAAAAGACGGCCGATGTTTCGGATATCAGTATCGCGGCGAGTGATGATCGCGACGTTAGCAGCGATGATGGATCTGCTCGAGCGCTGCGGATTCGGCAGGACATTACCGTGACTATTGAGCATGATGCTCGACCTGCGGATGGTCAAGCCCAGGTGGCACAGGATGTTCGGAAACCTCGCGAAAGAGCAGAGGTTTAGGAGTAGTTTCCATGACGGTGGTTCTACTTTCGTTCCATTTCTCTCTCTCTCTCTCTCTCTCTCTCTCTCTCTCTCTCTCTCTCTCTCTCTCTCTCTCTCTTTCTTACTCTCCTTCAAAAAGCTGTACCACACTTATTCCTCTTTTCTTTTGTACATATGTCTATACATTGACCTCTTGGTTGGTTGTCTCCCCATTACTTTGGGATCATCGGGCGTTCCGGTCGGCTTGGAGATACCCAGCCTTTGGTTGTTCATCATAGATACTCTTACCCTACCACTTACTTCTTTCCAACGACAAAAGTACTTTCATTCCCTCTTTCACCCATGACCTACCAGCACATGATCTACGAGTCCAGTTCGCCAAGTAAGAACAGTCCAAATCCCCATCTAAAGTGTCAATGGCTCGGCCGCTTCCTTTCCGCCCCCACCCAAACTCCATACTCGAAGCGAACACATGTCAGACAAAAGCCACCGTTCTGAGCAGACCACCCCATCAAACCACCAGAATCCCGATTCGGAACTCCCAAAAGTCTCCTTGGATAATGTCTCGGGATTCCCTCGTGCTCGCACTAGTTTCACTATTCGACCCGAATCCTTCTGAAAAATTTAAACCCATGTCGCTTAAGGGTAGTTCGCATGTTAACCGGCCCCCTGTCTCCTACCCCCTGTCAGACACTAATGCACGAGTGCAGAACGCATTTACCGAGTCCGAGATGACAGGGCGTACGCTAAGCCATGGTGTGTGTTCGTGTTCAGATATTGACTGTAAGCGTGTGGATTGTGAAACCCTGAAAGTGAACAGTGAACAGTTACCTGTACGTACCGTCGACAGAACCGAAGCAGAGAATTTCAAACAGCCTAGATAGTTCAAGCATGGAACAACAACCTGGACCCTCCACAAATGCATGATACTTGCGCTCTACTCAAAGTTTGCTCCCAAAGAGGTATCAACTTCCACAGTACCTGCTAGAATGTGACCCTTCGAGATCCACTCGGAGCGAAGCTCATCAACTCACCAAGACGCAAAATCCGTCGATGCACGGGTCTGGAAAGCAAAACAAAAGTTTCTGTCCTCCTCATCCCTGATCAATCCCCTCGAAAATATCCGTTTCATCCACGTGTTCCGGGGGAGGGGGGAGCTCACGAGGCTTGGAAGTTTATCGTGTTGGCGTCGTCGAGTCGACTGGGATGTGGACGGCACATGGTGTATTTAGGTTGGGAGGTGTATCTGTCTTTGAGGCTCTGAATATCTCACCGTCACTCAACTGCGTGCGTACTACGGACTTCATGTATAGACCTAGACTAGAGACTAGAGACTGTTCGGGGATGGTTTAGTGTACTGCAGTCTGGCACCTATCTGCTACTATCATAGCAAGGAAGTGCACACAATACGAGGCTCTCATAAGTACAAAGATAGGAAGCTCAGCCAGACAAGAAAGATCCTTCCAACTCCGACGCTCTCGCTCTTGGCACCGGAGAGTAAGCCTTTTTCGAAAAGCGCAATCAATCAATCCATGAGGTGACGGTTCTCTATGGCTCCGTCATCATATTGCAGAATGCTGAGGCACAAATCACATACGTTGTGTCGTACGACGATCCGACCCATTCTAGGAAGACCTCCGAACGACCGAGAATCCTCAATCACGACTCCGGGTGGCATTGAGCCCCCAACTGCCATGCCGCCATCTGGGCCTGGAGGTGTGTTGTCCATGACTCCCCACCATCCAACGCTAGTAAACGAGGCATCCGTGGAAATACTGCGAGTCCAGACTCCCGCAGACGGAGGGAGGTCCACCGTGGAATTAACATCATCCATTCTTCCGGGCCCCACCCGGGCGGTGCCGCTAACCCGCTCGAGAACAGACTCCTGCCGTCGATCAGCTGGGAGACCAAAAGTTGTCCACGGCATCACACAACCCCCATTCACGTTTTCCGATCGAAATGGACGGAAAATTGGGAGATGACTGTGAGGGGTGGACTGCGTTCAATCTGACTGTCAAATTGTCGAATGGGTAGGCCGCACGATTTGATGGAGGGCCCACAAGGCCTCCAATGGGCCTTCCACCCCCGATCGAAATCCGCTCGAGCTGTCGGGGCCGAAGATGGCCCCGCGTCCGAGCCTTGAATCTCTTGCCCGGAATTGAGATCTTGAGAGGAATGCTAGATTGTTTGACAGATGGATTTGTGTACTAGATTACTAGTACTACTACTGTACTCAGTACTGTATTATTGTACAGCCTGCAGCCCTGCACTCTGCAGTACCCGCGATTTTCCCTGTCCCCCCTGCCAAATACAGACGATCAGGTACCGTACCGACTACCGAGTGGTGTGCATCACGGCATAGTGCATCACGGCATAGTGCATAATGCATAATGTATATGATACTGCATTGAGTATTCAGGATTGATGGTACCTGCGAAGTCCTGATAGCTGACCGACCACGTCGGCATATCTGATCAACCTGGGTGATGTTGCATATCTCGACGCTCTACCTTGGCGGTTCTAGTGACAAACCCGCACGTCAGATCTCAAGGTAGATGATGACTGATGGAGACAAATTGGCTTCCAGATTTCCCGGGATTTTCCAAATGTGTTGTATTCCCATCAGCCGTAGAGATGGAAAAGGGTTCCAGAGTTATCACTAAGTTGGTAGTGCTCCCAGCCCCGTCTCCTCGCGCCGAGCTGGTGCCCGATCCAGAACTTCGAGATACAGCCTCCGAGATCGGATCGTGTCTGCATTGACTACTGCCCCCCGGACGACCGATCGTGGCTGTATGTACAATTTCTGAGCACTGGATACTGACAGCGGCTGCGCCACGATTGACGATCAATATCATTCTCTGCAGTTCTACACAACATGATTCCAGATTCCCACGGTATTAACTTTCCCTCTCTGTGGAAATGTCCCCGAAATCGAACCCGGTTGCACAGACGCACGGCACGGCAGAGCCATGGAAGAAAGACGAGGCGCAAGGAGAAAGGAAGGACGAAGCTTTACGCGCAAACCTTCGACCCGCCGCGCATGTCACGCCCATTCAATTCAAATAATCAAATACACCGCATAGGAAAATGAACGCACGGCAAGCTAGGAAAGCCTACCGTAAGATATTCAGCCACGATCCAGGGGATCGCTGATCAACAAGCGTGCTTCGCCCAACTGCATGGGGAACGTGCACTGCATGTTACGGTAGATTGGAACGCAGCTAGATTCGCTCGCTACTTTGCCATCGACCGCCCAGTAAAGTCCAAGTCACCTTATGCTTTGGCGGATCTCCTCGTGATGCGGAGTCAGAAGTAGTTCATTACATTACAATGGGAGAGGAATGATGTGACGTTATGACTTCAATCCTTCATTCATGTGGAGTGGCTCATACTTCGACCATTGAGTTCACAGAAGCAAAAAAGGCCGACATATTATTACATAAGTAGTTCCAAACAAAGTAGGAATGTATCAAGAATCAAAGACCCCTTGAAAACGCCAGAGCAACTCAATCCGTTTTGCTCAACAATCACCAATCAACTCAAAACATTTCATTTCGTTTCATCAAATCATGACAAAGTCATTGTGTCGGCTCGAAAGGTCTTCCAGACCAGAAACACGGCCTGTTTACTCGTCGTAGAGGTCCATATCACCACTGTCATCTTCCATCTCGGCAAGTGCATCGTCCGAGTCGACCATCTCCGAATCTCCATCTTCGCTCTCGCCCAGACCGTGGTTGGGCAACACTTCGATGCGACCATCGGTCATCACCACACGGGCCTCTTCGCCATCTCGAATACTTCCGCGGAGGATGAGAACGGCGAGACGGTTGAGGACCTCCCGCTCGATCAGGCGGCCCAGAGGACGAGCTCCGTAGGCGGGAGAGTAGCCAGCAGCACCCAAGTAATCCTTGACCTCTTCGGTGCAACGAATCATAACGTTGCGTCCGTTGTGCTCGAGACGCTTTTGTACCTCTGACAGCCGAAGATCGACAATCTTGCGAATCTCCCGCTTGGTGAGGCGATTGAAGATGACAGTGCTGGAGATACGGTTGAGGAACTCGGGAAGGAAGTAATCGCGAAGGGCTCCCATCACCTGCTCGCGGACGTGAGGTTCAATACGGCCATCGCGGTCGAGAGAGCGGGTCAGATATTCGGCGCCAAGGTTGGATGTCATCACGACGATACAGTTCTTGGCGTCGACAATACGGCCCTGACCATCAGTAATGCGGCCATCGTCCATCAACTGCAAGAGAACAGTGAGGACCTCCTTGGCTGCCTTCTCAACCTCATCGAACAGCAGAATAGAGAAAGGCCGACGACGAAGGCTCTCAGTGAGTTGACCACCGGCATCATGACCAACATATCCAGGGGGAGCGCCGATCATACGGCTGAGGGAATGACGCTCTTGGTATTCGGACATATCGAACCGGATCATTGCCTTGGGGTCGTCGAAGAGGAACTCGGCCAACGCCTTGGTAAGAAGCGTCTTACCGGTACCTGAAGGTCCACAGAACAGGAAGCTAGGAGGCGAATTGGGATTGGCCAAGCCGGAACGCTGGAGACGGATGGCATTGGACACGGAGGTAACAGCTTCTTTCTGTCCAACAACAACCTTGCCCAGGTACTTTTCCATGTTGAGCAGCTTGTCCTTCTCGGTAGTCTTCAGGCGGGTGACTGGAATACCAGTCCAACGGGCGACAATCTCATTGATCTGGTCAGGGCCAACAGCGTCTGCAAGCAGAGCTTCACCGCCGTCACCTGAAGTGGCACGGCGTTCGGCATCGGCCTTGGCGCGATCAGCCTCCAATCGTTCGATCAACGCTTTGGTTTCGGGGATCGCATAGTATTCAAGGTCGGCAGCGGTGACTGTATCACCGGACCGCTCGGCCTCGTCCCGCTTGACCTTGAGCGAGTCAAGCTTGATCTTGGCATCCTGCACCTCCCGACTGCGCTGCTTCTCACTTTCATACTTCTCACGCATGGGGCGCAATTCCTCGGCAACATTCGCCGCCTCCTGCTTGGCAGCTTCGAGACGGGCCTTGGATGCATCATCTTGTTCTCGTTCCAAAGCGTGGATTTCGATCTGGAGTTGGCGGGCTTTGCGCTCCAGAGTGTCCAGGGCCTCTGGCTCGGACTCACGAGTGACCCGTACGGCAGCAGCGGCTTCATCGATCAAATCGACAGCCGAGTCAGGCAGACGGCGGGCAGTGAGATAACGAGCTGCCAAGGTCGCAGCTGCCACGATAGCGCCATCGAGGATATTGACACCGTGGTGAACTTCATACTTTTCCTTCAGTCCACGGAGAATGGAAATCGTCTCGGGTACGGAAGGCTCCTTGACCAGCACTTGTTGGAAACGTCGCTCGAATGCCTGGTCCTTTTCGATGTATTTGCGGTATTCCCCGAGGGTGGTAGCGCCGATACAGTGAAGCTGTCCACGAGCCAGCATGGGCTTGAGGAGGTTAGCAGCGTCCATACCACCTTCACCGCTTGAGCCCGCGCCCATCAGGAGGTGGATCTCGTCAACGAAGAGAACAATCGTGTCTTTGGAATCCTCGATTTCCTTGAGAACCCCTTTCATGCGCTCTTCGAACTCTCCGCGGTACTTGCTGCCAGCGACGAGAGAGCCGACATCGAGAGAGAGCAGACGGCATTGCGTCAAATTGGCAGGGACGTCGGCGTTGACAATTCGGCGAGCCAATCCCTCGACGATAGTAGTCTTGCCAACACCGGGTTCACCGATCAGAACAGGGTTGTTCTTCGTTCGTCGACTCAGGATACGGATCACCCGTCGGATTTCTTCTTCACGGCCAATGACAGGGTCAATCTTTCCCTCACGAGCCAATGATGTCATATCAATGGTGAATTTCTTGAGGTTCTCATTTTCGCTTTCTGCGTCGGCAGTCTTGGAGTCCACCCGTTTTGTGCCTCTAATTTGCTGGATGGCGGAGTCGATCAATTTGAGGTTGGGAATGTTGGCATCACCCAGGGCACGCTGAACTTGTGAATCTTGGCAAACGGACTGGATGAGGTGGTCGATCGCGACGAAGCTATCTTTTTGTGTCTTTGAGAGATCAGTCGCAGATCGAATCACCTTGGCGAGTTGTGGAGAGACCGCGACGTTCTCAGGTGGAGGGTCTTGACTTGGCAAGCGAACGAGAAGCTTCATGAGGGAGCGGTCGAGTAGTTGAGGGTCACCATGGGCTCGCTCAATAACCTGACGGAAGAGGGGTGTGGAGCTGGCATCATGCGAGGAGTGGCCAGCTGGTGTCTGTTGATCTTTTGACTCGTCGGCAGAGGGGTTGAGGAGTGCGACAGCCAAGTGAATAGGCAAAATCTGGGAGTGGGCGTATTGTTCGGCCAAAGCGCTGGAGTCCAGCAAAGCCTTGTTCGCCCTATCAGTAAATTGAGCGCCGTTCATCTTGAACGGATGTGAGGGGTTTGGACGATGATTAGGTTTGAAGAATGCAAACTAAGGGATAATCAAAGGAGAATGGTGTCGCTTGCTTCGTGAGTAGATGGAGAGGTACTCGGTATTTTGTGTTGCGGAAGAAACCGAATGGAGGGGAAGTGAGGTGAGCTTGGTCGATAATATACTTGGGCTGGAGAGCTGCCCGAAGCTGCTCAGACAATCATGACGCCACTAGTGGGTTCCACCGCCTTCGAGAAGCTGCCAGTCACGTCACTCTGGAGTTTCGCGGGGGTTGTCGAGCCGGGATATTGTCACGTGATTAGATGGCATGATGCCGCGCAGCAGCGAGTGCCAGTACTAACGACTGAGGAGTATGGTGTGATGAAGCACGTCATTTTGGTTTGGGGCTCCCGGTGGTGTCCAGTAAACAAGAATTCAGTCGTGACCACTTGATTGCTGTATAAATTGCCGACATGTTCAATGGGCATGATGGAATTGAAAGAAGGCTAAACGTTGATTGAAAAAATTACGAAGTGGAAGTCTTCTAAGGATATATGTTCAAATGTTTTTCAATCGACTGTCAGGGATGATGTGGGAGTATCTGTCAATTCCATCCATCTCTCTGTAGGTAGATTAATGGAAGCAACCTTAACTCCGCAGTCAAGTGCGTATCCGGTAGAAGACTGCGATATTATTCGAACTGTAGCTTTACCCTGGAATGTCAGTCAGTAGTACGACCGAGGTAACGAGCTTGACGAGCTGAAATCCAAGTATGCTGTAGAATAAGGATCATAAGGTTAAGTCCATTGTAAACCTGATGCCTGTTGCCCGGTTCCGAGTCATTGAGAAGATCAAGGTTCCAATCCGTCAATGTATATAATTGATCGAGATATCACTGGTCACGTGTCTACTTCTTTCAATCCACTCTCTCGTCAACGGCGTTATATATTCTTTATTAGCCATAACAGCAACGGCTACTTGCCACCTGGGTATGTGAATCTCTTCGAACGGGATGCATGCATCGAGCAGACTTACGGAGGAAGCTCTACAGGGGGCAAACTCCTCGTCGACACCCAGATATTTGCATGCGTGTCTTCCCTGATGATTCTAGAAAGCAATTTCAGCATCCGACAAGCACGCCTGTTTGTGTGTCCACGTTGCACTTTCGGACTCACTCTCTCACAATCGTGTCGAATTGCTGGTATGCATCTAAGGTGAGCAACCGGTACTGTATTTTCTATCAGACCAATCAGTTATGAGCTCTTTGAACTTCTCATTGTGACCTAGCACTGATACGGTATATCTCTCTCTCTCTGCCATGTCTCAGTGTATGCGACTTCTCAGGTTGAGATCTCCATTTCTGGAAGGATGAGTTCGAAGAAGTTGACACTGCTAAACTTGATCTGATGTGGGCGAATTGGAATCTTTTGCCAAAGACTATCTTGCTTGGTTGAAAACAAGGAAAATCAGACAGCCAGATGGGGAAGCTATCTCATGCACTGTGGCTCAGCTCGAGTTAAGCGGTCAGCATGCACGTTCAGTCAAAGATGACTTGCGGGTTCACAAATGGAACACAATAAGTCTACCAATGTCTCACATGGTCGTATCTGAATTTGATGCATCGAAAATTAGAACCTGTACTCATGGTCAAGTGAAAGCAGCACAGAGAGAGGAGAACCAAGCAAACGAAAAGGGCAACTGCTAATTGGGATTATACTACTCTAGACAGGGCGTCACGATAGTATTGGAGAGCCTCGATCAAACTGTTAGGTTAACGACCTACGACATGAAGGAGTCGACATCGACTTGGCTACACACAGAAGAGTTCAACCGAGCCTTGAGAATAGGGTCAGCCCAGGTCCACTACCGGACGCCGCTTGTTTCAAGTACTATCAAGTACTATATAAAGCGAGCCTGATCGTAATAGCCAAATTACGGTAACAAATCTATCGCTGTTCTGGCATGTAATTAATCAAAATATACACCGGTCAGGGCACCTGCTCGATCTTGTCAATAGGTTCCCGGACTCGTCAAGGCTCTATCTCACGGTTTAATTAGCCACAAGTAAATTGGACATAATCAAACAACACTTCCTTCAATTGGACTTGTGCCGAGCCGACCTGCGGAGGGGAATTGAAGAAAGGCAAGTTGTGTATAGAGGAGGGGATACCTTCCTTCGGCAACTGTATAGGGCGAGATTGGTGAACTTTAGTATTGAACGAATGAAGAGATCTCTGCCAGACCCGTGGGAGTTTTTCCCTTACGGAGCAAATTGTTCTGCTAATGACATGTTAAGCCGCAAGAAGGGGAATGAGCGGCGTTGTCATGTCGGTGATATGTCAAGTAGGAGAGTGATGATAGCCATGCCGTATAGGGAAAGTATCGGCCCGCCAGGAACCCGTCGAGTGACTGCCTCGGTTCAAGAGCTCGGAATAAATTTGAAGGTCTCAAAGCTTTTAGAAGTGTCTATGTCGAATTCGAATTGTGTGACACAAAACACAGACAGGGCATACAGATCGATCTTTGTTTCGTGAAATTTTTGGAAGCCCCGCCATCATATGGTATCGAGCACGGGATGCTACTATATGTGACGAGATTCTCGCAAGTGAGTTGAACCTTTGATCGAGAAGCAGCCTTCAGGTGTATTAGAACTTGCTTAAGTCCGCCCCTCAAGAGACCTGGGGCAGTTCATTGCCATACCACTACTGTACTGGATCCAGAGTGGCACTGGGATTACCACTAGCTGTGGACTCGGGACAGACAACACAGATTGGACGGAGGTGGGAGTTCCGCCCTTTCATCGCACGTATACAGTGGCTTCCATATGGTACGCACGACTATGCATGGTCAATCGTACGGTGCGAGAGTATGTGAGCAGAACCTTATTTCGACAGAGCCTGTTACGTGCATCACTCATTGAATGCCATGTGATGGTCTGTAACGCCGCTCTGGTATCGTTTTTTGGACCCGTCTGAAGGATGCTCTTGATCCCAGTCACTGCAGTCACTGCAGCCATTGCGGCCCAGAGCCGGACATCAGACCAGTCGAGCATGAGCGTGGACGCCATGCAATGCAGAAGACTGCTGGCTGCTGCTTCCGTACTGCCATCGGTCCTTTTCGATCCCCTCGGAGTGAATGACCAGGCGCATTGGCACGACCATCAACCGGTGCTATCGACAAATTGGGGCTACGTGTGTCCTTTGGATCAGCGCAGTGCAGCCGAGATGAAAGTCAGTCGTAGGCCGTCAAATGGACACTGCTTGCACATCACAAACACCGTTAGCATCTCACAGGCCTCAGCTGTCGAGACTCGGGGCGCATTGCCGGCGTCGATGGTGGGGTAAAGCGAAAAGCAATCGGAAGCGGCGCGATACTGTGGTAAGTTAGTGTACTGACTACTGAGTCAGTGAGTATGCGCCCTGCAAAATGGCCATCTTGATTGTGTGATTCGTGTCCTCTCGGCCACAGCCCCGGGAGTCCTGGTCGCCGCGATCCGGATCTGCCAACGCGGAGGTGAAAGCCTGCAGCAGTCACTATCCCCTGCTCAGTAGTCTCACTCGCCGTGGTCGTGTACACGAGCCATTACAGGATGTGCCGTGAGACCTTCAGACTGCCTTGTGGGGTTAGATTGGCAGTCAATCATCCGTGCCCCTCACTTGCCCACTTTCAGCGAAATTACCCCCCACCACCACCACCACCTTCGTCACTGTCCTTTGACTCCTCTCGCTCGGCTTGAATCTCTCTCTCTCTCTCTCTCTCTCTCTCTCTCTCCTTTTCCCAAATGCTTACCACGGCTCCCCCAGAATTAGATGCTCCCTCGTATCCTTGCGCCTCTTCATGGCAGTCGCGCCGCACTGTAAATGGCCCTGGTCGTGATGCACACGAGCCACGGACGGATTCAATTCGAACTCGAAGGGGACCGAGGGGTGCAGTGGTCAGCCACGAGGTGGACCCTCAGCGGGCCAACCGTCGAGGATCCTTTTCTTTACCTTTTTTGGTCCTCAAATGATGATCCCCGCTTGGGTGACATGGAGACCAGTCGCACTTGGTCTTGCATGCGCGTGTCATCGTGTCAGTGTCAGTGCACCTGCAGGGGGATGCGATGATGCCGACACGGTGGTCTCTGGACGGGAGGAAGTGTCCCCGCGCACTCGGTAAAAGCCAGCGACAGGACATGACAAGTACTTCGATCGTGCTGTTGTAGCCTCTGTGGTTGGCGACTCTCACGACGGAAATGATTCCCCGTGCCATGAAGCGAAGTGTTGGAGGTCACTCAAACAATCAGCGGTGCTTCCAGAAGAGAAGAGGGTCCGTCTCTCTTCTCACGGCGACGGAACCAGACAGGCCTCCTGCAGTGAACTATGTACAGATCATCTGTTCCTGCCGCACGGGCCGACTGAATAAAAGCCGCCATGGTGGAATGGTGGATGCATCTCTTTTGATCCCTCGAGCTTTCGCATCTCTGCATCGTTCGTTCTTCGACGACTCGTTCACACAACGACATACCTGGAAGAGCCGGCGGCTCTTCCATCCCCAGTCAATCTCTCCGTAGTCGCTAACCGCAGACAGTCATCTCCATCACCACTGGACTCATGATCCGTGGCTGTCTCGTCCCCAAATGGGAAACCTGGTTTGGACCCGAAGCCGCCCTGATTTTAAATGGGTCGTGAGGGGAGCAGAAAACTGGAGTCCGAGCAGGAGAGACCCAATCATGCTAGATGCTCGGCGACTTGGGAGATCGTGGAGGAGGATAGACCGCGATGGAACCTGCACTGCGATCCGTCTCCTCCCCATGGATTCGTGGATGGCTCGAGGCCGGGACTCAAATCAGATTCTCAAACCCGCTCAACCTTCTCGACTCGGCCACTCTCCACTCTTTCGCATCCACTGGAAGGACGCAAGAAGATTCGGAGAGCCGCCCAGAAGACGGAATCAAGCTGGTGAAGGCTCAACCAGAATTAAACCCCACGCTTTTATCCTGACTCCGTAGACCCCCCCCCCCCTCTTGCCGCCTTCCAACCCTGTATGTCATTCCGACGCGTATAAAGGAAATCTCCCGTCTTCGTCGAGAACAGAGTTTGGATTGGGTTTTCCCATTTGATTTATTCCTGCCCTGAATCTCTCCCCGGAAAATCAATCCTCGTGCAGATTCAGCTTCCCGTCGCAGATTGCAAGCATAGATTATGCCACTGTGAAAGACTGCTAGTCAAGAAAACTCCGTTTTCTGCGATTCAAGACATTCTGCGCTAGTCGCGCGACGAGACACCTCTGCCTCGGCCAGCCGCCATATAAGCAGGTGGAAGTACCAACCTTGCCAGTTTGACTTGCCTTCTCAAGTCGTTGGTTCAAGCCGTAACCTTGTGAACTGGCAGAGTGACTTGATACTTCCCAGCAGCCGCAGCGCCACTGATACTGACCCGACTGCATCTATCCTTTGCATCCTTATATAATCGACCCTACTTCCTGCAAAACGCTTTCCACCAACATTATTCTGCACGAACCCGTCCTCGCTTCCTGCAGATTCTCTCAAATTCTGATCTGATCTGACCGACGTCGGTTTCAAATCACACATTTCATCTCCCACGTTGATTCGCCGAGGCAGAATCTTCATTCCAACTCGAAATGTCCACCAAACCCATCTTTGTGGCCACGCACCCGCGTGCTTGCTCGACCGCATTCGAACGAGTAAGTTGCACATACTTTCTGTCCCTCTTCTTCTCTTCCAAAAAAAAAACAATCTTCAGCAAGCAAGTTGCAGCCTGACTCACATCACGTTCGTCCTTTGTAGGTGTTCATGACCCAACGCGACACTATTCAGTGTGTTCATGAGCCGTTCGGCGATGCCTTTTACTTCGGTCCCGAGCGTCTCTCCGATCGATTCGAAGATGATCAGCAGGCTCGCATCGACAGCGGATTCAGCGAGTCCACATATGCCACCATCATGGAGAGACTGGAAAAGGAGCAATCCGAGGTCCGATCCTTTTCCCCGCGAGATCGTTTTTGAGTTTCAAAAAGTCCTATTGCGCTTTCCTTCTTCATCACGTCTTCCATCTTTTTTGTCCCTCCCGCATACATACCTCGAGACAATCCAATGTCCGTACCCCGCGACGACGGAGGGATGTCAGGAGTAGACTTGCCTTCTCCATCAGAGCTTTTGGCTCATCGAGGAGATACAATTCTCTCGTGGTCTCCCTCTTTATCTTCCCCGCTCTGTCCTGTCCACCAATTCCGCATTTCCCGTACCATTGACTGGTGCGCAAAGCTGGGCGAGGCCTCTGTCATGAGCTACGTCATGTCATGTCCAATTTCACCCCGTGTATGTGACCGAGGAAGAAACTTACCGTGCATACAGGGCAAGAGAGTCTTCATCAAGGACATCGACCACTATTTGATCCCCCCGCGGGAAAGCCTGCCAGTTTGGCTCCTTCGCTTCTGCGCGTGAAGCGCGGTGTCGGCACCGAGACCAAGGGCACTGGCCACGGCCACGAGCTGGCCGAGGGTGTGAATGGTTCCACAAATGGCACCACCCACACCAACGGCGACACTGCGGCGCCGACAAATGGTGTTGTCAATGGAGACTCAAAATCTGTCGACAACACCAATGGCCATACCACCAATGGCACTACCAACGGCACATCGCACCGGCCCTATCCCTACGACACACCTGTCGAGCCGGGCAACCCCACGGTCATGCCGCGTGAGATACAGGAACGCTTCCACTTTGCCTTCCTGATCCGAGACCCGCACTTCAGCGTGCCCTCGTACTATCGATGCACCATCCCGCCTCTAGACGATGTCACGGGCTTCCACAACTACGATCCCCAGGAGGCCGGATACAGTGAACTCCGACGACACTTTGACTACCTCGTGCGCGAGGGCCTCGTCGGCCCCCGCGTGGCTACTCGGCCCGATCTCACGGTTGAGCATTGCGGAGCCAAGGAAACCGTTCACGAGATCTGTCTGATTGATGCGGATGATATGCTCGACGCTCCGGCGGCCACTATCGAGGCATTCTGCAACAGTGTTGGCATCCCGTACGACCCGTCGCTGTTGACCTGGGATACCCCGGAGGACTATGAATTTGCATGCCATTGCTTCGAAAAGTGGCGTGGATTCCACAATGACGCAATCGAATCTAAGGCTCTGGTTGCGAGAACTCATGTGAGTACATCATCCGCCGAACATCTGTTACTCACGCGGAGGCTGGGCTAGCCTCGACGCGCCGAAGCCGATCAAAGGCGAGAATCGTGGAATTTGATCTAATATTCTGTTTTCCTTTTTTTTTTCAGAAAAAAGCTCCCAAGACCGAGGACGAGTTCGACGCCGAATGGACTAAGAAATACGGCCCCGAGGCCGCAGCACTCATCCGCAAGGCCGTCGACGAGAACATGGAAGACTATTTGTACCTGAAGCAATTTGCCGTCAAGGTCTGAGGGACTTGGTCTCCGAGAGGAGGATTCTAGGATGAGTATTCTCACTCTCACAATCTACAACCAACTTCCTTCCTGGTCAGCGGAACTAAATTGATCAGATGAGGAAAATGACGGGTGAGGGAGTCTTCTTCTTTGTCCGAGGGTAATGATTCACACGATGATTCGGTGGTTCTCGACCATCATTTTCATTCAGTCTCTTTTTGTTTCTTGCAACAACCTGATGATGACGATATTTGCTGTTGTTTTTTTTTTCTGCTTTTCTCTTCTCGTCATTCCTTGCTCCCGTCCAGCCTCCAATTTCCATCATTCACAATCCATTCCTCAAGATGATTTGTGAGTGATGTGATATCTTAGGAGTGGTCAGGTACCCCGATTTTTGTGGGGTTCTCCATTTGTCTCATGGCGACAACTTAGCAAAGGGTATCATGAACAGGAGGACCAGATCTGATGGATGTCCGATAGATTTCCGGAGTGCCCGCATGCGTAGACCGATCGATTCCAGTGACTTCACTAGTGGGACTTGGCTCGACATTGTAAGGATCTAGGCCGGTGCATCGACAAGACGTAGAAAGGAAAGAAACTGAATGTTGAAATTTGTCATTTCCAAACCTATCCAAACAGCTCCACCGGGCATAGGTGGCATCTAGATATCTCATCTTGAAAACAGCCCTCTCCCTGAAATGAACCTCAAATTTCATACAGGACAAGAGGGAAACCGCCCGCCTCTATACAGCACTGTAACCGCCTCGAGAGCCGGCCCCTTGTAGCGTGTTGACGACGCTGCGAACCCAGTCTTTCAACAGATAGGGAATGTCTCGAATGGTGTCACCATGTGGGAGGAGATCCCAGCCCCGAGCACCGTATCGGTTGTAGTTGAGCCATGAACCGAAGATCAGGTATGCTGCCACGCAGAGGAAGAGACTGTGATGGTGGAAGTGAGAAGCGTTAGCACGTCAGACAGCTTTCCCGTGATGCCTCCATGCCGGAACGAGTACTATCCCACTCACATGATAATGAACCAGGTAAAGAAACCCCAGGAGCTGGAATTCTCCTGCTTCCCACGCTGGTACTCATCGCAAGCATAGCGCGTACGCCAGTCCAATCTCAAAATGTACTCCTCATCACCATCCTTGTCACCCTTTTCGAGCTCGAAGCTCTTGAAGTGCAAACTGCGCTTGGACGACTCCGCCTTCTCATCGCGTCGACGCTTCCTCTCCTTTTCAGAGCCCGAATCCGCCTCCTCACTGTCTTCCTCCGTCGTCAGACCCTCCAGACCGGATCGATCCGGGTCACACTTGAAATCGATTACGGCCGCCGCTTCCTTTTTCTTTCCCTCATCGTCAAACCCCTTGAACTCGCCGCCCGCGAGCTCGACCCGCACCCCTTTGGTCTCGGGATCGATTGTTTCGAGTCGCGTATATTTGGGCTCCATTGAGCCCCCGCCCATGTGCTCGAGACCGACGATGGGAAAGGCAAAACGCTTGCTTCCGTTACCGTCGGTCGGATGTCGATTCACAAAGCCACAGACTGAAATCGGGGAAACAGAGAGATGTGAATTAGCCGGTGGTTTACACAGGGTCACGCTTTTTTCAGTGGAGATTTCGCATGCTCGGGCTGTGCGCATGCTTGTCTCGAGTCTCTCGACTAGGTTCCAGGACGAGGATCGGGTTTACTACGGGTGAGGGGTGTCAGAACATACTGCGCTTGGTTGAACCGCACTTTCCATCGTCTCCACGGTCGGCCGCTTTGCTGCCGAGATTCCTGCAGATATTGAGCACGTAGGTGGTGTTTGTCACGGCGGTCTCGGTCTCGTTGACGTGGTATATCTCGTGGACTCCACGCAGCTTGCTCAAGTCGTATTTGTAACTGTCGACATTGACGTGGGCACAGTCGAATGTCAATGCTGCACCAAGAGTTGATAGTGACGTCGAGAGCAGGAGTGAGATCCCACCATATTTCAGGTGCATGGTGAACAACCAGGAGGGTCAAGGGTTATGATCTTGGATTCGGTAGGTGATGCAATCTGGTCCTTCGACGACTCGACGGTATCTGAGTTTCGATGGAGCGGGAGTTTAGTAATGGAGAAGGGGATTGTGTCGATCGAAGTCGTGATAGGATCGAGGTTGAGTGATTCTTCAGGTCTGATTGAGTGGTTCTACCTGGGGTGAGAGAAGGGACGCGAGGCGAGGCGAGGCGTCTGGAAAGCACAAGTTGGGTCAGGTGGTTTCCGTGAAGATGATCAACGGGCTGGGGATGATGTCCGCCTGCGGAGGTGATTTGTTTCTCCGACGGCAGCTCGTCATGCGCGGGAGCCGTCCAAAGTGACAACAGCGCCGACCGAATTCAGAGGGCATTAAGAGTACCTCGTACCTTCGACCTACTGCACCGCGCTGGAGGACTCAAGGTTTGTCTTCCCCGCAAAGGAAAGGAAGCAAGAGTGCTAAATTCGGTTGACTGATATTTATCTGAAAGTATTATTTCTGCATCCATTCCCACTGTACGATCGAGTGACTTTGATTTCAAAGACGGTCACATGTAACTATTGCGGTAGAGGGAAATGATGTCATTTTAAGAGGAAAAAAGAAGCATCTTGGGCCTTGGCACCTACAGTACTTCTCTTGAGGTACATGATCATGATCCCATCAGGTATAGTTACCGGATCGATATCCATGAAGATGACCGAGTTCATTGCATCTCTACCAATTTCAGGCATTTCGGAGTAATGCCCGAGCTGATCGCTCTTTCACTCTTGGTCGGCCTGCCTGAGCAGTGAAACGTTTTCTGATTAAAGCACAGTATATAGAAGAAGGTAGAATCCCTGGTGACATCTAGCGGGCAATTGGGCCTGACTTTGTTTTGTGTGCTCTAATGCCATGAATAGACCGAGTGACCTGCTTTTATCACCGCCGACTCTTCATACCGGTACTATCTAATTTGATTCTAGATACCACGTAATCCATCATGAATGCATTATCGATACTCAACCCTGTCGGGAAGCCGATATCCAAATGTCCATCTTACACATTCGATACACACACCCGAACCTCCAGCGACGCACGGGCCACCTTCACGGCAACTCCACCGGGACAAGACAAGACTGGAAGACACCAACTCGAACCGACAAACTCTCCTAAAGCTGATCGAGTCGGTGGCACATTCCATTCCATTCCCATCTCCACAAATAAACAAATAAAAGATTTCCACATGATTCAACCACGCATGGTAAGTCTGCCTTGTCCCTTCCCCTTCGGGAACGCACGAAGAAAAATGTGCCCCAATATCTGAAAGAGAAAAAAGAGCCGGGAGGGGGGAAAAGAACACCTGCCATATCAACCACAATAGGAGAGAGCGGCGGGGATGATCATGGTTAAAATGTGACCAGATTGATCATTTGGCCTGAATCGGTTCTGTTCTGCTTCATCCTCCTCGATTCTCTTCTCACATCGGCTCTGATGCTCTTCAATGTGTATCGTGACAAGGAGGGCTTACTTCTGTTCAACGAAACAGCTTTCTCGGGCCGACGAGGCCACGGCCACTGGTGAGGAGAATGAAGTGCGTCGTGAAGACCAGGAAAAGATCAACCGATTCAGTCGATTACATCAACGGGAGAGTGTCCTAGAGGAGCAGTTGAAATCCAAGCAGGTATGGAAAGACACACATGCACAACAGCCCATCTCTCAGCAAGCAGAGCCCCAAGATCAAATCTAAACGCATTCCATGTCCGGAGTGACGCATCAGTCCAAAACACCAGACAGAAACAGGGGGGGGAAATGACTAACCCATGACACAGAAAGACAAAGAAGATCTGGAAGAAATCTCCACCGAACTTGAACTTGCTGATGAAGACGAGCTCGTCCCGTAAGTGCCCCAGTCTCCAATCCACCTCTCCCTAACTTCCGCCCCTGTCCAGCCTTTCCAGGACAAAACCAGCACAACCCTGAGTTCGGCCATCTCGCTCATTAACATATCATCCAAGCTACAAAATCGGCGACGCCTTCTTCCACCTCCCTCTTCCAGATGCCCAGTCCATGCTCGAGACTTCCACGGCGCAGATTGATGCGGATGTGTCAAAGCTCGAGGACTCCCTGGGTGAATTGAGAGACGAGATGCAGCAACTCAAGGTCTCTCTTTATGCGCGATTCGGCAGGAGCATTAACCTGGAAACCTAGATGCGGGCTTTGACGAATATGCTTCTGGTCGAAACCCCGGAGTGGTAATGATCAATGTTATCTAAACGTCCGTGGCATGTTTCGGGGTCGGTCAAGGTGTAGATCTGATCTGGAATAAAAGACTTGGGCCGTGTCAAGCGCCCGCCATAGGTTTGAAAGGGCTTGAATTCTCTAATAGAAACAGAGTATTGATCTTCAAACTCTTACTGTTCAAAATGTCACTGTCTGTCCGCAGGTCAGATCGCAATCAAGAAGGCGAATTGTCTCAAGAATGGCAAGTTGAGCCCGCCCTCATCCCTATGAGTGGCGTGGTCCATTATCATCCATTGTAAACGAGGGAAGAGGCGAGAGAAAGGACTACGGTTCTCAATCCTTCAGGTCCAAGTCAATTTGGAATGGATTGTGACCTCATGGGCATGTCAACACCTTTCAAATCATCTCTTCTTATCCACTATAGTATATTCAAGCGTGGCATACGTGTATGTGATTCGTGAAATAAAGAGGAAGTAATTATGGCCTAGACATTCAGGGCTGAGATACACCAAAGAAGGCTCATTTCTGCATGTATCAACACCGAGGGTATATTGGGAATCAAGAGACAAGAGACAGACAAAACTCAATCAACGGAACTTGGCACGGCAGCGACCCATCACCTCGTTCTGGCAGACCAGCTCAGCGCTGAACTCACTACCATCCAGTGTCAAGTAGATGTCAAAGTATACTCGGTAGAATACACCTTGCGGGGTATCCATCCGCTCAAAGTCCGTCTCAAGATTCTTGCGTGACAAATCCGAGGTGAGGGTGACAACCTCCTTGATACCTGGAAAAGTGAAAGGTAAAATCAGCATTGGTGAACGATGCCATAACACATAAAAAAAAGTAGACCAAAGACGAAGACTTACGAGGATCTTTGGTATATTCGGGACAGACGTCTTCGTCGCATGCGTACAACACATCCTCATACATGAGAGTAGCGCCGGGTGCCACTTGGCGGAAAAAGCTGACTTTGACAGGCTCACCAATCTTCACCCGCTCTCCCTTTTGAACAAAGATCTGCCGGGTATATTTGCAGCGATCACGACCATCGAGACTGGGCACTCGGTATTGCTCGGGATGGTATCCCTCCTTGAAGGGCTGCAGGGTGGCCATGAGGTAGTGCCGACGAGCAACACGATGCGTGATGACCCGTTCAGTAATACCGGCCGTCACGGCGCCCTTGACAATGGCAGCGACGGAGTCCATCGGCCGGACGACCTTGGTCTGATACTGGGGCGGCACGTGCAATTTAATTTGCTGGAACAGATACTCCGAGGCACCAAATCCACCGACAACCAGGACATTCTAAGACGTGTTAGCACGATAATCCACCAACCACGAGAAAAATCACAACGGGGACGCATCATACTTGGAGTAGTTTATTTTGTGCTTGAATGGCAATGATCTGGTTCCGAACCAGTTCGAGAATGCGATTCACCACTGGCTCGAAACATTGAAGAATCTCCTCGTTGGTAAATGTCATGTACCCTTCCTCGATGCCTGCATCGGGGAAATCTGCTTCAATGCCGACGTCGACCGCCCATTTTGAACCGTTGTTGCGGAAATCCGCCTTGATTCGATTTTCGAAATCCATGATGCACTTGGCATATACCTTGCCAGCCGTGCGAGATCCATCCGGGAGCTTCATCTTCCGAATCTTGGCGCGCAAGATGTTGCTAAAGTTACGGTTCAGGGCAGTCGATCCGCACGAATCTCCCGACCCGGCCGTGCATTCGGCCACACTGAACGGCTGCTCCTCCTCCACTTCATACGCGATGAGATCAACGGTACCGCCACCGCAATCCACGATCAAGATGGCGTCGCCGACCTTGAGATTGAGCAACCCGGTCTTGGCGCAGAAGAGCGCCGCCGCTTCGGGCTCCGAGACTAAGGTCAGGCGATTGTCATTCTCATCTCGGAGGAAGCCGGCTTGGATGGCAGCCGCACGGGTGGCGGCTTTGCCGGCATCATTCCAGATGGCCGGCACAGTCAAGTAATAGCGAATATTGCGCTCCTCGCGAGTGAAGACCTCTCCGAGGGTCTTCTGGAGCTGGGCACGGATGGCCTGTCGCAGCTTGAATAGGTAATCGGCGGCGACATCGATCTCTGACTTGCCCGGAGGAAGAGGAGGCAAGTTGATGGGGTCGATGTAAGTGTTGCCCGACAGCATCAACTGCAACTTGAACCATTCGACTTTCTGCACCCCCGGCTTGGGGTACCCGGTGGGAGCAAGCGCCTCTGCGATATCTGGGCCCCAGCCGACGACTTTCTGGTACTGGTCATAGTAGAGAACGGTCGGAATCTAGATTGAGACACAGAAAGGGGGACGAATTAGACCAAGGTCGGAGAGTCGAATGGGTAATGCGTCTTGGAGGGACTACCGCATCGTTGTTTTGGTGGGTGGAAGGGTGGAAATGGCAACCCGTTATAGGAACAGCAGTCCTCACTTACTTTTTGCTTTGTATGGGTACCGGCACCCGGCCATTCGGTGATGATATCCTCGCGGGCCTCGTTGTTGGTCGCAAACGCAAATGCGACGCCGGAGAAGGTGGTGCCGAAGTCAATGCCCACAATCAGCTGAGCCTTGTTGCGATTGGCAGGGTCGGTATCGAGGGCGGGGTTGCGATACTGGATCTGCTGGCCCAGTTGGGGTTGTAAGGGATGACCGAGGGATTGTGGTTGTGGTGGTTGCATGCTGTAACCCGGCGGCGGGTTCATCGGCTGCTGTTGGTGGCCGGCGTATTGCATGGCGGCACTGGGGTTCAGCGGGGCGGGGTGCTGGGCGAGTTGACCGGGAATCATGGGACTGGTGGGTCGGGCTGAAGGAAAGCTCGGCGGCCGCGCGAGTTGAGTTGAGTGCGCAACGGACAGGCTGGTGGAGGAGGAGCTGCGATGAGAAGGCGAGGTTGGGGAGGTGCCGTTGGAGGGGTTGATGACGAGGGGGTTGTAGGAGACGGAGGGTGCCGGCGGGGGGTTATTGTTTTGAGGCTTCTTGTCGCGACGGAAGAGGGACTTGCTGAATCGGGAGCTCATGAGGGACATACGTGAGGCGGAGCACCCCCGGGGTCGCTGGACAGACACGGAATGAAGTACTTAGGCAACCCAGTGGGCGATCGAGTCTCCAAGAGTGGAAGGAGGAGAGTGGTTCACGATCAAGGGACGGAGGCAACAGCTGAGGGAGGTAGGGGGAGAGGGAGAGAAAGGAGGAGAGCGGAAGAGAGGGTGCAGTGGGTGAAGGAGGCGGGCATTCGCGAAAGCGCAGGAGAGAGAGAGAGAGAGAGAGAGAGAGAGAGAGAGAGAGAGAGAGAGAGAGAGAGAGTAGTCCAGTGGTAAAAGAAAGGTGCAGCCAGTGAGTTTGTAACAACTGCAGGGGCGTCAGTGGAAGATGGTGGAGTAGCGCAACTGAGGCGAGGGCCGGTCACCAAGGCTGAGCAGAAGGGAGGCTCACGCAGGGCGCTTTCCAAGAATGGCAACCAGGCAGGACACAGGACTGGGACTTGAACGGGGGTAGGTAGAATGGGATAATGAGGAAAGGGCCGTTCACACAGATATACGATCAAGCGAAAGTTCCAGATGAAGGGATGGACATGGGAGAGGAATGCGACAGAGAGGCCGAGCACAAACTACGGGGGTGAAATTGGTGGCGGGGGCTAAAAAAGAGACACGAAGGGAAGAGAGTCGAGAGACTCGCAGATAAAGATAACCGCAGTTGTCACTCACGTTGGCAAGGAGATACTAAATCAGTAGCCTTCTGAAATCTGGATAGCCTGCCCCATGCACAACTGCACACTGGTAGTCGTCGTCCGTCACTACGAAGTGTCGGGTAGTGCTTACGGCGAGAGGCTGAGCGCTGGCACTCTCCCAATTAGAGAACCTGATCCCCGAGGGCTGATTCATTGTTGATTCTAGTTAAAAATATTCAAATAAAATCTATAGCCTGACACAGCCAAGACTCGAGGATTGACCAGTCACTGCTATGATTTCCTTCGGGATCACACAGTATCACGGAAGCAGGGACCACAATAGAAATCGACTTATAGATCCGACCCGGGCATCACTGGTAGATCAACAACAACAATAACTACTACTACTACCACCACCACCACCACCACCAGAGATCTGAGAGGCGCTCCTGCGATCCAAAAGACACTCCCTTGGCCTTGGTTGGTAATTCATGGGCGAGTACCAGGAGTAGTAGGCCTTTTACACAGAGAAGTGAAAGGACGGCACTGTACTATCACCACTGTCGAGGTGGTACCTGATTTGTTCCTGTGAACACTTCATCCGCGCTGGACAGGCCAAAGTCAGGGCCACGCAAGATACCAACGACTTGTCATGAATTCATTGTCGCCCATGAGCAAGCCTCGATTTGGCAACTCGTCCTCTTCCCAGGGAGATCAGAGCCATCGGCGTCTACGCAGGGCTCAGCGCTAGCTATCCCCTTGTCCGCATACGCCTCTGGTGGGGCGGTGCGCCTGCTGTCCGAGCGGTGTTTGTCCATGATGAGCGCTCCATCTGACGTAGATCGTGGGTGTCTGGCCCAAGCTACGTCCAGGCCAAGCGACATCTGGGACCATCTGGGACCGATGGTCTTGCACCGACGACCATCGGGTGGAAATGTGAAGGTTGCAGTCCTCTCGATCGAATCCGCATACCCTGGGCGACAGTGAACAGTCCGTTCTTTCTCCCGGTTTCAGTTGATGGGAGTCATGGGACTGACTTCGACGTCGACCGCTTTCTTCCCATTGAGTCCCAGATTCGCCTGTTTTGTTTCTTTGTTCAGCCGAGTCATCTTCCGGCCCCACGAGTGCATTTGACAACCCGGAGCTTTGTTTGGGCTGGAACGAGGCCCAGACGGGGGTGGCTTGTTCGGTCACGCTGATGGAGGGGAAAAACTACGGTACAAGTTAAAGTAGCTGCCAGTGTTCGAAGGTGTTTCGGTTTGAATGTAGCACATCATGTGACTTTGTCCACCCTTCCATCCAAGTCACCTGTGTCATACGATGCAAGGCAAGGAACTCTGTCTTCAGAAAGGGTGTTCCCACTCTCAAGTTTCAAGTACACGTCTTGTATGCTTTTCTAGTCAAACGCATCACCAATCCTCGTCAATGAAATCGCTTTGAATCTCCGACATTGATATACTGCTATTTCATTCCATTCTGTACTCACCTATTTGACGATCTTGCGGGCCACCCAATGTGATGGTTGATACAGATTTTGAAGCATACTATCCGGGTCTTGGATATAGCCGCATGGCTGCCGATTACCCGGTCGTATCTCGATGCAAAAGCCCATGCGCTCCACCAAGCACAGCACCTCGTCCTCGCTCAGCTCCACGCTACCACCTTCGCCAATGCCCGGGGACGTCTGATTGGTGTCTTTATTCCCGTTTGAGGTGTCCTCCTCGTCCTCGTCCGCACGTGGGCGTCCGTTTTCGACATGCCAGAGGAGTGGTCCCACATTGATCCACAAACCCCCAGGTTTCAAACAATGATAGATGGTCTCAATGTACCGGATGATGTTGGGGGCGGTGTCAATGAAGAAGACACTGGCCACGGCGTCAAAGGACTCTCGGTTACTCGATTCCATGTAAAGGACCAGAAAGTCAGCGGCCGCCATCGACATCGAACCCAAGGGAGTCTGCGTCTCGGCCGCTTTCGCCATCGCCACGCCAGGATGAACATCGGGTATCATGACCTTCCGCAGTTGCTGCGCCCGACTCTGGAGATTGGAGAATTTGCCCGCAAAAGGATGCACAGCATGTGCGGCAGGACCCGCGGTGTGATTGAGGACCCAGCTGCTCGCGAACAATTGGTGATACGAGATCTCATTACCCTCTGCACTGTACCCAGCTAGACAGGTCTCGAACACGAGTCGGCCGAGGCCGGCGCCCGGCACTAGAACCCGAATCTCCTCCCCTGCGTCTCGGCGTGATTGAAATTCGGTGTGGAGATCCCGAAGGACAGGCTCATAGCAAACGGCTCGCTCCGCAGCGCCTTCTGCGCTCCAGTCCCGGAAAAATTGGTGAATAGTGGAGGAGGCCTTGGTAACGTCGGACGCAGTAGCTGTGTCGTGCCAACAGAGAGGGTCGTCTTTGGGTGGATCGGCCTGGAGCCCAAAGGACTCCAGACCCAGAGCGAGAATGGCGTCGGCGAGTTCAGCGTTAGTGTCAATCGCATCATCGACGTGGTTCAAGGTGTCCAGAAAAGAAAAAGGTGGCTGCGAGAGCATCTGCCAGTGCTCCGAGGGTAAGGCATAGAACGCTTGACGACGCCGATGCGTCACCATTTGGTGCATTGTTCGCCGATACTGTCTGTAGCTCGCTGGTTAGTCACATGATTGCCACGTTGGTTGTGTCCCATCGTTCGTGTGAGAAATCCCACGGTCTGGTCGGTAGACTTTTTGAGAGGATGCAAAAAGGCCGGGAATGTTTTTGTTTGACGTACCGGAAAGAATCCAGCGCGGCAAAAAGGCTTCGCCGCTCTCCATCATCGGAGAATGGGTCATAGTCCCCCGCCCATGTGGCTTCCCCTTCCCCATCCGCCTCGTGAGCTGATTGAGTGTCTGATTCTGCCATGAATGCTTTGAGCTCAAGTCCTCCAGACTCGAGGTCTGGGCAGAGGTACCAGGGATCCGGCGATGCCTTTAAACAGTCGGCGAGATCCAATTCCGGAATTGAACGCGTGGGACGCGCGAGTGCGGGAAAGGCGGGATGAGTGGACCATCGACGTTCGCCGCATGGACACGGCGGGGTCTTTCCATCTTCTGCATGTTCGACGTCAAGCTGGAAGCAAAAGGATCCCTCACATCATCAGCAAGACCGCTTGTCACAACCTTCATTCATCTCCGTCCAGTTCATCTTGTCGTCAAGGGCACTGTTACATCATGGCGACGGCTCAGTCCTCCATGATTCCTCAGCTGGAGTTGCTCGACCCCACTACGAAGCCCAAGGAGCTGTCTTTCCCGCTTCCTAGGGCTTTCCACACCACCGGCCATGTGCATCTGACTGTTATGAAGGCTTGCACAATGGTCCATCTTGCTACATCGACTCCAGGCGAATCGTCTGGCTCATTCAAGCCGATGGGTAGCTTCGTCTACGCTATGCCTGATGTGAGTATCAGATTCCCCAGTTATAGCTCACCCACGATGATCCCCTGCACTTCCAATCAATTTCACACCCCCGCCAATCTCATTGATAGAAAGACTGCCGAGCAAAAAGACCTTGCTTTGATTATAAAAGACGTGATCGAAGCTGACTGTCAAAGCGAACGTCACCCAACCAAACATTATCCACCACCCTTTACACAACGCCGTCCAGCATCGAGTACACCACGAGAGTGGCCAAGATTCTAGCGAGGAGAATGCAGCGTCCTGTGTACGTTGGTTGCAGTATTGATCCCAATGGGTTGGGACAGACAGTTGAGGAGGAAATGGAGGGCCTCAAGTACATTGTGGATTTAATCATGGAGAATTGCAATGACGCCAAGCCAGAATGAACGCAGTCTCACGAATCCTCAGAAAATCCTAGAACAGGTCATTCCTGGATCATTCCGCGAAGGAAGCGGTGAATGTTTACGCCAGAGGGGACATCGAAGTGAGATTCTGGTCCGTGTGCCAAGTGCGGTGCCAGGCACTTCCAATTCGAGATTACCAACACTGGTAACTCTCGGGTTCTCTGTACCTTGCTGTTGAAGAGATCCGGAAGAAAGCCACAACCGGCGCAGTCATTCCGATACTCGGAAGTACTAGACTCGTCTCCAACTCCCGACGGGGTCGAATCTCACGGCAGGACCCGATCTACAGTGTAGTTATCCGAATGACATGGGATGCTCGATTCGAGTGGACTCCAGTATTTCCTGACAGGCGTGTCTTCTGGCTCGGATGAACGGAGTTTGCCAACTTGAATCTAGCTTCTGGACAGTGATGGCAATCTGTAATCCTTTGCGCAAGATTCTCGAGACTGGATGGCCAGAGATGATACGGTGAAAGAGCTACAAATCTTGGAATCCGTCAGCCAAAGATATTGGGCGGTTATGAGACGTGGTTGCTGTAAGCGGCCGTCACGGGCCGTTCTGAGGTATTCAGCCATCATTGTGCTACTACCTAGCTAGCTCATGTTTGAATATAAAAGCAATGGCATGTGCAGCTCGACGGTGTTCTCTTCGTCTCAAACTTATACCAGGAACTACTGCCTCCCGCTCCACCTTCATTTCTCAGTCATGGCTCGCAACATTGGAATCAAAGCTTTGGAGCTTTACTTTCCCAGCAGAGTAAGTGCTATATATACAACAGGTACGGTGGGTTATGCAATGGCAGGACTAACCTGACTGACTCTCCATAACAGTACGTGTCCCAGTCAGACCTGGAGTCTTATCTCGGTGCAAGTAAGGGGAAATACACCATTGGACTTGGTCAGACCAAGATGAGTATCTGTGACGATCGAGAAGGTATATATATATATAGTGATTGAGTCTGTTCTGCGGTGCTTTTTATTTTCCAATACTAGTCACCAGAAGAGACAACGTGCTGATAACGACACTCCCTCGCTCTTCTCTCCGTCAGATACCTATTCTCTCGCTCTGACCGCGGTTTCCTCGCTTCTCCGCAAATACGACATCCCACCCGAATCGATCGGTCGTCTTGAAGTAGGCACAGAAACCATGCTGGACAAAGCCAAGTCCTGCAAGTCTGTGCTCATGCAACTCTTCGGATCAAATACCGATGTGGAGGGCGTCGACGTCTACAACGCATGCTACGGCGGTACGAGTGCGCTCTTGAGCGCAGTCAATTGGATTGAATCGTCTGCGTGGGACGGCAGAAATGCCATTGTTGTTGCCTCGGACATTGCTCTCTACAATACCATCTCTGCCAGACCGACTGGCGGTGCTGGCTGTGTAGCAATGCTCATCGGTCCAGACGCTCCTTTACTCCTGGAGCCACTGCGAGCGTCCTTCATGCAGCATACGTATGACTTTTACAAGCCGGACTTCAAGTCCGAGTATCCGAATGTGGATGGCCATTTTTCATCGAGATGCTACCTGCGTGCCTTGGATGGATGCTATCGTCGATATCGGGAGAAGCAGGCTGGTCGTGGGCCGAGATCCAGCGGTTCTTTTGGTATCTCTTCTGGTCAAGGAGCCATCATGGGTTCTTCAGAATCCCAGTCGACCCTACCACTTGACGAATTCGATTATTTCCTGTTCCATGCCCCCAACTGCAAGTTGGTTGTCAAGGCATACGCTCGGTTACTCTACAATGATTACAAGTCTGACCCGCAGAACGGACTCTTCGGCTCCAAGGATGTGCTTCCATCCGTCATGGACCAGAGTGAAGAAGATTCTCTCAATGACAAAGAACTGGAACGGCTTTTCATGCGCCTCTCCCATTCCAGGTTCGCAGATCGTGTGCAGCCCAGTCTGACTGCACCAACAATGTGCGGCAACATGTACACCGCCGGCGTTTACTCGGCTCTTATCAGCCTGCTCACTAATGTTCCCAGTGTCGAACTTGTTGGACGGCGGATTGGACTTTTCAGTTTTGGTAGTGGTCTGGCAAGCACATTGCTCAGTTTCAGGGTTGTGGGCGATGTCCGTGAGATTGCGTCAATGATTGACCTTCATGCTCGTCTGGCAACACGGACACAGGTCTCACCCGAGGTTTACGACGAGGTAAGGTTCTGTATAGGTGGTTGAAGGACCTGATCACCGCTAAACAAAAAGTCTTGTGCATTGTCTAGATGTGTCAACTTCGTGAACGAGCCTATCAACAACACCCTTATACACCCGTTGGGAATATCGAAGCCATGGCGCCGAACACTTACTATCTCGTTGAGGTGGACGATAAATTTCGGCGATCGTATGCGATCAAGTCAGGCTAAGGAAGTGTTCTACCTTGGACTGCAGGCAGTGCAGGAAGATTGGGAGTTGATACTTGTATTGGTACATGGTTCTGGAATAACATGTATCGGCAAAAAATTGAGTCATTTTCGAACACAAATGTCACACACGGTTACCAAATGTATTGTTGAGCGTCTTTTTGGAGTTTTGTCTCCAGAACCACAGAAGGAATCGTCACACTAGGTCTCATCGCTCCTTTCATTGACTTGAGCGGTTTCACCTTACATTCCAATTTAACGGCTTGGAAAAGGAAAACCCCATGTGCCCATATCGCGCTACCACCCCGGGACAAGGTGCTCTTACCACTCGGTTGATCGTACTAAGTACTTCGCAGTTCACAGAAGCGACAGCCTCCATCCACAAATGGCAGAGACTTAGGGTTCCAGCCGAGCGGGCCGGCCACGTTACACCGTAGCTGCCACGGGACAGCAACATCGACTCTGCCAAGTGCCCACCATCAGAAATAGAACGAGCTAAGCCTAATGCATCCCCAATTAACTTCATACACAGTCGCACATAGCCGACGGCATACTCATCTCCCAGTGGGTTGTCCACGTACTGCCGTCTGAATCGATATAGTACAGAGTTATCCCTGTGTGGTCCATTAGTATAAAGCCCGTCCACATCAATTTAAAGTAATGTGTGCCAGGAGGAAGAAAACGAAGCCTTTCACCGGTTTTCTCTGCCCAGCGCACCTGATGTCGATGGCGCCATCGAAGCAAGTGAGCTATCGGATCTGGACCATGATGAGCGGGCGTCTCGGCTTCAGGCTGCCATCGACAATGATCCCACCTTTTCCGATGAATTATGCCGGCATCATGGAGACTTCCCACCTAATCTTTATGAAGTTCGGCAGCGTCCCGCAGCAAGAAGAGGCGCCACGTATTAAGCACGGCCAAGAAGCCCATTGCAGGGATCAAACAACATCTGATCGGACAGGAGATCGTCCACTGACAAGGCGGGCCCGGGCCAGGCCAGGCCAGGCCAGGCCAGGTCAAAAGAAAACTTAAGAAAAGTACCATCCTGCAAAAGGGATTTCGAGCGCCCACTTTCACAAAACAAAAAGCTCTTATCGCGCCCGGGCATGGACGGTCATATGCGGGGAAGCTCGTGGCACAAGTGTATATCAAGCGGACTGTATGCTGTGGCTTCATGAACAAAACACAGTTTGGGAGAACCCCATTCTTGCTTGAGATGAGATCGACTGGTCTCAAGCGGTCTCACCACTTCGGTCTGCTCCGAATACTACCTGCTGGATATGGTTCGTGCAGGGTCAATCGCTTGATGTGTCGACGGTGACACTGTTTCGGGAGGGACTGCAGGTGACTAGGGCATGGGTTGGGTGATAATCGTGTAGAGGATCGAATTGTCATACTCACTACTGCGGTACATGATTTAGTACAACTCCGAGCCGCGACACTTAGTAGCGGCTCAGGTAGTACGAACCTCAGTACATGGCTGAAAGTCGGTCATACCAAGTTCTATTGTCTGTGATATATACAGTATACAGTATGCACTATGTAGTATGGTCTATACACTATACAGTACCTTCTAACCCGACTGAATAATTCTGGTAAGCTTTTTCTCTGCAATGGAATTGACAGGTTGTGTCAGATAGTGCAGTTTCGTGTAGATCTCTTACGGTGTGTGTAGATTACTCATTACAATGCTACTTCCAAAGCGAGTTAGCCAGCGGGAGGACGTTGGAAATGAGGACCCTCGACGGCAACCCTGCAGAGACTATCGGAGCATTAGCCTGGTTGGAGGCAGGTGCGACGATCGGTAGTACGGAGGAGCTACGGATACTCTAGAGTTTCGGGTTTGGAGGGGTTGATTTGCATCAAACGAAGGTCCTTCAAGTGTGAAACGTGGAGATACGCACGGAATCTCGTTTGTTGTTCTTGGCCGCAGCAGGCAGTACGCGTCGAGGACATGGAATTTCCACTGCGTTGGACACTTCATCGGAGCTGTGCGTCTATGGATCGCGATCGACTATATGCCCTTGTATGTAGATGGGTGGGGTAATAGGCTGGGGAGAAGGAGCCCAGCGAATGACCGCCCAAGCTATGGCGTCTTCCATCTGTGTGTACTGTGTAGTACTTAACTTACTACGGTTAAGTTAGTACTCACCGACTTACTTACTACATCGAGTCATACAAAACGCAAACTTAGCATACTACTAGTAGGGTATTGGCCACTTGGCTGATCCTGATATGCTCGAGTTGAGGGTGGGAAAAGGAGGTCAAGGAAGCAGATGTGACGGACCACGGAGACCGTGGAGAGGACTAAGGTTTGATGGTCATTTTGGTGGACACTGAACACTGAACACTGTCCAGTGGACAGTGATGATGGGACGGAATGGATTGGTAGAATCATCTGATTGAGCTTCTTGTGCATGTGATTTGATAGTTTATGATTTGCCTCTTCGTTCCCATCCTGAACCCGCCCTGTCAGGTTTGAGTTTCACATGTACAAGCTCGCAACCGATTACATTGGACCATCACTTCCTGACTACTGTACAGAGATAGAAGAGGACACTCCGGACAGAGTATCAGGAGCTCGACTATTCCCGATAAGTTTATTGGTCATCCACGTCCCATGTGAAAACCCCGCTCACAACAATCCCTCCGATCGATTCTTTGAAGGTGAATCCGAGACAAAAAAAAAGCATTGTGCTCCATGTGGCTGCAACGGATCATCCTTGCCATGGCCATCTGTTGATGGGATCGTCTTTCTCGCCTCTTGTCTCGGCAAAGGAGCCGTGAAACATGCACCTGCTCGAGTTAACCATAATTCCCTTCTTGTCTCCTTTTGTGGAGTCCGAGCGGGACCCGGTTGTACTCAACCTTACTCTTAATCGGTGACTGAGGCGGGTAAATGCGCCAGTCAAATCCCTTGCCACCAATCATAGACACTCGTATTCACCTTCTTGACCTCCACTCTACCCTCCAGCCGGAACGTTTCCTATCCTGACTCTTCGGATGGAAGATCCTCTGGAAGATCGTACTGTACATCCTGGGCAACCATCACTGTCAAGGACCCGTGAAGATGGATGAGCCCCTCACTCGAGTCCGGTGGGATTTGAGGAACTGCCAAGTAGAGGAACGCGTCTTGTCCTTATCAGGAAACAGCTTGACCGTCCGGTTGTTGATCCCGACCTGCCACAGCGTAAAGAGGCTCCCATGGATCTGGTCCGGTGAGCGCTTTCCGAGACGATCAACGCGTTGTCCACGGCGCCAAGGTGGGAACCCCTCCCCAAAAAAAAGATGTATGTAACAATATGAGAGAAAGAAAAAGATGAAATAAGTTAACAACACATGGCGGAGGGACGATCGCGCAGGGCCCAGAGTCCAATCACATCTATCGATTGGATCGTGCCCCCAACTCCATGCCGCCAGTCCAGGGAACCACGCCGAGGGGGCTTACGAGTCGCATGGAGGGCGGTCGCCACGATCTTCAATCGACCTACCGTTCCTGAGAATCCAACATTTCACGAGGGATAAGAGTGACTGGACGGTGGAGTAGAAGGCCCTGTGACTGTACAGTGTACTGTATGCAGGACATGGAGCCTTCTCTTTTTTTTTTTCTTTCTTTCTTTTTTTTTCTGATCATCCGCGGTGCATCAAGCTTTGGAATCGGCGCAGATGCTAGAATTACGTGAGACCACCCCGATATCGGGAGCTATACAACTGTGATGGTCAGGTGATCTCTCCCGGTCCCTAGTCCTACTAGTTTTAGTCCTAGTACTACTGTCTTTGCATTGCAGCCCTCACATTTTTGGGTTGCAAGAGTACCCCCTGTGAGTCAATGCAATTCGGCGCCATCCGACCGTCTATCCACATCCGCGGCAATGCTCTGATCATGTGAGTTGAAGGAGTCGTGACCGTAGTCAAGTGGAGTAAGCCGTGAAGCACTAAGGACGGGGAGTGTCACGCGCTCTAAGCTTCATCAAGGCGACCCTTGAACAAGCTAGTATGCTTAATCAGTCAGCTCATTGTCCCCGTGGCCGGGTGCTTGGAAGTTGTCCGCTACAGGCTACACATTACAGTACTACACTCACGTACAGTGTGGACTGTGGACGGTGGATGACTCCCGAAACAGGCCTCAATCTGAGAGCCGTTGTCCGTCTTGCAGTTTGAACGCGCGTGTTCTCCAACATATTTCGCCGCCCGAACCAGGGAGGGGCCCCAAAAGCCATCGACAATGTGACTGGCGCGATGGTGATCCGGCCGCAAGCCACAATCAAGCCTCGTCAACCACGAAGTTGGCCTTGATCAGGGGAGAATGACTCCAGTCCCTGTCAAGGCGGCTTGCGAAGAGGAGTCCTACCGGTACCACGTACCTACTTAGACTTAGAACTAGGTAGTTTCACGGCAGTGCTGCACTTACCAACATGCGGTCAGGTCAGCAGATGCGCGACGGTGTCGATCTCCAGTACCCTCCCGGGTCCCTTGCAGCACAAGCGGTTTCAGTACCTGAAGTACACACCTACCACTACGGAGTACGGACCAACAAGACGAGGATGGATATTGTTTCCAGCTGACAATCTCCCCACCTGGAATGGCAGGTTCATGCTGCCTATTTTCCATGCATGCGTATTCGAATTCTTTTTGACACCTGAAAGAGGTATGGATTCGGAGTCATCGACGATTGTATCATTGTACCATTACACGCAGCACGCGAAACGCTCGCAGACTCGATCTCGGACGCTAAGGAACTCACGATCGCATACGCGATCAGAGCTCACGTCCGAGCTCAGATCACTCGTGCTTGAAAGCCTCGGCACTACTCTACTCCATGAAGAATTACATATGGGTACTTCATTCTCCAACCCTCATGAAATGTGAGACTGGATCCAATTGATCAGTCGTCCCGCCAAAGCAAGTGGGGGCCGTCACCTTTTCCGACGGTGACCATAACATGGTGACCATGACCCTGACTGTGGACATGGCCTGCCAGCTGGGCTTCGGGCTCCAGTTGGAATGAATGGAATAATGCGCTATGCTCTGTCTAACCCGATCGGGTTTGAAATGTTGCGGAAGGGGAACAAGCTGATCGGCGTCCATTCGTACAAAAAAAAAATGCAAAGACAATGTGCATGTGTAAAGGATCGATTCGCTCAATATCTCAGGGCTCTTTTCCGTGCCGATCCAACGGGAAATTGGCGTTGGTTTCATTTTGACGGTGAGATTTTCTCCGGTTATACTTGACTGGCTACCGTCATGTCGGGCAGAGTGTTGAGGAACAGTTGACATTGATAATGGCAAGAAAAGGGCAGGAGGATAAACTGCAGGCTCGACTCCTTTGTTCCAATTAAAAATAAAATAGAGAAGAAATGTGTAAATCAGAAGAACCTGAAGACTTATTCGGACCGAGTCCCATGTGGACGGCCTTGCGTAAGGGAAGATGCACTGTTTTCCGTCTGAGTCGTCAACTCAAACTAGAAGAATTGATGGTTATTGAGGCTCGGGGTCGGACCTGACACAAGTTCACGCAGGCGTTGGTCGCTGGACTCTGAAGTGATTTATCAGATACGGAGGCTTAGTTTGGAGAAAGACTGTAAAGTCTTGGCCGGTGCAGATGACACCACCGCAAATGGCCACGAGCACGTTCTGAATGTGGAATTGTGTACCATCCACCTCCATGCTTAATACCCATGCTTCCCGGCTGCAACATCTCTTTTTCCCATACACATGGGCCGACAGCTTCTCCGTTCGAGTTGACCCCTCGCAGTGCTTCAAGTACAGTATGCATATGCATGATGTACATCAGCAAAGAACCTCTGGCAAGTGACAGAAGGCCATTGATACCAAAAGCTTCAAGATCACCAGATCACAAACTGCTTGGATTCGCTGTCAACCACAGCCGTGAATTCGGGTACAACTCAAGAGCTCCAACAGATCGAGCAACGCCTCATGAATGACGGTTCTTCCCGTCTAACGAGACATGACTCGTGCAGTTTTTTTTTTTTTTTTTTTTTTTTTGTTTTTTTTTTTTTTTTCACTTCGTGGGAGATACTCTGTACTAAAGTAGTGCCACACTGCGACGTGGCCGAGCCCGTTTGGGCCCAGACGTTCTGTCCTCTTCCGTTCCACCCGTCATCTGCGCCGAGAGCTGCAGCGAACTCCCTCTAGTGCCGGGGTGGGAGTGGGCTAGACCGTCCACTTTCGAGCCCGTGCGGAAAAAGATTGTGTCAGGAAGCTTCGGCTGAAGATTCCTTAAAACTGGGTTTCACCCCCTCCCCCCATGCCACCCTAATGCCCCTAGTGGTAGTGGTTTTCTGACAGCCGAAGGAAAGGGAACGGCGGAAAGGGGAGAGGGACAAAAGAGGGGGGAAGTTTGTTTTTCCTGATCCAACTTTAACGTGGAATCTTGTTCCGTCTCGGCAGTTGTGTAGCGACGGCGTGTGGGAGGAGGTTTATTGTAGAACTTTATATATTTTAAATTGCTAAGTAGTGTATAGTCACTATGGTGTACAGTATAGCTAAACTAGTATACAGCTTTGAAGTTATCGCGGTTTCATACCTTATTCCTTACCTTTTTTTTTTTTTTTTTTTTTTTTTTCAAATTGAAATTTGACTATCCTCACTACAGTGTCGGTCTTGAGTGGTGTGGGTCCTCCGCACGTGGCGAGGGTCAGGCCCAAGAGAGGGCTTGGTGTTGAACAATCAGCAGTTTTGTTGGAATCCATCTGTCGAGATTGTCGGCTATGATCTTCAAATCCGATTGCCCTTATTGCTCTTCAAGGTTATGTTGGACTCGGCGGGCTCCGATTCGTGGGAAGGGAAATCATTTTCGACCTTTTTTTGGACAACAAAAAAGACATCTGGACCACTTTCTTGTGGAAATGTAGTAATGGTGCAGTAGGGCACATGGACAGTAGTGGCAATCTGTGACTCTGTATACTCTTGTCCTGGACTCACATCGTGTCTGCTCCCCGTATCAAGCAGGTCAGTAGACTCATGGTAGTGATAGTAGTAGAAATAGGGTAATAGTAGTGGTAGCTTCAACTTTGATCGTCAAACTTTATTGCCCAAAGTGAAATATTCGCCCGAAGAAGCGCACTTGCCGAGGAATCGTCGCAAGCTCGCCGACTCCTAGTCTTCTACTTTCTCAGTAGTGAACGACGTTGGTAGCAGTGTACACGTGCGGTCTTGTTGCTCACTTGCTAGTAAGGCTTTAGATGGTCATCTGGGCTTTCCGTTCCCGTGGAAAACACGCACATCCACCTTCTCTCCATTGCTCGAGCCATCTGGTCTGGTGTACGGTCAACCTCCGTCAAGTTAGTTGGCTGTGGTACATGTCCAGACGCATCGTATCGACTACTGATCTCTCGTCCTCGTGCTCACTGCCCGGTCATGTCCACCCAAGTGCTTTTTGAGTCGCCCCCTTCACGCCACGGTGCCCGGTGCTCAGAGCCATCACGGCGGATGATGAGAATCATGGAACCGCAGGCCCATCGGCTCTTGGCCTCGTCCCGTTTTCGCCGCATCTTTGCCCCTCGTGATTTGCTGTGCTCTTTGGTGGCCTGGGATGACGATCTTTCCTCTTTCTTCCTTCTGGTCGTTCCTCTTCGGGTTCCTCTTTTTCTTTTTCTTTTCTTTTTTATTTTTTTTTCTTGGTTTGTCCCCTTCACTTAGTCACCTACTCTTTGATCTCTTCCTGATTCCCCTTTCCTCTCTGTCGATTGAGAGTTTTGGAGTTCACACCTACGATCAGTCACTTAGCCATATCTCGGACGTCGTCGAATGATTCTACTAACTCGATTCTTGTACCCATCGTTCTCGTCCAACCTTCTTCAAAGTTCCCGGCCATACCAGTAGTGGCAGTATTAGGTGTTGTTCTACATAATACAACAGTGCTACGTGCTACGTAGTTCATCTGTCTAGGCTTGAGTAGTACTGCTAGATCAAATCCTATTATTTTCCTCTTGCTCTACCCTACCGTACAATCATTCTCGTCTTCTACCAGACTGCTCATCCACACAGTCTGTTCCCCGGTCCACTTTGGCTCTTCTTTTTCCGTTCTTTTTCCACTCTTCCCACTCTGTCCTCTGGCTCCTCTCCGCTCTGCCCGGGTTCACAGTCTCCAACCGCACCGCTGAGGTCATCCTCCCCATCCATCTTCTGCTTTGGGTGATGCTCGCGGCGGATGACCGCCAACACGCTGATTTGACCGGATATGCTGGGCCCCCAACCTCGGCAGTGCCCCCCCCGTCGATGACTCTTTTCGGTCGGATCTCTGATCGACTCCAGCTCTGTTGCTGTCTCGCGTTGCTGTCTTCATTCTTTAATGCGAATTTTAATTTCAATTCTTAGTCTGTTCGGCTTAATTCTTTTTCTCGTGTTTCTTGTTCCTTATCGGTTTCTGATCTTTCCGATTTTCTTCACTACCGTGCTGCTCTTCTTATCCGATCATCTGTCCGTACTCCGTACTCGCAGTCTCCGTACTACTCGTTTTGTACTTGCTGGATTTCCCATCTTTTTGTGTTTTTTTTTTTTTTTTTCGCTCTCTCCCTCTCTCTCGTCTCGAACTTTGGGACGGTCTCCATTCTTCCTCCACGATCTCCTCTGACGTTCAGATCCCCTGGCTCTGGATCGCCATTCGGTTGGTTTCCAGTCTGGACTGTCGACCCGATTCGCTCCTGCATGATTGCTCTTCTCCTCTCCCCCCCCCCCTCGGCCTAAGCTTGCCTGTTCGTGATTTCGTGGACGAGGGTGGAGGAAGACCCTCCTATCCTCGGCGGCTTTTCTCCGTTTTGTGATGCTGAGGTGGATGCCCTTCCTCCCTTTCGGGAATCTGGATTCCCCTGCTTGATCATTTATTCCCTTTCTCTTTCTCTTGGGGTCTTCGCAGTCCCGACGACTCTGTCGCGTCGATTGAGTTGACACTTTGAGGCTGCCACTTTTGGGCTTAAAATCTTGTTTAATCTCCGCGCCCGCTCTCCCGCCTCAGAGCCAATCTGATTCCGCCTGCACGACGACTCAATCCTCCCTCTGCTTGGCCATCCGCATCCACGCGCCACTGCTCTTTCTCTGCCGTGTCGTGGATGTCTCGTAAAAGTTATACCTCGACAACATGATGCCTTGTCATTCTCGCCGCCGGTGCGAATGATCTCCGCAACCTTCCTCGTTGGTGGAATTGGCTCTCTCGTTCACTCTCACCTTCGACAGTTGGGGATCGTCTGGTGGATTTTCCTCTTTCTGGCATTGTCCCGCTCTCTCCTGCTCTCTTTCCTCTCTTTCCATCCTCCTCTCTCTCGATTCAATCCTCTGTCCTCCCTCTTGTTTCGCATTTCTTTACTTCCAGCCCTCTCGCGGAGTGCGTTCCTTTGACTCCAGTCTCCTTACCTTTCTCTCTCCCCCCCCCCCCCCCCCCCATCCCAGTCCTGCTCCGTGGGCGCGGCGCGACCCTGTTGGATTTCTCGGACGACCCAGACCCAACATTCCCGACATACTATAAGTTTGGTGCCGCCGACAGAAACCCGAAGCGATCGCGATCAAGCTTTGCCCGTGACGAGTCGGCCTGTTCGCTAACCAATTTGGTCACGCCGCCATCGACTCGGATAAAGTGTTCCTGTCACCACTGTTGATGATTTCCAACCCGATCATCAAAATCCCTCGATTTGTGCGCCTGTTCAAAGGTTTCTCAAGTGCGCGGGTCATTGGTCGGCGTGGTCGCAATCACTCAATTAGTCTAATCCTGCACAGACGTCCTCCATTTGACATTGTGGAGAGGCGACACCACCACCGTGATTGTTTTCGTCCCGATAGGACTCCAATCTGTTAGTTCGCCCGTCTTACAGGGAGCCTTTGTGTGAATAAGCTCGCCTCAAAATATCGGCCACCATGCAACAGCCGTTTCGCTCCGTCAATTCCCATCGGGATGGGTCATATGAGTTGCCACCAGTACAGTCGGTAACCGGCGGATACACTGCTGGCGTCGGGTTACCGTCCGCGCCGCCGAGTCGACCTGACAGTGGAATGCGCATGGCCCATCTATTACAACCCATGCCGCCACTGCAGCAGCCGCAGCATTCCGGGGCACATACTTCACCCCGAGCTCAAGCATCACGGCCACTGCCACCACCGTCGCAGAGCAATGCCTCCGGGTTGACCCCGGCGCCCTCAACCTCGCCTTACACCCGATTCTACGAATCGGCCTCGGGATCCCCCGCCGAGAGTGGAGGTTTGCCAGATGCGCCGTCGATGGGCACGGTCTCGGGAGGTCCGGCCATGTATCAGACCAGCCCCGTGGGTCTCCAGCAGTCAACACCGACGCCGTTGCAGCAAAAGAGAGCCTACCGACAGCGGAGAAAAGATCCCAGTTGCGACGCTTGCCGGGAGCGGAAAGTCAAATGTGATGCCACCGAGACCTCCCATTGCACCGAGTGCATCAATCGGAAAGTTCGATGCCTATTCACCAAAGAGACAAACCGCCGCATGTCGTCAATCAAGCAGGTCCAGGATCTGGAAAAGCAACTGCAAACCACCAAACAACAGCTCCAACAATTACGATCGGGCATGTTACGACCCGATGGGATGATGGACATTGACGATGTGTCGACGACACCGATGATCAAGTTGCCCGAGATTGACTACAAACCGCCGCGGCGACCCAAAGCACTCATCACCCACGATCTGACCTCGGTCAGGTCGAATTTGCGTCTGTACGGACAGGGGATCTTGAAAGCCCCCATCCGCATCAAGTGTCGGGCGCAATATCCAGAGTCCCGGCCGACGTGGCACCAGACTTGCCCCCGAAGGAAGTGGCCGATCGTCTTCTTACGCAGTACTACCGGTGTCTGCATCCAAACTTACCAGTTCTATACTGGCCGGAATTCCTTGCAGCATACGAGGACCTCTATCGGCAAGGCTCCGTGATTGGTGCGTCCAGTGAGTGGGCGGCGGTGCTGTTTGGTGTATTTGCCTGTGGCGTCCTCCATGGTGTCGAACCGAACCGCGAAGAAAAAGGCAAGGAGTATGTTCGCATTTCGTGTGGGATCATTGATGTCTGGCAAGACAATTTCAATCTGGATCGTGTTCGTGCAGCTCTCCTGCTGAGCATTTTTCTCTACGAAGTCAATTCCAAATCGGCCAGTTGGGTTTGGATTGGTTCGGCGGTTCGTGTGGCACAGGAGATTGGGTTGCATATCGAGTCGGGACCGTGGTCGGATGTCGAATGTGAGATGCGCAAACGTATATGGTGGGGGCTATATACATACGATCGGTTCGTCTCCGAGATTCTTGCCCTCTCTTTTCACCTTCGTTGACTAATGTGACATCTTCTTCGCGTCTTGCAGCCTCCTCGCCCTCGAAATGGGGAAACCTGTCGTCATCAACGACCAAGATTGTGACATTGACCTCCCCTTCTCAGGCGATGACCAACCTCTTGCTTCGGGCAATGGGTTAGACCAGCAATCCCCCACACAGTCTCCATTGCTCGCCACCATCCACGTTGTCCGCTCGATAGGCCAGCTCACACGTACCCTGCGCTCCACCACGATCAGCTATGCAACACTAGAGACCTTCGAACGCCACTTCACCATCTGCCGCACCACTTTTCCCGCCCACCTTCAGCTCAAACAAGATACCGATCTCGACCCGCGCTCCCTGGCACCTCTCATATACCTTCAAAACGCCCGCCTGCTTCTCCATCGACATAACATATCCCCCTTTTGCCAGTCCAGCGTCCGCGTTGCCGCTGTAGATTACTGCACATCAATAGCAGTCGATACCGCCCAGATCTTGTCCCGATGCATGCGTCCCCAGGCCGGCGCCGAGGACTGGCGCGGTCCTTTTGTCTCAAGCGCCGGCACTCTCTTGTGCACACACATTTGGCGCTGTACCCTGTTCCTCCTGTTCCGAGAAGAGTTCAGCGCCGCTCTCGCTTGTGTCCAAGCCAGCGCTGCCGTCGGCGACGATCGCTCCGTGAACGCCGCCTGCGGCCGCTACCTCGCATTCTTCCTTCGATGCCTTCTCGACCGCGCCCACCGACACCCGGGGGCCGATCTCTGCCAGGACGAAGAAATGATGGCCTACCTGTCTGGTGATATGCAGGGCACAACCGACGGCAGCTGGGTTTGGCAGGGCAGCGAGTCCGGATCCGAGCTGGAAAAAATTTCCGGATCCACGAGGCCACGGGCCCCAGTGCCTGAACAACGATGGGAAGGATGGGAGTGGGTCGAGCGGACCGTGGCCCGTCTTCAGACTGAACGGCAGCATCGCGATTATGAGCGTCGGGATGTTGTGATTGATTCGAGGCCGGATCATTCTTCGACCCTGCTTGCTCCGCAGGCTGCGGGGTCGGATACGACGAGTGAACGGCGATCTAGCTCTGCACATTCGCGTATGACCATCGCCAGCATTATCTAAGTCCTCGGTGGTGTCGTATTGTACTGTCTTTCGTGGGACAGCTCAATTGATCATTCGGGCTTTATATTGATCTTCTCTACCGTGCAGCCAGCTGTCCGGGGATAGCGGTCTCCAGTGTACCAGCAAGATACCACGAGGTCTCTCCTGACAGAACTCATGAAGTGTCGATCCACTCCAACTCCCTTCGCCTCTGCACATGTCTTTCCTTCCTGTACAGTGAAAATCCGGAAACTGGTTATCGTTCCGGCTAGCCAGGTACACTCACGGCCACTCACATATCTCTGCATTCGTCCTCGCAGGACTCGTTTTCTCTTGTTTTCTTCTCCGGATAACGATTGCATCCACAAGGGCTAGAATTGATCAGCTGCTATCTTTATCGATTCATCTCGTCCCTTTCCTTCTCTCTTCCCTGCTTGTGTCTTCATGTCTTAACCTCACGTTCATCTGGACTTTACTCTTCTGTTTTGGCGCCAATACCCATTTCATTATTATCGTCATGTCACCAACTGCCTGATATCAAGCAAAAATGGCTTAGATAAATACATATCGCAAGCACGTTTGCGGCCCGGGAGGGGAGGGGCTTCTGTCGAGCCCCTCCCTGTTATTCTCGCATTTTGGGCTTACAGCTTACACCAACCGTCTTCCTCCCATTGCCCGTCTCACCTTTCGAATAGCCTCCAACTTATGGTTACCCCGAACTTCGCGCGTAAGGTCCGCTCGGCGCATCTTGCTGGAGGTCGACGGGTCGGGTCCATTCAAGGATGTGTTGTAGGTAGAATTGGTGGGGAGGATCTTCGTTACGATCGTCGCGTTACCCTCGCGGTAATCACTTGTGGGCGGACCGTGGGTCTTGTAGCCGCAATGGCTGGAGACGGCATGTTCCCCGGTGGCGATGTCCTTTCTGGCGAGGGCTCGTTCGAAGAGTTCCAGTGAGGCAAGGGGCTGGTAGAAGGGGACTTCGTGGCCGGACTCGTAGATGCGGACAAAGCTGTAGAGCTCGCTTTGGCGCACTTGGCCGTGAACGATGCCGTCCGAGGTGGTCATGTTGACGAAGCCGGCGTCTTTGTAGCCCGGGGCGTTGATCTCGTCGGCGACGACTTGCCCTCCGAGCCAGTTGCAGTTGTAGTCACTGATGCGAGATTAGCGTGTGATCAAGATGGGCAGGGATTTGTCGATGTCTAGAGGGAGAGAGAGTTGGGGAAAGGGGGCGCCGGGGGGGGGGGGGGGGGGGGGTAGGAGGCACACTCACGCATCGCCAAAGTACATCACCACCTGCACACCGGCCTTGAGCAGTTTTTGCACATCTTCAATGGTGTTTGACTCGCGATCGTCATCACCCGTGTTGGAAAAGGCCTGTGAAACGGTGGACGATGATTCCGAGAAGTTCTGATACGCGCCAATGGCCTCTTGGACCTCGGGACTGTTCATATATTGAACATAGTACTCGTAGGGGAACGGATCCGGGTTCAACTCGCGCATATCATATTCATCGCGGCCAGAATAAATGTCGTACATGGCCTCCACATTGTTCGCGCAGAATTGGTCTGCGCTGGCGCAGATGTCGTTCCGGCCCGTGGCGTAGCACTCCTTCGTCTGGTCGACACAGTTGCCCTTGCCGTAGAGATTGTTGTACCACTTGTTCTTGATGGTGGCGTTGTAAGGATCATAGTCATACGTGTTGCCCGGGTAGACGGAGTAATTGTAGTAAGCCTGGTACTGGATCAGAGGGTCGAACCAGCCATTTCCGATGAGCACATTCTCGAGCCGGATCTCGATTGCGTCGGAAATGTTCTTTTTGTTCTGTTGAAGGAAGTATTCTATCGTGGCCGGAGTGAGCCGTGCACTTTGAACAAGGGAGGACAGATCCCCTTTATTGCAAATTTGACTTGACTTGATCTCTTACCATTGAATACAGGGCCGTAGTGACCACCGTAACTCTCCGTAGTGAAGGAGAAACCCTTGCGAGAGTACTGGGGGAACACTCCCATGAATCCCTGAAGCGTCTTCCACATATTTGGAGCGGCGCCCTGGGTGGAATTCGGCACCAGACCGATATCTGTCTTGGAGTAAGTGCCGCAAGTACCGGTCTCCTCGGCGTAATCAGGACAGGTGTTGTTGGGCAATTGAATAATGGAGTTGCCATCCTGGTACGCCGGGACGGGGATCGAGTAAGAAAGTCCAACTGTGGTGGGCTGGTCGATGAAGAGCTGCGACGTCGTTAGCTTGCTGGTTGGTTCTTACCAGAGGCGAGAGATATCAGTGTTTACCATGTTGCTTGCGTTGGACCAGGAGTAGGGGTTGTTGTAGGCTTTGCCATCGGGTCCAACACCACAGGGTCCGAGTTCTTGGAACAATCCGATCATGGAGGAGGAGCCCGGTCCACCGTTGATCCAGACTGTGAGTGGTGCCTGCGAGACGATCAGCATACAATTCTTGAGTACGAGAGTCCAGGTGTTTAGATGCGCCATGACGAACCTCTGTCGGGTCTTGATTCCTAGCTTCAAAGAACCACCTATCGTTGCACGGTAATTAGAGACGACGTTGTGGCTCGACAGTATCGAGACGATCTCTTACCAAAAGATATGCTCATGTTCACCCACATCGGCATAACCGGAATAGCTCTTCACGTTGGGATCCTGCTCGCAAATTCCTGCAGGCACCTCCTTGTACCGCACATTGATTCCGGCATGTCCCTTTTTGCTGATCAGATCGGTCGGCGCTTTGACAAATTGAGCCGAGACACTGGTGAGAAGCAAAGCAGCTGCGACAGCCGGCGCGCTTGAGTAGTAGCGCACCATTTTCATTCAGCACTGAGCAATGACAATGCGCTGTTTCCCAAGACGAAACCAGCAGAGAGGTAGTAGCGCTGTGTGATGATAGAGAGGTTGGAAGTGACAATGCAGTTCCTTCTGGGGGCCTCAGTGAATTTATTGTCATTTCGCCCGGCCAAGCTCGACGTCAACAATGACTCCGCTCGATGTTTGTCTTTTCCCCATTGAGCTGCGCCTAGCCTTTTGCGCCTCGAATCTGCCCGGGACCACCGTCGTAATCCTTTGTTGACCCTGATAAGGCTTGTCCTAATCAGATTTCCGCCCTTTGAATCGGGAAGGTTGCATTACCTACGACCCTACGCAGGTGGGGGTTCAGTCCAGCCGCGAGCCAAGGCACCGACAGCCCGCAGGGTCCATAGCTTGGCATGATCGTCATTGGGAACTGTTAGTGCGGAGTAAAAAGGGCCTGTGAGCGAGGGATTTGGGAACGAGATATGTCGTCTAATGTCCTGATTGACCATGGTTTTGATCGAGTGTGGCCTTTCCTTTTTGGTTTTTTTTTTTCGGCGATCTCGAGATACGCTTCGTCTACGATGCGGCTCAAGCAACCCTTGTTGCACTGCAGCCCATCCTGAGAAACAAAGCCGGAGATCAACACGGTGTCCAGGAATACTCTAAGCTCACTCAGGCTCAACGGACAGCTGCTCGATTCGGTTAGTGACCATCTAAGCGTGGAGATACCCGGAGTGGCACTTTACACTATCAGTTCAATCGCTGCGGCGACTTTCTCAGGTACACTGCGAGTGAGGTCATGGACGGGATAATGGCGCAAAGACAAAGTCCTTGAGGCTCTGGATTTCTGATATAAATATGTCGCTGGGGCTGGGCCCAACGAGTAGATGAAGTCAATGAACTCGGTTTGAATCGTATCGTTCATGATCATGCAACAACGAGGCGAATGGTCCTGCAGCTCTCATGCACTTTTTTTCTGGATCTGCAGGGCAGTCAACTCAGACCTCCGTTCCGTGTGCGTCATCTGGGATCGTGCTCAATGACCATATTCTCCTCGCCCCAAATTTTCTCAGACGGATAGGCGAATATGCTGTCTGAGCGCCCCTACTGCTCTCTTAACCCCGCGGTGCACCATTGCTGTGGCCTCGGGTACACTGCCGCAGGTGCACTGATTGGCGAAATGGCGGAGACATTCTTGTTGCTGCTATCAGGCCACAACCGAGACCCAATTCTTTAGGACAGACTTGCTGTGAGGATACCCTCTACCAGGCGTTTAAACTCAACGAGGAACAAATGGCTCTGTCTTGGTGAGGTTGGGCAAGTCTCCTGCTTCATTGTCATACACGATGGACCTCGAGAAAGCGGAGAAACAACACGTGATGGCAATTGATACGCCTGGCTTGGCGTCATCAGCCGACCGGGATTGATCTCCATGAAAGCACGGTGAAGCACCCCACCACTGATCCACGATTCAACAAAGGATGGAAGACATATACTTTACTCTTGACTGAAATCGACTCATTAGGCTGCTGATAGACTCGGGGTAGATTTAGACTGCAAATAGAATCAGTAGAACATTGGAACCCGCACGGAGCCGTGGAGGTGCTGGGTTAGTTCAGCACTTTCCAGTTGCCTATTAAGCTGAAGCATCAGCATGCTCAACATACTATCATTGATACAAGCTACTTCTCATACCGCATTTTAGAAATGCGATCGACTGGCCATAGAAAATATACTCTGTGAACGAGCCAGTCGACGGAGACGCGACTCCTCCGTCGAGAACACGGACTAGATGGGACTGGGAATTACCACCTGCAATATCTCCCATCTGATGTAAATGATCTCATATTTACCGAGCTATTACCTCCAGGTGGCGCCGTTCACTAAAAAGGCTAGGAGAAATGGAAGTTTCGAAGGAAACATGAGCGGACGATCAGCACAATATCATGAGCTTAGTGACGGACTTAGTCTGAGCTTGGAAAATCACAGTCTTACAGTCGATTGCCTACGAAACAAACAGAATCAAATTTCAGGTCGCACAACGCCAGAGGCGAGCAGACTTGAAAAATGCCTCTTCACAAGGTCAGTTTTCGCTTTGGGCGTCTGTTGACTCTCTTGATGATTCCCGTTCGCGCGGACAGATTCGTGTTCGATGCTCAAATCTCTGAGATTCTCTCAGGTTGCGTTGCATGATGGTGTCACGGAGTATGACATTGAACGGTAGGTGATTTGCAGATCGTCCGGACGCAACAGTTAGGGCAGTTCAAACTAAGTATTGAATACGATGCAGTCTCAAAGCACTGGTCAAATCCGCCGGAGGTCAGATTACTGGCGAAGATGATGGTGAAGTACAGTCAGTCCCGTCCAGTGAATTCAACCTACAACCCTTGATCTAGCTCTTACTCACAAGCCGTCAACCACGCACTATAGGTTTCGTGTCCCAGACTGCTTCGATCTACATCTCATCACGAAGAACTTGCTCGTTGAGACCATGTCGGATCACCCATAGGATAGTCAACCGCCCCCACTACTTGGACACTTCATGTGAGGAATGAGGCGTATTGAAAGAAAGGTGCTATTTACAGAAGACATTGCTTCGTCTGCATGAGATTCCTTCAGGGGCTTCGGCTCTCAATCACCAATTTGTGTGAACTGGAGACACACTGATGTTACGTTATGTTATCCTGAAAAGAGAAGTATCTGATTGCAAAGAGCCCTGATCTCATATGTCGGTAGTTCCTTAAGCTTTGTAGATTATTCGATATGCTGATCTCACATGGGGGCCGAGGGTCTTCATCTAGTACGACGTGAGGGAAAGAACGAGGGACGAGGAAAACTATTTCACACCCAGTACCGTAGTCTTTATCTACTACCACAGGAATAGGCTATATTGATTGTTTGACGGCATTCTTATCTTCAAACCTCTGACTGTCGCGGGCCTCTTCACCTGAATAGCTGGGATTTCATACATTGACGGGACTGTTCGCCATACCGGGACGCGACTGTGTCACATATTCAGACTTGACCCGTGAATCAATTTCCCTCTAGAATCATATTTCATGTCATTGCAGTGCCATCAATATGCGCATCGTTCCTCAGCATACGAGCAAGTTCTTCCAAACTCAACTTTGCCGACTTGGGACTACCACTTGAAATCTCACAACAAGAGCCTCGGTATTGCTTCACTACGCAATCCGAACATAAACTACCTACCCCGTTCCCACCGACCAATCTCTGCGCCGCTCTCGCACTCATCGACCACGAACTTCGAATCCAAGTATACCCCATCAATTCAGTTCAACTTGAATGAAGCGAATTTTGTGGAGCAAAATATGATCGACTTCCTTTTCGGGATTTGAGGCCTAGTTGTCTACCGATGCACCTACAGAAGCGACACAGACCGGGAAGAGTTCATTAGTCGATTTCTGATACACGTGAAAAGCAACCTAGAATACTACGACAGCCTAGATATGCTGGACTCCCTTGAATTGACAGTCATGCAAGACAAAGACCACTTTGATGGCTTAACCCCTTAAGCCATACTCGATCACTTCAATCAGTGGGCACGCACTGCATGTGTAGCAGAGCAAGGCCGACCATATGATCATGCCCGATGGACCCCTATTCCACAATACAGAAATTGCCTTATGGTGGACGAGCGGTCCTTACCATAAGTTCTAAACATTTCTCTTGAGGATATCGACTCTTTCAACAAGCCTGGGTTTGTGATCATGATTGATAGCTCGTGGAGGCACCCCTACCAGAACGAAGTCGCCGAGACTTATCACGCAGAAGTCCGTGCATATCGGTGTTGGTGTTGTCGAGACAATTGGTGCGGTGAAATTTGCCCTTGCGTCGAGAGCCTACCGTGTAGGACTGCTGTAGGTGTACGTGGTGGCGTTCACTTGCAGCTGGATGTGAGCGAGGCGTAGTTGCTTGCAAGAGCATCATCGTAGCCAAAACGGGCTGGCAAGTTCAAGCGCCAGGCCCCCGAGCCAACAATCAGAACACTGTTGATCAGAAGTGAAATTCTGGGAAGACCACGACTGGATCGAAGGATCATAGTACTTTCCAGTCTAGTGCTCAGTTCTACGAGATAGGTAGTATGGGAAGATGTTGTTGTCCACGATGAAAGTAGCTGGGTAAGCAACCTGTTCAATCACGATGATCTGGGATTGAGGGTAACAAGCGGCTGCAATAACAACAGATTTAGCGGCCTTCGTAGTATTGTAGCAACCTCGTGGCAAATTGCTGGAAGAACCTCGTCCGCTGACATGATGCTATAAATATGCGGGATTGTTTAGTTCCTACTAGGTACCTCACCCACTCAACATGACAATTACGTTCAGTGGGTTTATCCCTTGACCGATCAGGCTTTGCTATTGACGGCGAAGTGTACTTCATTTATTACTGGTATACTGAAGCTCACTCGGGACATTGTGTATTGAGTTCACGTGGTCTACGCTTGCCCGGTGTCTGCCTTGATCGGACGGAACCCCATCATACCTCGTCTCGACGCGGATCACGGGATTGAGTGGAGCACGGCCGTTGTGTAAGTAACCCGTCAAGAAATGAACCTCGGCTCATCGATCCCGCGCAAGCTGCCGACCGGATCGCTCAAAAAGTGCTGGATACCGCCGCGATCCGGATCGTCAGGCTGCTGAGCGCCCCCCCCCCGTGTCTCGGTCTCGGCTCATTCAAGATAGCATCAATCTTCCTTCAAGTCTCCAACAACGTTCTTCTGGGCAACTACAGTGCGACACCATGGGCAAACGCGCGACCCTTCTCGATCCTCCAGCTCTGGACGAGTCCAAGGCTCCAATCGAAAATGTGCTTGATCTGACGACGGTTGTGGATCTCGGGCCTGTAAGAACATGCCAACTCGTGTTCAGATTTTCCCCTTTCGTCGCAATGATGAGCTGACATGTTGGTCCCCTATGTATCTAGGATGTCTTCACAAACACTCGCCCGCTATGGCATCCTCCCGGTGCTCGCGGCATCTACGGCGGCGCCGCCATCGCCCAGTCCCTCTCTGCCGCCATGCGCACCGTCCCGTCCGACTTTGCCGTGCACAGCATGCACTGCTATTTTGTTCTCGCCGGCGATTCCGAAATCCCCATTCTCTACCACGTTGAGCGGGTCCGCGACGGCCGCAGCTTCATCACTCGTACCGTGCAGGCGCGGCAACGAGGGCGACCGATTTTCACCACGACACTTAGCTTCAGTCGAGTCGGCAGCGGCGGCGAAAAGACCCTTGATCATGCGGTGCCCATGCCGCAAGTTCCTCTCCCGCAGGATCTGGTGCCTGGAACCGTCGAAGCTTTGAGCAACTCGGGAAATGGGCCATTTGAGTCTCGAAAGGCGGGCATTGTCAATCGTGCGTCTGAGTCCCTGAGAGAGATAGGGGGGGGGGGGGAAATTCCCCTCCAAAAGTAGTGGAGAATTCTGTTCAGCTGACAATGCATAGGAACGGCGGCCAACCCTGGCGATAAACGGGTGCGCAGATTCGTTCGCGCCCGTGGCCACATTTCGCAAGAAGGTGGCTTTCAGGCACACCTGTCAACACTGGCCTATGTCACCGACAGCCACTTCATCGGCACCATTGCACGCGTCCACGATCTGCCCCGCTTCTCCTCTCCCCACGAGCTCCAAATGATGCTGCAGGCGTTGAAGAACCCGTCCGACCTCGACGACGAGGATATCACCAAGGCCTTGCGGGAACTCAAAGAAGAAGAGGCGGCCGCCTTGCGTCGCAAATTGCAGGGAGCTTTGGACGATGCGACCCAGGGTCAGAACAGGGACCGAAATGAGCTCGGTATGATGGTCAGCCTGGATCACTCTATTTACTTCCATAACCCGCGCGCTTTCCGAGCCGATGAGTGGATGTTGATTGAAATGGAGAGTCCGTGGGCGGGTGAGGGCCGTGGGCTGGCTATTCAGAAGATTTGGTCGCAGGACGGCACGTTAATTGCCACGTGCACTCAGGAGGTATGTCGACGACCTTGACGCCCATGAATTTTTGAAATTCTTGCCTTTTGCTGACTCGACTTTTCTTTTTTTTTTTTTTTTTTTTTTCAACAGGGTGTCGTGCGCTTAAAGCAAGATAAGGCTCCCAAGTCAAAGATCTGATCGCCATTACATGGCATATACTACATTCGATTCGTTTACTTGTTTCGCTGTTCTTCATCTTACCGCCACACGTACACTCGATCAGCTACTGCAGTCCTGATTTTCTGTTGTCAATATTCTTATAGATACATTCCGGCCGACTTGCCATTTCATTACATTTTACCAGCGAGCGCTTCTTTCGTTCGACTTTTTTGCCATGATGTCACCTCAATGGAAAAGGACCTCGGCAGTGGAAAGATTTCACCTCCGATAAGGCCCAAATCGAGGGGCAGGTTTTTTGCCAACTTCAATCTCAATTTCAGTTCCAGTAACAACTTGCATTCTTGTTGGCTTATGACACAATTCAAAACATTAGCTGTAAGACATAGACAGTCATAGTCCCAGGAGTCATTGCAGTAGTCATGAGCGCATTCCAGTCGGATGGCAAAAAAAAGAAAAAAAGAAAAAAAGAAAAGTAACTCAGAAAGGACATGTAAATAATTCAGACAGCCAGCCCAGTTTTGTCACCATGCAGAATAGGTAGAAAACTCATGATCAAATTCGTTTCACGCCGTTGCGATGCAACCTTCGGACGACAACCACGAGCGCGACTCACAGTCGCACTTTTGACAATACTTGCCCATCGTGCGAAACGCAGAAAAACAGCAAAGGTGTGCAGTCAGGAGGTGTACTCGTCGACTCGACTCACCCGGCTCCCCAGCTTCAGATTAGCAGATCTTCTTCCTCGTCCCGTTCATTCTCCAGTGCAATGGTCGATTGTCACACGTCCAACTTCTCCTGTGTCGCTTGAGCGACACGCACTCGACCCTGGTAATATTCCAGCACCTTGTGTCCCCAGACATGTTTCCCTTTATACTCGCCCACAAAGTCAGGCCAAGTCTTCATCTCTCTCACTAGGTTTTCCAGCTCCGGCATGGACAGCTGATCCAACGGCGTCAGGTACGTCTTCACGCCGAACAAGATGGTCTCGGAGTGTGGCAACCGGCGAAAGGTCTGTCTTTCCTTTCGAATGAGAATGTCCGAGGGGGTCGGGTCCCGTGAGTCGCTCTTCTCGCAGAGTCCCTGTGGTCGATACAGGATCTCGATGAGCCGCTCGTCGGACTGTTTGACTTCGACAAAGTAGTTTGATCGCTCCATGGGGGAGTTGGGGGTCAGGCGGGCCAGAAATCTGGTGGAGACGAGTGGATCGCAATCAGCATACCGCGTGGGGGGGGGGGGAAGAAAGAAGTGGAGTGGGGGAACGATGGAAGATGGAGAAGAAGAACAATAAAGCGCGCTACGAGCGCATGACACCTTTTTTTTTTGGGATTTCTGTTCCCCTCCCTTTCCTTTTTGTGTTCCAGTGTCTTACTTACTTGCTCACGGAATTGGCAACCTGTTGGTGCCACAATGGCACAGGTCCATGCAGGCGAGAAATGGTCCATCCGATTCGTTCCTGGACGGTCCATCCGGTGGGAAAGAGACTTGCGCTGGCGGCCCTGTTAGGGGGAGGAGAGGTTAGTTAAGGGAAAAGAAATCCATGGCTGAGATGGGGCAAATGTAGGAAGTTCCTTTGCGTGTGAGGTTGGGAATTTTGAAGTCCTCCAAAGAAGAATGCATGTTCTGAGCGGCCGGTCCGGAAAATGAAATCCAAAAAAAAAAAGAAAAAGAAAAAGAAAAGAACAAGAAAAGAGTCGTACAGATAGTATTCACCCTCTTCATTGACCATCAAAATGCTGAGATCCTCCATCGTGAGTCGGACAGCCGCCTCAAGCGCGTCAATTCCGTCACCGCTCGAGGCTGGGCCTCGTACCGCAAATTGTTCTCCCGTCATGCAATTGCGTATTGACGCAGTGTCGCCGTCCACCAATGTCTGAAACATACTCGGATATCGCGCGCACAGGAATTCCGCCACCACCTCCAGTGCTTCTTGGCAAGCCGCGGCCGCCTCGGGTAGACATTGGATGACTTCTTCTCGTTTGTCGCGCAGCAAGACATCTCGCACCGCATGCTGCTCCTTGTAGTTTTGGTCGAGTGTCAACCAATTGTGCTTGTCTAGTTTGCGAATGTCCATCATGACGCGGTATCGCTCTCGGCCTGGGATCGGTCGTGCGGGACACGGCATCATGTGCTTGACGTCGGTCGAGGTGGGAGGAGATGATGCATTGCTGCGAAAGAGGAACGGTATGGCAATTGATGCGATCCATCTTCGAATGTGCTGATAGTGTCGTACGGCAAGGATGAGGACGACAATCGGAAGTGCCACCAGTGCGAAGGTTGTCATAATTCTCCCATTCAATTCGGAGGACCTTTTTTTTCCCTTTCTTTTCTTGAAAGTTCAGCGCTTGTTCTTTCTTTCTATCGAGAGACGAAAAAAAAAGTCACGAGCAGTCTGTCGGTCAATTGATAGGAGAGGGACGATCTTTTAAAGAATTTATCTGAGGTAAGAAGCACAGGAAAGAAGTTTTTCTTGCGCTCTTTTCTTTTCTTTTTCGGTGGCTTTGAACGGAGCACGAGGGCCAGCAAAAAGCAAAAAAAAAAGGAAGAAAAAAAGAAAAAAAAAAAAAAATAGAGCAGAACTTTGACGAGAAACAAAAAAAAAAGCAATCACCTGAAGAAGGAGGTAAAAGCAAAGAGCTCTATGAAGAAGGTCACGATTCAAGACGTTCCGGCTGAGTTACTCTCCTTCTTATAGTTCCGTACTCGCTTCACTCTTCGGTGGATTCGTCTACCTCGACAGGACGCGAAGACATCTCCAGTGTTGCCAACACAGTCGGTCTCATCCCCAACCCAAACAACATGGCCCTAAAAGACAGTCATCCATCTTGATCACGAGATGATCGAGCGAGCACATCCTTGACTCGAATGGAAGGAGGCCTGGGGGTATGTCCACCCTGGGAAGTATGGCGACCCTCGACCGCATTCCCGATCTCGCGGAAGTCTGATGATTCGCTCCAGGGATTCCCCGCAATTGCCAAAACGCCGCAGTTCGTCTTTGGGGAATCACCCAACAGGAGCAGCGGCAAGCCACATGATCGATTGGCCTCCAGGTTCGTCGAGTCCAGCCCGTGCCAATGGATCGTCAATGGGATGCAAAGGGGGGATCTGGACGTGGGGATGATGCATGACTAGTGGCGTCCTTTCGGTCCATGTCCAGCCCGACCATCTCGTTCAGCCCCAAGACCGGGCCCGAGTCATTGCGTGGTAAAGGAGTAGGATAGTAGTATCGGATAAGTTGATGGGCAATTCCTGCGTATACGATCAGGCCTACATGACATGAACTTGGTGCAATGTGAATTGATGCGACAAACCCCAAGACACAGGAATCAGTCTTTCACCAAGCCTTTAGAAATGTCTGATTTGCGGTCAAAAACATATGACATCGAGACACCTTCAAGAGAGATTCTAGGCCTATCTCGGTGAATATCTATATTGTATAGAGCATAGACGATAGAGCGCGCAGATGCTCACTATTCTTGGAAATTATGACCCACGAGCACGACAGGTCCTCTAGCATCATCGTGGCTCCAGCCTCCAGGTCCATTAGCGTTCCATCATCAAGCTCTCATCTCCTCACAACTGTCCGTGCGCGTACCGCTTACTCCTCATAGGCTCATACGAACTCTTGTAGTTCGCTGCGCTACCGCAGGGTGACAGTTTCGGGAAACTCCCCTCGAGACCAGTATGAGCTAAGCGGACGGGACGCTGGTATCAAGCTGGGGGTCCTGTAATCTTGGAAGTAGTCCAGCTAGTGCTACTAGCTACTTGTATGTATATTGCGCAGTAGTCATGTTAACGGGCCTTGGTTCAGGCGTGCGGAACACTCGGACCAGTTGATTTCTTCTGCCGCCGCGTGAGGCGAGCAATAAGCACGCCGTAGGACTCCGTCAGTTGGTTCACTTGGACCCATCCCAACCTCGGGGGGGACTCATACCTTGGCATGTCCAAAGGATTAGTGTGTAACTGTGCATATGTGCTCTATGTACCGTGAAGTGAGAATGTACTAATGTCGTGATACTACTACATGAGTAGGGTCCACCTTGGGTAACCAGACATGCAGCTCTGGATGGCCATCATTCAGTAGTCAAAGTGAGGCACAGCCTCGGTGCCTAGTGCCTAGTGCCTAGTATAACCAAAAAAAAAAATCGATACTAACTGAGACGGGTGCATTCTTATTGGTATTCGGTTGGGTGGGTACCTAGTCCTACTACCTGGAACTTACTAGTTCACTAGTAGCAAAGGCGATGACTCTTTGTACCGTGGATATCTGTGAAATCATGACTCCTCGCAAGTTTTCTGGGCCACTACTTGACTATGCGACGAGTAGTGCGGAAGTCAAAGTAGGCAGTACTAACTATACTGTAGCAGTGAACCCGTCATCCATGTAGTCCCTTGTGGAACTGCCATTTTCGACGTGCAACGCAGTACGTAAGGTCCAATCTGGTGTTCTGGGCATCCCGCGCAACATCGATCTTACCCAGTGACCCACTAGGAGTAGGTACCTCATCATGTCCGTGGCACCCCTAATTGAGAACCCCCACTTAACTGTACAATATGGAAGTACTACGAAGATCTCACGGGCGAATCTCGGTCATGAACAAAATCACCCGTAGTATCAAGTCATTCCAGTCGACTGGCTAAGCTGGGTGATCCGCTAGAGCGAAGATCAACACCTCAGGACTTCCGAGTATCCTTCATCACCCATCATGATCCACTTGCTTGAAAACAGTCTCGTCCGACTATCGGATCAAGCATCCGACCTTCTCGAATAGGCCAGTGGACAGTAGCAAGGTACGTACTGCAACGTACGTACCCACATTCTTCTCAATTCTACCTTACTTACCTACCTCGCGAAAGGGGTTCCGATCAATATCATCTAGCCAAACACGTCGCCGACCGCTCTCGCCCACGTCCCGGCAAAAACGGGACCCGCAGCAGGTACATGGCGACGCGCATGGAGTCACGGACATTGACGCATCGTTTTCTGCACCCCAACTTGCAAGAGGCCCACCTGGACGCAGTCATCACATGGACCCGTTCCACGATCACCGGACGCGTTTTCAGCCCCTGGCGTGCTTGGAGGGGTCTGCACCATCGTCTCGAAGGGGAAGTCGATTCTGTCAACGTGGAGACGTGGAGACGTGCACGAGTACCGACTCTACTGAGTGCTGACGACTCGTCAGCACTCATTCAAGTGGTCAGCTGGTTTTTCAGACGAAGATATAGCCCTGGAATTCATGCAATTCGCACTCCTTTACTGTCTAATAACATCCTCTCTGTACAAGGGTACATACTATGACTCGATTCGAACGAGACTACATCGATGGTTTAGTAGGTGTGTTCCACATGCTTATTGGATTAGAGCGAGGTAGTTGGTATGATCAATCTCCACGCTCACCCCCATCTGTTGTCAGTACCAAACTCTCTAGCTATCACAACAATGAATTCCAACCTGACTCAACGTGAAAGTATTCCTTGCTCACCATCGTAGGACTGGGCTCTGTTGGTGATTCGCAGGCTCCAACCGTCCCACTTCACCAGTGCAGTCAGTCGACTCCACCAGAGCTGAAAAGCCTCCCCCACTCAAACGAGTCAACCCGCCCAACGATCGCTCGCCCAAAGCGCGCTTGCCGCAGCTTCGTGGAAGTGGCCCCGAAGTACGGAAGTACGGTACTACTGTGCTATGGTGCAGTAGTGCAGCAATGCAGGAGTCGAGGATCTACAAATCCACAATAATGATCCATAATTAGTCCCCACGTAGTTCAATGAGATCATATCGTGGGATTTAAAAGCAAATCACGATCAATTAGTTAGTCGCCACGTAGTCAAATGAGATCACAGTGCGAGATTTAAAAGCGAATCATGATCTACTTGTCACCTCTTCGACATGGTGACACAATGGGATACAAGTTAGGAGGAGTAGCCTCAAATATTAGGTAAAGATCTTGACACAATTAGATCTTTGCATGTCATCCAATTCTACTCACCCCATCTATGTGCCGTGGACCTCCCGTCCCGAGCTGAAAGTGTGCATCAGACCAGCCTCGGCTTCTCCCATCTCGTGATCGTACGTCATCCCTGCATATCCGGCCTTCTGTCAACGTGCTGTCTCGACCGAGGCGGCAGATGCCCGGATTGCCGTCAGCCATGACCCTTGTACCGAAAAAGGCTCACTTTGTATTGAACCCTTTTGGATTGGAGATAGATGGTTATAGAGAACTCGTTGTTGGACGGACCGTGTTTTGATGGTTGATGTCTTGCACTGACTTGCTCGTTTTGATCCAATTTCTCATGAGGACCTGAGTATAGGACCTGAGTAGATCTGTTTACGCCAGAAAGAATATTACGTACAGCCGTAGGGCTTCAAGTCTTTGGTTCAATTGATTTGGATATCGGCTCGGACGACATGGAGGTTCTGACTTTCCGAGTCAATCCAAGTCACTGGAAAGACATGGACTAGCCGATCTCAAGTTCCGATTGGCCTCAACCACAATTCATTTGACGTCGATACGGATATCCTGTCCCATCCCATTTCGCTCAGCCTCCTTGATCCTTTTGAGTTCCTGACAAAACATGCTAGTCTTCCGGATCCGATCCCCATACCGGATAAACGCAAACGGGACGATCGAGACCCCCAGACTCAAAAACGCGATCAAGCTACAGGCCCAATGGACCCCTAATCGATCAAACATCGGTTTCGCCGCCAGTGGAAGAACGGCTCCCAGAATACTTCTCGTACAGCTTGACGCTGACTGGGCACTCGCAGAGAGCGTCTCGTATGCATCGGTGAGATAGTTTAGCATGGCCATGAAGATCAGCAGATAGCCCATCCCAAATGGTATGCCAGATAAGAACGGGACGACCCAGTGGATGTTGGGAGAGGCGGTCCAGCCGACCCAGAAGAGAGATATCACATAGAGGGGCCCGCCGACACAGGCAAGGGGAAGACGACGGTACTCTTCGATCTTGGCCCAGCTGGCTTGGCGGGCTTTGGCGCGGGCCAGGTAGCCGTCGTACCAGATGAAGACGAAGCAGGCTAGGATGGCTCCTGCTCCAACTTTTGTGGTGGGTTAGTACATTGACGACTCATCTATTCAAGCGTGTGGGGGAGTTGCGACTTACTCGGCAAGAACATCAAACCCGAAACGCCGGGGCTCATTTGGTAAACGCCTTGTATCATTCCAGGTCAGCTTTGCCGTTGGGAAGAGTGCAACGCTCTTCGGATGGATGGCAGGTCTGATCAGCGTGGAAAGGCTTACCTTGGAAAATGATGGGATACGCCTCAAAGTAGAGATAAAAGATCGCATATGCCAGCGCCAGATACAGAGACGTCAAACTGACGATCGACTCATGAAGGAGCATTCGAAAAGGTCGCGATATCGTGACTAAGAAAGTCGTTCGAATGTCTCGACTCTCAAATTCCAGTGGAGAAACAATGTTAGTATTTCCCGTCTCCTTTCGAAGCTTCCGTGCCCGGTGATTGAGGATCACGGGGGCATAAGTCTCGGGCATCAGAGCCACCAGAGGTAAAGTGGTGCCCGCAAATATCAAGCCGATCCAGAAACACCACCGCCAACTAACATCGGCGACAAATCCCGATATCAAGGGTCCCATGACGGGACCGAAAGTCGTACACTAGAATTTCAAGAATGAGCTTCACAGGATCTCCTTTTCCTCTTCTAGTCTGTGATCTACCCCTCGGGAAAATGAACGGATGCAACAACGTACAGCCATGAAGTATGCCATGAGGCGACCACGCAATGTGGGATCATCATGCACATCTGCAAATAACCCCCCCACAATCGCAATTGGACAAGACGCCATCATCCCATTGAAAAGCCGGAAGACAAGCAGTGATGTATAAGAATTGGCCACGGCACAGGCGAGAGTGAATATCGTGAACCCGATAAAGGCGACCAGTAACGGACGTCGTCGGCCAAAGTACTCAGAGCCGGGTCCCCACATCAGGGGCCCCACGATATAGCCGATGAGAAAGATGGATATGGGAAGAACAAGCATCTGTTGATTGGTGATATGGAACTCTTTTGCAATTTGGGGGATGGCATTGCTGCAAATCGACGAGCCAACGGTGCTGTTCATGACCTGCATGATACCCGTGAGCAGGACGAGCAACTTTCGGGTCTTCAATGTAAAAATTCGGATTAGCTTGCTGACCATGCAAAATGTCGGGGCCGATTTTCTTTTTGGGCGGTTTAGTTGCACGATGCGCAAATCACCTTTTTCCATTTCACGGGATTTTCACGATCATCTGGCCCAAAGGAGACTATTGTCTTCGAGTTTACTCTCCTGAAATGGGAACTGGAAGGTTGTTCACAACGCTGTTGTATTGCCTCGTGCGGAATATCGTCCAAGGCCTCGGACAGTTCTGATAGTGAGGGTCGTGGCTGGCTTTGCAGCTCGAAGGCCTTTTCCTTTGCTGACCCTACTTCTAGATAGGTTCCAGCACATATGTAAGCTGTGTGCAGTTGGAGGGATCAGTGTTCGGTAAACCCCAGACAGAACTTACCAGCGGCCGCCAGGGATCGATCTATGCTACCCTGCACTGCGATCTGATCGCTCATTCTGCCAAAGACGAGCTTTGCGGTGCCAGCATTCAAAGTCGAACGATGTTGAGAGAGAGCGCGACAGTTCCTGATGGGGGAAACATATTGGTTTCCAAGAAATCCACGTGCGGAGCCAGGTTACGAACTCTCCACGGAGAGATCATCCAATTGAGCTCCTGCTAGAATGATCCCGCTGCATAGACGGGGACCCATCTTGGTCCCACTTGAAAGGCGATGCAGATCGCAGTCAAGCGGGAAGACATGTCCATATTTCCATGGGTACTGCCAATCATTCACCCTGCTTATATCCTCTCCATGTCTGAGAAGGGCTCATGCATATGTGAATCGATTGACATATGACTAATAGCATGCACGGTCTATCTACTCGGCGACGGACCTCGAGGGCTATTCGTGATGGATGAGCGATCAGTCGTCTGTCATCCATCTCGGCTAGGACGGCTTTTCGGCAACTCTAAACTTTGCGGAGTCTTGTTGAACTTCCTGGTTAAGCTCGACCAAGGACTTTGAAGTCGACATCTTGCTGTAATCCAACAATTTCGATACCGTGCTTTCTCGAGACGAGATACCTTTACTTAGCTATACAGATCGCTTTCTGTAGATGACAAGTCAAATCCTTCCTTGAGCTGATTCCCAATGACCTATTCTGGAAAGGTGGTAGGCTGGGAAGTGGCGCCGTCTAGTACATTCCGGCGTTTGGGCCGATTTTCTCCAACTGTTTACCCCAACAATCCTTTTTGCGGGGATGTCTATGGGTCCATCACAAGATGTCTGATTTAATTTGCTTTGGCGTGATAGCAACGTCTCCTGATTGCGAGAACAGTCTATGATTTTGAGTGTGGTGCTATTGTAGTTTGAGCCTGTCAACAATGCTCGCACGTCAAAACAGCACCCCGACTTATCAAGTCTTGCCGGCTGAGGACTGTGTGACATTGCCGGCTACTACTCTATCGGCACCGGCCGACAAGATGTGGGGAAGGCCCGGACTTCTCGCCGACTCTGGCCACAACCGCGGATAGCGGGCCGGGTCTGGACTAGACTGGTCAATTGCACTGACACCAAGCTAGCTTCAAAGCGCCTGCACAATCGGACAAGAAGAGAGGTGGGAGCCATATTGAGAGAGAATTGGTCTTTGTATGTTCTGAAAGCTTTCTGAATTGACTGAATGTTGCATACAAGAGCATGAGGTGAGCCGTATGTTACGTAATTCTGAATGGCAGCTGGAGTCCATGAGGCCCAGCTATAGCTTGCTTCGATCTCCCGCAGAGACAGGGATCCCAAATTGCGAGATGTCTTCCTTGGTAAATCCATCCACGGCCAGTTCAGCAAGCACACGACCAAATGCCGGGGCAAATTTAAAGGCATGGGCTGCTCCCAACCCAACAATAATCTCGGGATGCAACTCCAAAGGACTGATCACGAATCGTCGCTCTGGCGTGATTGTGTATTGGCACGTTACTGTTCGCAGCGGTTGACGTGACTCATCCGGGATCAAATTGTTCATGAAAGCTGACAGTTCTCCGAGTAACTGTGGTGAGTGAACATAGGTGCGCTGTTCGGGTGTCATGAAATTGTTCGAAGTATCTCGAGCTGCCTTGATCGTCGGCTCTCCATAGCAGGGAAACCCGTAGAAGCAGGTCGCACCGTTCCATATCCAGACTGGGAATCGATCTGGTTCAAACTTGGATGCGTCGGTCGGTTTGAAGTAGGTGACCTGCTCTTGCATGATGGTCACTGGGATGTGCGTGCCCAGCGGGCTCAGCAGTCGATCGGTCCATGCGTCAGTGGCAAGAATGACCTTGTAGGCTTGGAATTGACCCTTGGAAGTGTGAATGATGACAGTCCGTCTGTCATTCGCAGACCTTGGAACTATACGGACCACTCTGGTCTGCTCTCGCAGAATAGCGCCATGAGCTCGCGCTAATGCTTGAAGAGCGCCGACGGTTCGAGAAGCGTGCGCAATACCGGAATCAGCCGTGTACACCGTTGACACGGCTTCGGGTAGCTCGAATTGTGGCCATCGCTCTCTGACTTGTCGCGAATCGAGAAGCTCATGAGGAACCCCATTCTGATCGAGGCTTGTGGTAAAATCCCTTGCTAGCGCAGGCGTGCCAGGTTCATCGGGAAAGAAGACCAGTCCCCCCGTGATGGTCAATAACTTCTGGCCGGAGGCTTTCTCGAGCTCGGCCCAGTCCTGGTAGGCTGATTTGGCAAGGGCGACAAGCTCAGGGGAGAAATTAGAAGTACGAACGATGCGTGAGGTGTCATGAGATGCTCCGCGAACGTGGCCAAGCTCGAATTGCTCAAAGGCAATGACCTTGGCGCCCTTCTGAGCGGCGTAGTAGGCCGCGCCGCTTCCGAGGACGCCTAGACCAACCACTGCGACGTCGTAGTGAGCCATGGTGCGTTCATCAACAAGATTTGAGAAGGTGTCTTTGGGTCATCCCTGGTCTTATGAGATATTGAGATGCAATCTGCGCATGTTCTTCACAATGACCGGCTGCAGGTAGAGCCTCGTGAGAGGAGCAGACGGACCCTCCGTTCACGTGAAACTCAATTTCAAGCCTCCACCCTTGTTTGACATATGCAAAGCGTGGGTACATATGACTTTGCAATTATCGGATCGCACGCACATCGACTTCTACTCTTCATTCCCTCGGGAGAGGTCATCCTGAAGCTCGTGTGGGGCCATAGTCCAACACTGGAACACACTCCTCATGGGGCAGATCCGTGGGGATCAAGTGAAACGCGGCAACGGAAGGGGTCCGACGTGAGTTGGGACTCGGGAGCAGCAAGTCACATGGTCGGTCCCATCCCGCCATGGGTGATCTTCCACGTGAGCGGACCCTTCCGTCCTTGCACGAAGGTGCAGACGACCACTTACTACCTGAGATGTTGAGACCACAGAGAGCCGAAAGGTTGTTAGTTACAGCGCGAAGATTTCCCTGGAGCGTCTTTTCATTCCTCCATTTCACAATCACCCCGAGTCCCGATTCTTGAGTGGAATCGCGATGTGAGTCTGCAGCGATGGAACTGAGCCGTAATACACAAACCTGTGGCCGTGGAACTGCCAGGTGCCCGAGGAACTGCCCAATCGGGGGAGACAGTCGGCAGGTACTGGAATCAAACACTTCTGCCACATCGACTTGATCAACCATCAGCTTTCAATGGGATAAGATCATTGATAATACGCACATGACAACAAAATAGAGGGGAAATTGCAATGCAGAAGAGACAAAACCGGGTGTCAGCGAAGACAACACAGTCAATTTTCAGAAATCGGGACAGACTGCATCAAAAAGGGTTTCGCCGAGAATGGAAATAACGATCAGCTTCGATGGATCGAGAAAGGTCTCCTGTTCAAGCTGAATAGCTGGGGATCGAGATGTTGATGTCAGTTCACCGGGATCAAGGTCCGCATGATGGCATCCACGTTGCGTTGAAGGACAGGATCATACTTCCGGAAAGCTGGACCTGTCAGTGAATTCCCGTGGCCACCCATACGCTACTTGGGGCTCATCGGGCTACGTGAACCTGAGAGGACTTTTGCCACCCATTGACAAAGCCAGTAGGTATAGTGAGAATTGCCATGGGTGCCGGCTCTAAATCTTCTACCATTCCGTAGACTGGCAATGCTGAGTTTCCAACACCGCCCAGGAGGAGAGCCACCAGCACGGCCGAGGGTCCCAGCAGCTGGGCCCAGGAATGGTATTTCCATGAGCATGCTGCTCAAGATGGTGAATATGAGCTCTTTCTTCTTCTTCTTCTTCTTCTTCTTCTTCTTCTTCTTCTTCTTCTTCTTCTTCTTCTTCTTCTTCTTCTTCTTCTTCTTCTTCTTCTTCTTCTTCTTCTTCTCTTCAATCTTCACAGCAACCTTCTTCACTTCCTTGACAGAATCGACCTCATCCATTACCATGAACACAGACACTGCTCGCACTTGAACCAGATCGTTAGATGAGCCATTACAATGGGCAATGCCCAACACAATAAGACTACAAATGGAAAGTACAACCACAACACCTGCAGGGCCGCTCCCTATCAGTCCTAAAACCCATTCGAGTCATCCGTAGAGAACCCTGACCTGAGAATAACACGCATAAGATAACCATGGCTGTCTATCTTCCCTCCACCATATTTTTGCCCAATCCTACGATCACTACAGACTTACCGGACGACACAACCACCAACGGACACTGGCAATTCTGAGCGGCGTTTCAATTCGTTTCCGAAGCATAGCTCAACCCATCCTCTTCCATACCTTCAACAATCTATGGGATGAAAACAACACGAGAATGGTTCACTTTGCCACGAGTCTTGTGGAGGCACCCTCCCTCGCTAATTCGGTTCACGTTTTGGACCTTACTTACCACTGGAATTCGGCTGATTCGAGTGATATGCGCTTACAAGATCTATTACAGGCCGGCAGGAGGTTTATATTCAAATTGAGGCCTGAGTCCCATATTGCCCACTGGCTGCAGCAACTTGCTATCGCTCTGATATCGTCCAGTCTCACTCAACTGACGCTCCAACTGGAATACTGGGAGCAACTCAATCATATTCATACCTGTTCAGTCACATTCCCTAAACTGAAGTACATTGGCATCACGGGCCGGAAGGGGCCGAGCAACTGAGGGGACTACCATCTTGCGGTGACAGGCTCGCTGATACAACGCTGCCCTAACCTCGAATGGCTGGATGCGGCTGGCTGTGGTTGCCGCTCGGAAACTGAGACCCGCGACCACTATTCCAGCTTGCCATGGGATTATCAGCGTCGACGGTTGAGGAACCTGACACTCAGCGATCGGAAGCCTAGGTACCTTGCGAAGATACTTGCTCAATGTATGTCGCTGACTGACCTGGAGTCTTACTGTGACATTGGTTACTACGGCTTGATATCCCGCAGTCAGTTTGGTTTGGTGGCAAAGACGCTGCGGCGTCTTTGTTACAGTATTACTACCTCGGATATCATGAGTCCGACCCGCCAGCATATCTTTGAGGACAGTCCATACGACAGAGCTAATACGATGCTTGGTGGTATCACTACAAAGAGTGAAAATAAAGGTCACCCAAGCTCGATATCCTTCGCGGACCTCGAATGCTTGGAGACACTGAAGACCGAGCAATCGGTTGTTTATGGACTATCGATGACATCGGCCGAGCAGCAATTAGAAAGTGGTCCACCCTTACCACCACCAGGATCTGCTTGACTGGCATACCGTCTCCCACGGTCTATCAGACATTTGCACATTGGCTGGATTCTTTCCTGGCCGGAGATATTCCATGAACTTGCACTATTGCCTCGCTTGGAGCCTAGTCGATACCCTCACCTCAAGTCTATCAGCCTCGATGGCATCGTGTTGCCCTCGCAGGAAAAATTGGAAAGTTTGCGCCAGACTTTGGAATCAGCCAATGTCATTTTGACTGATGCCCGGGAGTCAGCTGCGCGCCCATCGTCGCGCGGGCTATTGGGACCGCGACCTGGTACCGCGGACATTCATCCGGCATATTGATACTAGCCGCCAGTTTGGGTACATGTCTAAAGCTTGAGACTCGTTGGGACATCGGCAATTGGGCTCTGAGACCAACAACTATGAAGGTGAGGTTGTTTGTGACTAGGTCGTGTACTACTAGATGTTGTTGGAATTGAGACCTGTTAATCAACACCTTGCATTGGATATTAAGGCTCTTGAGATTTGGCATTATAAGTGCCGAAGGCTTTTTCATCCCTCCGCAACGACAGAGCCAAGCTTCAAAGCATGTCGATTGTTTTATATCGTAAATAAGGGCATCAGGTATAAGCCCGACTATCTTAGTATTTAAGGTCGTTTATTGATTTGATTTTGATACCCTTTATTCCTTCGAGCGGGAATTTTGTGGTTTATAACGTTCTAATTTAGTTAGTTCTGCTTAAGATTTAACGTCTTCGAACGTTTAGGCAGAATTATTTAGTTTAAAAATTGTTTACAATCTTTTGATAGTGTCGACCTGACAGGCTCACATTTGCGACTGTGCTGTTCAGATATCTATTAGTACTTCCTATACTGGTGCGAACAACACGATGTCTCAATGATGACCTCTTGTTCCGCTCTCTCAAGCAGCCAGACAAATTGCTAGGTGACCAGACCCCACCATGACTTGATTCGTTTCACTAAAGTCTAGGAATATCCTCTGCGCAGGTAAGGGGACAATATCGGCCACGAGAACTGTATAAGTTGGTAACCGGATTCTTGACTTGGCTGTGGGAAAAACTGCGAGTCAGAAGATGAACTAATTCAGCTAGAGAGACCTTGTAAAAGAGGGCTACGAGGCAGGTACTTAAGTCTTGAGTTGGTGAAATCAGAGCACGTCCAGCTTCAGGATTTAAGGCGGAGATAGGTACGTATTGCTTCATAAGCTAGGTATTCGTGCCGTCTGAGCATTCACGCTGGAGTCGCGATAGCTCCAACTAGTTCTTGAGAATAGAATCTTGCGCTGCGCATAACGCAGAAATTTGAAATCGCATTATGTTGACATTCTTTGTAATTGAATTATTCAAGATGACATGGAGTATTATTCGACATGTCCAAGAGCACAGAAAGATTTTACCAAACTTCACATGGAACCTTGCGTGCGCATGACCTGCTAACGCTTGTGCTCAACATCCTCAACAGTGACTGCACCAGGCTTTTCACTCACGCTGCCCTGGTGTTGCATGGCCTCGACTTCCTTGTGGTGAGCCAGGACCCCTTCACCCTGGATGACATGGTTGGCACCGCCGAACAAGGCATCAATCTCCTCCAGGGTGACCTTCTTTGTCTCAGGAACGAGGAAGAAGACAAAGATCGCCAACACGAAGTTAATAGCTGCGAAGAAATAGAAAGCGTAGAATCCCTTGTTGTTGAGGAAGATGGGGAAGAATTGCTGGAAGATAGTGTTGGCAACATTTTGCGTCTGAGAGGCCATGCCAACGGCCTGGGCTCGGACGTTCATGGAGAAGACTTCGGAGGTCCAGATCCACACAGTAGCACCCCAGGATGGTTTGTCTTGAAAGTTGTTAGTTTAAGTTGGAGCCAATGTTGATATATGGGCGATACTCACAGAAAAGAATGAAGATAAACAGCAAGGCAACAATTGCAATACCGACGGGTTCTGATTTTGCGCCGTTGGGAAGGGTGGGTGTTTGAGTCTCAACAGTCGCTGAGATGATCATGCAAATTCCCATTCCGATGCCACCCAAAATAAGTAGAGGTTTGCGACCAAAGCGATCAACAATCCACACTGCATTCAGGGTGAAGATAATTCCGAACGTGGCGTTCAAGGCATTGATCAAGGCGATCGTGCTCGCTTTTTCAAAGATCTTCTTGTAAATTGCAGTTGAGTAGGAGTTCAGGGAGCCTTGACCAGTCAGTTGTTGACCAGCATTGAGGACCAATGCAAGATACATGCGCTTTCGGATAGATTTGTCCTTCCAGATAGCGCTGTAAGTGCCAGAGATTGCCTCATTCTCATACTCGATTGCCTCGCGAATCTGCAGGATCTCCGCCTCCACCTCCTCTTCAGTATCGCGGACTCGTCGCAGGGCAGCTCTTGCTTTCTCGATATCGTTATGACGCTTGATATACCTGTAAGTTTTCTCATCGTCAGTATTTACATCTAGGATGGCAGTGTTTTGGAGTGCCAGGTACATACCAGCGAGGACTGCCTGGGATTGTGGGAAGAAGCACGAGGATGATGACTGGCACCAATAGTTGGAAAATGATAATCATTTTCCAATCCCAATGTCCGAGAGTTGATTCATGTTTAGTGCATGCATAAGCGATCCAGAAACAAATGAACGACCCGACAGAGTAGAACATCTGCCAAAAAGTCATAATCTGGCCTCGAATCTCAGAGGGCGCCAGCTCGCCAATGTAGATTGGGCCACTCGCTGTTGACAATGAGATCAGCTTTGTGTTCTGATGATAATCAAACAGGTACTCGCAAGGTGATCACTTACTCAGCGCAATGCCTTGGCCAAGACCAATCAAGACTCGGCCAACCATGAAGCATGCAAGACCATGGTAAGGGGCAAACGTTTGCATGAATGTAGCAATTATGACCAACACACAGCCTGTTGCCATTCCGACCTTTCGGCCGAAATAGTCTGCAATGGGACCACTGAAGAAGAAGCCTCCAACGATAGCACCAACAGTGTAAGCCGTATTGATGCCTCCAATTGTGGCTGCATTGGGGTTATTAAACCATTCTACCCAGTTTTTGGAACCTTGAATCGAGTTGAAAACAGAGGCGTCATAGCCGTACAACACCATGCAAGAGGCCGCGACCAAGGAAATGAACCTGGGGTTCACCACTTCATTAGCCGAGTGTTTACATCACAGTAGAGCAGATACGACTCACCAATTGTAGAGACGCTTGGAGCTGATCGCCATGTTGGAAGATATGGACCAGTGCAAAAGTTTGAGGTCGTTCAGTAGTCGATGCAGTCGCTTCTAAGCACAGCCGTAGGCGACAGTTCAAGACAAAGAGCCGCGTGTGAGGGCCGACCTTGTTTGTTCACCGAATACTCGACGTCCAAGACTCTTTCTCAAAGCTCAAATGCTCAACAATGACTTGTCTCGAGGAAGGACACGAGATCGTAGGTTGTCAATTTGCTGGTATCGAGATCAGACTGACTGATGCGGAGATTTCCCCAGATTCGCAGAGTCTGCCCCAGATATATAGTATTTTGGCATACGGGTACATCTGGGGTTGAAATCCACAGATACCTGACTTCTCCGCCATCGTTTTGTCGCCTTTGAGTTCAGCCACAGTCAAACGCACCAATGACCCGAACCTCGCGTGGGACAACCCCGGACAACGCCAAGCAGAGATAGCAGCTTGTTACAGGAGCTCAGTCTGCAGGCGGATCGCTGACTGGTGGGGTATCTCCAGATGTCCGCAGGTCGAACAAAATGTCAAGCCCGGCGTCCATTACTCATTGGACTGTGCATGGATAGGATATGGGATTTGTGGGCCTGTGATAATCATAAGCTCCAGAACCGAGATGTTATGGTCCCGTGCATGCCGCATTCATTGTCAAGATTTCCACGAATCAACAGAGATTGCAGCGAAGGATTCAGGAAGATCTCAGTCCACCAATTGGCAACGGTATATGAGGACATGACAAGGCTGACCATTCAGCTGGAGGTTTGCCGCCTGGAGGGTCATGGTTCATGAAAGTCAAAAGAGAAGTTTGTATGAGAAACTCAAATCAGGAAATCCAACTTCTGTAATGGATCGCGGCCACATGAGGCGTGGGACCGGTTCTTGCCATCACTTGTCTATCTGGTTCAATCCTCACGAATGGGGCCCCGGATTTGGTGCAGGCGACTGGAGGTGGCGGCGGAGGGGAAGATGGATTCGGTCTAAATTGTGGGGAGAAATCACGCCCTCCGTCGCTCCGGAGTCACATGTGGTCTTGCAATTCTAGATCATCGCAAGAGCAAGCGTTCCAACTTGCGTAGAATAATGTATATCAGATTGGAACAATTGATTTTCTATAAGCGATTCTCGAGTCATTTTGGCAACTATTTGCGAACTCTCATCCAATCAACCTTTCATTATGTCTGGTACTGAACTATGGGTGTTGGATTTCCTCTACCAACCGATCCGTGGCTGGATTTCTTAGCTCCTAATAATGGGATTGTCCTTCTGCCATCTATGGAACCCTTGCCGTCGAAAACCAACCTGGAAGGGTGCACAATCTCGTATGGCACAACCTGTCTGCCTCCTATCATATATGTTTCTTAGGAGGGAAGTCTCACTAGTACTACTCGACAGACTAAAGTACCTGTAGCAATGGACCAAGTACCTACTAGGTAGGTGGTAAGGCCAGTGACTTGTGGCCTCGGGGCCTTGAGTTGGAATCAATACCGTTGCTGGAATTGATTAAGATTTGCATTATGACTGGAATCCAAGTGCCTGTATGAGGTAGAAGCATGCTTTAGTCACTTATCTTTCGGGTAAGTTAAATCTCACTCCCAGAGTATGTTGACTTGATCAGCTAGAGAATTGCAGCACTGGATGACAAGCTTCAAATGCCCTGAGTAGGTGTATCATAATGGAATAAGCACGAGTTGAAGGACAGTACACATTCCGTCTGACCCGTGATACACGAGACATCACAAGCTATTCGATTTCTCGACTTTTGGAAACAACTTGACCATTCAAGGAAATGCTGGTCATTCCAGTTTGTCCGACGCCCAAATCCCACGATATGTCACGTGCTCTCGCGATCCTCTGACGCGGTTGCTCAGCGCGAGATAAGCAGGCCGCTCCTCAGCGGCGATAGCCAGCCCGCCAAGTGCAACGGGACTCGAGATTCTGTGTTGCGCAGTCCGTCACTAAATTCCAGGCCACTAGAGCGGAGTTGATTCTGAAATGGAGATTAGCTACTTGCGCAGTCACTCAAAGAATTGTACCGTTCTTTTTTGTTGATTCGACAATCGCATGTGCTCTCCGGAGACGACATCGTCATGCCCCGCAACGCGAAGAAGCAAACTCGGCTTGCATTTGCGAACGCCGCCCCCTCTCGTTCACCAAATGAGAGCGAGAAGGACCGGTATGCTCGACTTTCATATCAACACCCTACACTAGGGACTGTGCGACTCGACATGGCCCGTTCAAAGAGTCGCTCATCTTTGCCTGCAAAGGTGAGCGCACTCAGTTCAAAGTTCCCTCGGGAGAAGCCCTCTGTGACGGATGACACGCGCCAGAGAAAGGGGATCGAAAAAGGCAAGAGAGGGACAAGAGCGATATCAATGGAGGAGAGTGAGGAAGAAGCAGCCAAGGCAGAAGAGGCAAGGGACGGCATTGATACACACGGAAAAAGTAGGTCTACATAACCCTTCTCACGCTTATTTACTGGCCATAAGATGCTGATCAAAATCGAAGGCAGCATGAATGCCCAGCAACCGGAAGACTCCTCTGAAGACGAAATAGTCGTTCCTGGCTCTTCGAAGCGCGCGCGGCACGCGGTCAATACCGATTTGAATTCTACGGAGCCCGCTGAACGTACGAAGGCAGAAACGTCAGGTAGTCCACCTCCAAATTCACGCAAACGCGCAATTACAATTGAGTCGACGGATGAGGAGGACGGGGATGGGAATGACAGTCCAAAGCCTCGTCGCAGGCTGAAGCGCAGAGCTGATCGCTCTTCGGTCGTGCTGAGCGACTCTGACGATTCCGAGCCGGTGGTATCTTCGCCTGTGAAGAGGCAACGTCGTATCTCACCTACAGGAACGCCGCAAACACCGCACACTTCAAGAAATCAGGATCAGCAAGAACTAGAGGATGATGTGAAGGATCTTCGAGACTCGGGTATGATCATCACCACGCATTCTCTTTCCTCCGTAGGACTCAAGATTCCGCTAACCAATCGCAGTTGTCAAAGAGACTCGGACACGCGGTGGAGTGTATGAATCAGCAAGAGACAAGAAGTTGAAGTTACTTGAAACGCTTCGCCGTCGGCGCGCCGGCCATAAAGTAGAGGACGAGGAAGAGCCTGAAAACGAGGCGAGCGACGAAGACGAAGATGTAGCTCCGCGCTCAAGCCCAACGAGACAAATCTTCGGCAAAAGGCTCAACTATGACGATGACAGTGACGCGGAGTCAGAAATGGACGCCAACGAGGATCTCGATCGGTATGATGATGACTTCGTAATGGAAGACACAGAGCTTGGTGTCCCGACCGAGGAAATTCCGTTAGAGTTCACTCGACATGCATACAAGCAGCCAAGAGAATACTTCCGCGACGTCGTCGGCTGGATGGTTCACAACTGTATCAATCCAGCGTTTCCCCGAGACGATGCAATGTATCGCATTGCGTTCCAAAAGCTAGGCGATGAAGTCAAAGGCCGCGCTGGATCATCGTTGATCTCCTCGGCTTGGACACCTCGGTTCCGTCAAGTCCTTCTCGCCAGACCTCATTTAGAGATCACGAGCTTCCCAACATCCATGATGCATTCCTGTGACGCCTGCAACCGATCCGGCCACCCTGCATCATCTGACTTAAAGTTCTACGGCAAGCCTTACTTTGAAGAGACTCTGGAGCCTCTAAATGAGGACTCGTCCGACTCAAGTGATGAGAATAACAGCGGCGACGATGAAGACGAGTCGGGCGTGGAGCGTGATCGTGATGGCAACGTCCTTCCAGAGGAGAACGCTCGTTTCTATCTGGGAAAGTAAGTTGACATTCAAAGCTTCCTTTGGACAGGCTGAACCAATTCGCTGACACGATTTTACCACAGAACATGCCGTGCAAACGCTTATATGGCCCATCTTCTCACTCACTGGAAATTCCAACTCAACGAGTGGGTTGTTGACTACCTCCGCCGAATGGGCCAAATGGAGGATTCCGAGATTCTGCGCCGCGCAAATATGAGCCAGAAACGCAGTACAAGAAATGCAATCGGGATTTGCAAGAAAATGGAAGAGGACGGGGAAATCGAGCGGCTCTACCGTGACTTTCACATTCATCTCAAAACAGCACGCGAAAAGACGGTAAGTCGGTCATCTGACTCTTTTATATATTCCGCGATATGCGGCTTGGAGTCTTACTAACGTCGATGATGCTAGTCAACCATGGAACTACTGGGAAACATGGACTGAGAGGTCTTCTGAGGTTTGTGAACTACTGAGATACGCAGTACGTTCTACGGCTCAGTGGTGTAGTATTGGCTCTACTATTGCATGATAATGAAAAATACCCCGGCCATGGACACTGCACGGTGTTCAATTAGCATAATCCAAATGATCTCGTACCATTTGTGTTCAATTGACCCGTAGACGTACCAATTCCTCCGGGTTGGAAAGCCACACAAATCATCCTGGTTACAATTAGCAAACATCTCGGTTGAGGGGCAGCGACTGCTGAAGTGAGTGATATATGGAGAACCACTTCGGTTGGCGCCAAGATGAGAGCACATCAGGCTTCGGAGACGCTCTTCGCCTAGCATTGGCCTCAGCATCACAAGGACACAGCAAATCAAGCCTGGGTACTCCAAGCTCGAGAATCGGCAGTTCTTTTGACGTATGATGATGATCGCAATTTGAAGCCACTCCCTCAATCGCCGCGAGGGAAATTTAGTAAGATGTGTATACTCGTAGGACCGCAAAGCGAGAGTAAAACAGAGAGAAAAGATCATTGAGATTGTATAAATACATGCATGTATAAAATGCCAGAGCCAAATTTCAAAGGGAGGAAAGACATGTCAAGAAGTAAGGGAATAAGAAGATGGCGCGGCAACCTGAAGAAATATGCTTGGCTGACAGATTGGAATCATCCTGAGCTTTGATTCCAGGCAGCGTGGCCGAAAGGCATCCATGCAGATCGAAAGGTTTCATCATCCTGATATTCGAGCAAATACTCCGTTCACAATCGTGTTGTCGTCTGAACGATTGTCCAACAATTATATGATCGACTGTCAACTTGACTTAGGATGTTGCTCGTCGGTGTCATTCAACGAAGCATAATGAATTTACAGAGAAGCCTGGATCTCCTGCTTCTCAAGTTCGGAGCCGGGGGCGAGCATCTAGTGGAAGAGTGTTGAGTTAGCAGATGTTGACAACACATATGATGACTGCAGGATTCAGCGCCCCGCGGACCCATTTTTGGTACAACCGTCAAGACGCAGGAAACATGGGCTTGACCTGAACCAAGCGCTCTGTCTCCGCGCAGTACTCGGAAGTTCGGATAGAAAGAGACATGGTGTTCCAGAAATGGTTGCATTCATACCTCGTTGGCACCCTTAATCATGCCTTGTTCGCGCTCCATCTGGATATATTGCTCCTCCTCGGCGTAGGCCAGAGCCCAGGGCACACCAATGAGGAAAGCACTGGTGCTGATCACCCACAGAGCCTTTCCGCTGAATGACAAGCTGGACTTGGTGAGGGATGTGATGGAAGAAACGGAGTTGCTAACGGTGCGGCGCGCGCCGGGGGGGATGATATCTTTCAAGGCGACAATGCGGTCGTAGAGGGACTCGTCTTCGACTTCAAAGTCTTCCTCCTCGTCGTTGGAAATCTCGGAGTCTATTGGAATGGGTAACGAGAGTCAGACAATCAAGCAAAGTCAACGGCATGGCGGGAAGTCGATGGTGGTCGCAAGCACGGAGTTGCGGGTATTCCGGACCCCTGCACTTCCACTTGTAGCAATGGAGGTGCAAGCGATCCCTCGCAAATATAGGAGACTTCTGCGCCGAAGGCGAAAGAAATGTCGGATGGCGTGTCCGCGGGAATTGACCGGGTGGTGACACGGTGTATGCCTCAATCGTACTCACCGGTGTCAGTGTAGTCCTCGTCATCGGACATCAAGAGAGCGTCATTCTTAGTGGTGGAAGGCTTCTCTGCGAAGTGCTCATCCTCGACCTCAGTAAGCTTGACCATGATGGCGTTTGATTGAGTATAAACGTGGAAAGGGTGGGAGGAGTGGATGGAGTATCAAACAAATAGTACAGAGGTGTTGAATGATGGAAGGACGGGAGCGCGTGTTCGGGTGCTCCGACTTTTTTGCCGGGCAAAAGCGGCGAGCAAGCTTCCGTCCGCTGGGACGGGCGTGCGACATCATCGGCCGTTGGAGAGAACTCCTGCGCGAAGGACAGCACTCCGGTGGCCGTGAAATAACCAATCTATATATTTCTTCGTCTGTAAAGAAGTTGCGGGCATATTACAATGATTCATTTTTGACAGATTTTGTGTGTGGTGCTTTGTTCTATTATACAGGAGTGGCTACTTCGTCGTGCAGGAAAAGCTTTCCTGCCTTGCTGCAGCCAGGTGACACCTTAGTCTGAGAGAGCCCAGGGTTATCTTCTATGGACCGGGATGTGAGGTCCTCTTAACGACGGCCGAGTTTCCATCGCGAAATGCGGTCTTGAATCTCTTCCCAGGGGAAAGATCGAAGCTTGTAGCCTTCCAATTCACCCTCCTGCAGGACAACTGTGGGCTTACCAGTGCCCTGGCCCTTGTTCTGCACGTGGCCGCCGAAGACTTGACGAGCCACTCGGCGCAGGTCCTCAACTGTCAAGGCGTCGATTTGGTCGCACATCTCTCGTACACCGACCTTGCGGCCGTGCACTTGGACCTGACGGCCCAAATCCTCAAGCTCGACCATGCGGGATTCGAGATTCATCAGAAGCGAGGATCGCAACTGATTTTTGGCGCGGTTGACTTCTTGAATCTGAAGCGAAGTGTATCCAGAGTCCAGGGTCAAGGACTGCAGCTCGCGACACATGACCTCGAGCATGTCCGCTGTACGGGTTGGGCTGCACGAGGCAGAAATACCGAAAATGCCGCTATCGGTGTAGCTGTGATTGAATGCAACACAGCTCTCAACCCAGCCGTGTTGGTTCAGGACGTTGGTGTAGAGACGGGAATACATGCCCTTGCCTGGACCTCCAGCGGAGAAAGATCCGCCACCACCCAAGAGCGTTTGGAGTGTAGCAAGAGCGTAGATATCCGGAGAAGAGATGGGAAGAGCCTCGAAAGCGAGGTGGATGTGGCTCAGGCGGGGGAGCATTGGGTTCGCTGGAGGCGGGATTGGTGGAAGCGCGGTGAATCCACCTGTATAATGAGCAGGACGACGGAGATCCAAGGCCGATGGCTCGATCAGGGATGGGTCAAGAGGCGCGACGGGGGACTTCTTGTTTGCGGAGGAGAGGTTCTTGAGGAAGGGGAGCTTCGAGAGGAGGGAGGACTGCGTCTGCGGCGAGGCGGCCGGGCTGCTCACGGTTGACGAAGGCGTGAATTGCGGCACGGTAGGCACTTGTCCTTCCCTTGCTACGGGGGTAGAATCTGAAAGTGTAGTGTCAATCCCTTGACCTGACAGGACGGGACCGTCGCTCGGGTTCCGCGACTTCATGTCGCCGAAATACTGCTCCGCAAGTTTGACAGCATCTGCGTGAGCGACACCCGCGAAAGCGACGACCAAGCGGTCCGGATTAAAGAAGACCTCCCGGTAACGCTCAACGACCGCCTTATTGATCTCGCCCAGTCTCTCACTGGGGCACAGTAGAGGGTTTCCGAGGGTGTTGTCTTTATAGGCAGTCATGTGAACCAACTCCGGGAGGATCAGCTCCGGCTTGGCCCAAATCTCACCAATCTCGTACTCTGCGGTCGCGAGTTGCTGCAGCACCTCCTCCTCGGTGATTAGGGGGTCACGAATTGTTTCCGCCAACAGACCGAGTGTTGTGGGGACAGCGGAGTTGAAACTGGCAGACTGGTACATCAATGACTCGCGAGATGAGGCACATTGAATGTTACCTCCGAGGGATTCGATGACCTCGAGCATTTCATCCGCCGAACGCGCCTTGGTCGACTTGAAGGCAAGTCTGTCCATAATGTGGCTGACACCACGAAGACTAGGGTCTTCATAACGGGATCCGGCGTCAACGTAGACTCCAACGCCGGCAAAGGGTCCGGGTAATGATTCTGTTGCGACTCGAATACCGTTGGAGAGGGTAGTGATCTGATCAAGCTCGGCCGGGTCCTTATAGATACAACAAGACAGATGTTGTAAGCAGTGAGCACGAAAGGCAAATCATGAATCTCGAAATTGCATACCTTTGCCGAATCATGGAGACTGGTAAAGCTTCTGGTCACGCTGCGTGGAACGCGTGTGATGGGCTTTGCGGACTCGATGGCCCGTAATGTGGATCGGCGCATGGTGGCTATACTTCAAGAAATGGGAAGAGAAGACCACCCGCTTCGAGTGTTTAGGGTACTTCCTTCAAAAGATGGATGATGCGGTAAAACAACGCCCGGCGATGGATGGATGCCGTCAAACCCAGCTACCCGCTCCGAGTCGCCGGCAGATGCGATTATCTAATCGTACGGTTCTGGCCCCGGAACGCATGGTTCAGGTCCACTCGGACGAAGGTGAGTTGATGTTAAATGGAGGCCTTGAGAGCACACGAGTGGCGTGTTAGATGATGAACGCAAATACTCCAGTTTAGGACCAAAATCTGCCCAAATTTGAATGTCATTATCTTGTGGCTGTACAACTATTCTAATTAGGGACCAATGCGTTACTAGGGATGCTCCAACGCCCAGTTGCGATACCAGTCCAAACAACCCGCATTTGCAACACTAGCACCAATTTTGATGTTCAATCCACAGAGAATTTGCTTGACCGCATTCTCGACCTTTTTGCCATTCGAAGTAACGGGTATCTCGGGGCAGATATCAATGACACCCGGGACGTGACGCGCACTGAGTTCTTTGCGGATCATGGCCTGAATCCGGGTTGAAAGAGCTTCCAAATCGGTGGGACATCCAGAGGCTAATTTCACGAAGAGAACAACCGTCTCATCGGTGTCAATCCCATCCCGCCTGCGGCCAATGCACAGAGAGTCCTCAACCTCATCGGCGAAGTGTTTCAACAGGACATTATAAATCTCGGCACTTCCAAAACGCACCCCAGATGGCTTGAGGACCCCGTCACTGCGGCCTAGCATGACAATGCCTCTTGTCTGAGGATTCAATCGGACAAAATCTCCATGGTGCCAGATCGACGGGCCAAAGACATCGAAGTAACTCTTTCGGTATTTCTCCATGCCAGTGGGTCCAGGAGGCCAGAACATGACCGGCTGCGCCGGGAATGGTGTTGTACAGACGAGATCCCCAGCCTCGCCAGAGTCGCTGATGTCGTTTCCAGCGTAATCAAAGACTGAGACGGCCATGCCGAGGGATCGGCATTGGATTTCGCCCTTGTGTACTGGAAGCATGGGGCACCCGGAGGCAAACAATGACAAGATGTCCGTTCCACCTGTGATGGAACCCAACATGATGTCGGGATGGATGGACTTGTAAATGTATTCGAATGTTGATGGGGCCAAGGGTGATCCTGTGCTGAAAATAGCTCTCAGTGTGTCGAGTGTGACAGGGCGGTGGGCATGCTTGCGCGGGTTCAAAGCCGCTTGCTCAAGCATTGACAGATACTTGGCTGAGGTCCCGAAATGGGTGATCTTCAGTTCATCGATGAGTCGAGGCATTGCCATTTCTCCACTGCCACCCTCAATGTCGAACGGTCGGAATGGGGAACCATCGTAGAGCACAATGGTGGCGCCGCTGGCCAATGCTGAGACCAGCCAGTGCCACATCATCCAAGTGGTGGTGGTAAAGTAAAAGAGTCGATCACCTGGTCGAATATCGCAGTGGAGAAGATGTTCCTTCTTGTGTTGGAGAAGTGTTCCCAGAGCGCCATGCACGATTGGCTTCGGAGCACCCGTCGTACCTGAGGAGTAAAGAATGTACACCGGGTGCTCCGGCTCGAGACTTGCAAACTCAAGTGGCGCACTCTCGTTGTGGACGGCGTTCTTAAATGACTCAAAAGTGACAGCTTTACCATTTGTCGGACTGACCCCGTGAAGGTCGAAGTCGACGGATTTCGCAATCTCAAACACTACTAGAAGCTCCAGATGTGGCAACTCGGAGGCAATTTCGCTGACCTTGGCATAAGATCCATGGATCTTGCCATTGTAAAGCGAAGCGTTGTCTGCAAAGAGAACCTTGGGCTCGATCTGTCTGAGACGCTCAAGAACAGCATGAACACCTGTGTCGGGAGAGACGCCGGTCCAGAACGCGCCTATCGAGGTCGAAGCAAGCATCACGACAACGGTGTTTGCGTGGTTGCCCACAAAACCCGCCACCCGGTCGCCCGATCTTAGGCCCGCCTCTTTAAGTGCGTTGGCACATCGACGAACACGTTCGCGGAGCTCCTTCCATGAGATGAATTCACGGCTCGCTTCTGTAGCCCCAATAATGGCAATAGAATCTTCACTCGGTGCACAGGCCGGGTATAGAAGATTTTCAGCGAAATTGAGGGTACTTCCCTCGAAGAATGCTGGCCTCGGAAACATTTGCTCTGTGGGTTTCAAGACCTGAACAAATTCTTAGTTTCGATGCTCAAGTATCACTTCCATCAGTGCACTGCATAATCAGCACTCACGCTCGTGTAAGGCTTGTGGGCCTGGATGTGTGTATATTGCCAGATTTCTTCCCAGAACTTGGCAGGCTCCGAAACACTCCATTTCCACAGAGAGTCATAGCTTTTCATGGTAAGACCATGTCTTTTATTCACCTTGGTCATGAAATCAAAGATGAGGGTCGACTCCGGAGACGAGGGCTTCCATAGCTCCTTCGTATCGGGCATGGTACCCACATCGATGAGCGGCATAGCGATGCGGTCGCTTCTAAAGTCTTTGTCGAAGAGAAACTCAATACGAAGCCCGATCTACCTGGTCCAGGGACAGTGGGAGAGCGAGGTTGGTTGCAGGCTTGTCGAAGGGAAGAAGATTTGTTGTTGATTAAGCCTTGCCACGGCAGGGGTAAAACTGGGGTATTATTATTCGGGGAAGGCGTGCCTGGTAGGGTACAACCCGATTGATATGCCGAGACAGAACATGGTTCTACCCCAACACTCTTTATCAGGGAGTATTGTTCCTCCTGGGCTCTGGTAGCACCGGGCCAAAGCGGAAAATGTTAGGGTGGACCCTTATTGGCAGGGAGATCGTCACAATATCTGAAAGCAATTCGCCCCAACAAGAAAACAAGCGCCGAATTCAGGGGCGGCATCAATCGGGTACTTTGCCGACGAATGTCCGCGTCCGCGGCTCTGCGGGTAGAGTCAGAAAACAGCACACCTCGACCGTATCGCGGCGGTCTCTCTTCTCTACAACACAGACCACTAAGAATGGTGAGTTGATGTGCTCTAGTGAGACCATGCAGTTCTACCCTCTTGTTGATGGTCTTTCTTTATATGAGATAGCTGCCACTTGACGCAGGCCCTAGTTATGACCATCTGCAAAAGATCCTCCGAGCGGGAATAAGGGCGGAACGGCGGGACTAAACGGTTTCTCTTGCCTCACATTTCAGGCAAGACGGTCTGGACCTTTCGGCCGTTTGCGTCTTTTGGGTCGTGTCCAATGCAACGGCGGGAGTTCTCTCATGATGTATTTGAGAACAATGCTAGAATAGCAATCCTTGGAGGTAACGAAGCAGAAACGCAGCTTCTGAATCAAGGCCTGTGATGCTATCGATTCCGTCATAGCCACATCCCTAGACACAACCTTTGCTACTTCTTGTACTGCTGACATCATTGCTCGTCTCCAAAACACCGAGGCCTCCTTCTTGGATATGTACAACACCACCACCACCGCTTTTTATGCCTGTGCTCGCTGATATCGGCCCACTGAAATATCAAAGTTGACAAGCCAGGCATATCGTAGATCTAATGTTCGAAGCCTTGACGATGGCTGCATTCTTTTCTGGTTCGGCTGAGAAGATCACTGCATGGCTCGATGCCCACCATACCCCTCAACATAGCCAGATCCAACATAGCCAGATCCATCGGTTGTCACTGGTCAGCACATGAAGTGGGCACGTAGGTAAGTTACAGCGCTGGAAGTATTGTTGCCTCTTCTGCGAAGACCTCGCATCGGAAGATTTCACGTGTGCTAGAATTATCTACAGAGTCTCGTCAGTCAAAGAGACAGGCTTGACAAGCCTTGTCTCCTTGTGACCCACTGAGTTGGCCGTCATCCATATGTACTAACAGTACTACTGTATGAATATCGTGTAAGGTATTCTTACGCGAGTAGCAGGCCTGGATCGATCGTGATCCGATGGGAACGCCACACTTTGGCGATCCTGCGCACTAACGTACCAGGCACCTACCTAAGCATACGTGACTACATAGGTGGTCTGAATGGAGGCTGTTGTTGAAATGCGCCACCTACTGTATACGAATGGCGACTACGACGACGTTGAATGTCGTGTGTAGTTGACGTACAGTGCATTACTATGCGAATCTGTGATATGATGGACCCAGATGCCCGAGTCAGTTTTTCAATGTTCCTGGGCAGTTTGTCAGACAGATACACTGACACAGTCCTCACGAAAGCACAATAACTTGCAGCAGCTGTCATACTACCACATGTACAGTAGCATCCATGTAAAGCCCCAAATTCAGCAAGATCACCTGCAATGGTATCCACTTGCTTTTCGTAGGCAGAAATCGCAGCCAGAAAATTGGAAAAATCATATAGTCATGCGTAAGCCTCAAGCCTACGTAGACCCCACGATAATTGAAGAACCGCGTCATGACTGAATGACGATTGACGAGTCGACGACTGGATGTTTCCATCAATTTAGTATTTGGGCAGCTCGGAGTCGGACATTCATCGGAGCCGATCGGTAAATCGCTCCAGCACCAAAATCAAGTCACTCCCGAATCCCGACAAGTGTGGCTTGATTGTACCTGCGTCGGCCTCGGGCGAGCGTGGAGTGTTAAGTGAAGTGCGTGCCCATATTGAAGGATTATTTATTTCGTATTTCGCAGATAGAATGAGACGAACACCTGTCTCTGTCAAACCGCACACTAGTCAGCCTTACATCCACCCTGGTTGATTGGATTCCTTCCTTGTCAAGAGCTGACAATGTAGGTAGTCCGTCCCAACAATTCTTGAGAATTACACTAATCTACCAGCCCTTGCATAACAGAGGAAGTACCTACCACCCCATCGATGAGCATGAGCATCTACACGTATAAACCTCACTACGCTGACATGGAGAAGCTATGTAAGCCAATATTGATTGACCGCGCTCTCCGAGTATAGGCGCAGGCAGGACTTCGCCCATGGAATGAACCTACATAGCATGTAAGGTAGTACGTACCTGAAAACCTCTAGCTCCTGTCTGACTGTTAAGTGTACACGGGTGTAGACTGCACACGACCCGACTGCAGAAGTGAAGGCTTTCGGGCATGTACAGCAAGAATGGAAGATCTACCCAGTTCTAAGACGAGTTCTGATATTCCCCAGTATTGCGAAATGTCCTGCTCGCTGCCACCAACTTAAAGAATTTAGGCCTTATCAGATGTATTTATCCCACAAGAGTCGAACTTCACAGCGTCAAAAGTGACATATACAAGAGAGCAAGTATGTGATTGTCGCAATCTCAGGAGACAGCTGATGAGCCCGTATCTAAAGAATAGGTAATATCTCCTGGCACACACAGCGAGGTCCAAGATACAGATTAAGCAGATCAGTGCAACCACCAAAGAAGTGGACACTAGAAGTAGACACTGGACCGACATCCCAAATCTAGATTGAGCTGAAGCACTGACATCCAGATTCAAGCTAAGTAATTAATGTACTTGGCTTGGAGGCGATCAGGTACAAGCAGGATCGCAAGAAGTGGGACCCTTGAAGTCTCATCCCGCAAAGGTGAGAACACAAGGGGAAGTGGAAAAGAAAAAGAAAAGGAAAAAGAAAAGGAAAAGGAAAAAGAAAAAGAAAAAAAAACTCTTCCAAGTTCCTCTCAGGTATTGATGTGTAATGTAACAGTCACAGCTGAGTCAGCTCCATCGAGTTCCCGCCCAGACTCTGCGTGGGACACTGTGGGTTAGTGGGTTTGCATTTGTTGTGCCTGTATCAGCCACGTTTGGTTTCGATACCAGGAGATTGGCATCCACATTGCATGATGATCGGGGCTCGTCTAGACTGGTGAGTGCTGACCTACGATCTCTCGCCGGCTCTCGCACCCCCTAACTATCCTTCTCATCCTCTTCCCCCTGTCGCGATACAGTCCTTGTTGAAGTGATTGCGATTGAGAGAGACGAGGTGACTGAATTGTCGCTTTTCTGGGCCCTGTGCCCTCTTCCTGCTGTCTACCATCAACTTTCCTCTTTCCACGTGCCAAAGCCACAACGGAAATTCCACGCCCTGCACCGGAGGTCTTCGGATCCGCTAATCGCGACGTCAACTTTAAGGTGCGTTCCAAGGAACCCTTATATGTTCTGAGCCCCTTCACTCTCCGTTTTCTTCTCGTACGTCCACGCTTGTGCCATCGACATCGACATCGACACCACTCTCGGCAAAATAAACGCCAATTATAGACCTGTGCTGTGTCCGTGTCGAGAATCAATTGCACTCCACTTACTAATACGACCTCCTTCCGCTTCTCAGCCCCATCATCGGCATCATCCATTTCGAGCCGCGGACGTAGACGTGTTTCCGACGGCCCTTTGCCCTCCAGCTTGTCGATAAGAAAACCCAGCTCTGCCTCGTGACTGCCTTCTGCGATGCATCGCCGGTTCAGCACCAATTCCTCCAACGACACCTCCTCGAGCCCACCGTCTTTCTCACCAACCACGGGAAAGGGCGCCCTTGCAACTAAAGCGCCCTCAACCAAGACGAATCGTTTTTCCCTCCTATTCTCATCCTCTCCTAAGAAACACGACAACCAGCCCTTGTCAACAGGCTCACAGTTCGCCGGAGCCAACAGTCACAGCAGCTCTCCGCCGATCAGTTCGGCATCTCTGTCTCTACCGACCATCTCGCTGTCAACTGCGATGGCGGATAATCCCGCGTCGGAGCAAATGCCGACTACTCTCTTTCAGCCTCCCTCTCCGGAGGAGGCACGCCGACAAGCGAAAGCCCATGCCCAATTCGGTGTCATTGGTCATCCAAGCCATCGTTACACCAGTCGACACCCTGGCGGTGACTTTCCTGAACCAGTGATGGACGAGCCTCCCTATTACTACCTTCTTACCACCTACATCAGCTACCTGATTCTCATTGCCTTCGGCCACGTTCGCGATTTCTTTGGCAAACGTTTCCGTGAAGAGAACTATCGACACTTGAAGCCTCGTGATGGTTACGGTGCGCTGAATAGCGACTTTGACAACTTCTACGTCCGTCGATTGAAACTGCGCATCAACGACTGCTTTGAGCGCCCTGTTACCGGCGTCCCCGGCCGTATGATCACTTTGATTGATCGCGCGACCGACGATCATAACGTGCACTTCCACCTGACGGGCACCTTCACTGACACCCTGAACCTGAGCTCGTACAACTACCTTGGCTTTGCCCAGTCTGAGGGTCCCTGTGCCGACAGTGCCGAAGAGACGGTTCGCAAGTACGGAATTTCCACCCCCAGCACACGCGCAGAGGGCGGAACTCAAGATCTTCACGTCGAGGTCGAGGATTTGATCGCTCGATTTGTGGGCAAGGAATCGTCCATGGTCTTCTCCATGGGCTTCGGTACTAATGCGACCGTCTTCCCTGCTTTGGTTGGTAAGGGTGATCTTCTGATCTCCGATGAGCTGAATCACGCTTCGATTCGTTTCGGTGCTCGACTCTCGGGTGCGTCCATTGCGATGTTCAAGCACAACGACATGAAGGACCTCGAGCTCAAGCTTCGTGAGGCCATCTCCCAGGGTCAACCCCGTACACACCGTCCATGGAAGAAGATCTTGGTGGTGGTAGAGGGTCTTTACTCCATGGAAGGCTCCATGTGCAATCTTCCTGGTCTCGTTGCCCTGAAGCATCGATACAAGTTCAATTTGTTTGTCGATGAGGCCCATTCCATTGGTGCCGTTGGCCCAGCTGGCCGCGGTGTCTGTGACTATTTCGGAATCGATACCGCTGAGGTTGATATTCTGATGGGTACCTTGACCAAATCCTTCGGTGCCAACGGCGGATATATTGCCGCGGACAAGGTTATGATCGACAAGCTTCGTGCCACCAATTCTGGCATTTTTTACAGCGAAGCCATTGCGCCCGCGGTCCTGATGCAGATCTCTTCCGCTCTCCGTATTATCAGCGGCGAACTCGTCCCCGGACAGGGCGAGGAGCGATTACAGCGATTGGCATTCAACTCCCGCTACCTGCGTCTTGGCCTGAAACGCCTCGGATTTATCGTCTATGGCCATGACGACTCACCCATCATCCCCGTGCTCCTCTTCAACCCTGCAAAGATGCCAGCATTCTCCCATGAGATGCTCCGACGCAAGATCTCCGTTGTGGTCGTTGGTTATCCCGCGACTCCATTGGTCTCATCCCGCGCGCGTTTCTGCGTCTCGGCTGCCCATACAAAGGAGGACTTGGATCGGGTGCTTGCGGCCTGTGATGAGATCGGCAACGTCTTGCAACTGAAGTTCTCTACCGGTATTGCTGGTGGCGCTATCCCACCCAACGAGCACTCGCCCGAAGTCAACGACAAGGATCGGGTAAGCTCACGCGGTGCCCAGCCCACACCCCCTCGTTGGCGCCTCGAGGACGTCATCCGTCGCGGAGTCGAGGATGTCAAATCGCCCTTGTTCTAGGTCGCATGTCCATATAGTACTCATTCCTCTTTGAGGTGACATGGTCTCGACACCGGTGTCTCTCATGGACTGTTGAAATGTTCTTGAAGTGTAGAGCCCAGGCCCAGTCAATGCTGGTCACGTCGGGCCCCAGGGTCTTCTTTCCTTTGCACTTCATCGCTCTCTTGCCCAACCCCTGGATCTGCCTGGTCGTTGCACGTGTGTCAGGCTGGCCACTGTCCCTCCCACACAGGGCACTCCATGGTGTTGTCTGGTTGGTCGAGAAGAGCTGAGAGTTCATCAATTGACTCTGGCAGAGAAGGAAGCAAGGCAACGCACGCAATTTCCGTCATGACTGTTTTTGAAGCACGCTGAAGTAATGAAAAAAAAGGCCCCTTGTTCAGTGTTCGTTCACGTGTTTGTCACTGGTGTCTGTTTCCCGGAGTTCTCTGCTTCCCACCTCCTCTCGTTGCATTGCGGGACTAATATTCATATGCACATTTTTGGTTCATGGAGAGGTTCTCTGGCATGGCTCGTTTGGCTCTGTGCTTGAGCTCGGGCGGAGTCGCTTGTCAAGGTTCATCTTACATTCCTTTGTACGGGCGCCCGAGACTTTTCGCTTTTACTTTCATCATCATTATCCACGGCGCTCGCATTCTTAATGTCGTGTTCCTATTCTTCATGGCACCGCCTCATCCCTGTGCCTCTTCCTATATATTTTTTATTCTTCTTGCTTTTTTCTTTCTTGCCAATCTTCCCCCTGCTGCGTTTCTGGCTCCTGGGTTAATACCCGCTCAGGAGGACAGGGTGGTGGATTGTGCTCGTACACTGGCGCTCCTGTTCCGTCTATGGGCCCTATCGGAGATACTGTGCCTCTTGCGAGGGTCACTGCACCACGACGGCAGGAGCTACCGATGTGTCTCGATGTACTACCTACTATCTTCTAATTACATGGATGAATGATTGAAATGCCTGTACCTTTGAGACAACCTTGCACGCCGTGTAGCTCACTCTGACCGAGTTTGAGTACTGAATAAGAGTCTATAATTGTGACCAGTCTTGATGTGTGGGAAGGCTACCTACATAATGTAGGTATGAGGGCAGTGACTCCGTGAGTCAGTCTGAGTCTACAGGTACAGACAGCTGGCAAAAGACTCAGCTCAGCCACGCTGTTCATCATGAACCCAAGTTGAACCCCGACAAAGACTTCATCAACGCAACGCTTGTGGAGCCACGCAAAAGTTGTTAGACCCGGCCTTCGCAAGAAGGTCGAGTATTCCAGCCGTCTCCAGCATACGGCTCCAGGATCCGACCCCCACTAATGTGTAGACGAGGAACTTCTGCGTGAAGCTGTATCTCTCTGTGTACTGTACAGTGTACAGTCTGCTGTTCTCAGTTCTGCGCCATTGAGTTCAAGTCGGGCAGCTCCTTTTCATTCCACAAGGAGCAGGTAAGAAGTAACGAGGTTTGAGAAAGTAGAGAGAGGAATCAGCAATGGATCAAGCACCTATGGGAAAACGTGCTCGATCGCCCTTGCTCTGGGGAGTGGGACACGGGAGAAAATGTTGGAGATATCCATTTCAGCCATGAGGCATTTGCGATGACGTCGGGAGGAAGTGCTTCCAGACTCGCTCACGGCTGATCTTGGCCTTGGGCGGCACTCCCTGTGAAACGGCAGCAGTACAGAACTACAGATAGACGTTGTCTATCCTTGGAGTCATAGTAGTGATACTCCGCCTACCTTACTTGGCTGCTACAAGATAGGCCCGAGCATTCCAAGAGGGCGTCCCGTCCCACCACCTGCCGATCACATTGGGGGCCAAATACTATACAATCCGTGTACTACTGTACATACAGTGTACACATTTCCATGATACCGCTGTAATGCAGATCAGCACTCAAAATCAAAAGCTGCAAGATTGCACTGCGAGAGACAATCATCGGAACCCGGTGATGTGTCAACATAACTGGCATGGTGCTTATTGACAAATCCGCGTGTTCGAGGATCGCAGAAAGACATGGGTTATTTAGGGCTGGAAGTCACGGGATTCTCATTTTGAGCCAATGCCATCCCCCTGCAATTGCATGGGCTCGACGGAACAATCTGCGTGGCGGCGGCTCTGCCTTTTGAAATTACCGTCCACCGTCGGTAGTTTCCTTGTTGCTGGGAACTGAGATGCCGCTCATGTATGTGTGCGACCCTAGTGCAGCTGATCGCTGATCGGTGTGAGACGGAGGTGGGAGATGGAAGGATGTAAACCTACTGCAGCGTTGTGTAGGGACTGCGGAGTGAGTACTGGGCTCAGGTGGTTGACTGCTCAGTCTCAAAAGTATTGAGTCGGCAATCTGATTGATGTTGATGCAGGCGAACTTTGGCTTCTGAGTTGTTAAACATAGAAGGGCAATCCTCTTATTTCAGTCGGCTTGCTTGTACCCAAAATGGAAATGAATGTAATGTTCCAGATTGATTGAGGTGGACGCTGGACTCGACAGTAAACAGTAACACTAGACAGCCTCATCTCCATCTTTCAAAACGTCATCTCTGTTCCTTCCATGACTCTGAGTGGTAACCAAAAGATCGAAAAATGCCCCGTCCAGTCAGGTAACGAGCCGAATATCCTAAGACCAAGTCAGAGAGCATCAGAGCACTAAGCAGTTGATCATCAACTTCCCGTACCACTGCGCAGCTACTGTAAGTGTACAGTGTTGAGTGTTCAGGGTACACTTTCGAACGCTTCACCCCCAGCCGCGTCCAATTTACAGTTTCCACCACCAAACAAGCCTTGCCCGAATGTGGCATAGCCTCATGCCGACTATTCAGGCTTTTGCAACCATCCTTGCCCCTCCCCCTTCGTCGCCTCGCCCTGTTCGCAGTCTGGACCTCAACGCCTCCTACGAGTCTGTGCATTGTGCACTCCATGCGACGAGGCCAGGGCAGAAAATGACAGTCTCAAAGATCCACTTTGAACGAGGCTGAGAAGATGGGCGCCCCGTGGCTGCATACGCTGCACTCTGCAGCGACCTGAAGTCTTGACTACTGCAGTAGCCAGATACAGTGAGGTGGGAGTGAGCCAGCCCGCCGATGCGGCACAGTCTCCCAAAATCAGTGGTGAGGATGCAGAACATGTGAACAATGTCTATCTGCCCAGTCCCATTGGAAGAGTGGGTGAAATAATGATATACGCGCTGCTCTATTGTTAGTTGACTCGCCTCGTGCAGGAAGAGAGGTCCATCAGTCGACTCCAAGACCCACTCCCCGGCTAGTGGCAGCTGCAGACTGCGAAGACCGACGTCGAATGATTGATGGGCTGAGATGATGATGTTGGAGGATGTTCAACCGTAATTACTCCATCGGTCCTGGGCAGGGTGAATGCTAGGGTGAACTACTGCTCCTACTGCTCAGAAGACTGAATCGCCTGAGCCTCCCGCCTCTCATCTGCTTTCCCACCGAAGCTGGTACTCGAGTCTTGTTCTTCTTCCTGCAACTACTCGGATCATCGTCTCTCTGGAGGCTCTTGTCCTGAACGCCATCGAGGAAAGGATCTCGACGTTCTTTTTCTTGACCGTGATCAATCCCTTGTCACACGATAGTGAAAGACTTCACTACAACCTACCAACTTGCTTCTGGTATTCCAAAGTTCTCTGTCAACAGAGTCACTACTAAGAGCAAGCTGGCTGTCCACCAAATATCCACACTGAGGCAAAGCATCTGATCTGGAAAGTCGAAATGCCTTCTTCGACCCAGTCGGCCGCGGCGCCCTTGACCACAGTCTTTAGTCCTCCAGCGTCCTGTACCAATGTCCAACAGGTCTCATCGGAGTGTCAGAAAGACTGCAAAAATCTGTACAATATCGTCCAGATCACCGACTCCAATTGCTTTCCCTCTCAGTGGGCTACCACGGCAACTTGGTTTTCCCCGGGCATCTACTGCCCCAAGGGCTACACCGTCGCGGATTCTCACACCGTCACGAGTGGTCTTCAACTCACAGAGACACAGGCGAGATGCTGTCCGTCGTAAGTGTAACACCACCCCCAGAATTCCCAATCTCTGGAACAACACTTTTCGATGACAAGTTTGGATTCTGTTTTTGCAAATTCCACGACGGAGAGCACCGAAAGCTAATCCGATGTGTGCAGAGGATACACAATGGCAACAGATCTAGCACAAGCCTGGTGGACCGCAGAACCATGCACCAAAGTCAGCGCGGTCACCACAACTCTCAACTTTACCGTGTACAGCGCCACGGGCGCATCTCCAACAACCACCTCTGAAATGGTCATCCGCGGCCCCATCATTCATGCCTACCCCGTCGAACTCAGATGGCAATCCAGCGACAGCGCAGCGCTGGGCTCCGGCTCGACCACCGCCAGCGCCGTTCCAACCTTCACCGACGCCACCACCACCAAGACATCTGCCTCGACCACGGGACCCACGTCCTCGGCCACGTCTCCGTCAACCGCACCGCCCAGTTCGGACGGAGCTCACGGCTCGTCGGGTCTTTCAACGGGAGCGAAAGCCGGAATTGGCATCGGCGTCGCTGCAGCAGTGATTATCATTCTCGCTCTGCTCTTCTGTTTGTGGCGGAGAAGGAAAGGCAGCGCGAGCTCAGCCAGCCCAAGCAAGGAACGCAAGGTGTCTTTGGGTAATGCGCAAGATGATGTTTACGGGGAGATCCCGGTCCGTCAGGTTCCCGGACACAAGCCCGTGGAGCTGCCGACGCGGGCGACGGGATGGTCGGAAGAACTACATGGTCAATCGCACCCAGCACCATCGGAACTGGAGGCCGGGCAAGCTGGTTATGATTCGCCTATGACTGCCAAGTATAGGTGAACTGGTAAGCCATACAGCAGCAAGGCCTGGTGACAAAGGCCTGGCGATAACGCTGTGAAATGAAATGAAAACAAAAAAAGAAATAAAGAAAGAACTCTACGCGGAGGATTAAATATGCGGAACGACAGAGCGACGACCGTCGACTTGGGGCTGCTTATCTGCAATTCTAATAACTGGGAGCTGTCGCGCTCATTGACCACATATATTTGATACTTGCGCATTGGCCACAACAGAGTGAACAAGAAACACTACATAAATACACCCAACTCGTCCCATCCATGAGTCCATAATGAAGCTGTTGCATATCTGAACGACCCGAATCAGAGATTTGCGTACTGAGTTACTCAAATACTAAAATACCGAATAGCAACTTCCTGAGATTGGATCGTGATCATTCCCGTCTCTACCCTAGAACATGCATTCACGAACTTGGACATTCTTGCCGAGTTGACGGGAGTCAGGTCAATGATCCAACATACTGGCACTTGGAGAGTCTCAGCACATGAAATCGTACTCACTACTCACACTGGGACGGGACTAGACATCATAAAAGCCTATAGAGCCCGCGGGCCGGGCTCAGGCTTTGATCGGCGGCCCGTCACGGGCTTTTATAATATCTAGACGGGACAGAACCGGACTCAACCTAACATCAAGGCTACGACACCTAGGTAGTAGGTACTACTCGTAATGTCAATGTTCCGATCGTCGTCAAACAATCAAGGTTCAAGGTTCTTACCATGGAAACCTTGCAGCGACCGTGACTCACAGCAAAATGAGATACGCTTTCTCTCGAAAGACCCGAAATGGTATTGCTTGCTTCGTAATTGATTGAGAGAACGACCCACTAGCTTAGAGATGAATGCTTCTCTATGAAGAAGTAGACTGAAGAGATCAAGGTACTTAGGTACGTGCTACCTTTGAATCTGGCATACATCATTGATCGAATATTGAGGGATCGTATCTATCGACTACGTCCATTTACTGTACAAGCTGGACGCTGATAGCGTTTCGAGTCATTCATTTCGAAAAGAACAAAAAATGAGACAATCACCAGGGGCTGGTGATCAAGTAGCTCTCTCTCTCGTTCTATTCATCTAGCCACCTGCACTCGAGCGGAGTCCCATAAGATAAACGCCTTGATATGAATATGAATCCCTGAGGAGACTCCAAAATGCACGACAACAGCACTGGAACAAAAGAGTCTCTAGGTGCTATAAGGTGCGTAGTGAATGAAAGTCATCGCGATACAAGAAAAGCAAAACAGGAAATAAAGCAAAATGCAATGCCGAACCATCAAACCCAAAACGTCATTTCGTCATGAATCATGATCTCACTCTCTATCCAAAAGAGGAGACAAGGCGTAAAAGGCAAAATGAACCGAGAAAGAAGAATGAACGATGCAGACGGAAGATTTGGAAAGCACAGAAACTGGGGAAAGTCGCTCATACGCGACATTCTTCTCTAAACAGCTCCATAGTGATCTCGTTCAGAACTCAGGAGGGCCTGCCGTTCCCGTCGACGTGATAGAGATCTGTGACCATGTTCATTGCGAGCAGGTGATGCAGAGGGGATCCATCCTCGCATCCAACCCTGTACACGTCGCCAGCGACCACGACCCCGCTTGACGTCCTCATTGTTTGCGCTGACGATACTCTCGTCATCCAAGTCAGAAGAGCCATACATGAGAAATTGTACACCCATGAACCCATCTAGTCCCAGCACACCGAATGCGCCAAGGAAGAATGGGCTGGCACGACCAATCCATTCCAGACGGTCGTTGCCGTGTCCATCTGCCCAGCCACCACCTCCGTAGGGTGGGAAGTCAGACCAGAAATTAGGATTGGTCACGAGGGAGGATGAATAGAACAGATTGCCAAAGAAGGCTGCCATAAAGAGCAGCGGAGAAAGACCCTCTGTACTCTTACGGCAGTAATTCTTATATAGTTGTGGAGGCCGTGAACCAAGATAGAGAATAGTGGACATCCAGGAGAAGACGCGACCGAACACCTCGACGACTGTTTCTCGAGGAGCATCTGATATCGGCGGATGAGGCAGCGGTGATGGAGCCGTGTGCGTAGGGCTAGCATTGGCTAGCACCGCACATACAAGGGAAGCGATCAGCATGGTCCGTGGCAGCGCAAACGGTGGGCTTGCAGAGGTGCTGATCATCCGCCCTGAGCGGCGCGGAGAGTTGGCCTTCTCTCCGGCAAAGGCGAAAGGAGGTGTACGACCGAGAGCTGAGTTGGGCGTCGAGCCGGTCTGCACACCCATGTCGTGGACCTCGGTCTTCCTCTTTTGCGCGACATTGACGGGAGCCGGCGATTGACGGGGCATCTCATCGCCGGACAATGATACACCATCCAGATACTCGCTTTGACCATGACGGTGGTCATGCGCGTAGTCGTCGATGTCCATGTATTGTTTGGACTTGTAATGAGTATACCAGAAGAACTGGATCACCAAGACAACGTCCACACAGACATAGTAGCCGGCCACCACGACCTGCCAGCCGGCCTGGCGAGTGAACCATGCCCCGAGGAGGTTACTTGCATCACCTGCACACCAGATTACCAAGAAAAAGATAGACAGTCCGGAGGTGGATTGAAGTTGGTAGTTCTTGTAGATCTGCGGCAGCTGGGCGAACAACCATGAGACAATACTTAGCGTTCCGAGCACGGACGATATCAGGGCGAGTGGGGTGGGCAGGCAGATGTGGAGGTGGGAGGAGATTGCAGTCAGCCACGGCGACGATGGCTCGCAGTGATCCGGTAGCGACGCTGACACTATCGAACGAAGGAGAGTTGTGGCCATAATTCTGGCGGACGACGAGAGGATCTCAACAGCAGACACCAGGAGACTCTCCAAGATACCTGCGGCCGGAGAGGTCGACGAGGAGGACGAAGATGGTCAAGGCGACTGCCGGACAATGAAGGTAAAGTCCCCCAGCGGCACGAGCGAACGGGTTCCCTTGACTCACGAGGGTGAATGAGCAAGGGTGGTCGCTGGAGTGTGAGAAAACGTCGGAGAGAGTTGAAATCCGAGGAGATGTAGAAGCAAGGAACCTCCGTATTGTATCACCTCTGCGTGCGAGCGCCAGGCGGCGACCCGTTGACCAGCCCAGTCATCCACATCACGCATCACGAGCACTGCGCAGACGATCTTTGACTGGGGTTGGGCGTTCGCCTTCCCCCCAGGCTCCACGACCCAAAGAGGCTTATCGAGGCAGATTGCTGCTGCCGATGAGATAAGGATGGATCACACCGGTCTGATTGGGCCTCCCGCAGCTTCTTTCCAGTCTTTCCACTGACGGAGGTGGAGCCCAGTGGGGCGGAGGGGCAGAAGGGGGGGGGGCTCCGCTTCCCCATTTTCGGTGGATGCCTCGTGACTCACGCCTCTGGCGTGTCCCCGAGATAAGCGACATGGCATCAGCTCAGGAATGCACTTGTACGCTGACTCGTGAGTCGTCAGTGGTTAGTCACTTACAGGAGTAGCAGTGTGTTGGACCAGCAGCACCCCAGCAAGTGATCATCAATGGATAGCCACTGCAGGAAAGCCACTGACTGGAAACGAGATCTGGTCAGGGTCGACGATCCCTCCCACCCTCCGGCTCTCCGGTTTGGTCCGGTCGAGGGTGACATTCCCCAATGTGTCATATATTGATCACCCTGCTGCACCCAGGTCAGATGGTGGCATATCCACGGAGTCGCGTGAGTTCGCGGTGGATCGATCCAAAGAGTGTCTCACTCGACAACATTCATGCGCACGGACAACTGGAGACAACATCTCGGTAGGCGCAGAGGGAATAGATACATACGATCCATGCCGGATTTCAAAGAACAATATCAGGTTAGCCACATTCGAGGAGGGCCGCCGAGTATAAAGCAGAGGGTCGGCACTGATCAGCGTTCTAGCTCTGCCCTATGCATGGATCGAGTGCTGTAGGCTTTCTCGTCCAGGCTTTGTTACTGTGTAATGGACCGATTGATGGATCATCATCAATCAAGGAGTAAAATGGATCGACAGATGTCATGGTAGTCCTTTCGACAGACGGGACCAAGGTCGACAAGGTCAGACACTTGAACGGTGAGGAGGTTGATGCCAGTAGGTTTAGAAGACCACGTGATAATGTCATTCCATCATCTCGACGTAGCGATCCATCCAGGTCGGGCCCGAATGAGTCGTGTGTTATTCGTGCTTAGTCAATTTACCTTTCTGCCATGATTCATGCATGGCCTTACCTTCGACGTTTGACAGCCTGATACAACGGAAGCCTAACATCGGGTTGGTGAATTGTGCCATATGGTAAGCTACTTGCCAAGATATTCTGGGCCGAATTTGTTCAGTGGAAGAAAAGAAATTTAACCAGCATGCTCTGCTTGCCCAGTATCCATCTACCATGTCTTCCTGCCCGCTTATGAACACGATTGTAACGACTAACATCATGAATATCTATCTATTCGAGTGAAGGCCGAAAACTCACTAGATGAGACAATAGGTACCCCAAGTCATGCTTGAAACCAGACTGGCCATTTCAAGCTTCATAAGAACCAATTCATGCCGAGGACCATATGTCTACACCTCCTCTTTCCTCCTCTTCCCCAGGCAGAACTCATCAGCTGCCTACTAATCGTCCTCGTCAGCGTGGCGCGAGCGACTGCGACTACCACTGTGTCGGTGGTGATGGTGATGGTGGCGGCCATGCTCATAATCATGTTCACGATGGTGATGGTGATGAGGTCCATAATGATGGCTGCTCTCATGCCCGTGATCATGATCATGACGATGATGCCCATGCCCATGTCGATGTCGATGTCCACTTGATTGCCCATCATCGGAATGATCCCGCAATTTGTTACCCAACATATTGCCCACCACCGCACCGCCAATAGCACCCAGTAGACCGTGGTTCTTCTTCGATCCGAGATAGTACCCTGCTGCACCACCGACCAAGGAGCCCCCAATCCCACGTTCACCCTCGAAATCACCAGTTTGACCATCCCCCTCACGATTGTGTTCACGATCCTGGTGTCGATCGTCCGCATTACTGACGTGAACGGATGGCGGGCGTGGGCTTGCCGGGGGATCGTAGCGTGGAGTTTCCTCTGATGGATAACTTTGAAAATAGAGTCAATCGATCAGATGCACTCAAGCTACGGAAAGTAAGAAGCGCATATGCCGATCGCAACGCTCGTGCATGTCTTACTAGTAACTCAAGTTCTCGGGGACTTTGGTTCCATCCCCGCTTGCGGGCCGTGGGCCTAGCGCATGTACAGGACCCAGATAGTCCGGCTGCCCTGCAGGTGTATGACTTCTGTTTGGAGTCGCAGCGGGATATGGCTCAGACGTAAGGTGGTGTGCGTTTGGATTCAGTCCGGGCTGCGGGGTGTAGCTGCAGCTCGATTCGGGACCAGGCCCCGGTTGAGAGAGTTGATAGTCTGTGGGCGGTCCTTGCGTAGAATACTGATACTGCTGTTGGTGCTGTTGTTCTGCGGAATAGTAGCCGACTCCGCCTGGTGCGGGTGTCGCAAAGGCAGTGTAAGGATTGTATGGGTCGCCCATGATGGCGTGGATGACGACGAACTATAGTTGTTTTGAGGAGACCGGATTGACTCCTGCGGTATCGATCTATACTTATATATTGATCGAATTTGCGGCTGATACTCAGGTAGCGCAGCGGTGGTCTTCCCTCGCGCGGTGAAGAATGGCATCAGTATGTGAAATAGGAAATCCGATACTGATCTATGAGGTCAGAGTGTCTGCTGACAAGGGTCGTTATACGCAAGGCTGATGAACGGTGCGGCTGACCTGTCCGCACGACCCTCTTCGCCCCCTCCTCTTAGGTACATCCTGCCATAAGCCATTTACCCTAGGAGCAGGAATCCTATCAGAAATGAATATCCCGCCTGCTGGGAGTTCTCAGTACTCTGATCACATACAAGCGTCAAGTTGGGCGACGCGTGATTTATAACCATGCTACGTAGAACTTTTTGATCTCGCAAGGAAATGATGATTAAGGGCCACCCTCTTCGAACGACCGAGTTTCAAAAAAAAGAATCGTATGATAAAAGCAGAACAATGGACACGGGGTATTCCGACAGTATGGATCACAAAAAAGGGAATAAAAATAAAAAAAGAGAACACGGCAAAAGAAAACCAACGGGTCAATAAGGGCGTGGGACAGATCGATCTGCAGATCGATCGACAATGAGTGTGGTGCGGCGCATGGCCTAGTGATATAAGCAAGGGAACAATAGAAGGAGAGAGAGACTCGATGCATGAAGAAAGAATTCGCGTAGGCCAGAGGCGAAGGCCAACATGCGAGGCAAATACTTCGGCAAATCTTGGTACGAATATAGAAGACCAGCTTGACATGGTTGCGCAGCACGAGGACCACGACAAGCGCGATCAACTGAAGCCGTTATTGAAAGGCTGATGCTGGTCCGGAGCCAGGGCACATCATATAGTGAAGAGGAATGTCCATGATCAAACGAAGAAACTAGGAGGCCGAGCTTCGAAGACTGCGACTCAAGCCCGATGACATCCTCCGTTGAGACATCCATTTGACAAGCATCTCATCAAGTTGGTTGTTCATTTCCCGCAACCTTTTGCTCTCTTCTTTGAATAAGCGTCCAGTGACGGGATGATCCGGGCCAGCGGGGGGTATATTTGAGCTGTCATGAACAATGATGAACAGGTCCCGAATGTCGTTCTCCTCATCCAGGTAAGATCTTAAACTGGCGTCACTCCACGTTGGAGTACTCATGGAACGCGTATCCAATGAAATTCGAGTATCTTCGCCGCTCTTGCGTTCGTCAAGCCCAACTTCAGGCGACGAGGATACTGAAAAATTCAGGGATGGAGATTGCGCAACCGCAGGGTGGTCGTCGTCTGGCGGACTGGTGACTGGACTGTGAATCTCCTCGACCGGCGAGAAGCTGTCGTAGGTTGGGGAGATAGGTGAAGAGTAATCGGATCCCATATTTGGAGCGAATCTTTGAGGTGGAGACATCACGGAAGGCTGATGGCGCCCTATGTTCTCGTATGGCTCTCTCCACTGAGCTTCACTAGAAGGCCGGTCGACAGGAGAAGCTTGATGATTTTGGGATTCAAGAGAGTTCGTGAAGGAATCCTTGGAGGGACGGCGCTGATTGTCAGTAGTGGGTGCGGTCCCGGGTGCATCGCCATGACTGCCCGCATCATCGGACACGACTCGACGAATGGACCGGTTAGTCTGACTTCCGCCGCTAACCTCCCGTTCCTTGAGCGATTCTTGGTTTCCAAAGTTCGTCTGGGCCTCGGGTCTGGAGGTAGGCGAAAGAGCTGAAGGTGTTTGCTTTTGCAACTTGGTATTCACCTGTCGTGGTGACTTGGTCGCACGAGGCTCCGGAGAGATAGCATCTAAAGAGGTTTTGGGTTGAGGCGAAATCAGGGACCCAGAATCTGCAGGCGAGCGCTCGGCTTCTTCAATGTCGTCTTCGCTTGATTTGTGCTTCTTGTCTTTGCGCTTGAACAGGCCGCTGAGCATCCCAGGCTTCTTGTCTTTGCGCTTCTTTTCATCTTTCATCTTATCTTGCGATGCATTCGATTTATCGATCATCTCAAAGCTGCCGCGCCCGGTCTAGGTATTTGTCAGCAAATGGTGCGTCTGTTAAAGGCGTCAACAAAAAAGAAGGTGGAATTACCTCTTTCCATTCACCTGTCAAGGTTGTCCCACTGGACTCGTCGCGCAGAAGATTAGGCGTGAGAGATATTTTCTTTGGTTCGGCAGTGTCATCCTTGAAGAACGAGTCTGTGTTTCGCACAGTGCCATTCCTAGATCTGCTTACGGATGGTTCTGTAATGGAGGGTGAAGTTTAGTACGAGTTTTGGGATGTCAGCAGGCTAAAGTCAAAATGCTCACCTTCGGAATCGAAAAAGTCCTCACTCGAGCGCCTGGCCTCGGAGCCTGCCCGGTCTGGTTCGTGCTTGACGGGAGATAAACCACCGTCAGCCGCATCCAGAGACCTCTCCTTCTGAGGCCGGGTACGAAGAGGTTCCACAACAATGTCTTCGTTTTGCTCTTGAACGTCACCATCCTCAGACTCGACCGTCTCATCGTCGTTGAAGAAATCACCGTGCTCGTCTTCTTCCTCGGTTGAGTACTCCACGTCCGATGCCTCGATATAAGTTGGTGGTGCAAAATTGACCGTTTTCGCGTTGCGACGTCGCATTGCCTTCTTCAGTGGATTCTTTGACTTCTCGGAATTGTCGCCGAGCATCGTTGCCGACAAATCGACATTTCGATGCTTATTGAGCCTGGCCAGACGTTCCGTGGGCGTTTCGATATGTTCCGCAGGGAGATACCCGATGCTCCCATCTTTCACCACGCGAACAAGCCACCAATAACTGTTGCTATCGTCCAGCAGCACCATGGTATCGCCTTTCGCCGCATTTGCTTGACCGTCCACGGTAGCAATGAAATTGTGTAGCGCGTACACAAACTCGAAATCGATATCCTCTAAGTCCATTTAGAACACGCCCTGGTGTGTACTATGTGCTTTCATTGACATACCATCATCGATCGAAGGAGAACTAGACAGCTTGTCCATCATATCATCGTCAAGGAGATCGTCGTCCTGCTCTTCATCCGCCAAATCGCCATCCTCATCGTGATTGTATTCTCCATTGCGCCGTAGGCTATCATCGCCTGCTTCCTGCTCAACAAGTATATCAACACTTCGAAGATGATCGCCATCGTTGGTTAAGGTGGATGCTGTCAGCACCTCGGACTTGGATTCCTGTTCCGCATGACGAAGCGAAATTTCCTGATGGGGAGCCGGCCGGCCGCTTCCCAAGGGATTGGGATGTTCAGGCTGTTTGGTATGATCTTGAGCAGAAGGAGCATCATGGTCTTGGAGGTCAAGAGTGTCTTGATCGTTGGAGCGATCAGCAATGGAACTCGATACGTAGGGTCGGCGAAGCATGTCGGTCTGTAGAGGGGATGGTGGGGGGGGGGGGGGGGGGGGGGGTTTCGTGGAAACGTACCAGCTCGAATCATCTGAGGCCTCGTCATGATGAAAGCTCCGGGACCGCAGGGGGGCAGCCAGTGGGAGCGGTGGACTTGAAAGGGTCAACAAGGAAGGGGTTAGATCGGATCGCTTGTATACAGCGCAGCATAAAACGACGGTAAAGAATAATGAACAATGTGGTCGTCAATTGTTACAAAGTCCGAGTCAACAGCGGCGCAGGGGAGGACTGTCGAGGGACTCAAAGAACGGACGCGAAAGGAATGACTGCGCTCTCGACAAAAGTGGAGAGCTAGCCCCGGACTTTCAATCGCAGCACGAAAAAAGTGACTGCAAAGAGGATCAAACGGGGAGTGAGAAATGAAAGCTACTGCCAGAGCGACATAGAATGAAATGACCAGTCATGAAAGGGGCAGGCCCGTTGCAACGCCAGTGTGGTTACTCGCATACATCCCCAGATCTGGCTCAAAAGGAGATTCGGTCCCCAAACAAGCGCCCCTTGCGCGCGGCTAATCATGTAGTCAGCAACCAAGCCCAGCACTGGCAGGGCAGGACCCCCGGGACCATGGATGGACGTCACCAAGACTGGCAAGTGAAGCCAAGCGCCGATCACCCGGAGAAACAATGTTCCTGGAATCACCTGACATCGCAGATCAAGCAGCTAAAATTAATGAAGGAAGCGCCTGTGCCTTGAATTAAATGCCTGAGGACGTCAGGGTCATTTCACGACGGAACTACGCTAAGCCCAATCGAGCCTCCACTCTCCCGTCATCACCCGAGTCCGCCCGATGCCTCATACACTTGACTTGACCCATCGGAAGTGGCCCTTGCTTGGTTGGCTTTGAGCCAGTCTTTTTGCCTTCTCCACCGGGATTTTGTGCTCTCATCTCAATTCATTTCTGACACTCGTACCAATTCGCGTTTGTCATCTCTCTCTCGCAGCTTTATGAAGAAAGAAAGTTCTCCCAGATCATCCCCAGCTCCAGTAACTTTCCCCAATTCAGCTGGTACCTCACAACAGCACGCCTCCCTCTCTCACACACGCCCTCTCTCTCTCTCTTTCTGTCTCTCTCTTTCCTTTCTCCTTATATTCGCTTTTGGCGATATACATCGTTAGCGCCTCATCCCCGCTTCTCAGCAACGCTTATCGCCCCACATCGCTTTCGCAACAACCCAAATCGCGAGGCCAGAGACAGGAGACAAGATCACGTCACGTCGCTCCATAGAGCGGAAGGTTCGTGGAACCTGACCGCTGGCCTCTGTCGGGCTTGCAGACACAGTAACGCCACATCTCTCTGATCCGCGCTGCGAGGGGGCATGGCGCATCCAGAGAAGCTTGGGTTGGCAGGCTTGAAGATTGAGACTTCATTCAATCATCACCACCTAGGCCGATCGAATGAGAATCGTATCGACAGGAGGCGATCAACATCAACTGAGGGTAGCGATGGTACAAGAAGCGACCATCTAAAATCAGATCATGATCAGATCGTGCGGTGTCGCGATGCTAATGATGAGCGCAGTGTGCTCAGTGAAACGCATTCAGTCACCCGTCCTATCTCGGTTCCCCGTCATGAAGGTCGTCATTCAGATGATTCCTCTTCATTTCCAGATCGACCTGATGATGTACAGAATTCTCCACTCGACAACTACTTCGAAACTCGCCGTGCTTCTATTACGTTCAATCCCAAGGTCTCTCTTGGCGAAGGTGTACAATATCCCCTGGATGAGCCTTTGGTCAAAGGTGGTGCGAGCGCGCGGCCCCCACTGAAATTTGAATCACGGACGTCAGGGTTGCGCAATGCTCTCACCCAGAGTGATATCTCCGGTCATCCGACACATGAGTCTTGGGGATACCATGTCAAGCGAGCCCAGGACGCAGGGGGCATCCCAACCGGAACCCCTTGTCCACGGCGATCTAGAAGCGCAGAGAGAGAAGTGCCTCCTGGTCATGATATCGATCAGCCAACTTCCCTGACATCGCTGTCAACCGTGTCCCCTGTAGCAGAAGAAGTGCGGACACCTCCTGAGAGTGTCAAAGATCCATTCTTCTCCCCGCTGTTCATCACTTCGCCAACGCAATCGGTGACGTCGCCGGACGACCGCAGTGGCTCCTGGTCCGCGGGTGTGATCACCCCTTTTGGCAGTAAAACGAGGCGACCTGCGCTGGACCGCAGTGGGAGTCTTCGCCAAAGTGGATCAAGACGGTCAACGCTCTCCAGCGGAAAATCGCCCGCTAGTGCATTCTTGTCGATGTGGTCGACCAAGGATGAGCCCGTTGCCTCCCCGGATGATGAGGGCCAAACCGTGGGCACAGACTACGTTCTTGGCAAGCAGATTGGATTCGGCGGCTTCAGTGTGGTGAAGGAGGCGTACAAAGTCGAGGATCATGGAACCACCAAACGGCTGGCCGTCAAAATCGTGAAGAAGAACATGGCTGATCGCAGTGAGAGGGAGAACGAAGAGGTCCAGGCGGAATTTGATCACGAGGTTCGAGTTTGGCGATATTTGAACCATCCTCATGTTCTGACTCTTGATGCGGTGTATGAAACGGACTACGCAACATTCTGTTTCACCAAGCTCGCTATTGGCGGCACGCTCTTTGATCTGATTCGTCAGAACCGTCAAGGACTTGATATGACTCTCGCGAAGAAATACTCGTACCAGCTGGCCTGCGCAATTCGCTATCTGCATGAAGATGCGCGCGTCGTCCACCGTGACATCAAACTCGAAAATTGCCTCTTGGATCCGGTTGAGTCTTCCGACGGGTCTGTTTCGTCTTCGCTTGTGCTGTGCGACTTTGGCATGGCCGAATGGATGACAACCGACGATGGCGGCGAGTCTCCCGACCCCTATAGCGAGGCGGCGGATCGACCACCACCAAAGCAAATGGGCCCGGCTGATTCAAGCACCAGTATTGCTGGAAGTTTGGAGTACGCTTCACCCGAATTACTCGAGTCGACCTCGGGTATCATTCACCCTTCAGTCGATATATGGGCGTTTGGTGTGATCGTCTACACAGTCATCGTCGGGTCGCGACCCTTCCAGGACGCTTTCATGCCTCGTATCAGATCCAACATTGTTAGCGGGACTTGGAACCGCGAAGCGATCACGAATGGAGTCACAGACCCTTCACTCCTAAAGGATCGCCAAGACGCACTCGACTTGGTCTGTGGCTGTCTTGAGATGAACGTCAACAAGCGTTGGAATATCCGTGACGTGTTGGCCAGCGCATGGCTTCGCGGCGTTGCCCAGAGTGTTGACGATTACTCCAATGACTCTGTCTGGAAACTATGACCTATCTTGAAGTAGTTGTATGGCTATGTCATCTTAATGTCCTGATGAACTACATTTTGATTCGAGCACTGGAGTTTTTTCTTTGGCTTCGGGAATGTTTTGTGTCTTCTCTTTCTTTCTTTCTGTCTTTCTTTCTTTCTTTCTTTCTTTCTTTCTTTCGTTCTTTCTTTCTCCTCTTTCCTCTTTCCTCTTTCCTCTTTCCTCTTTCCTCTTTCCTCTTTCCTCTTTCCTCTTTCCTCTTTCCTCTTTCCTCTTTTACTGGCCTTCTGGCCTTTTTAAGGATTGTTTTGATGATACCCTTGGCCAGTGCCCCCCCCCCCCCCCCCCCCATCCATAGCATTGGCGACATGAGCTTCTCAGTTCGCTAATTTTATTTTTGGAGGATGACCTGACTCTTTTTTATTCTTCAATCATCCTCTTCTCCTAGTTTTCTTCTGATGAAATTCGAATATCCATTAGCGCTGTCTGTCCACTCATGGGCAGGCCAAGGACGTCTCGATTTTATTACATGTAACCCATACGGCGTCTCAATATATTCATACGAGCATTTTTTTCTTCTACCCAATAATCCTTGGTGATTCTGCTTTATTCTTTACTCCAAGTAGAGTAAATCAGACCAACACCCGTCGTGGTAAAAGTCACTCTTTCTCCGACACGTCCGTTCCATAGCCACTATGCAGTATAATTCACTATACAGTATACACAACCTCAGTCATTTGGCGCCTTATGAAGAATACATCGGATGCGACGTGTCGCTCTTGGAAGAGGCTATTACCATTTGACAAACAGACTGCGATATCATACTATATGTATTGTCCCATTCGACTTGACGAATCTGATTGGAAATCATGGTCTGTTGAACTCAAGCGTACGACCATGGGTCCTAGACGGAAAGCCCAGTGAACAGCCCCGTAAATCACATATGGACATCAACCTGTGCAGACTGCAGACCCACCCACCTATCTCGGTTCCTGCGCCAGCCATGAAGATGATCAAAACCGAGATACCTGACTTTTTCGATCGATTCAATTCCCCTTCGCCATGGGCAGGACTAACTGGACCTGAAGTATAGTAGCAAGTACCAAGTAGTAGCTCTTTTCTCGCGCGCAGTTCCAGTTGCGCGGGGTTGAGTCTAGAGAGGTAAGGTATCTACCTTACCTAGTAGGTCTGTGGTAAGAGGTACTCTCGAGCCAGTGGGGCTTGACTCTGCTGCGCGACTCCTGGGAAGTACCACAGTCAAGAGCGCAAGTGGCAGGGACGGGAGGAGGAGGAGTCCAATGACTCGTGGCTACCTCGTCGTCTACTCGGACTCGCACCGCGCATTCACCTGAGAGATAGTTCAAACATACCGTCGCTCTCGAGGTAGCCCTTGCCGAGACGCAGTTCGACTAAAACTCACATTGACCGTTCTGGCTGACCCCACGTGCGATCAAAAAAATTCCCATCCACACGGAGGAGTCAAATATCGTCCGCACGCTTTGCGATCCACCGTGGCGAACCGACCCTTATACTGGAGAAATGGGAATCCTAAAAGGAACGTCAACATCTAAAACCCTTGGAAAGGACGAATTCAACCCTTACGGAGACCATCATGTAGATCAGAGTCGACGGCAGTCCGCTGGTCGTCGAGTTCGAGGAGTTATTCCCTTCGGACCGCAGGGGATGCAAGGGAGGGAGAACTGTGATATCGTAATTGATGCGGACATGCTCAAGACGTTTGCGAAGGGCTGAGATTTGGATGGAACAGGAGTTCCGGGCGTGGAGTGGTGAGATCTGAGAGGCAGGTTTCGAAAGAGAGGTCTCTGTTGGTATTGAACTCGACGTCTGCATTGTGCTGGATCATTGTACTGCGTGCTAATCGAATTCGGCGTGGACAATTCTGAATTGTCGGATTCACTTCGGCTTAAGAAATGTGAAGACGAGTTCAGGCCATAGTTCAGGTGATAGCATTGGGGGAGTAATATACATAAGATGAACAATATATGAAAAAGAGGACTTTGTGGAGAAAAAAAAGAACGACGCGCCCTATCCCAGAAAAACTACACCAGACCCGAATTGTTCATATTCTACACCGAGAAGAAGACGTAGCGCAGCAAAGTAGATGATGTATGCTCGACATTGCCATACTAGATCGGCGACTTATCCTTCGAAGTTTTCTGACCAGCCCAATGCAACTACCAGAGTCTGTTCTCGGGCAGAATCTTCTCCTTCTTCGTACCGGCCGTGGACTTGCGCTCCTCGGGCGAACGGAAGAACAAACTGGGTCCCTCCATCGGCTTGAGCAGATGAGCCAGATAACCCCGGTGCGCAGGGTCACGGTAATATTCAATATCACGACGACGCGTCGGGTCCGGAAGACGATACTTCAAGCCGCGAGCTTTCATAACGTTGGCCTCGGACAGATCCTCGGGGGCCCCGTCGGCCTTGAGCAAGGCTTCGGGTCCACTCTGGGGTGACCAGGCCAGGGAGATGAAAGGATGGGATTCCATGCGGAGAATGTGACGGATGGCATTGCGAGTGTAGAAACGGGTTGTCAGAGAGCCGCCGGCGGCTTCGACGGCTTGGATGGCGGAGGCGGAGGCTCGTGACACGACGAGATGGACGGGTTGCTTGAGGGCGGCGGCCGAGCCGCCCAGGATCTTGACGCCGTCCTTGGGTTGGTGGATGCATCGTGAATGTGTGAGTTCGCGGATAGTGATGGGACGGGTTGGGTCGATACGACCCTGGTCGATCCATTCTTGAATCCGTTCCAGGTTGACGGGGGCCATGTCGGCGGCGAAACTGGGAGAGGAAGACGGTTAGCGAAAAAGCAGTGGTTCCTCGTTCCAGAATTGCTTTCGTCTTCCACTGCGTCGCTCTCTACGAGGACCCTCGTAGAACTATAATTCCGGTTCAATTGCGGAGGAGAGTGTGAGGTAGAAAGAAAAAGACACATACATGTTGTTCCATCCTTTCTCGCCATGCACAACAATATCCGGCGTCTGACCACCATTGAATCCAGCAGGAACCTTGCCATGCTGCTTCTGACCCTTATGACCTCGTCCAGAAGTCTTTCCCTTGCCCGACGCAGGACCTCGACCGCGGCGAATGCGCTTATTATATGCAGAGGGATTATCGGAGAGCGAGGAGAGAATGGAAGCGCAGCGGGACTGCTGCTGCTGCTGCTGCTGCAGGGTCGGAGCGAGGAATCCCAATGGCGATATCTGCATCGCAGGCCGCATGATGAGTTGCGACAGCTGCGTGGGCAGCGCCATCAATCGGGGTGGCATGGCGACGAGGTGGAAGTTGATCGGGGCTGCGTCTCACGAGCGTTTCTTCTCAACTTGGTCGTGCTGTTGTACCCGGAGAGGGAACGGAGATCTTTTGATGGGAGCGGAGAAATATCGGCCCGCCCGGTTGATCGACCAGTTGGTGAGGTCCAGTTGGCTCCGTCTGGTAAGTTATCAAGTGCCTCCAGCTACCACATGTAAATTTATCCATCCACGAGATGAATATGTGTATCTCAACCTGGGTATGTACTATCATACTATTTGGTATTTGGTATTTCATCAATGTAGTACTGTGTAGTGCGTATTGCACCTGACGACTGCCTACCCAGTGGCCAGTACTACCTAGTACCTAGGTAGTACCTACTGAATTGACTCGACGCTTGTACTTTCTAGTATAGAGCATCTGCAAATTTGACAGAAAAAACTTACTGCAGGTACAAACGTAGCGAACAGCCTACGATGTCTGATGGTTAGGTATCAATCACAGGAGTGTAATGCTGATGTATCATGATCGAGCTCTCCACCAACGCCGAGCCTGCTCATGTGCTTGCAAAACCAGCCCCCAGTCTACTACCGATGTACTGCTAGTGGAATCATTTGAGAGAAGGACTGAGTTATTGGTTTGATTTGGTTTCAGAAGCTTCTGCGACTTGAACTCGAGGTAGAAGGAACGCCCCAAAATGCTAAAAAAAATAGTCTGTAATGATGTGTAAAGGTGGTCTTCTTCGAGAGAGCTCGCAAATGATTCGCACAGACAACGCCCAAAATGCCAATGCCATCAGAAGCCCCGCTGATGTTGTAGACAGCAACCCGAACATCCATCCGTGACAACGCCTGGAGTCATGCCAAATCAAATGAGCGAATAAGAATGTGGCTTAAGTATACAAGAGTTAAAAGAAAAAAAAAATGCCAGCAGGTGAGGAATAAGAAATGCAAGGTTGGAAACGAAACAAAGTCACAGAGCATGAGGATGAGCGGGGTCGTAATAGAGTAGTAGTGGTCGTCATGCAGTCACGTCGTGTCGTAAGCAAGAAGAGGAGCCCGTTGCAAGCCACCCACAGGGGTTTAACCGGAGAATTGACTTGGGGGGAACGGAGGCTGATATTGGGGCTGATTCCAGCCCTCAGGGTAAATGTAAGGAAGTTGCCCTGTCTTGCGATCGGCCTGAGATTTTCCAAGAGGCTGATAATGCATGTGGTCGAATGGTATACTCCGTTGATGCATCATGGATGCCGTGGGTGGAGGGATCAGAAGTGTGTGTACTGAACGAACAGGGCGATAGGGAGAATTGCGGTTGGCAAGGAAATAGGAGGGAGACAGGTGCTTCTGGGGGGTGGGGATAGAGTAGGCAGATCCAGCGGGGGAGACTGCGGCAGACGAGGCTCCAAAGGAGCTCTGAGGATGACGGCTCATGTCGGAAACAGGTGGGACGCTGTAGACTGGCGGAGCTACGGACGTAGGCATCGGGGTCGCCGTGGTCTGTTGAGCCCAGCTGGAAGCCGGAGGATAGGCAGCATGGATCAGTGTTGGCGCGGGTAGCTGAGAGATAGTGGCCATTGGTAGGGCATGAGGGAGCGGGTTCGAGCCCGGGGGAAAGCTGGGCATCGGGAGACGACCCATGTGCGCCGGGGTGAACGTGTGTGCAGTCGGAACGGATGTCGGCGTCAACACTGGTGGCAGTGTAGAGACGACGCTGGGGGTGGGCAAGGCAGAAGAAGGCAAGTGGGCTGAAGAGTGGGCGATGCGCTTGGCAGGATGCAGGTCATCGCTTCCGTCGTAGCTCCGTTTTGAGGACGCACTGGCGGCGACATCACTTGGTGGCAGATAGCCAGTGTACGGCAGCCCACTCAGAGGGGTCATGATGCGCGGCTGAGGTTGTGACTGGGGGCGGTAGTGGTCCAATGGAGGAGATGGCAATTTAGACGAAGGAAGAGGTGCGTGTAGACGAGGTGGAGAGATGCGCATGTCCAGGGTATTCTCACGGCCGGCGGCGGAGACCTTGGAAGCGGAGTCGAAATACGCGGCAAACAGCCCCAACTTCGCATGCCATTCCGACCACTGCGCTTCCGAAGTCAACAGATCGTAACGAATGTTGCTCAAGAATTCCACCTCCATGATGTGAATCTCTTGCACAGCGATGCCGGAGACCTCGGCCCATGTCTTGTTGGTGTAAGTGTTATCGTCGAGGACTAATTGATGAGTCAGCAGCTGATCAGCCAATCCGGGAAAGCGGTGTGGTCTCGCCGCATGGCGGATCTTATCGGGGGGGGGGGGGGGGGGGCGACGCGATAAAGGGGAGACACATACATTTGTTGCCCAGCATCAAGGCAACCGTCATCAAGCGGAATTCACTGCCCTTCTTACCCTTGACCCCCGAATTGAACTTCTTGAGGCGGTAGATGAAGAGCAAGGCAAGCAAGATCACATTTTGACTGACTTGGGTGGTGGAGAGAATCGAGGCAACCCATTTCTGAAATCCAATGGTAGGGACCGCTTCGGGAACGAGATTGGGCGACGTTGGGCGACGTTGTTCAATGTCCTTTAATTTTGCGGTCTGTTCGAACCAGAAGAGACATGTCATCTGCGCAGAGAAAATGCTGTCAGCACATGATTGATCACTAGTCCCGATGCTTTCCCCCGAAGATCCTTACTTGAGCCGCAAATTCAGCCAAGTTCCCTTTGCTGTTGTTGATCGTTGACGGGATGCGAAGGGCAAAGTTCGTGCCCGTAACCGAGGGCCTCTTCTCGCCCACCGGCTCGGTAGCGGAGGCCGCATTTGCAATGGGGAGATATGCGCGCGTTGACGCATATTGAGGATTCACGCGAGCTTTGGAGGAGGTCACCCCCGCATCGTGAGAGGGCCGCAGAGGGTTGTAAACATGGGTCGGGGGTAGGCCACGCGCTGGACCTCCGTGGATTGTCGACGGAATGGCATTGTAAACAATGCCGTTCATGTCGTTTGGAGGGGTGGGCAAGCCGTCCCGAAGGGCGGCCTTCCAGCAGCGTGATTTCGAATCGAACTCTGGTTTTGTAAAAGCGGATGTGTATTTGGTGAGATCGACGGTTGGAGTGACGGGACCGGCGATTGCGAGAGGCTGATGGTTGAGAGTTGAGAAAGACATGGAGGACAAGGTCGAAACGTTTGCTTGAAGAAAGGTCGACCCATGGATGTGATTCTGTTCGCTGCAAAAGACTTGCGCTGGCCAAACGATGGCAACCACCGACTCAGGCGACTGGCCGGGCAGGATCGACGTAGGCAAACACGAACGGGGTGCGGAACGATGATTTTGAGTTCCAAGTTGACTGGGTCTTTTAAATGAACATCTCCTCCAGCAGCAGCAGCAGCAGCAGCAGCAGCAGCAGCAGGTGCAGCAGGTGGAAACAACCGTTGCAGGCAGGCACTACCCCGTCCACTCCGTTGTTGAAATGGGTGCCTTCCTAGCTGAAAGTCCGAGTGAGGTCAACAGACGCAGCCGGACAGTCGAGAACGTTGGCGAGGTAGCGGAGAGTAGCCGCGGCGAAGTGGTTGGACGGCAACGGGCTCGATGAGGTGTCGACGCAGTAAGATGAGCTTACCTCACGTTGGTGGCGGGGGATGAAGTGAATATTATAAGAAGGACACGACCATCCCGATACTTCGAGGAGGGGCAGTCGATCGATGTATGAGATTGGAATTATTGCCCGTAAACCGCTCTATACAGAGTGGGCTTCATCTGCCTAGAAAGGGAACCATCCATTCAAGAAGTATGGCACTCTCACTTCGTCTCCCCCAAAAAATACAAATAAAAATCAAAGTCAAAAGGCCTCCACCTCAAACAAGAAATGGAGCCAATGAGGCAGATCAGTTCAGAAAAAGAAAAAGAAACCATCCAAACGTGGAATGGCAGGCCAGAAAGAACGTTCGCGGCTAGGCGGAACAGCAAGAGGATCGATGATTCTTTGCGTTCCCGAAAAGAGCAGAATCAATGGGAAATGGCACCATAAATCATAATAATACCGATAATAATGATAATAGATAAAAATGATAATAGATAGAAATCATAATAGATAAAAATCATAATAATAATAATAATAAGAGACAACTCAATAATCATGACTTGCAAGTTGGGACGAGAGTGCCGCAGGGAAGCTTGAGAGGGAAAGGGAGGGAAGGGCAGGGAAGGGAACCAGGAGTGGGCTTACCAAACGGGGACAGGAAAAAAGAAAAAGAGAAAAGGCCAGAAAGCAACGAAACGGAGGGAAGTTGGACCCGGAAATTGGAATCACCAGAAGGGAAGCAAAAGAAGGATGTGGGGAATGATGAAAAAGGAATTTCGAGGAAACCTCGCACAGGCGAGCCACGCAGAGCTCAGGACGAGCCTGGCGGGTCGGAGTCCACCGCGCGAAAAAAGCTGGAGTCAAGGCATCATCTCGTCGACCGAAAAAGGGAGAGCCCGCCAGGTTCGACCCGCCCGCGGAGGGCTGAAGCCAGTCACGGGCCAGCAATTGTTCATGGACCCGGACGCAGGTCCAAAGGGCTGATCCTCCTTTTTCTTTCTCGGGGACTGGTATGGTCACGTTTGACATTTTCCGGTGATCGTGGTCCAAATGTGGTGGGAGGATGATTCCCATACAGGTTGAGTACAAAGATTTCACTGTGGTGACTGTACCCTCTACACTTTACAGTAGTGATGGGCCTCTTCGGGGGCAGGGGGAAAATGAGAATGCCGTTTTGGTCCGTCTGCCGCCGCCCTTCCAGCCTTCCAGGCTTCAGCCGGGACCTCAGGAGCCTTGAGCCCTTCAGTGACTGCGGCCGCATGAATGGTCGGGGTGGAGACTGAGACTGGAAGAAGGTACCGTTGTACGGGAAGATTCCTTCATCATTACTGTAGGACGACTATAGTAGCAGGAGACTTAACTACTACTAGTACATTTGGAAAGGAATACTCTCCAACGCCCTGGGAAAAGGTTCTCTCATGGCAACGCAAACTCGATACATGTGGAAACACACACACACAAAAGGCAGATGAGGAGACATCCCCAAAACGCAAATGGCTTGGGGTGCTGGGCTTTTGGATCTGAGCCTGAGATCTAGAATCTAGATCAGACTGCCTGTAACGGTCATCACCCCCCCCAAGAGGCTTGGCTCACATGCTGGGAGGAGTAAGGTGTGAGGACTGAGGACCGATCGATGAGACATTGAAGGCGGTACGAGAGATCCATGTACACTGGAATCATCAAAAGGTACAATCATGTCACAAGTTCATTACTTCCCTTTTCATCTTCAAAATCCAACCTGGAGAGGAGACTATGATCTTGTCCGGCTCGGGACAAGGTTCAAAGGCAGATGATTTCTCTTTGATGTCAGAGCCAAGTTTCCGACGGTCATCAGCAGTGGAGGTGAGCGCCCTGAACAGGCAAGGTCAACGAACGACTCATGGCTCATTTGGATGGAGTCCTGGTCGAAGTCTCGAGCTCGCCGTTGATGTGCAGGGGGCACCAGCGCCCCCTCGTAGTGAGTCGTGACCGCCCACGACGTGATGGAGCGGAGCTGGGCGGAGGCCAGTTCGAGTTGAGTGTCACCCGAAGTATTTCATTTTCCGAAGAGTGGACTCTATACAGTGGACACCGGACTCGATGGACATGGGAGGCGAGCGCGAGGAGTGGAAAGTGGAAAGTGAGTCGTCAGTGGTGTGTGTGTGTGTGCGTGTAGTCGTGTACTAGGAGTGTGCACCGTACCATGAATTGCCGAGTGGTCTCAGTGGCGGAAATCCAATGCGATGGAGTCGTGGAAGACCGAATCGCATGGCTCCATCCCCAAGAATTGTGAGACTACGATACGTTTACACCTCATCTTCCCGTCCGTGTACTACGGTGGAGGAGAACCAAGAGAGCAGGAGGCCGGATGATGCGCAAACGTGGGAGGGGAATGCCGATTCCAAGACTGGGAGAGCTGGCACGACACGAGAGAAGGAAAGCTCATGCTGCTGGAAATGACCCGGAAAAAGAAAAGTATGGGAAAGAGACCTACACCACCTGAAGGCTTGTCACCTAATGATCCTGATGGCCGTGGTAAATGAGCAATAACAATAATAGGAAAGGAACTAACCCAAAGGGAAGGGTCGGAAGGGAAAGGAAACAGATAAATTGGACGGCCAGAGAGTTCATCGACTCTTGGGAGGCCGGCTCCCCCCAGCCTTTACTCAACGCAGTGAAAGTCCGAAGAACGGGTCCATCCAAGACCTGGACGACCTCACGACCCTGTCCGAGTCGACAGGTTGACACAGGTTGCAGCGGACCCATCTCAGATTCAATAATCAGTCGGTCTGGGAGCGTGGCTGCATCTGTCGGGTGTCCTTAGGTTGTCCACCTCGCTAGGACCAGAGGGGAAAGATGGAACTCTATGTTTCACGTGACTGCTCTGTTAATTTTGTATCGATGCTGTACTTACCAAGCAACGGAACCATTTTTCGCTACTCCTTACCGCCTCCTAACTTACCGACCGGGAATACCAAAACCTCATTCAGAAGTTTTCTATCCTTGAGTACTTTTATTTATACTATAGTATAATATTACATATTTAATCATAGTCCTATGGAATTAATCAGGATAAAGTTGAAGTAGTGATTCTACAGGACCAGTGACTTAATTTCAGAGGATGGGTAGGTGCTGGACCGCTGACTGAGAAATTTTGAAGTGTTGAGGCGGAAAGTAAAGGCGGAAAGCAAAGGCGGAACGGTGTTTTACTTTGTGAGTCGAATACTTTCGAACCGACCCCCGTAATAGATAAATAATTTGACCTTACCTTTTCGGTCCTAGCGAGGTGGACAACCTAAGGACACCCGCATCGGTCGGCTCGGTGCCTCTTTCAGGTCTCAACGTTGTCCATCCGCTGACGAGGAAGGGACGTCGGTAGGACCGTAGGACAAGCGTCGGACGCAACCTGACGCGAAGCCTTGGGAGGTGCTCCAGTGTCCGCCCTACTAGAGTCACTACTGCCTGAGTTTGACTAGTAGTACTCAGTAGAGTTAGTACTCATGTTACTGTGACTGCGGGATTTGGTTATCTTGGAATCGGGAATTCGGGATGGGCTGCCCTTACAATACCGTGATTCTACCCAGGTCCCAAACTTCGCAACTTTGCTCATCTCCATCTTCATGCGGGCAAGCCAGGTCTGCGTGCGTATGTACAGTACGACGGTAACTTTGCACTTTGGAGGTTGCCAATTTGTAGTTTCGTACTCAGACTGCGCGCGGTGGACTTGGTCCTCGCAGCGATGCAGATCATTGGGGCAAAGATCACCGCTCTCAGCGCTCTTCGACCCATGAACAGCACATCCGGGTCAGGCATGAGACTTGACTCCTTGAGATGGTCGTTGCATAACACGCGAAAGTCGAGAACCCTCTTACACTCGAGCTTTTCGTGACTGTGTCGAGTCGTCGACTCTGTCAAGGGACCCAAAGCGGCATTGATCACCCCTGGACTACCCTCCTACAGTACCTGAGTACAGTACATTGCCCAGTGATGAGAAATGACCGACGCCCTGCGGGCAGGAAAAGTGTAATCTCATCTCCAGTACATACTGTACTACATACCCTGTCCGGCATGGAGCCTCGGACTCATGGAAAGAGCGGATTGCATTCGGCCAGCCGACACGGACAGAGTGCTAAGTTCCTACATACTGTAGCTTGGCGCTCACCCAGATGACGCTCATTATAGCGACCGTCTCTCCGTGCAACGGGTGAGAGTTCAAATACCAAGTCAAGCGGGCCTAATCCATTTCGGCCATTGAAAAGGAATTCTGGACGTCTGGGACTGGACAACGGTGGATTCAAGGATTGTGCATAAATTGGGAGTGTACATACATACATAGCGAAGGCGTTGTTGCTCGAGGCCCAAGGGGGGCCGATCACTTTGTCCTGGTTACCAGGGCGGGTAGCTGGATCTTCAATTTCCCAAAGAAAGCAGGTCTTTGAATATCCTGGGAGCCCGAGAGCCTTGGACCACTGTGCAGTTTGATGATTTGTGATCCCATGTCGAGGTACGAAACACGGACTTTACGTGGAGTCTGCGTCCGCCGTCCGCCGTCCGCCGTCCACTACTGTCGGCGGTCGCGGGTCACATTTCCTCCAACGCCCGTGTGGTAAAACCTCACATTCTGGGAGTGTGACCCCGTCCAGCGCGTGCACAGACCTAGACATGGGGTGGTCCTCCAGGGCTCCCACTTGAGCACCCAAGACCGGATTCTCCTAGCGGGCTGACCTTTGCTGGCGCGCTTGATCTCGAGCCCAGACATTCAAGCACCGACCGACTTGACTACGGGGAGCTGGATCGCCATGGTGTGTACACGGTACAGTAGTGATGTACGCAGTACTGTACCACTACCTAGCTGGCGGCGGGCGCAGCTGCATCCTCACCATGCCATTTTGCGCAGTCTGTCAAGGACAGCTCTATGGGAAAATGTCGAAGGGGAAAGAGTACCGTGGTATACACCTCAACCGTAATTGATGCAACGTGAAATCTATGTATCTATGCTGGATACCAAATTAGACGGGTATACGTCCCTGATC